CGATTAAAGAATAAATAGAAAAAAAATTTAATATGCAATCCTGATGAGTTCATCATAATTAATTAAAACATTTTATAAAATTCCTAGAAATATTTTAAAGCTTACACTAATTCCATTGTTATATGTGATAAATCAATTCAATTAAGTTCATCTGTTCAATTGATTGAATGTACATGATAATGAAATATTCTTGCACACAATTTAACATTATTTTCAACAGTAAATGAAGACTCTTACAAGCTAAAATCCTCTCGAATCCAAAATGAAATTGGCAATTAATTGAATGGAAAGTTTCTATTCAAAAAATGTAATTTATCGTACATGGCAACAAAAGTGAACACTTGTTTGGGAGGCGTAATGAAATAAATCAGTATTGATGTAAGCACTTACTTCATGTGGATTTAATTAAGTTAAACAGCAGAAGTAAATTGAAAATGTTTGTTATAAATTATTTGGCTGACTTAACATCTCAATGTTCAAGGGAATATTTATGAAACTTACCAAATATTTCTCAACGTTAACGTTGTTGTTTCTAAAACATTTCTCGATGAGGTTGAATAAGAGTATCGTCCCATGCACACAACGCTGTCATTAGAACAGTGGAAAACAAAACATGTCAACAGCAATTAATCTCTTATTGCCAAAGCAAATTACAAACTCAGTGTAACATGACACAGTACATAAGTATCGTACGAAGTGAAAGCGGAATTAAAGACACGACGACATTGTTTTAATCCCCATCTTCATATTGTTATTCAAGCTGTTTCTTTTGTTCCCCTTTCATCCTATAAAGCTTATAATTAATTCCGTCTTCCCTTCTTTTTTATATAAAATCGTACATTATGATTCAACATTCAAGTGAGTTGGTGCGAAATCACAATCTAAAAGTACCAAATACTATCATTTACTGTAACACGAGCTTTTCATTTTCATCACATCCTTCTTCTCTTATTTTGATGGAAATTAATGATAGTTTGGAAAATTACCATGCGCCACCATTAACAACGCAATATTCTCCACTCTCTAATTAACGTTCGTTGCATTTTTCTCTGTTTTCCTCTCTGCTTCAAATCGTTGTTTCGGGAAAATAAATAGCAATGGTCACTCAAACACAATTTTCTTTTTTAATGAGCTATAAAATATATTTAATTGCTTGTAGCCCAAAACGCATAATGAATGGCGGCGTCAATAAAATGTTTGTGCTTTAAAGGGAAACTCAGAAAGTTAATGAAAAAAAAATTTTCTAATTCCCATTGCGCAATTTTTATTTATTATATGATTCTTGTTCATTTGGAATTCCTTTTGTTTCCTGTTCGGAAAGTTTTTTCCCAACAATTAGAGGAAGTGAAAAGTGTACACAAAAAGAATTATTTAACCCCTTTTAAGCATTGTTTTGTTCAGATGTGCATAATTGAAATTTTGCATGCCTTTGTTCTTTTTTGTGTGTACATAACGAAATTATTTATGTTTACTTTTGATTACTTATTAAGGAATAACATCTGAAAACAAGGAAAGTAAGTAGAAATGCAAACAGAGGAAGATAATTGGAACTTTAAGTAAAAATAAAATGATTGATGAGGTTTGCAAATTCTCTTCCAACTTTTTATCTGTTCAAACATCAAATGACTTTAATGTAATTTTCGTGGGTGTAATTGAATGAAGATTTTATATTTAGATGTGAATAATTCAATCATTCAAATGAAATCGTGAAAAAAACATTCAAATTAATTTGAGCATGTGAAGAAGAACTTAATGAATGAATAAATTTATTTTCATAAATGAAGTCTGAATGAAATTTATTTATAACTTTCAAATAAATCTTCAGCAAAACATTTGAAATTGCTTCTTAAAAATGAGTAAAATCAATAAATGTTAATATTAGTTCTTACAACCATCCTCCAAACATATATCTAACAATAAAAGAGTAAATCAAACAGCAGCAGTTTCAGTTTATAGTTTATACAGTTCTCTTAGGATCCTTTTTTATTGATGTTCATCGAAAAATCAAAAACTCATTTTTCATGTTGCTGTTCAGCATTTGTGCCACAATAATAATAAAAAATGTGAAATGTTTGAAAAACATTGCGCTCTGATGATAAAAACAAAAAAAAAGCAACAAAAACAAAGAGAAAATCTAATTATTTAATGCATGCAGCAAAAAATGTGCTGCTCCTCCTATCATTTCGGATGTCGGGTGTATCTGATGTTGATGATGATGGAATTTCAATATTATTCGCATGTTCTCGTATCATATCATCGGAAATGGGTTTTCATTCATTCATTCAGTGTTTTTTTATATCTTTCCTCTTTCATTTTTCGTCTCATGTTTTAGTAAACACTTGAAGTGCATGGAAATTGTAATTTTTTTAAAATGGTTTGAAATAAAGAAAATATTTATTTAAAATTATATTTCATTTGTTATAATAACGTGAAAGCGTGAAACTAATATTTGTAAAGAGACGAAAATAAAAAATGATGTTGATGTTGTTTGATTCTTAAGGCCCCGTTTTTTATTTTCCTTTTGTTCTTGGTTTTCTTTCTTATTCCTCTTCTTCAATCTTTTTTATTATTCATTACGGTATGATAGATATTTCAATGGGAGTTTTTCCATCGCAAATTCTAAACGAAATTGCGTTAAGCTGAAAATTCCTCCTTTCTAAATATCTTACGATCAGCAGCCCCCGGAAAAACGGAAAAAATTTAGTTTTTATTTTATTATTGATTGGATTTTCCTTCTTTTTTTTACTTTCTTTCTTTCTTTCTTTTTTGGCAAAACAAAAAAAAAACATTTAGGTATTTTTGTGGTGAATCATTTTCGTTGATTTAGTTTGTTTTTTCCTTTGTTGCTGTCCGTTTGCCCTTAATCACTGTTGGTCGATTCTTGATGACGCCTTTTCGACGCTTTGATGTCTGAAGAAAAGGAAGAAAAAGGGAAAAAGAAACGAAATAATGAAAGTTAAACGTGGTGATGTCTTTTATGTAAATGACTTTGGGACGCTTTTCCTTATTCATCAAATTAAGTGGTTTAATGTCGTCGAAAGTAAAGCAAATAATTGTAAACAAAGATATTTGACTTAGCTACAACATTATTTAAATACAATTTAAGAAAACTTTTTCTTTTTATCGTTGCGATCTTTCAACCTTTTCTCCTTCTCAGAAGAATAAAAAATCTTAGATGTTTCAGATAACAAGAAAAAGGTGAAACAACTTTGAATTATTACCAACAACAATGAAAACATTCCTTAGCAACTCACTTTTTTTGTGATGTATTCGCTTGCTGATACGACACGCTCGTCAGTTTTCAATGCTGGACGATTGAACTCGTGTGGTTTCTTAACACGATAAATGCGAACCAACCAGTGTTCGCTTGTGTAAGCCTCTTCAAGATACGTCAAATCGAAGTCTTTATTTCCAATAACTGCGTTTCTAGTGCGATCATATCCAGCTGGTCCTCTGCAGGAGAAGAAATTATTAGAAACCTTCCTAAAAATAATTTCATCGCTTACCTGTAATCCAATTTCAAATCACCAAAACGATAATAACTTAACTTGTACATCAGACAATTGAGTAAAGCTGGAGCACCTTCATTATCTACTCTAAATTCACCACGTTCAGTGAAAAAGTCGCTTTCGCGAATATCTTTCGGATGTTCACCTTCAGCAATTCTCACCATCCACAAAAATTTGTTGATATCATCGCCTGAATATCCAATGACACCTCCAAAGATGACAAGAACATAGTCAACATCAAGCGACGTCATTATTTCATATGCTTTCTCTTCAGGCGACGACATCGCCTTTCCAACAAGTGCTATGTGACTGTTGTTCCAAGTATTATTATCCACTAACGTCGTCCGATTCGCCATTCCCGCTATCTGATATCCATAATCCCACCAACTCATTACACGTGCATCGTCGTTTGTGTTCTGCGAAAGCCAATAATAAGCTTCACGAAAATCATCTAAAATATTTCTTGTTCCATCTCCTTGGTTATAGAAAGCAAGTACAATTGATGGCGATGAATAAGCATTGCTTGTCACCCACGTACAATGTACAGCAAACATCATTAAAATCATCATAATTGCAATGACAACCATCGATTTAACGTTTGATCCTAAACCTTTGTTCTCGCTTTTGTTGCTGTCATGTTTACGTGGCTTGATTTTGCCTGCTTTGTCGTAAAGCTTCTTCTCAGTTGGTTCTTCATTTTCCGTCTCTTCTTTATTCACTGGTTGTTGATCTTCTTTCAGGAAAACTTCGAGAAGTCCAGAAAAACCGACACCAGCAAGAATGCAAACGACAGGCGTGAGTGTCAACATCAATCGAACCATAACACCAGCAAAGTAAACTGCTGAGATTGCATACAGAACAACGAATACTCGCTCGTCGTTAATCTTCTTTATCGCATACCACAAACCCACTGGGAATGTGCACACCAAGATGTGAAGATCAAAGAAGAACGAGAACCAAGTCGTCGGCTGATGTTCTGACACTGATGCGATGATTGGAATGTGAATTTTAGCATAGCCAGTGTCCCAAAGAGAATAAAATCGTCCCGACCATGGAGCGATCACACCAGCCATTGTAAGACCAACGACAGTCAGGAAAACAACAGCAGCAGCTGCAAGGCCACCAAAGATGAAGAGTCGTTTGAATTCTTGTTTAGTTAAAACAGTTTGAAGATGTTTCAAAGCGCCGACAGCTACGAGAAGTGCGAAGACACCCGACGCAGCCATGTGCTCTGATGTTCGAATTGGCTGGAACCCAACAAATGGTATTTGCATTGAGCAAATCAGTCCAAGAATGTAGAAAGTTGTGTAGCTTGTGAACAATCGATGTGAATAACGATTCATGATGAGAAGAACAAAAACATGAAGCGGAATTAAATTGATGATGAAAACGTATCCACCCCAAGCTGATACCATGTAAAAATAGGAAAGTGCAGCAGAAGCTGCCCAGAAAATGGATCCAGTTTTAACTGATTTCACCCACAAATAGTAAGTGAATTGGAGTGCAAAAATTGCAATGCCTTCGTTATCTGAAAAGTTACAAATTAAAGTCAGTGAAGTGAGAATTTTTTATTTCAATTCCCATTTTTCTTACCATAAGATCCGGCGACTGAACGACTAATATAACCCGGGACAATAGCAATGAAGCTTGCAGCAAATAAACCAGCTCCGGTGTTCCACAGCTCTTTTGTAAGAAGGTATGTTGAAATTGCAGTGAGGCCACTGAAAATTGGTGCAAGAAATACACAAATATCACGGATATGAACTGGAATATGAAGAAGATGAAGAAGCCAGTGAATTCCTCCTGATGTTATCATGAGACCGGGATAAACGGTTCCTCCCACAATTCGTCCTGAAACATTTTATTCAATTTTCACTTTTCCCCATTAATGATTCAACAAACAATTAATATTACCGAGAGGATACCAAGCTCGTTCATCAAACCAATTTAGAAATTTGTAAAATCCATGCTGCACCATGTAAGCTGTTGCGCGATAATTGAACCTGAAGAGGAGATAACAATTTATTGATATAATTTTAACCACCTCATTTTTATCTTCAAACTTACCATGGATCAAATTCATGAATTATACTCTCAAAACGAATAACTGCAAACAACCGAGATGCAAAACCAGCTATCCAGCACATAAGCAGCACGGAAAAAACAATTAATGAACTTATTCCTGCATGAGATGTGACTCGATTTGGATTTTTGGATTTTATCAATGTTTCAGTCATTGTTTTTGATCAGTTCACACACCAATTATTGAAGATATCAATAAACTAAAATTATCATGTATTAATTCGATTATTTCTTTAGCTTTCCGATGATTTCAAGCAATTTTCTTTTTTTATCGCAGGCGGACACGTCAGAAAACCGGCTTGAAAATACCAATGTTGACCATAGATGTCGCACAAAATTTTAGGGGTGTAAAAGTACATTTTAGTTCACAACCCCTTTATACGATCATTGAGTACCCCGAATTCTTATTATTAAAAAATTTCAATAAAATTTTTGTCTTTTAGCAAATTAAAGTGCCTTTTTTAAAAAATAGTCGTAAATCCTTTACAATAAATAAAAAAAGTAGTCAGTGTTATGAATTTTATACTGATGTTGTTCCAGGTGGATTAAATTATAAGAATTAATTTTTAAAGGTGAAGATTGAAAAAAAAGAATTTGTGAAATTTTATCAAAATTAACGAGAAAGAAAAAAATTAAGCATCCCACAATGCATCCCACTCAAATAAATGATTGAAAATATTAAGGATATATTCATATATAACAGCAGTCGCGTTGTGACGTGAGTAGATGTGATATTTTCCTACACAGACTGATTGCGAAATAAAAGAAACATTATAAATATTAATTAAACTTAACATTAAAGTAAATATTACATGAAAAAATGTTCGACGTCGATGCGAGACTGGTTGGACTGAAAGATAAGATAAGAGGAATAAATAAAATATATAAAAACGAAATGAATTTTAGAAGCGTGTTTGTGTATAGCAAAAGAACTGCGTGACGTTTAAAGGTGGTTTTTCAATCATCACGATGGAGTACTTGAGTCTTAATCCATTTCTGTTATTTATAGACAGTGAAATACATAAATTTCATTATTTTTAGTGCGATAATGGTCTAAAAATACGCATTCGCAATACATATTTCACATCTCCCCTCTTCTCCCTTTCCACTGTCACGAGTAAAGATATTTTGTTGTTTTGTTGTGGTCAGCGACAAATAGCCGAGGACACAAGCAAATGTTACAATTTTAAGATAGCCACAATCATCTGATAGATAATATACAAGAGTAAAAACTGGTGGAAGTTCATTTTTCTTTCACTACTGAAGAGATGCGAATGGTTTATTGAACCATAGAGATTAAATCGGACAGGAGAAGATCTATGAATATTACAAATATTTTCATGAAAAACAAAATTGTGGAATTTTTTTCTGAGTCTCTTAATAAACCGTTACTCGTGTTGTGGGTACTGCGTCGTTGATCACTCCACGGACAGAGAAAGAGAAAATAACAAACGAAAAGAAGAAAAATCTTAAATAGGAAACTTTTTTGACATTTCTTGTGGCGCAATGTTTATTTATCAATGTATTAAATTATACAATAATTAAAAAAAGATGTATGAAATAAGAAGTTTGCTTGCTTTTCTGTAGAAATCATTCTTCGACAATATTAATTGACCACGACGATTTTATTTAAGCATTCCTCACAAACATTCCAACAATATTCGCTTCAATGAAATGTTTTCGCACATCTTGAGACAATTTCTTTTTCCTTTTCCCCACGACACTGATTGAGACTTTTCTTCTGTCGTCAGAAGTTAAAAAAGATTAAAAGAAAAAGAAAAATATTTTCTGTTCGATCTCTCGATGTCGAGTGCGAACATCTTTGTGTGAACTGTGAGGTTGTGCGTGTATACATGTTAAGAAGCATCAACAACAACAATAATTTCAACGAGAAATGTCCAATTAAAAATGAGTTTCGGAAGCGGCACACACGAAAGCACACAGAAAAGGTTTTAATGACCTTGGGCCACGAAAATTCACTCTTCGCTCTTGTGGTTGTTGTGTTTTATCTCGCGACTTTCGAGGCGAGCAATTTTTTATCTTTATGAGCGTGATACTTAAATAGTTTGTATTTATTTGTGGGAATTGTTCAAGATGTTTGGGATATCCCCAAGGTAAAGAAAATGTGATGAGGGAAAAATGAAATTGAAATGTTACATTTAAAGTATCGTCGCCACAACGATCCCCATCAATTAATTTAACGATAGTCACATCTTCTTCCTTCCCTCTTTAAAAACGTCATTGCGAACATGGTTTAAAAATAATCAATGATTTGTTTATCAAATAAAAAAGTTTTAAGTTCTTGTTTTTCTTTTCTTCTTCTCGCGATTTTCTTTCAGATTTTAGTGAAAGGCAAGGAAAGAAAGAAAGAAACAAAAAATACTTAAATAAAAAAGCGCGAAATCTTCTATTTTTAAATCTGGACATAAGATTGCCGTAAGACAACAAAAACAGACGAAAAGAATTATTGCAGAAATAAAAAGTAAGAGGAATTTCCCTGACGACAGTTTACGTTGTTTTCGCCTTCAATCGAACTCGATACGAAAGGATGGCTGAGCATGGATCAAACGCCGAAATCAACTGATCAAAGGCGAACAGATCAAAATAACAATAACAAGGAAATATCGAATGTGAACTTGTGTTCATGCACCAATATAAGTATCATGCAATTATTCCATGAAATGAAACAAGAATTTCCAAAACTTCCCGACCACACAATTCATCAACACGTCACGGACAATTGTCATAATCGGCGTGCTTGTATTGATCAATTGCACAAAGCTCTAATCACAACGATACCAACAACAACAATGTATCCATCAAAGTCGATTCATAGCAATCAGCAAATACCGCGAAGTCCCGTCGCAGGAACGAAATGGGCGAATAATCAGAAAATGAAGGAGATAAGTGAAATGTTTGAGAATTCATCATCAGAAGCTTCATCATCGAGTGATGGGAAATTGAAAAGGCCGACAACATTGAGATTAAGACGTGCACCAGATCCGCCTAATTCAGCATCAGCTTCCAACTCATCGACTCCCACCTCAACGTCGAAATTGACATCAAGCACATCAACGTCATCGCTTGTTGCGTCGACAACTTCCTCTGTGTCAAGTATGTCGTCAGCATCAGCAACAAATTATCCAAATAGTCAAAATGCTGACTCTTTCTCTAATAATCATCATGTCGCATTAGATTCGTCAGCATCGAAATACAATGATTCGTTGAATGTTCAACTCAATGTGACGGTTTCACCAATTTCATCGACAGCACCAACAATACCGCCAAGACCACCTACAAGACCTGCTAGACACATTAGTCAATTGAAAGTTCAACCTGAACCAGCTTTTACCAGCATTTTAGAGCCAAAGAAATCGCCAAATGGTGGTGCAAGTATTGCGACTGGAACAGCTGGTCAAAGAAGCTACACAAGCGTCAATTTCACTCTTCGTCAACCAACATCGATTCTCCCATCAGCTCAAAGTCCAATCGAAATTCAAGCGGGCCCATCGAGTCTCACTTATTCTAGCAGTTCATTTGATGCACGACAAGGTTATCAAAGTCATTTGAAGATAACAGTCGCAGGAAATGGCGAAAGTTGTGTACAAGCTGTACGAACCAAACAACCGTCATCGTTGAATTCTACACTACCGGAAGTCGATCAAATCGACACAACGATAAGCATAGGAGGAAAAAATGAGATGAATGACAGTGAACCCATCAAAATTACGACAAATAATAAACAAATACTGCCGCCCACTCATCATCGAATGACTGAAAGTGAGTTTGATTTATTTTTTTATTTATTTTTAGATTTACTTTAATTAAATTATGATGTTATAGACTGGAAGTCTTTTTTTTTGCTATCAAAATAATCAAATTTTCTTTCTCTATTTAGATGAATTGCATCAAATGATTGAGAAGCAAATTAAACAAAAGGAACTTTTAGAATGCGAACTGACGAAAGAACGTGAAAAGCTTAAAATAGTGCAATTTGATATAATCACACTGACGTCACCAATGATGACACAAAGTGAGTTGCAACAATTATGTGATGAAATTTCTCGGTTGCGGTCAGCTTGTAATGGAATAGCAGATGAGATTGATGTTGTTACAGCTCGTAAGTTAATTAAAGTCGTCAAAGGAATTAATTTGTTTAATTATTTTTTTTTATTTTGTCAGCACCACCTTCGCCAGCGGTGTCATTGTCACCATCACGACCTCAACGACCACCTCCGCCTATACCAGCAGCACTTCGTTGTCTTTCACTCCATCAATCACCTTTTCATTCGCAAATTCAACCTTTCGAATCACCGAGAATTCATTATCCCGCTCAACCGCCCAGTTACACTGACGTTTTGCGAGAAATGGGCCGCACACCTGGTGTCACCGCCAACAACAACAGTAACAGCTTACCAAACTTTGTTGAAGACGTTAATGAAGGCGAATGGTCGTGCTCGATGTGCACATTCCTGAATTATCCGCTTTTGAATAATTGTGAACAGTGCGACATGCCTCGAGTTCAGGGTATAAGAATCACATCCAGCAGTTATCGTCCTTTACGACAAAATAACAATTTGCAGGGTGCGAGTGTCGCTACTAACCATGATAATGCGAATGTTGTGCAAGCAACAGTGCTTTAAATTTCATAATTATTCGCTTTCAATCAGAGACTGGTACTAGAACTGAAAGGAATTTAAGTGAAGCAATTTAACTTAAATTCTCTTTTTTTTCTTAATTATTAAACAAACAGTAGTGCTGAGCTTAATTTTTGATAGCTTTATAATCAAATGAAATTACTGCTGTAATATTTTAATCCAGAAAAGATGATAAACAGAAAGTTTGAATTAGTTCCAGTGTCTGTCTTGGATCGTAAAACTTTCCAGCAAACTTCAATCTTTAATTCAATAATTAAATATCCGTAAATTGTTTCAGTTTATGGAGATTCGTCTGCATCTTTAACGAACGATTAGTGAATATTAACAAAACATTTTATGATTGTGATTTTATTAAATATTTACCATTGCATGGTTTTGTGAACGAACCTAATAAGACAATAAACCTTAAAATTTATCTTTAGAGTTGTTTTTGATATCAAACGAATTCTTTTTATTCTTCTTTTTATCGTCAGCAGCATTCCAGTCTGAAGATATTCTTCTGCTCCTATCCACAAAACAGAACAAGTTTGTTCACAGTTGGATCCTTTAAGAATGGACTGCAAATGAATTAAAGAATGGAAATCCATCCAATTTTTATACACAAATACAGACTTAATGGAAAACATAAAATTTCGCTTAATATTAAAAGAATGAGGAAATATACTTTAAAAAATTGTTATTTATTACTAATATCTATCGAGAAAAAAAGAAATGAATTTAAGTGAAAATGTATTTACATTAATTCAGGCATTACACATTAACTTGAGGGTTTTTTTTTTCATTTCAAATCAGAAATAAATATGAACCGAAAAATTGATAGCTTTGCTTTTGAATGACCTTCGAATCCAGTTTAGATGGCGGTTCCTCGCTCCAAAGCTTGTTTGATTTCGGTCGTGTATGGATCGTAATACATTGCAAGTTTCTTGTTGAGTCGACGATTCTTCTCGTTGATGTAGTCAATATCAGCTTCATCGTTATGCATACGACGACGTGAGAACTTCTTACGCTTCTCAATTTGCTGATCCAGGTCCTTCACCATGTTGTTAACAGCTGCTTTGGAATCTTTATGAACTCCTTCAAGAATTGGATTCGAGCTGTAATAATTGTCGCCAATCATTTCCTTCTGCTCGTTGTATCTTTGTAAATCTTTTGCTGGCATAGCTTTCACGAGACGTTGATATTGTCTTGCAGTTTGTGTTTCATAGTCAGCGAATCCTTGGTCACCAATTTTTTTATTTCTCTTCTTGATTTTGTCAATTCTTTCTTGATCCTGTGCTGAGACATTTAAAAGCTTGACACGATCGTAATCCATTCCTTTTTCTTCAGCATCATCGCGGTTCGCTTTATCTTTTATCAACCATTCTGCTTTTTGTTGACGAATGTCCCAATTCTTTGGAAGAGTCATTCGTTCCATTTCTTTTTTCACTTCACTATGATTTTGATTTCTTGCTTCATTTCGAACATTATGAAGATTCTTTAACTTTGCCATTCTTTCCTTCATTTTATCTGATGTTGATGTTGCTTTTGTATCACTCATTTTGATAAAAAGGCTTCGACTTACTTCTTTTAAAAGTAATTTATTAATAAACTTGGAATTTCCGAATTTCTTGAAAATAAACAAAGATGCGCGTTATGTGCGAAAAATAAGGAGAAAAAATGTCGTTCAGTAAAAAAATTTCATTCCCCTGAATTCTGTGTGTAGGAAATCGAGAAATTGTCCAACAAATTTAATATTTCTCTTTAAAATTGCTTCAAGATTAACTATAAAATATATTTTAAGTCAATCAATTTCAAATCTAAGCTGTAATTGTCATTAGTAAACTTTCATACATCGTAATATTACTGAATGGAAGGAGAATTTTAAGTTTCACTTTGTTTTCGTGGATTTTTTCTACTGCTTGTTAAGTCCAAATAGTGATGGACAACACAAACGATGAAAATTTAAGGAAGAATCTCTGGCAACATCAGCAACATGGTACAATAGACAATAATCAACAATACTATGCGAATCAATATCAGGTATGAATATAAAAACCTATTTAAAATTAGAATTAATAAAACTTTATTTATATTTCTTTTTTTACCAGCCAATTCAACATGCTGGCTTCGATCTTCAACGTGAACTTAATTCGCAACCTGCGCCATCTGCTTCAACAGAGAATATGCAATTTCTATACGACAATCATGGTCCTTATTTAAAAATTTATTTCAATGAAAACAATATGAGCGACTATGAGCTGTTTGATCGGAACCAACAACAACAACATCAGCAACAACAGAATGAACTTCCAAACTTCGCCAACAATCGCGATGGAATGAACAATTTTCTTCCAAACCCTCAAGTTCAAATACCGTTTTATGGTTCAAGTTCTGGATCAGCTGGGGGACCATCAAAGAATCCTACAACTATTCAAAGTAGCGTAATTCATCATCTTGTTAGTAGTTTGGGACCCAATAAAACGGGCTCGTATTCACCGTTTGGCGAAACAATTATTAACAATGCCAATGCCATCCCTCCCACTGCCAACCATTCTACAAATAATTCTTTTACAACGAGTCCCCAACAACCAACAAACAATCCAATGGAATCCAATCGAATTCCTCCATTCAATGCATTCAACAATGAAAGCAATGTTGACTTGAATCTTTCGAGAGCTTCCATAGAGTCCTCCAATTCATCAGCTCAACTTTCAACTCCTAACACAAGCACAGTGTCACCCACTTCCATGAACATTAAGAAAACAAGAATCATTGCTGAAGTGAAGCCAATGCGAATGTCATACTCGGATGTTGTTAGTAAAAATGGTGTCAATGGACAACCAACGACATTTGGTAACACAAACTCTGCATCTAGCAGTCCCAACACAACTCTTCCACTTTCAAATAAAAACATGAAGATTGATAAAGTTTCGCGTGGAAATTTTGATAAGAGAGATGGCGGCGATAAAGAGAACCAAGCAAAGAACAAAAAGAGTCCAATAAATACAAACAATTCGACTTCTGGTAATCCTAATAATTTTTCTGATTCTAAAAAATCACAATCAATGAGTGGAAAAAGCTATGAAAAATCATCAACAAATTCAACTTTAAATCAAACATCAAATTCTAAGAAAAAGACATCACAAGGATTAAGTAAGGAAACATCAACATCATCGATAGGGACAGCAAAAAATCCACTAAATGCAACTGAAGCAGCAAAAGATTCGAAAGTTAAAAGCGCGAGTGATTCTGATGACGACGACGATAATTCAAGTATGAATGAATCTGATTTTAATGACATCATCAACGATCCGTTGGAGTTTTACAATGTCCGGAAGAATGTTTATCATGGCGAACATCACAACATCGAGAAAATCATCACAACGAAAGGATTAGCATCGACAAATTATAGAAAAATGAAATCAGCTTCAGCGAATGTGTCAACAAAGAAGACGGAAAAGGCTCAAAGACGAACGGGAAAGAGTACAAATCGTAAACGACAAAAGCACGAAGTTCTCATGAAACTGTTTATGGCATGGGCTGAATATTTGTTGAAATTCTTTCAATGGCTTTGGACTTTGATTTATGATGTCGGTTATTTGAGTTTTGGAATCATTTGGGATCGAATGAGTTGGTGCTATCAATGTTCAATGCAAGGAGTCGAAGCTGCTCGTCGAGAACTTAGCGGAAGTCCTGGTAAAGCTGTTTGGGTGTGGATGAAAGATTTATGGAAACGTTTCGATAATAAATTCGACAAGAAATCGCGATGGGCTTTTTGGAGATGGCTTTTTAAGAAGAAACAGCCAATAAATGAACAAGTTAAGGATCATTACAAAGACGGAAAGCTGCCAAAAACTGCTGAAGAAGCAATGAAATCGCTGCTGAATTGCAAAGGAAAAGATCCTTACAGGTTTGTAGAAGTAAAGAGAAAATTTGTCGATTTTTAATTACTTTTGACAATCTTTCAGCATTCTCGGCGTCAATCCTAACTGCTCTCAAGAACAAATCAGAAAACACTACAAGAAAATTGCTGTATTGGTTCATCCTGATAAAAACAAACAACCTGGAGCTGAAGAAGCTTTTAAAGTTCTTCAAAGATCATTTGAGTTGATTGGTGAACCTGTAAGTAGAAAATTCTTATGATTCATTGACATTTAATTAATTTTCATTGAAATATTTAGGAAAGTCGACAACATTACGATCAGAGTGTTGCTAAAGCTCTAAATGCTGAAAAAGCATTCACTGAGTTAAGCGACCTACTCGTGCAGTTACAGACAAAGATTTCAGAAGCAGCAAATACAATTCGATGTTCTTCTTGTTGTTTCCGACATCCTAGAAAGCCAACCGGAAGGTATAAATTGTTTTAAATTATTTCCTTATTAAATTAATCTTTTTTATTTCTTTCAGAAAACATTTCGCTGCTCGTGAATGCTCCACATGTAAAATCAGACATCCAGCGAGAGAAGGTGACATCTGGGCTGAGACAAGTTTCTTTGGATTTCGTTGGAAATATTTAGCATTGATGGAAGGGAACGTCTACGACATTACTCAGTGGGCTCTTTGTCAACGTGGCGCTTTATCACATCTTCAAGCAAACTCCTGTGTGGTTCAATATAAAATTGTCCTTGGTGGTAATGGCGGTAATCAGCAGCAAAATCAATCGCATGAGAAAGAAAAGTTTAAGAAAGATGTTCCTGTTAGGTAAGTTAATTAACTTTTACTTTTGAAATTAATCATTTTAATTTGTTTATTAAAACTTTCAGTGAGCCAAGCATGGATGATTTCTTTTTGAATAACATTTATGCTGGTCAAAATCCTCAACAACAGCATCAAAATCCACGGCGTCGCTTCAAGAAGAACTAAACCCACTGTCTGACTAAACTCAAAAGAAGGAAAATTAACAATTTATTTGTTTTTTAATCTCAATTATGTGCAACAAAATATTCTTTTTTTATTTAATCTTTTGTTCTTTATGCTTCTCGTTATTTCATTATTACTGGAACTTTAAATGGCAAGAGATGAAAATTTCTTGTAGGAATTTGTCTGCATAATTGACGACGAACTAATTTTATGCCAGAATAAATTCAAGGATTAAATAAATTGAATAATTTGGCTGAGAATTGCTAAACATCTAACGATTTTTTATGTTTTAAAAACAGATCTACCTGCTTACTAAAATTGGTAGATCTTAGTCATCTGCTCGCTGGGTCTTTGTTTACATTCTAAATGCACATTTCCAAGTGACATAAGTTATTAAAAAATTGTTTTTAAAATATTATTAATTAATAATGTCAAGCCTTCGCCGCTTTCTACTTTATTTTGCTCAAGAAAACATTGAATTTCGTTATCCTGAAATTAAATCATTAATTCAACTCTTTAATCTTGAAATAAAATTGCCAAATAGTTTTGGAGAAACTCCTTACTGGATTTTAGATGATGTGGATGAACAAGATGTAAGAAAAATAGCAAGTCGTTCGGTGTCGTTGAGATACATTGTTGAAGTTTTCTCTAGTGGAAAGAACTACAAAAGTTTTCATGAAAATTTAAAGAACTTCAGCATATCCGATTTGAGTAAAAAATATGCGTCAGCTGATTCTTCGTTTAGGATAACTGTCGATACTTACAACAAACGCATTGAACATGCTGAAAAGATACAACGAATTGAATCACTAGATTATATTGATTATAAAGGAAAAATTGACTTGAAGAATCCTGAAAATAACTTCATTTATTTCGAGTATTGGGGATTGGATCCAACGAACGTCCCCGAAGAGCCAGTCGAAATCATATTTGGTCGATGGGTGAGAAATTTTACCACTTTTTATTAAATCATTCAAGTTATTAAATGTGTTTTAGATTTCTGATGGGCAACGCGACATCACGAAATCAATTTCATTAAAAACTCGAAAATTTATAGGCAATACATCAATGAATCCACTTCTTTCACTATTAATGGCAAACCAAGGACTTTGTGATAAAAATCACATAGTTTTCGATCCTTTTGCTGGTACTGGATCAATTTTAATTGCGGCTGCAAAGTTTGGTTCTTTTGTTATTGGATCTGACATCGATTATTTGATGTAAGGTTGCTTTAAAGTTTAATTCAGTTAAATTTTATTTAATCGAAATCATTTCAAGGCTTCATGGACGAACAAAGCCATCAAGAGTTCGACAAAAAGTTAGGGAAGAAGATGAAAACATTAAATCAAACATGATTCAATACAATCTTCAACATCTTTATGTCGACATTTTTGTTAGCGATTTTTCCAATTGTCCACTCAACGATGCAATAGAATTTGATTCTATAATAACTGATCGTAAGTAAATTTTCAAGTTTTTTTATAATCTTCTGAAAGAGTCCTCAAAAATTCAAACAATTCCAATAACACGAAAAAAGTTTTATTAACTTCTGTTGTATGAAATATAAAAAATAAGAATGAATGAAATTAACTGGATGGAAATGTTTAGTAGCAAGAAAAATGTTAAGCTTTGATGTAGCAATCGAATATTTCACCACCATCAAGATCGAGATCGACAGAATTTTGGTTCATGTCAACAGAATCGCCAACAAAGCTTAAAGTTATTTGTTCAGATTTGAATGGAATTTTTTCACAAAGAATGCAGACAGCAGTCTTAAAAGTATCAAACTTCGAAAGTTGTATTGTCACTGGCTTCTTCCATTTGTCTGATTGAAATTTCAACACAATTTGATCTTTTTTCTGGATTTTATCGAGAGAAATTTCGTTTCCTTCTAACACGTGACATTTCAGTATTTTTGTGATTTTGTAATTGATTGAGTGAGGTGTGTCTGAATGTTCAAGACGTTTATCATTATCGTACAGAAAAATATCTTTCAATGGAATTCCATTCTGTTCTGAGATGATTTTATATAAATCATAAAAGTTTTGATGTTGACGATACTTGTGGGCTTGAATCTTGTTATTAACTTTAACTTTAACTTTGATTGAATCCAAATTCATATCATCTTCATCGGAATCGTCAACGATAACTTTCGTAGCGGATTTAAGTTTTTGTATACTTTTATTTTGAAATAATGGCGCATGTGAATGCATTTCACCAAGACTAACATCTCCAGTTAAATCAATTCCAGAATATCGATCAACTGGCATTGTTGAAGGTTTTGGTGTTTCTGGGAGTTTAGGGATTGATGAATTCATCACATTTAAAGCTTCTTTATAGGATATTTTCTTTGCCTTCGGAGCTTGCTTCACTTTTGGTACTTCCTTCGCTATTGGCACTTTCGATAATCGACCACTTCGTCTTCTTGTCTTAGAATTGTTATTACTGCTCTCGGGCTGATCCTCAATCTCAACTGTTTCTAATATTTCTACTGATAATTTGTCTGCAGCACGTCGTGTCTTAACAGGAGGCGAGTAATCAGCAGTAAGATCCAATAAATCGTCAGAAGTGGCTGTGACTACTTCAGGTTCAATTGAATTATTACTCAAGTCAACCACTTTGGGATCTTTTGTGTCGCATACACTGTTATCTTGTGAAAAATTATCCAATTCATATTTTTTAAAGGAATCATCTGTAAACAAAACATTCAACAAGACTGTCAATTGCAAGAAATTAATTTTTGAGACTAATTTACTTACCTTTTGCGAGATATTCATTCAAGTTAGAGAAAATGTCCCTTGTTAATGACATTATGAAGCCTTGGATTTTAATTTGCTACTTTTCAAAAGTCTTTCTTGCGAGAAATTCAAAAAGGATTCTAAGAAGAAGAAAAATTCTACTATGTAGGGTTTATCAAAAGTGTTAAACAAAAACCGGGAAATTTTCCCGCCAAAAATTATTCAAACTTATTTACGACCGTTAAATTCCAATAACTAATTTTATTTAATATCATTACATTTTGAATCATTCAGCACCTTATGGAATTCGCGAAAAGATGGCACAAGTTGTACCTAAAGAAGGTGGACGAAAATCAACAGTTTTAACAGAAGATGCTAAACATTACCCTTCGACATCTAATTACTCAATCAACAGCATGTATGGTGATCTCCTGAATTTCGCAGCAAAACACTTGAAGCTTCATGGACGCTTAGTTTGTTGGTTTCCAGTTAATCGAGATGATTATCATGAAGAGCTTCTACCTCGACATTCAGCCTTTCAGATCATCGCTAACTCTGAACAGAAGCTTAATGGCGATGCAACTAGAAGACTTCTAACTTACGAAAAAGTTAAAGAATCCGGTGAAATTGTTGATGTCGATGCATTAGAAACATTTGATTTTCGTCAGAAATATTTCACACAAGCAACAAATATTAAAGAAAAACGTCTTGCAACACACCACCGAAACATCATCGAAGCACAGAAACGTGGAAAGATAATAGAAAATTTAGCAGAACGAAAGAAACTTTCAAATAAAAAATTTCATCTTGACAACGAACATTCTGATAAATAAATTTGTACTTTTGACACAAAAACAAGTTGTTTTCGTTTAATACTGCGAGCTGGCATAGTTTAGATATAGAAACTTCTAGAAGATGTTCACATTCAAATGGTATTTCAATAATATTTGCTCAAGTGCGCCCTAATCGACTTTGTGTTAGATATCCAATTTTCTTAAAGTTTTTTCTATTGGAAAGACCTGAACACGTACACGTAGATGAATCGATTGAACAAAAGCTTTATGGAAGTTTAGTTTATTAGATTTTAGTTAACCAAGATGATTCCTATAGACAACTTCTTCCACGACTTAGTCTGTCAAATCATCACTAAGAACAAACAGAAACTAAATGTCGGTGTGAATAAATCAAAGGAGTTTGTTTGAACAAAATTAATCTTTGCTTGAAGAAAGAATCTGATGACTTTCTCAATAGAAAATATTTAGGATTTTATGGCTTGACACCAAAAAAAATAAGATTTTATGGCTTGTTGAAAAGCTTGTTTAAGACAACTGATGGATCCCACCATCATCAAGGAATTAATTCAAAACAGATTTAAAATTCAAAAGTAAAGCACAATATTGAATGTTTTTCTTATAAATCTTCATAACTTTCTTATTTTTTATATTTTTAGCTTTAAAATTTCGAATCAGTCAAACGATTTAACAATCATTGGAAATGGAAGTTTTTTTTCGATATCCTTTTTACCAACGCATTTCTCATTTGATGTGTCGTCAGTTTATGCTCGTATTTAGTTTCTTTATTGAATAATTTCGCGTTACACGTGGATAAGTTTCATTATTTTCTGATCATTTCTGACTAATCAATTGTTGACAAGAAACATTCTGAATAAAGGTAAACTTGTGCCACTAAAAAATGTTTCTGAATAAATATTTTGAGTTGATATTCTTTGTCTCGATATGAAAACTTTCATGAATATGTTCAATGATGTTTAGACAGGTGCACTGTCAGATATCCAAATATTTTTAAAGTTTCTAAGTATTGGAACATTAGAACACGTACATGTGTGTAGATGAATCGATTGAAAAAAGCTTTATGAAAGTTCAATTTATAAGATTTTAGTTAACAGAGATGATTCCCATATGCAACTTCTTCGACTTTTAAGTCTGCCAATTCATCGCTAAGAAGAACATTCTAATAATGTACTTTTGACATAAAAACAAGTTGTTTCGTTTAATATTGTGACCTGGCATGGTTTAGATGTAGAAAGTTTCTAGAAGATGTTCACATTCAAATGGTATTTCAATATTTGCTCAAGTGCGCCCTAATCGACTTTGTGTTAGATATCCAATTTTCTTAAATTGCTATTGGAATACTTGAACACGTACACGTAGATGAATCGATTGAACAAAAGCTTTATGGAAGTTTAGTTTATTAGATTTTAGTTAACCAAGATGATTCCTATAGACAACTTCTTCCACGACTTAGTCTGTCAAATCATCACTAAGAACAAACAGAAACTAAATATCGTTGCGAATAAATCAAAGAATTTTGAGTTTAAAAAATTAAAGAATCTGATGACCTTCTCGATAGGAAATATTAGGAAATTCTCACATTCTATGTTCAAAGAAAAGAAAAAAAATTGGATTTTCATGACTTGACACCAGCTTGTTGAAAAGCTTGTTTGAGACAACTGATAGATTTCGTCAAGGAATTAATTCAACAAAGGTTTAAAATTCAAAAGTAATTATTGTGCTACTGAACATATTTTCTCATAAATCTTTGACTTTCTTCTTTTCTTTTATTTTTAGATGGAAAATTTCGAATCAGTGAAACAATTTAACAATCATTGGAAACGGAAAAATATTTTTTGATGTCCTTTTTCACCACAGCATCTCTCATCTGATGTGTCGTCCGTTTGTGCTCGTGTTTAGTTTCTTTATTGAATAATTTTGTGTTACGCGTGGATAAGTTTCATTATTTTTTGATTTAATGCGCGAGATAATTTCTGCAAGGCTTTTCTGATATTCTGATTTACCACATCAAAGATTCTTCACTAAATTGAAACTATTCGATCATTTTTGAGTTATCAATTGTTGACAAGAAACACTCTGAATAAAGGTAAACTTTTGACACTAAAAATGTTTCTGTATAAACATTGTGAGTTGATATTCTTTGTCTCGATATAAAAACTTTCAAGAAAATGTTCAATGATGTTTAGACAAGTGCAAAGTCATACTTCGTATTAGATATCTGAAGTTTCCTATTGAGAGAATCGAAGCTATATATGTGTAGATGAATGATTCGATTGATCAAAATTTCGTTCATTCTTTACTTTAGTATCAAATGATTCGTCGTTTTTAAAGCACGAAACATGAAAGTTGAAAAGAAATTAAATTTTTCTGCATTCAAAAATTTTCTGAAATATCTTTTTGTGATTGTCATATCGATGATCGCAAGTAAAATTTTTCTAAAATATTACACGAATGAAGAAGTTGGTGAAAAGAAGGAAATTGTTGATGACAACGTTAGGAAATTTGCACTTCATAAACTTGACGATATGGATGAAAGATTTGAATCAATCGGTTTGGTTTTAACTAAACTCGGCCTGCAAGAAGTCAAACTCAACAATTCTAATTTTCATTACGATTGGGACTTCGTTTGGGGTTATTTTGGATGCAGTTCAATGAACATGAGTTTTAGTAAATTGAAACATCATCAGAAAATCAACCATTTTCCAGGAATTGCAGCTTTGACATTCAAGAGTCGTTTAGCATCTGAAACTGACTCAGTTTATGTTCCAAAAGGCTTCACAAACCTTCAATCTTTGAAAGAATATGCAAAGACACATCCCAACACGCGTTACGTTGAAAAATTGAAATCAAATCGTGGCGTGTCGTTGAAGAAAGTTGAAGACATCAATTTCAGTCGAACTGGTGACTTAAAAAATGAATATTTCGCTCAAGTTTTCTTGGATAATCCTTATCTAGTTGACGGACATAAATTCGATTTGAATGTTTATGTGGCAATCACTTCAGTCAATCCATTGCGAGTTTATTATTACTCAAAGAATTATCATTTGAGATTCTGTCGAAAACCATACAATCCGAATGACTTCACCGATCACTACACTTACGTGGTTGGTGATGGTCACATACCTGGCTTGGCATTCCCTGCAATGGAAAAATATGTCAATCGATCATATTTACTTAAAGATGCACTTCACACTTACTTCATTGAACACGATGTTGATCCTAACGTTATCGTTGCACAGATTGAAGACGCCATTAGCACCATTATTATGGAGAAAGAACCGGAAATAATTAAAACAATTGCAGCGAAAAATCCAACAAATGGCAAACATCATTTCTGTGAATTTTTGAGATTTGACTTTGTTCTTGATGACAACATAAAATTGAAGTTAATGGAAATCAACATGAGTCCGAATTTGAGAGCTTATCCAGCTATTCGACCTGTTAAACATGTCTTTGAAAATGTTTTGTACAACTTCTTCAATCTTGTGGGTGTGGGAAGTTATTTGAAGAATAAAGGCATCCGAGATTACGATCAACTTGAAGAAGAATTCCCTTGCCACGACAACAGTCTTTCGGTGATGCCAGAAGTGTGCATGAAAAGTCCATGCCATGATGAATGTGATCCAGAGAAGTGCAAGCTGTGTTGGCATTGCATGTCGAAAGAGTTTCAATACGATATGAAAATGGCGTACATGGAACATATGAACATGGGCGACTATAAGCGTGTCGTTCCACCACCAAATGTGAGTTGTTTTAGAACTTGAATTTGAAATGAAGATATTAATTAAAAACAAATTCTTATCTCTCTAGGATTTTCTAGTGAAAGCTGATGGACGTTACTGGAATAAACTTTCAGACACCAACAAATTGTACACCAAATGGGTGATGGAAATGTGCAAGAGAAATCGACATTTCTGTTAAATTCATTGATTGACATCAAATCATTTAAATTCTTTTAATATTTTGTCAAATGTTTCTTGCAACATTTATGAATAAACTTCAAGTCTGTTCCTTGATAAACGTTTTCGTTTTATTTATGTAGATAAATAAAGAAAAATTAAACAAACAAAAATTTTATTTTCTTGTTTTATAAATTTTATTGTCATCTTTTGCGTTTTACAGAACACAATTAAATGATTTAACTTCTTGATTATTTATTAATTTTTTAACACCATTCTGGATAAGCTTTGCATTTTTCATGGAACCATTTCATTGATAGTTGATTGCGAGGAGTCATTTTATTCAAATACTCGTCGTTGTAGTAAACATCCGAAGGGAAAATTCTTTTATAATCGCCTTTTCTAAGATGTTCAATGAAAGCTCGACGCAATTCATCGTAATTATCTTGACTCAAACACGGTGTGCACAATTCACAAACCTTCAAATTGCAGTTCGAATCACAATTATTGTCAGCACATGTTTTCGGATCAACTGCGATATTTTTCTTGGCGACGACCATTTCATATGCAAGTGGATCGTACCTGTAATCATGGATCATGTTAATTATTACAAAATAAAAACATTTCTTAGACTATTAACTGAGATTGCAAGTCAAAACTGCTTCCAGCTCCAAGCAACTTCAAAGTATTGAACACAAGTTGTTCCCATGTTCGAAGATATTTCTTCATAATCGGCGTGAATGGTGAAACCGACGGTGACATGTTAACTTCAGCAATATGCGGATCCATAGTTTCATTTATTAAAATGTCATAACGAACCAAATCAAAGAAGTGATGTGATGAGTTGAACAATTTGTAAGTCTTTATAAAAGAAGATAAAAAATTATTTGAAAATATTAAATTTATGTGAAATCACAAACTTCTCTCATCATTCCTGCTTCACTTCTCATAATTGATTCAACAAGCAAGTCGTCAAGTTTACGCCACATGTCAGTGATGTTCACACCTCTCTTCTCCATATAATTCATCAATGTGAGATGGTATGAGTATCCAAACTTCTCATGATAAGAATTCAGTTCAGGCATTTCATATAAAAGTCGACGCGTGTCAGAAATTGCATAGGAATAAACATTACTAGCATTAAACGGGTAATAAGGATCTCGACAAAATCTCAACCAAATGTCGCCAGTAAATCGATAAATTCTCAATGGATCAATTGAAGCAATGAAAACGAAAATTCCGAAATCCATTGCACGATCTTCTACCAAATATGGTTTCTCCAAAAACTTCTGATAGTAAACGTCTTTATCGTTAAATTTGACATCTTTCACGTTAACTAATTTGATTCCACGATTTGATTTCTTTTTCTCAACAAATTTCGTTTTAGGATTTTCTTTGACGTATTTTTTAAAACTTTCGATGTCTTTTGGGAAGTAAAAACCTGGCAAAATGTATTTAGAATCACGATTCATGCTGGCAAGAAAGCTTTTTGAAGTGAGATGATTAATTCCAGGGAAATGATTGACACGTTGATGAGGTTTTAAAGGAGTTTTGAGAATGGCGTCATACTGTGGAGATTTACTCATCACACCAGGGCCATAAGGAAGTTCATGACTCCAACAAATATCCCAATCGTCGCCATTAGTCCCATTCACATAATCATATCCAAAACGATTCCAAATACGTTCAAGCGTTCCAAGATTACGTTCTGGATTCCAATCATTAATCGAAATTCTCCAAAGTCGTGGCACTTTTGGTTGCAAATGAGAGGTTTGAAATAAATATGATGCTTTTATGTCATATCTGATGACCATCCATGCAATAATTGCACACAGGACACTGATGACAAGAAATAAAAAGCTTTGAAAATATCCACTTTTCTTGTTCTCATCTTTTTCTACTAAACGTTCACTTTTTCTGGCACCCATTGAAAAAATGTGACTTTTTTAGTCACAATTAGACATTCGAAGTTGTCTGTTCCGAAGTTTTCACGTAACTAAAATTATTAGATTCGACATGTGCCACTAATATAATGACAAGAAGAATTTCTCTTGATGCCACCAGCTAAAACAGAACATCTACTAAAACAGAATTTCTGTCACTTTGAAATGTCATAATAACTGACTTTGTTGGTACTGTAACAATTATTTTCAAGAATTTCTTACAATTAATTTCTTACAAGAATTTTTTGGGTTTTTATTTATTCATCAAAAATTATTGCGGCTATAAATAAATCTTAAAAGTTTTTGATTTATCAAAAGTTTAGAAAATTGAGGATTCTTCAATCTCAAGCTTCTGTTTTTGGTTTCTGCATCCAATCTCTGTTTATATGGAAAATTTGAAATAGCTCATGAAGCCACGTGACAGAACTTTTCATGACATATTTAGTCACATCCATTTGCACAACAGCTTCTCAACCATCTGTTCAATGTTTATATCAAATACATTCAGCTATTGGGAACACCTATTTAGGTTTATTTTCATAACTGTTTCATCTTAGACATTTTTATCAAACATCATTTGTGATGGAAACAATTTATGTGTCTGTTCAAAGACACTACTGACTTATTTACTTGAAATAAATAATTGATTGAACTGTTCGAATTTAATGATGTTTTCTCTCATCAACTTCATTGAAATTTTTAAAAAAAGAAAGCAATTTTTATTACGAAAAAATATGAAGCCGATCTAATATTGTAGAAAATCTTTCTTAATCTTCCACTTCAAACATCGCAGTGCAAAACAATCATAAAATGTTTTCAATTGATTTTATCACGTGACATCGAATGCAAACATAATCGTCATTGGGTTTCCCATTAAAAGCATTTATTTTTAACTAAATTTTGTCATTTATTATTAAATCGTTAAGATAATTTCCAAATAAATTTTGTGTTTTGAATGACATTTGGGGAAATAGAAGAAAAGACGAAAAACTGAAATTTTATTGGCTCATCCGCTTTCTTCTATCGTTACATTCTTGTTGCTGTGACAGTTATTTTCTGACGGGGAACACGAATGTGAATAACACGACGTCTATCACTAGGATGAATCAAATCCAATTGTTGCTTCCAATTATAATCTTTAAGTTCAGCGTGTCTCGCTCGACGGTCAAAGTAACTGATTAAACAACTTGATGGAATCCAAAAGAGTGTAGTTATGGTCACAACAGTCACTGGAGAGACAAAAATGATTATTTGTGGAATTAAATTAATTAAAAAGCAGAATACTCACTGACGACATTGTCACGTAAAAACCTGAGAACTTTATTGATGTTAATTTCCTCAATGATATCCCAAAATCTCTCAACAGCATCTTGAATTGTCTTCTCACAAATTCCTTTGTTGCAGAAGCCTTGGATGCACGGAGTTCCATCTGGTAGAATATCTGGTGGCTCAACTGCGAAGCTACATAAAAAATTAGTCAAAATTCTCCTAATTCTAACTCATAATTTACCAAGTTTCATTAATCGACATCCGACAACATCTTTTGCAAGCATCTGCAATGACGTCACACATGCAACTTTGAAGTCCTTGAGTTTCACACTGAAATCACAAAATTTTAATTAATTTAATTTAATGCAATTCATTTAACTCACATATGGAACGCATTTTCCACTTCGACATTGTCCACGTTCTTGGCAAATTGTTCCATCGTTCATTGGAGGTGATTTAGGACAATCAGCGTTACCTCCAGTGCATCGCGCTTCTTGTTCACAAGTCGCATACGCAGCTTCACGACATTTCACTCCAGCTTGCATAAACTGACAGTTTTGACAACAAGGTGAGTTTTTGTCACTACAAACAGCTCCTTGATTCTTCCGCAACTTGCAATTCTTGTCGCAACATTGATCGTTGTCTTCAGTTCCCAATAAACCAGCGTCACACTGTTCATCACCTTCAACACGAAGATTCCCACAGAAAGATTCTTCAGGTTCTGAGAAGCAACGACCAGATTTTGCTTGCAACACTTTACGAATTGATCTCAATGAACAAGGCGAGAATTTCTTGTTGTTCACGTCGTATCCACTAACTGAATATGTGTACATGAGGAAACTTCCACCTTGAGATGCTGATGGGGAACATTCAGGAATGTCGGGATCATGTTCACTTCCCCAATTGTGACCAAACTCATGGGCAGTCACTAAATCAGCTTCTCTCGTGATAACTCGCTGTCCATAATGATTTCTCGATGAACTTAATCCCGAATTCAAGTAGAGCGTGTAACCATTTTTGAAGTATTCTGTTATTGATGATAAAATATTTCAAATTATTTAACAAATTTGGTCAATCTTTGATCTTAAACAATCATTAAAAATTAACAACAACCTGGCGTACAAATGCCACCAACAGAATTTCTTCGTGGTGATCCAACGTAAGCTAATCCTAAAATTCCACCTTCAAATTTCAAGTCAGTAAATAAATGTGCAAGACAAAAATCTTTATGAGAATATTCTCGTGAAAAAACCTTTTTTAATTAAGATTCCAAATCCATGAATGCATTTAAGAGTTAAATTTAATGTTAGCAATAAAAGGGACAAAAGATGAATTAAACTCACCTCAAGAAGATTTCTAACATCCCACTTTTCACGTATCATATTGTAGTGAGCTTCACCTCCACGGACTTTTGTTGGTTCACTGTGAACGAGAATCTTTTTGATAACAAATCCCATTCCACGAAATCCATCAGCGTCGCGATCTTGCCAAATTGTGTCATTGTAAATTTTATGAACACGATCAATGAGACTTATCTGAAATACAAAGAAAGAAGAATTATTGAATGAAGTTTCAAAGATTTTCATGTACTCACCAAGTAAGAAATCGTCGTCTTTGTATTTGAACTTCCCATTTCTTGAAAGAATCGATAATCAGCGACTAACAACAACGGACAACGCGTCTTTGTTGGTGTGTACTCGTATTGATCTGCTTGGCGCTTTCCTCTGCTCTTATGTTCAATTTTTGATGGAATGTCATTTGATCCATAAGCTTCAGCATGAATTTCTGGATCTTTATCGTCTTCATCAGTTTCAAGTTCAGCCCCTTCTTTAACGTATCCACATTTTCCAGGTTCGAAATGACCGTCATGTCCTTCATGATTCTCCCAACTCAAATTAACATCAGATGCTTTGTATGTCACCATATGCTTATCTGTTGCTTCTGGGAGATGTCTCCATGAAGGTTCAATGTGATAAGTTTCATCAGGGAGAATAATTGTAGCTGTCAACACATTTCCATCATCGATATGTGCTGAAACATGCGAACTTATTTCACCAAAAACTCTTCCACGAAAGAAGCTATCACGATCCAAATGAATAATCGTTTCATTTCCTTCGGAATTCACTCGATAAGCTTTAAAATTTTGATGTAAAACTTCCCGATGAGGGTGAAGAATAAGTTTGAATTTCTTTCCCAATGCTTTAAACTCGACTTCTCTTATTTTATTGTGAAGATTAATACTTGGTTTCGTTCCTCTCTTGACAATGTTATGAGTCAAATCATCGACATGAAGAGTTTCATAATATTTTAGGTTTTTCCCAAGTTGTCCTAAGAAAAAAAGGATAAAAATTGTGAAAATTAATCAAAGCTGAAAGTTGATTGTTATTCTTCATGTTCATTATGAAATTTAAGTATTTTTATGAATTAAAATGTATAAATTACATACCATTCACTTCAAATATTGATAATAGAAAAAGAAATAAGAATTCGAAAATTTTTCTCTTCGCCATTGTTTTCCTTTTCGGTGTATTCAGTAAACTTTTGGTTTGTTTACAAATTTTAGAATTCAAGAAATTTAATAAAATTGATATTTAACCATTCCATACCATGGGTGATGAAAATTTACTTGAGTATTTACATTTTGAGCTTGTGGACTATTGTGTAAATAATAAGAAGGTACATTTTTAAGTTAAATTAAAGAATATTCAAATTCATGAAACTTTATTAATTTCTTTAAGGATGGAAATGATTCAAGTTCAGACTCAACGAAAATATCTACGTTAGAATATATTGGATTCTCGACAGGATATCGACTTATTGAACGATTAACTCGTGAAATGCCTCGATTTAAAGATGAACTTGATACAGTTAAGTTTTTGTGTACAGATTTTTGGTCGAGTATTTTCAAGAAGCAAGTCGACAATCTTCGGTGAGTTTAGAATTAATTAAGAAGATAATTTTATTACACTGTTTACATTCTATCTCTTTCTCAGAACAAATCATCAAGGAATTTATGTGCTACAAGACAATTCCTTCCGTTTCTTAAAACAAATCTCCAACTCTTCTCAATATTTAGAATTAGCACCAAAGTACGTCGTTTTCAGTTGTGGAATCTTGAGAGGATGTTTAGCAAATCTTGGTATACAAGCAATTGTCACAGCAGAAATATCAACCATGCCTAGCTGTAAATTCCACATTCAAGTGAAAGGTCATTAAGAAATTATTTTTTTTTGTAATTTAATTGTCTTTATTTTCTCAAAACAACGTTAAAAATACATTTTTTGTTTCTCTTTGAAATAAACAGTCTCGATTTAAGATATTCGACTTCTAATCTAGAATAACATAATTATGGCTGAATAAATCATTGAATTGAACTAAAAATCAAACTAAATACTTAATAAACTCACATTGTAAAACTCAAATTTTCATTTTTCTTCGATCAGCAGTTTAAATTGCTTGAAAACTTCAAATCCAAATAATCTTAAGTGAACAGCCTTAAACACATTATGTAATTTTCATTTTTTTTCTACTTAATCACTCACAAAATCACAAATATCTTATTACAGAAAAGAAACCACATCGTGCTGATTTAAAAAGTGTGGCAAATTGAAATAAAGAGAAAAACTAGAATAAGAAAAAATAAGATCAGGGTTTAGTCTCGTGACTTTTTCGTTTGTTTGTTCCTTAACATGATTGTTTGTTGTGTTCGTTTGATTAAAAAAAAATCTTTACATATTTACGTAAAAAAAACTAATCTAGAAAAGATAACTTTGAAGTTCGCATTTCATTTATGTAGATCACAACGAAAAAGTTCTTTGTTTGATTTGTTTAATTTGTTAATTCCATTGATCGATTTGATTCCATTTGTCCTGGGAAATATAATCACGACGTTTGTAAACTGTTGCGATGTAAAGAACAAAAATTCCAGCCAACAACATTAAAGTGATGAAGAGAAAAATTCCGGTGACACTGATGGAGTCGTCAACGTTGACATTTAAAGGCATTTGAAGCAAAGATAAAGCGCACTCATCTGCCAACTTGACTGGTAGAACCGGCTTATAAATCTCAAACATTTTATCTAAAGGACACGACGTACCGCAACCTGGCAATTCCAAAGGTTCCGGATCTGCTGTCGTGTTTTTATAGAAAACTTGCACTTGATAATCGTTTTCGTACTTTCTCAACTCAAACATCACCATAGCTGTGTAAGGTGGATTGTGATATCCCATTTTTTTAAACAATCCCAACGTGTTCAACATATTTGCTACTGTCGTGTCATGTGCTGAATAAACCCAATAATTTTGTTCAATCTTTTTAATCGTTTTATTCTTGAAGTGAGTTAGAATTTCCTTGAGCAACGGGCCGCTCTTCAAACGTGCCAAAAGTGGTGTGTAAGTCTTAACAGCAAATGACAGTCCCGATATTGAATAAAGTTGATCTGGATAAACTTTTTTCGTCCATTCTGGTAATGTGAAGTTGTAGATTTCTTCAATATGTAAACAGCTGTAAATATTCTGCACTGATTGAAGTGAGTTGATTTTCTTCCCAGAATATTTCGAGAGGTATTTGTAAACGGGACTAAACATTTTATCAAATGCTTTAAATTCTGCAGACTTGAGAAGCTTCTTCAACTCATAATCATACACGGGACAAGACTTCTTTGCAGCAAGAATGTCATCTTGTTTTTCAGGCATCGTGTGAATCGGAATCGGTTGCCAGGGTAAATTTTCGTTCCATATGTCGGCGCCTTTTGGTGGAAAAAATCCGCCCAAATTTGATTCAGCAGACATTAACGCTCGATCTATATCAGTTGATCGCACATACATTTCATTCTTGCTATACTTTTCACCAACTAAGCCATTGTATCGTTTTCGAAGCCATTTTCCCAGCTCAAAATGTTGTAACTTTCCCGTCTGTTTAAAAAATTACACAAGATAAGGATGAGCAAAAAAAGATTTCGTTATACTTTTCACACGCTTTGAAATATGTTCGCATATTGGAATTTGACACTCCAATGATGCTCATTCTTGTGTGTGAAAAGATAAAAAGGAAACGCTTTGGGGCAATTTTTACTCACATTTGTTAACTGTCCAAACCCGACTGGCCATAGTGATGGGTCTTTGTATGGATCATTCGGATAAGGCTCAACGGGAGTTCTGTCACCATGTCGAAAAATCTACAGATAAAAATCCGGAAGTTGTATTTACAATGTTGTAATAAAGAAGAATGAAATTTACTTACAACTTGTGCGAAAACTAATTCTCCTTGATCATTATTAATTGCAGCACCATTGCTTAATATGAAAAAATTTGTTATAATGAATAGAACAGCTGATGTAGATCTTCTTTTTAACATTTTTTAATCAGATATAAAAGCTACAATATGTTTTAGATAAAAAATGAAAAAAATATTTAATTAAATGAATGAAGTTAATTTTTAATGTCTTATTTCAGTATTAATGTCATTTTGTTTTGATCAACTCTGGACACTGAGTTATTAAATATTAGTCTTTCCGACAAGAACACTTCACTACAACTGGAGTGTCCTTAAATAAAATTTTTCCTTTAAGTTTGAACAGGTGCAGGGTCGCGCACGCAGGGATGTACAAATATTTTACTGAACACAGTGCAAATGTTGTTTACTGAACACACAAACCGAAAGTTTCTCCTTTTCTGGCGCCTTTTTTGAAATATTAAATTCTCTAACATTCACCCAGCCAATTCCATATCAAATCATTTTTGAGAAAATTTAGGTTTATTAATAAAAACTTTATTAGAAATGTAAGAAAAAATTAATGTAGAAAATATAAGAAATAAATTAAATAAAGAATTAAATCAAGAAAACAATCTCATCAGCGACCATAATTTGATTATCATTTGTCATTTTCTCTAAAGCCGCTCCAATTTCTCCTTGACTGAAAATAGTGTCTCCACTGTTCTTGTTTACATAGTCAACAATTCTTTGAACAGATAAACTCGAATCACGAGATTCACGGAAAATATTGTTGAGACCTGTTTTAAAAAGATTCAATCTTTCATCAGAAATTGTAATAGCAGAAGCAGTTGAAGATGAAGTTGAAGGTTCTTGTTGTTGTGGCTCGCGTGGAGTTGTGATTGTTTCTCGTTGTGTTACATCACCGGAATCCGGCTGTGATGAATCCAACAAGTCATCTTCTTGTTCTGGATCATGAATTTTTGTTCTTTTACTGCGCTTTGTTGACTCAGAACTTGCTGAAACACCGTCTTCCATATCTTCATCTTCAGACTCATCATTAGAATCATCTTCATTATGACGACGTTTTTTCTTTTCCTTCTCCAACACCTTTTTAAAGTAAGCATATTGAACAAGTTCAATAGCAGCTTTAGCATCTTGTGCTGTAACACTTTTCGCCATTCGAGCTTTAGCGTGTGCAGTTGACAATCGAATCAATGTTTCTAAAGTACGTGCTGTCACTGGTTGTGTTCTTGCGACATCCGATTCCATCATTTCCTGTGATCTCAACCGAGAATATTCATTTGAAATCAATTCACATGCCGGTTCTGATAATTTTGGCTTAATGCATTTAACAACGCTAATGTACTTTTTCATGAATTCAACTGCAAGAATTTGGTCAGATGCTTTACGTGATGCTCCATGTAACAATGGGTCATATTTTTCATAAACTGGCGTTTCTTTATCTTCCAATTCTGGATTAAATGTTGTAAGCATATCAACAGTGTTGTCACCCCATGTCAATACTTCACCATCTTGTTCTTTTGGATTTCTGTAAGGGAAAAATCATTTATTATTCATGAATGTACATTGCATGCTCGTTTTAAAAGATTTTTTTAAGCCTTGTTTTAAGCGAAAGAAACGTCGTCAGTCTGTTGCCATAAAAATGCAATTCTGAGTCTATTGCAATAAAATTCATTCGATTTCTCAAAACTAGGTAGGTACTAATCGCTAAAAACGAGAAATATTCACCTGTAACGATGCATTCGTACAACATGATCAGATATAACATTATCTAAGTCACTGTCGATGGTATCAAGCATAACAAACAATAAATCAAAACGTGATAAAAGCGAATCTTGCATGCCAATGTTTTCCATCGGTGTTTTGTATTGATCGTATCGTCCATAAACAGGATTTGCAGCAGCAAGAACAGAACAACGTGCATTGAGTGATGCATGAATTCCTGCTTTTGAGATAGTCACTCGACCTTGTTCCATAACTTCGTGAATTGCCGTTCGATCCATGTCAGTCATTTTGTCGAATTCATCAATGCAAACAACGCCACGATCAGCAAGAACCATAGCGCCAGCTTCAAGACGTCGTTCGCCTGTTTCTTGATCTGTAGTAACAGCAGCTGTTAAACCAACACCTGAAGACCCTCTTCCAGTTGTTGGAATAGCTCGTGGTGCTGTGTGAAGAACATAACGTAAGAGCTGAGATTTAGCAACTGAAGGATCGCCAATTAACAGAACGTTAATGTCACCACGCAAACGAGTACCATTTGGTAAATTCTTCTCAACTCCGCCAAGCAACAAACACAAAATTGCTTTCTTAACAAACTCATGACCATGGATCGAAGGTGCGAGACTTTTTGCAAGAAGCTCAAAAATGTCTTTTCGTTTAGCCAGCTTTTTGCATGTGTTGATTTCATCTCGTGAAACATTAGCAGTTGATTCCTTGCTCAATAAAGATACATGATTAGCAATAAGGATTGTACGAAATATTCCATTAGTATAGCCGCCGTATTTAGCTGGCATGCAACGAAAGTTGCCAACGATTTGAACGCGATCGCCAGGTTTGCATTTGTCAACAAGATCATCGTCGCAAACAATATCGACACTTCGTGGTAATTGACCAGCTGGAGCTTTTTCAGGCATTTCTTGAATCGTTATTGATTGATGATCTTTATACACACTCAAGCCATATTCAGTTTCAAGTAAATTTCCGTCTTCATCTTTCGTTGGATAAACGTTGCTTGATGGAGCGGCTTCAAAAGATGTTGCATCGGTGTATTTACGTTCAATAAATTTATTCGTAGCAGGACAATAATGAACAGATCTAACGACTTTCGGACGAACCAGTGAAACTTTCACAACGATTCCTTCGACACAAACAAGATTTCCCAAGAACTGTGATGTGAGTTGACGAGGTGTTACATGTTTATTACCAAAACTTCCTTCAAATGCGACATAAAAGTCTTCGTGTACTTTGCTATAGCCGGGTTGAACAGACGAAACAAAATCTTTAAGAGCTCTCGAAAATGCCAGCTGCTCTTCAAAAGCATTATTCAAGAGACTTTGTGCACGAACAGGATTTTTCCGACGTAAATCGTTTATGTTTACCAACAAACGTTTACTTTCCTCAGAAACCATTTTTTTGACTTGGTTGGTGTAGATTCCTTGATCTTCCTGTAAAGTATTTCAATTTTAATTGCTTTTTCTTTGACTTAACATTGTCCAAAAATAGATCACTTTTTATTTACCTCATCATCCAGGAAATCAAGATATTCTCTTTGTAAATCACGTAAATGCTGTTCGTTGTCAGTCATTTTCAATTATTTTCCAAACAATGGTTCTATAATTTATCGGGAATATTTGAAAAAGAAAAACTTTTGAGGGTTTCAACACAAATTCTTCAAGATTTGGCGGGAAAAACTTAAAGAGGGGTTTGTAACTGTCTATAATCCCTTTTGACAGGCAGACAAAAATTATTTTATTGCATCGAGATTAACCCACACTTGGTTTTGATAAAAATATCACTTAAGATTGTTGTAATAATTGATTTTTCGCATTAGTTAAATAAATTTAAACATAATGGCAGACAATTATGAAGAAATGAGTTGTTCAGGTAAGTGGTAAATAAATAAGTGACTTGATTTATTATCAATTTATCAAATTATTGAGTCATGTTTTCTGTGTGCAAGTTCATTGACATTTTTTCATTAATTAAATCAATTGCTTTCCCGTTGTAGAAGCAAAAGAATTACTTAGAAAATGGAGGGATGATAATGAGAGGAGAAGTGGTAAGATCATACATATTGGAACATTCTCATGATGCTCATTTAGTTCCATTACAGATGAAGTAGTTCAGATTTTCGATTATTGTCTCGCTGATAAGGTAAAAAAGTTGGGATCTGAGCGTCTTATAGTGTTAGAACAAGTGTTTGTGGCAGCTCTCGATTGTGGACGTATTAAATTAGCTGAAGATTGTGTTCGTGTTCTCATCTCGGAATTTCCAGAAAGTCTCCGCATAATGAAACTGAAAGCGATGTTGCTCGAGGCCTTAGAACGATATGATGATGCTCTCGATGTACTCGAGAGTATTATTAACAAGGATGAAACAAATGCAGCAGCCAGAAAACGCAAGATTGCGATTCTTAAAGCAAAAGGACAAATTTCAGATGCTATTCGTGAGCTTTGTGATTATCTGAGGAAGTAAGTCAAACATTTTTTAATTAAAAATAAAATCAATTAAATGAAAAACTTTCCTCATAGATTTATGTCTGATCAGGAAGCATGGCATGAACTCTGCAACTTGTATATGATGGAAGGCGATTATAGTAAAGCAGCTTTCTGTATGGAAGAAGTTTTACTTCACAATCCATTCAGCCATTTGATTCATCAACGAATGGGCGACATACGATATACGATGGGTGGACAAGACAATATTGAAATTGCCAAATCGTATTATGCGCAAGCGGTGAAGTTGAATGCTAATAATTTAAGAGCATTGTATGGATTATATCTGGTAAGTGACACAGCAATAATGAAATTTTAATCATAATAATTCAAACTTTCTTTTCCCCATTAATTTAGTGCTGCGGTCACATCGTAAATTCAAAAGCTCCGGTTAACAAACGAAAAGAAGCCCAAAAATTATCCACCTGGGCTTTGAAAAAAATATCAGAAATAACGAATGATAAACTACCACGATCAACAAAGTCATCAAAGAATTCTAATCAATCTAATGACATTGCAGCCCTCGAAGCGGCCTTCGGTAATTTAGATGCGAAGTTAAATTGATTTTGATTGCTTATCGAGTTGAAAAACACGAGCGTGGTTTGTTGCAATCTTTATTTAGGCGTTAAGGGCATTTAATGGTTTCATCACTTCTCCTTGTTGTTTTCCTTTTTTCCGATAAAATTCCATTGTTTAGTAAAATTTGAAATTGGTGGTGAAAATTTTTTGATTCTTATTTTTTGTAGTAAATTTTGTTTCTTGAAAGTAAGTTTCAAGAGAAAATAAAGAAATCACAATTAGTAAATATTTAGTTAGATAGTCGAAGTGCTCCGCTATTTATAAGCTTGATTATAGCTCAATCATAATAGCTTTCCACCCACACAATTTTACTCTCCCCTATCAATATTCCATTTGACTTATGTCGACTTCAAGGCATTTCTTTACCATTAAGACAAAGGTGTTTTATTGTTCATCATAAAATATTTTCTTTTGTTTGCTCTTATGCAATTAATCATCATACTTATAAGCGAAAAATAAAAATGGGATGTTGGAAAGAAAATTAAAGAAACGATTTTTATCTGCTTTGGTTTCAATAAATTTTGGAAGCTCAGAATTTTATTACAGAAAATTTGTTGTTTTAAACTGACGTTTATCCTAAGTAGGTCACCACGTCAAGTGCCGTGAGATTCGTCTGCTCTACTTTATCATGTGACCATTAAATATTTAGATATTTAGATAAACCCAAAGTCAAATATTCAAATTCAGAAGTTTGAGTTCATTTTTTATTGTAAAAAAGAGATAAGAAAAGTTAACATTAAAACATCTTAAACTTTTTTTACAATTTGCACCACATCTTCGTCATTTAAGACATGCTCAATTCCAACTTTCTGTGGTTGATGTTTAACACTTGATCCCCAAACGAAGGCTGTTTTAAATTCTCGAGCAATTGAACGATGAAGTTTGTTACAAAAGTCTTCAACCGTTGTGCGACCAGCGGTTAAAACAACTGGTGAACTGTAATCAGGAAGTTGTCCTTTAGGCTTTGTGTAGATTCTCACAAGCTGCAAATACTCCCACATCATTTCAAGAAGATCATCAAAGTTCCAATGATGATGAGCTGAGATAGGTACGCAATGAGGGATTTTGTAAATAACGTCCAACTCTTCGATGCTTATTTGATCGATTTTGTTTAGTAAATAAATGCACGGAATATAGATGCGATTACCCTCAACAACATCGATTAAGTCATCAGCTGTCGCGTCATATTTAAGTGTTATATCAGCATTATGAATCTTATATTCGCTCAAAATCGTTTTAACAGTGTCAAGATCGAGTTCAGTTTGTGTGACTGTCATGTTTAGATTCACGCCTCCTTTATCCTTCTTTCTGAAGTAAATATTTGGCGGTTGTTTGTTGAGACGCAAACCGAAACCTTCCAATTCATGTTCAAGAAGTTTCTTATGATGAAGTGGTTTTAATACGTCAAGAACCATGAAAATCAAGTTGCAAGTTCGAGCAACAGCAATAACTTGACGACCACGACCTTTTCCATCTTTTGCACCTTCAATAATTCCAGGCAAATCTAAAAGTTGAATTTTTGCTCCTTTATATTTGATGCATCCAGGGACAGTTGTTAACGTTGTGAACTCATAAGCAGCAACTTCTGAATAAACGCCAGCAAGATTTGAAAGGAGAGTCGATTTTCCAACAGATGGGAAACCAACGAATCCTACACGAGCATCTCCAGTTTTTGCGACCTCAAAACCAGCTTCGCCAGTGCCTCTAAAACAATAAAAACAAAATTAATTTTAAAGTAAGAATTTATTTCGAAAGTCTTCTAAAATTCTCACCCACTACCACCTTTAGGAGTAATTAACTCTCGCCTCAGTTTTGCTAATTTTGCTTTAAGCAATCCTAAATGGCCCGCAGTAGCTTTGTTCTTCTGTGTTCGTGCCATCTAATCAATTATTAAACATTGTTACAGAATTGCAAAATAGCTTAACCTTAGATAATAATGAAATGGGGATAAACCGTATTTAGACTTTTAGAATAATTTTAATGCTCACTGATATTTTTACAAACTTATTCGAAACAGATTATCTTTTCATTAGTCGCAATTAATGTCCTTTTTATGTAAATTGTCTGGAAAATATTATGAAAAATTGGCAAACTTACTTCAGCTTCAATTTGCGTGATTTTATCAATAATTGTGCTCATCTTGAGTTTTTATTGATATCTTGAGTTATAAACTTTTATATTTACAGTTTTTAAACAAATAATATGTAAGATATTTGAATATTTTTAAAAAAACTCAAGTTGGAGAATTTCCTCAAGAGGAGATGGTTAAAAATTCTGACAGACGGACATGGACGATTTTGTACATGAATATTGCTTTCTGTAGATATTTTCAAATTCCATAATTAACGATTCTTTTTCTTTGGGATATTTTTAATAATTTTAATATTCATCGCCACGTGATTCATAATGTATCATTAAATAACTAACTATCAGACTGTGAAAAATGTTGTGTAAGACTGCCGGTCATTATTTTGGGTGACTTAGAATATAACAAATATTGATTATTCACTAAGCAAATGATTAACTAACAGATTGAATACAAAATTTTAATTAACTTGAGAGGTATTTATTTAGATAGTTCATTACCTCATTCTTCAGCTTCACGATAATCTTCCATTCACGAGTCGTTACAGAATCTAAAATCAGCATAAACTCTCAAAACAAAAGGAATCTAATCTACATAGCTTATTCGTAGGGTGCTAAAGAACTTTTGATTATGCATTAAATTTTCAATGATGAATTGCAAAATTCAAAGTTTTGTTCAGTCTTGATTTTGGAAAGCAACAAGTATTTACTCGTTGACGGACAAAATCCTTTTCGCTTGACATACTTCATGTACTATGAAACAGCAATAACTGTTGGGGTTCGCTTTAAGCTGTAATCCTGCCTTTCTCGGATTTGTATGTTCGAAAGTTCTTGTCACAACAAATTAAAAATGTTTCTAACCAGATTTCTGGTTTAAAGATATTTAATCATGTTTTATTATATATAATTGCCAAATAAATACTTAATAATGCTTATGTAAAAATATTTAACGTGGGATATCTATCTGAACATCTATGCATTTGAAACGAAAAAGTTTTCCCTAACGTTTTCTAGAAAAAGTTTTATATAATTGTCTGTTTAATTTACCCAAGGCAATTCTTAATAACGTCGTAACCTTTGATAAATATTTCAGACCCTGGGTTGTTCAGTTTCGTAAATAGATGATAATATACTCTTTGGAAATTTGTCAAGGAAGTCCCTAGATCGAATAAAATTTATTAGGAAAGATGACTCATGAAATTATTGTAAAACTTAATATATTGAGATGAATAACTTCAATATTTTTATAGGAACGATGATTAAGTTTTCTGAAATACATAATCCACATAACAATTTTTCTTCTTCCAAGGAAATGAAAAATCTTGAATCTCTTTAACATACATTTATTCTTTATTTTTTAAAGCTGAGAAACATAGCTTTGTGTGTACTTCCTAGGGAGAAAATTAGATATTCGAAGTCGTAAGAATGAAAGAAAGGAAAAGGAACTGAAACCACAAACGTTCTCACCATGACAGAAAATCAATTATAAAAACTTTCACAACTGTCAGAAATTTGACAATCAAAGAATTTTACATGATTTACAAATTACAATACGTGTTTGTGTTATGGAATTATTTACTGCTTTTGGGGTTCTTGAATGTAATTTGAAATTTGATATAGAAATCTTGAGAAGTTTCAAGGATGTTTTGTCTGATTTCTTTTAAAGAAATATTTAATTAAGTATAATGCAGCTTTTTCAGAAATTTGATATGAGTTCATTGGCATTTCAGAGAGAAAAATATCTTCTGGTTATATTTAACAAAACTTAATATCAACTTAGATTATGATAAGATTAAATAACCATGGTTTGTCCACGTTTGAACTTTGAACACATGAATGACACTAATAGATATTTTAGATAACGTAAAATTGTATAGAAAGCTTAAAACAATTTGAAATTATTGCTTTCAATTCCAGCAAGATTGTAAATGAAACCGAATGCAGACACCCATTTTTGATTAGCTTTTGAGCTTTTTCGAGCTCTTTGACAGCAGCTGGTACATATATCAATAAATTTTAATTTGGGTTAAAACAGAAGACTGCTATCGCCATTTGCTGGGTATCGAGTCTTGCTGGGAAGAATTCATTCTTTTATTGTCAACACGATGTTCCAAACAGTAGCTTTTGTTGGAATAGAATTGTTTGATGATATACAACATAACACCATCTAACGTAGAATCAGATCTAATTAATGTTAGACTAACATGGTTCCATTAAACCCATTTAGATGCAAATAAATTCAACTGATGAGATTTCAATTGCCAAATAATTAATGAATCAGATTAAGCCAATTATTTTATTTTTTATCTCTTCCATTAATTATCTTCCGTTACTTCTTAAGAATAAAGTTACAAAAAGTTCAAATGTAACTTCAAATATAGAGAATTATCAGATTTTATCAACTTAGATAATTAAAAAAGGCTTTGTCCAGATTTCACCCTAGAAGTCAGTAAAAAAAGTCTCAAGATTCTAATTAGGGACTTCTCTACGAATCGAAACACAATTAAGAAAGAAAAAAAATAAATAAAATGGAAAAGTCCCTCCATTCGCCTCATAATGAGCCAAACGACAGAAGGCATAATGTTGGAAAAGAAAGCAGATGAAATGAAAGAAAATCATCAGTTTAAAGCAGCAGTGAAAAAGAAAAACGTTTTCCATGTGCTTCTCAATGAGAGTTTTACTATACAAAATTGAGAAACACAAACACAGAGCGGAAAAAAGAAAAGAAAAAGGAAAATCTCTCATGAACTCAGAAGTTGAAAAGCACGTTGGTCTTCAGTTTGCATCAGATTGTGTTACGAATAAGTTCGATTGATATTTCTCCTTCTTACCTTTAAAAGCTTTCACCAAGTAAAAGCATGATCCTCTCGTGTAATTGAACTCAATTAGAGAATGAAAATATTTCAAAAGCTTCAAAGGCAACAGCAACCAAACGCAAAAACTCTTTGATGTGAGTGAAATCAAATAAACTTAGACAAATATATGAAGTGAATGTATTAATTATTTAACAAAACAGGCTTACTTTGTTATAAATAAATAAATAAAATAAATGGGATTGCTAGGCAAATTTTAAATCCCACATTTAAGAATTAAAAACAGAAAGTTTGAATTTCGATGTTCCATCAAACAAATCATAAAGTGAATCATAACAAAAAAAAGCTTTTTATTTAAAAAAAAATACACTCGGTTCTGCATTGCTTGCACATCAGTTTATGAAAGGTAAGTTTAATTTAAATCCTTTTTATTCATATCTGGAATTCTCAGAAGTATTATGAAAGTAAAAAAACAAGCGTGCATGTGAAGTTGAATTTAAATACTTTCTTGATTTCTTAATTAGCATTCCGTTGCAAACTTTTATTGTGTTGACATGTGTAGGAGGACAGTTCTCTTCAGTTTCTCCTATATAAACACGTAAATATCACAATGAAGTTATAGTTAGTTATCACAGCTGAAAAAACCTTCAAGCAACGATGCGTTGAAACCCAAAACGACAAACAAAGTATTATAGGAAAATTTCAAAGAGAAAGCTGCTAGCTCGTGCCGTTATTGTTGCCTACACAGTTAAAGGAGCTCAACTTTTGTTTTTCATACGAAACAAAAGCAAACAAATTACGAAAAGAAAAAAAGCAATAAAAGACTCATCTTCCAACTAAACCAGACTAGATTGTGGAAATGTAAACACTTGCTCATTGCTTCAATGCGAGAAAAATCCTTGAAAATATTCCGATGAATAAATTTCATGCTGCAAGTAAATGTGGATAGATATTTGGTTGATTCTCTATCAAACCGAAACGAAGATTTTCATTTTTCCCTCCCCTCACTTTTTCCATTTTCGAGCGATGCGAAATTCTTTACAAGTGACTTCGGGCTAAAAAGAAAATCGTCTCAGACGATAATAAGAAAAAATATTAAGTTGGAAAAACGAGCAATGAGTGAAGAAGAAAATCACTGTGACTTTATGATGAAGAGGATTTACCGCTTTTTTCATTAATGGTCCTTTAGGATTAGGTATACTTGAATGTTGAATGTTCTTTTCTCATCGCAAAACTTAAAGTGATACGTACAAGAGCAAGTGTTTAACAAGCTGCTGAAAAAGAAAAAAAGTTAGTTTTTATTTGCTGACATTTCCTCGTAATCGGAAGCTTCATTCATAAAAAGATGACGAAGAAAGTGTGAAGCAATTGTAAAAGTTTCCGTTTACGAAAAAAGAAACTTGTGGGGTTTTCGTTTCATATGACGTAGTCATGATATGTTATGACATAGATTATCATAATGAGAAATACTTTCAGCAATTATTTCAACAAGCAGCTCCCGGGTAAAAGGGGAAAACACATTTTCATGCTTTAATCGGAATAGTTTCCTCTGATAACGACGTACAATAAAATCATTTGGTTACTGTTGGAATTTTCTGAATATAAATTCTCGATTAATCCTCACATAATCATCAAATATAGCTGAACTTTTAACCACGCACTAGATAACTGATAAATATATAAACAAGACTTAAAATTTTTGATATTTACGAGAGGGTTTTGAATTTTTTTTTATCAAATTCAGTAAGGAATAACAGAAAAGCAAAGAAAAAATTTAATCAACTGAAAGTATCTAAAAAGTTTTATTGCCACAGCAGCTGCTATTTACTTCTGAGGTCTTCATGGAGATTATCACGCAAACACTCTTTAAGATGATTCCATTTCGCAAATTGCATGAAATTTTCTCTTTTTTTGTGATTTATGTGACATTTCTCATAAGAGCGATGAAAATTTGTGAATTAAGATTGCTATAAAGCTATGAGTGAGCGAGAAAAACAACACTCCACTGCCCAAAAAAACTGCGAAGTTGTGAAGAAATTCATTATGATTCAATATTATTATTAAAAAAAGAAGAAAGCTCGTAAACCTTGAGATTAAGAAGATGATCCTAGTGCAGCTTATTAATTCAGATTGCGTATAAAAAGAATTAAAATCTTCTTATTTATCACATTACGGAACTTTATGTCGATAAATTCTAAAAAAAAAAGCCAGCATGGTGCTAAACATAATTAGAAGTTGACTTCATAATTACAACAAATCTTAACTTTCCCAGAAAGAAATTAAAAGCATTTCTCCCGTTCAAGTTTATTTTCATTTTCCCGGTCGTTGAGTTTTTAGACGCTTTTGTTAAGCTTCGTCATTAATTTCTTCACGAACAATTTAAGCTTGCTCTAAGCAAAAACACTACCGTGATAGTTTTCAATTATTTTGTCATAGAAAAGCTTTTAAGCTTGGTTCTTCAAAGTACGCCATAGAATTTTATTTCGTTTATATTTCGAAATGTTTAAGAATTTAGATACATGGTGAAAGATAGTAAATTAATTTTTCCGGCCACTACGCACTTCTCTTATCATTCCAGAAATGATCTTACATTTTGCACATAAAGATTTGCATAAAAATCTTTTCAATTTCATGTTGTGAATTACTTAATGTAATCATGACTTCTTTGTTTTCATTATTCTCTTAAATATTTTTCCTTTCTTCTCACACAGAAATTCTCATCTCTGCTATCAAATTCGACAGCAACAAAGAACGAATAAATCACTCTTAGAGGTCGTAAGACGACGCTGCCATCTTCAACACAATGCGTGAGTATTGAGTTTCGATGTAATTAATCAAGCATGGAAATAAATCCACTTGTTGACGTTTCTTATGTTATTTGAGATGTTTGAAATGTAAGTCTTGCAAAGAAGACTTGTTTGTAAAGATATTTATATGATAAATTGGAAATATGGGAGAGAAAGCACATTCATAATTAGACTTACGTAGGTAAAGGTCAAGTTGATTTCTGATTTCATAAATTCACTTAATCTCATCGATAGAAAATAATAAATAACTTACGCTCACGCAATCTTATTTTGTTTACTCAATTAATACTTAACAAAAGATTGTTTTTCTTCTGGTTTACGAAAATACATTTTGCGCCGCATCTTTTTGGCTTCAGTTGAAATTTTCAGATTTATCACGAGAACGCGTTTTTTCCGTGTCATGTGGTTTTTTGCTCACATTTTCATTCTACACCTAAATTTATTTTATGATACAATTGTTGTTGGAAGTTCTTCTTATCGCTAATGAATCATTAAGTAAAATTAAAAGGAAGGCAAATGTCTAAACGGAAAAAAAAGCATTTGTAATTCGTTGAACATTGTACTGTAAATATTTTGCTTATAAATCTACAAATGAAATGAAACGTTATCAACACCTGTTAACAAACGTTGACGTTGAATTAATTTGTTTCGTTTTTTTCTTTATTTTTTTATTTCCAGTTCCAAGTGAACCAATTTGGAGTTTGGACCGACATGAAACGGGGGATTTATTTTGGCGACGTGACTCATCGAAAGTGAAATTTCGTTGCGAGGTTGAAGTGCTTGAGTTTATTAAAGATCCTGAAGAAAATAATGAATATTGGGCAAGAAGACGAAGACGACGCTATCATCAGAATGAGGGTGCAGCATCCCATCCTATTATAGTGGTGATTACATGCGTGGGCGCAATCGTTATTACTGTCCTTCTTCCTTGGTTTATGATCGGATCAAATGTTGTCATCGATTGATAAGATAGCCAACAGAGTTTAATAAACTGCTGTGATATTTTCATAAATGTACATTTTACTGATGTTCGTCGTTTATAAATAAATTTAGCAAATAATCTTTTAAGTATTTACAATTACTGAGATGGTCAATAAATAAATTATTTTGCGTTTTTATCACAAACCAAAAAAAAAACAAAGCATAGAAAAGTTTCACGTTGTTTTATTTGCAGTTGTTGTTTCATTTAATATTAAGTGCAACTTATAAAAGAATTAAAAACACATTAAATTTACTTCTGATTCAGTGAATGAACTTGAAGATGCTTCCATTAGATGCATTCTCTTAACTTTCTCAACAAAGAAATGTAAACAACACAAACGAGAGATAATTCACAGTTCATTGCATTTGAAGTCGTGACTTTTTCATCACATTCAACTGAGAGCGGAAAAATTTATTGTGTGATAAGAACGTGATGTGTCTATGTATGCTCCATCCAGCAATGTCGCTCCCAATTAAAATAAATTAAATGAAATTGAAGTTCTCGGTTTTTTTCCTTCTTCAATTCTCATTTTCACAACACGAAATACATGTATTGTATGTGACTTCAAGTCTCTCACAATGGAACGTTAACTGAATGACTTACTAGTCTAAAATTCACATTGCTCAAGAGAAGAGACAAAGCCTAATATTCATCGAGTGGAATTTCAATTCGAAGACAACAATTTAAGATATAGTCGAGATTATTTAAAATTCAAAGCATGAACAAAATATTGAAAATCGGTTTTATTGGTGGCGGCAAAATGGCACAAGCAATGGCAAAAGGCATGATTTCCGCAGGTCTCAATTGTGATTTCATTTTTAGAATACAACTGTTGATTTACGCTTTATGTTGTGAATCAATTGAAGAAATTTGTGAAACGAAATCTTTTCATTGAACGTTTTCTTAAAAATATTTATTTATGTTTTCACCTTTGACATTCAATTGAAAAGGACTAACGGAGAGTAAGCACTTGATTGCTAGCGTTCATCCATCAGATAAAGCATCGCTTGAAGCATTTAGGGACTTTGGAGCCGAAGCTGTCACTAACAATCGATCTGTTGTTGAAAAGTCTGATGTGGTTTTCTTATCTGTGAAGCCAAATGTTGTAAAGACAGCGTTGACTGACGTCAAAAGCATATCCTCTGGAAAATTATTTGTGTCGATTGCTATGGGAATAACTTTACAAGAAATCGAAAAAAATCTGAACTCTGATTCAAGAGTAATCCGTGCTATGCCAAATACGCCTGCAATTGTGCAAGCAGCTGCATCAGTATTCGTTCGTGGTTCGAAAGCAACGAGTCATGATGCAAAACTAATTCAGACTCTCTTCGAATCTATTGGAACGTGCGATGAAGTTTCTGAGTACATGATGGATCCGGTGACAGCACTTTCTGGCAGTGGGCCAGCATATGTGCGGTTTCATTCTTATTTGTTTTCCACTAATTACTGACAAATTTTCACTTATATCGTCTTACAGATCTTTGTGTTAATTGAAGCCTTGGCAGACGGCGGCGTCAAGATGGGGTTGCCAAGAGATTTAGCATATCGATTAGCATCTCAAACAGTGATGGGATCAGGGAAGTTGGTCATCCAGTCTGGAATTCATCCTGCAGTTCTCAAAGATAACGTCACATCGCCAGCAGGTAGCACCGCAAGTGGACTTCATAATCTTGAGAAAAATAATTTTCGAAATGCAATTATCGGTGCTATTGAAGCTGCAACTGAAAGGTGTCACGAAATATCAAACACTCAACCATGAATCTCAAATCAATAGAAAATAATTATCGGACTAAAGCTCTACGTTTTACATCGAAGAAGTTATTAAACGAAGGAAGAACAAATACGTGCACATACTCAGTAAAATATAAAAACAAAAATGATTTTTTTGAACGTCATTGAAGACATTCCAATGCCCTTGATACACTTGGCTACAACAAATATAAAATATAATCGTACGTGACCCTGAAATTGACATTGTTTCGCAAACATAACAACCACAATCGTTTTCATTCCAACAAACTTTCTTCGCTTTATTATCTTCTTTTTAGCTAAAGTATAAAAAACAAGTTTCTCTCTCTTTTTTTCATGTTTTAATATTTATCTAAACCTTATCAACATAAAAAGTTTTCATCAGTTAAATATATGTAATAAATTTAGGCAAATTCATTTCATTCCTCGTATTCTTGACTTACGCATGAAGTTATTTAATTCGAAGTGATTTATTTTGGAGACCTTGGATAAACTATTCGAATGTTTTTTTCATAAGATAATTATCAAATATGTTCATTCTATTTATATAATCATAAAATCATGGTACTACTTACTGCCCCTGAAGCATAAAAAGTTTTCCACTTATGTTTATTTTATTGTGTTTAATCACAGCATATTTGTTTACATCAAAACAAAAATATTTTTATAAATGACTGCAGACAGAAGGGATGGAAAATTATGAAAAACGACTTGTTACAAATGAGAACGCAAAAACCATTATTTCGCCTTGACCGGAAAATCGTAAAATGTTAAAAAATCATTTTGTTATTTCTATTTCTCTCTCCTCGCTTCAATGCGGGAAAACTGATTTAAAAAAATGCTAACAAAACTTTTTTTTTATGAAGAAACTCGCTTTATCATCAGGCTTCAAATTTGTTACGCGTGACTGAAAGAATTTCGTAATAATCTACGAAGGCGCATTGACTAAAGTCCAAATATTTCACAATTTTGTCTTTTATATAAATTCTTAAATTTAATTCGAAGGCATAAAGTGAATTATGTATACATATTTAAAGGTCTTAAACAATAAAAGCTCAGATGATTAACCTAAGTTTGAACCAAGTATTAACCAGGGTAGTAGAACAGTAACCGCAATTGCGCAAAGACATGTCGCACAAACCACCAAAGGATGAGAAATCGTCTCGTTTCGGAAGGTGTTTGTAAGGTCGCCATTCACAAGTATCAGTTCATCTTCAGCTGGATCTTTCACAAATTCTAAAACTTCAACTTCACATCTGAACTTCACTTTTGACGCTTCTCGCTTCCAGAATAAATGTCCAGACTCGCGACGGTCAAGGCACCAAATTGGTTCTGGTGGCACTGAAATGAGTTAATTTTGTCTTTCATTAATAACTTAATATGAATAAAATGTTTCATGAATTATCACAGAAATATTTCATGCCATGTTGCTAATGGAGTAAATATTTACTTAACAATCTCAACATTCTCTTGTCTATTTAGAATTTTAACCTTTATTTAAATAATTTGCAGTCAAGTTTCCTCTAACGGAGCAAATAATTCAATGAAATATTATTTGGGTTTGTAAGTCGGTGGAAATAATCTTTGTAAATAGAAAAACTTTCCATTTAACTGTAAAATATTGTGACATAATTTATCAATTTAAAGATTTGAAGTTAACTTTGACAGAATTAGTGAAGGGATAAAAGATTTTCCGTTTTCTATTTTTCCTTTCCTAAATTAATCTGAAGGTACCATTTAACCCTTCTTTTAAATAACCAATAAGTTTGACACGCTTACAGTAAAAAAATAATGGAAAAGGAGAAAAATTTCTTCAGGGCTTTTTCTTATATTTGTATGCGATACCTCAACTTCATCTGTCTCGTTTGCTAGTTTATTCGAAATCGATGGAGCGTATAATCAAATCGAGAATGAGATTTGGTATAATCTTAATAAATTATTAACGATGTGGTGTGGGGAGAGGATTAAATAAGCTTGTAAACTGAATTTGATTCTTGAAATGGAAAGATTCGTATTGATGCCCACATTGATGATGTTGCTAATTAAAAATGATTAAGGTTTAGTCGGCATTAAATCATTGTTAAGGTATCCACGTCTTGGTAGGTTGGTAGGAAAAGAAAAATGGAATCAATGATTAATTCACAAGTGAATGTAATAGATCACCAATCGACATATGCCACACCGCATGTTCTCCCGATAAAAGAAAGCGAGAAGAATATCATAAGCAGACATTCAAACCCCAATCAAACGATGTCAAAATCAACAAAAGTTTGAAGACAAATCGCGTGGGTGGGTATCGAAGGCAGATTCCGACGAACGTGACTTTTACTGCTTGTGTCAAATTTTCAACTCATTTTTCTTGATCCAGGCTCATTGTGATGCAAAATGTTGTGTCAACAAGTGGAAATCTGTGATATGTTTGATTAATTGAAATACGCACACATTGTTCCAGCTATAGTCATTGTTAATACGTCCTTTGTGCTGTCTCTTTCTCGTGATACGTGCTGTGATGACAATTGAATGCCTGAAAATGGAAAAAAGGGGTTGAGAAATCATATTTCGTGAAAAACAATTGAAAAGCAATTTGTAACATGATTTTTCCATTTGTGGAAGGAACGGATAAACGTGAACCAGAATGGCAAAGGAAAAAGCGAAACTTGATTGATGTGAATGACTGTAAAAGCTCTTTTTTTCATGCACCAACAGTCTCAAACTTTTCCCTTGCTTTTGTTTCATTCTCTATCTCTCTCACACTCTTACTTAAAATCCGTTTAAACCCTTTTCTCCCTCCGTAATTTTAGAGTCGAACACGCGTCGCATAATCACCCCACCCAAGGGGCCAAGGGTGGCAAATAAAAAGTTCAACGAAGTACTTTGCTTCGATAAAAGGTTCATTTAATTGCTGCTTTTTTATGGAATCGATTTTCTATCCATTCTAATTTCATTTTAACATGGGGAAAATCAATTCAAATTATACAAAGAATAATTGTTTTCGACACTTTTTCAACCTGTGGAAAAAAGTGGATGCAATGAATTTTTACCATACATTACAATATAGTTAAAGGAAATGGAAATGCATAAAACAACATGAACATGTATATAAATTGACATCACTCAATCATTCATCGTTTGCATATGAAATTTCTCAATGTGTGTAAAAAAAACACGAAAAAAAATGGAAACGCTTGGAAAAATAAGCATAAAAAAGTTGTAAATGTTGTATATATTTTATGTATACTTATTTTAATACAAAATGGAAGAGAGTGCCGTTAAATTACATAAATATCTATAAATTATAAACATCATATTTATTAAAAGTATTAAAACTTATCTTACTTAAAGTGGATATGAAAATTTAAGTTTATTTAAAAGTTATTCTTCCATAATCTAAAATGGTAATGCATGTGACCTGAATTATGGGATAAATTCATGCAAAACATAATGTGTAAACATAAAGAAATGATATCCTTGATTAAAATGTATATTCATTAATATCTGCTTCAGACTTCAATCTGAATATTTTAAGGTGCGGTTGTTTATTAAAAGCTAAAAATTCTAATCAAAATGACTTCTTTGCATGTCAGTTACGCTACTAACAATCCCACTAAAATAAAAGTGAGGCGAGAGGTATTTCTAGAGTACGGTAAACATGTTAATTCTAATTTTATGTAAATGAGGCAAATTAATTTCTTTGATTAGAAAAAAAGTCAAGAAACTTTTATTTGTGCAGTTTCAGACTTGAAAGCGTTTTTATATAATTTGCATCATATTAGTGAGCTTTATTAACCATCACGTCATGAAATCGAATCAATGGAGAAAAAAAAAACTTTTAATGCATTAAATTTTTGTCAGAATTTAAGTAATGTTGTGTTGCTAAGTGAGTTAATTTTTTTTCTCTCATCAACTGATTTATAAATATTCGAAAAATTCTGTCAATTTTAATCTTTAAACACTTCATTTCATTTTTTCATTGACGTCATGATTAGGGTTTCACGGTTGACAGAAATCGCAGTAGATCACCGGGGACTTGATGGCGACACTTTTGATATGAAGTGAATTAAGATGTATGAAACTTTTTCTTGAATAGAAACATATAAATAAGCTTTTCCAGTTTAATCACGAAGGAAATTAAAACTACAAAAAGCTTGGAGAACCCTAGATCAACTCAGCATGTCTATTCATTCGTTCATATAAATCCTCAACAAAAAAAAATATCGAAAAAGTAATTGAAGACTTAACAGGAGTCTCATCAAATACTCAAACTTTATTGCAGAAATTGCACAATGCTTGAATTGAATTACAACTGAGCTTCTATTTAGCTGCTAATATTATCTCATAAATCTTTTTCGTACATCGTTTGGAAACAGCAAGAAATGAACGAGAATAACATAGAATGAAGCAGGGAGAAGGTTTTTCAAGTGGAAAAGTGCTTTGCAAACATTTCTTGATTACCATAACCGAGCACTTTCTCCTTCCAACATTTTTCCTTTTTTATTTTGGGGTTCTCGACAATGAATGTGAGACTGTTTAATATGATTGCAGGCTCCACATTTTCAATTTGTGTTGATTTACATTTATTCTTTGTTTACAAATTATGATCTAAAAATAGGATTTGGTTGTAAATTTAGGAGAAGGCAAAGAGGAAAGAAATAAATAAGTGAAAATTGCTTTTTCCATTTTCCTTGCAAAAAACAAGTCTGATGGCAAACTATGAAACGTGTTTAATGAAGTATTTACTTCTTTATGTGCTTAAAATATAATCGCAGAAGCTTTCAAAAGTCTACAAAATATTTATAAACATAAATATTACGAAACAAGTTAATAATAAAGTAATTATCCTAAAAGGCATTCATAATGAATATTTGTTAGGTTGTCGAACTTTGTCCTTTTTAAATATGACTATGAGTGAGGTCATTGAACAATTTCAATAAGTTTGTTTACTTTGGATATTTTATTACATTAAGAGATTGAAAATGAAAGATATCTAGGGGGGAAATATTTCAATTTTAATCACGATCTGAGATACTTTTTTAAGCTTAGTCAAATCAACGTTCTACAAACATTTGTTTACTTCATAATGGACACTAATGATGTTGTCGCATATGAGCAATCAATTCTTGCTTTCAAAGGCCATCACTCACTTGTTTGTTTGCTATGTCAATTTTTATTTCTTGCGAGCACGCATTTCATTGAAAAATTAACAATTTAAAATTGCTTGTGACTGTATAAACTTGCAAATTATTTACAATTGATATCTTAATTTCCTTAATGCTATCGTAAACGATAGGACAAATATTTGTAAGCCATATATTAAAAATGTTTGCTAAATGCCTCGTGAATGTCATTCAAATTTATATCGATAAGCTTGTTTGCTTTATGCTTTTAGGAATTCCATGGATATAATAATGAAACTCTTCCAAAAAGTCGGAAAAAAATTCTTTCCTTCCTTTCAAAATTGTTTTATTTATTAAATCTTTATCCCAAATATAAGTCGCTATATCTTAGATCAACAACGACCTTCAACTAAACATGAAAAATAATATTACGGAAGTTTGACGAAAAATGTATTGTTGAAAATTGACTCTTTAATATTTATAGCTGCAAACAAAAATTCCCTCTCGGTTGCCAACAATAGCACAAATCTTTCATTTGTTACACGATTTCTCGAGAGTTAAAAGAATGAAGGAGACAATTGGAGACAATGAAAAGATATTTCGGGGATCGTAAATTGCTAGATAATCTCGTTATCATAGAAATTGTTATTTTCCATCGCTTCCTCTATCATGCCGACGTTCTTCATACTACAAAAATGAAGCGATATTTCTTAATCCACATAAACTTGTTTTTCTTACTATTTACGATGAGTTATACTTTTTTTGTGTGGCGAATCCGAAAAGTGCTCGTTTGAATTTAATTTTGATTGTCATTAGGGGGTTGAAACGAACTGTAAGAATATAAGTTCATTCCCATTGCGACCTTAACTGCTTACTTAACTTAAACAAATGAATGTATGTCCCAATTTCACCCTTGGTGTTACATTTATTTTTATATACATAGCTCATTGTTATGTGTTATCCAATTTCCATGTATTACCAAAAACTTTTATATTCACTACATACATATTTATGATCATTCGATGTTACCGCCCTCCCTCCTGCTGAGCCAAAGGTGAAAGAAACTTTCAATGTCGTTAGAAAGCGAATGGGAAAAGCGACAGGTTTGAAAATAATGTTTGTATGTAATTTAGAACGCAGAAAAGGAAAAGAATTTAAAAGATTCTCACGTACTCGATGTGTTTTATTTATGAATCTTTCATGAGAATTCCACGAAAAAAATTTAACTTATCAACGACCGTTTAATTACGCAACGAGAACATTCCTTCTGTTCTTAATGCTTGTCATTTTCGAAGGAAGAATTTGAAATATTTTAGGACAAAATGTAATTAAAAATCTTATTGGATTTTCTTGACTTCCTTTTATTGGAATTTATGACTAATTTGCAGAGAGAAGATTTTTGATAATGAGAATTTGTTTTGTTCTACACTCTCGACGACAACAAGTTGGCAATAAACCATTGGTTATCTATTTTTGATGACTTAAGCACGTCATAAATGTCTCAAGAACCCCAAAATGATTGTACGTTAATTTCTAAAATGGAATTTTCCATACCGAACAACATTAAAGAAAACTTTCCATTCCTAATGATAATGTGGAAGAGAAGGACGAAGTCTTATCTATTAAGATATTTATTTTTATTTATTTTTAAGACACACACGACACATATTGGTTTCATGTGCTGTTTGAAAAGAAAAATATATGTACAAACATATTTATTTACTTGAAAATCATTTAATAATCTATCACTCATTCTATATCACACAAAAACAAAAATATTATTAAGACATTAGCTTGAAAATACGTCCAGTGATAAGGGCACAAGTCATGAGATTTTCTTATATTTCGTAGAAGAAATGTCAGCAAATATTTTTTTTAAGTACTTCTCGAAGATGATGAATCGACACAGTGGCTTAAGATAAAGAATCGACGACAAATGATAAACATTTCCGTTTATTGTAAGAATATCTAAACGTCCTTCATTAAGCTGAGCAAATACCAACAAGAAAATCTGTTTATTAGGAGGCTCGACACTTTGTTTTTATTTTTCTCTTGTTTTATTCGTAATCTTCTCTCTCATTTTAGCTTCTGACCGTTTTGCTATTTACTCCAACGAAATAAAAAAAATATCAATTCACTAAATTGAATTGAAAGAACCTTGACGACCACCTAAAACGAAGCAAAGTCGCAAAATCTCCCAAGCGCGTAGTCACGAGTTCCGTACAATGAAATTCAATTAATTTAAATTCTTTAATCAATTCGAGAACTTTTAAAAACAATATTTTTAACGCTGACATTTTAAGTCATGTGAATAAACAAATATTAATTGTCATCGGTCTGTTTATGATATTAAATAAATTTGGGAATGAAATCAGCAAAATTCAACTTGAATTCGCAAGTCAAAAACAAGTCTATTGAATGAATTTCTGCGATGAAAAGGTGAACGTGCAGATTCAAGTATTCAAATTAAAATATTTTCACTTCAACTACCTAAAAACCTTGAGAAGTTATTCCAAGTGAAAGTGTACACAGTTATCGTTTCATCGCCCTTTTATTTGAATCTCAAATCTCAATCCTTAGTCGAAAGAAGAATCATGCTAAAAGGGTTTGATGCTTTTAAAAAAGAAATCACATAAAAAATAACTACACTGTAGTCGGGAATATTTTTTCTTTTGCGACTTTAAATATAGCGTCAAAGCACTTAATAACATTTGCGGGAGCTCAAGATTAAGAAGAAAGAACGAGATTTCAACGCAGAAGCAAACGAAATATATACAGAGGCGAAAATTATATCACATTTATGGAAATTGTGCAATAAATTTATGAGAGACAATTTCTATGGAAATTTGCAATGTTTTTCACCCAAGAGAGTGAACTAAGAAGCACCATTAATTTATCATAAAGAAGAAGAGCTTCGAAAACTGTTCCAAATAAGATCAGCTGACATAAAGAAAAATGGAAATTGACTTAAATTTACTTTTCTTTGATTTCACCCTCGAGCAAACCGAAGGAAGGAAATTTTTCTTGAGATGAAAGCAAATGAAAAATTTTATGAGTTTTTACATCTTCATGAAGCATAAATTTTCGACATTTGATAAAAATTTTAGGGGTAATATCGGAAATCATCAAGTGTTAGTATTCTTTGTGTTTCCATCAATCCATCTTGGAGTTTATTAAAGAAGGAATTTTTTATTACCTTCCTACTCCTAAATTGTTCCTCATCTTTCGGATTGAAACGAGATTTCATTTTTTCAAATCGCTAACATACCAATTTCCCAACATACAACCTAATAACGAAAAAAATGTATTTAAATTTCCTTGAGCAGTTGTCAACAATAAGGTTGCGTTGAAGACTTTGAGCTTGTTTACCGAAAAGAATCATTCGTCAAGAAACCGAGACATTAATCGCACAACGTTACATTTTTTTCACCCACTTTGTGGAATCATGTACAAATGTGACTCCATGTTAATTACCTACCTTTAATAATTCTATTTAATTCTTTGCAACCAACGCCAACCAACCGGTTCTTGTTCTTTCCTCTTTTTGTTCAAATTCAATGTTTTCTTGTTTTAGTGTGTTGATCTTTGTTCGCTTTTTGTTTTACTTTTTATGATTCGATTTTACTTTGTGCTGATAACTTTCGCTATCTACGATGAGCTCATTGCCATGCTCCAATAATTATAAAAACTTTCACCTTTCAACTTGCTAAGATGAGTGAAAAGATTTGTTAAAAATATATTTTCAACTCCTACACTTTTCTTTCTTTTACTTTATTTTATTTCACGAAATGTTATTTAGTCAATGTAAAATAGGATCTGTTTGAAGTTGAATATAAGAAAACGAAACTCACTGAGAGAACATAAAATAAAATTTAATTAAACTTTTATTCCCCTTCAAGATTTTAGCAACTCATTACATAGAAATTTAATTTCGTAAATGAAAAATTCAACATAAACTGAAAGATAACTTGAATAGACTTCTTCGTCACGAATCGTGATGTGAACTAAACGTCAACATGCTTTGAACTTTTATTTTTACGATTCCATGAGAATATTTCTCCGGCTCTCCGCGTGCAATTGTTGTTATTTTTCTTTCTGGAAGCTCTGCTCAGAGAATTTTCCGCTCTACCATTTGTTGATTCGCATTGTATGTTCAAATATTTTGAAGATAGATGAATGTGTATATGAATGAAGGCTTTGTCAATGTCTATAAATACATTTAAATTTGACAAGCACTTCGATAAATCGGTGAAAAAATCCTCTATGATTTGATTGATTTCTTTTCAAATCCCTTCAAAGGATTTTTTTTTATTCCAAGAATAAATTTTTACAAAATATTGACTTTAAATTTCTTATATAAAATAAATTTATTATAATTCTTAATCCTATTACATGTAAACGTAAGCGTTGACTGACAAATTGTTGAAATTTTCATCAATTTCCTTCATCCTTCTTAACTTCCTTTAGTTTTAAACCTTAACAACATTATTAAATATCTTAGTTCCGCCTTTGCTTTTCTCATTTAAATAATTCATCATCAACAGTCACAGCAGTTCCTTTTCCTTGTCCCTGTTGGAAGAAATTTAATTAAGTCTGAATTCTCTTTATGTCATTTCTTTATCTTAAACCTACCATCACAGAGGGGCATTTTAATTTAGCTTAATGTGTCGCCTTATCTTATGCTTTCTTATCATTTGACTCAATTGTTATTCTATCGGTTCGTTGGAACCAATCATTAGCCAAGGTAAAAGTACGGTCACGGCAATAGCGCAAATACATGTAGAAATTACAACGATCGGATGTGACGTGTCTTGATCTCGAAACGAGTGAGGGTTATAGAAGTCTTTTGATAAGAATACTTCTTCCTCAGGATAACGTTCAAATTCAAGAACTTCAACCTCACAGCGGAATTTAACTTTTGATGAATCACGACGCCAAAACGATTGTCCGGAACTAAGCTCGGTTTCCAAACACCAAATGGGATCTTCAGGCACTGTCAAGTAAGAAAAACAAATCATTAATCACAGATATGACGCTTTGATCATCCCTCATGCAACCCTCATCTGTTCATCAATAATTCAAAAGTTTTCTAGCACAAAGTTTCTCACTCAACGCAGACAAGAAATTCATTTAAAAATCTTTTTTTTTTCTACTCTTTTAGTTATCAAAATAAAAATTTTATTTAGAGAAAATGTGAAAATTAAAAAGAAAAGAAAATTTAGCAGCTTCAAGTCATCAATAATAATTGTTCTTGCGGTTTCATTATTGCGTAAATTTATCATTTTGGGGATTGTCTCGCTCGAGTTGTTTGCTTTTGATGCGCTGCCAGAAATGAAAAACCAGACTCGACACACGTAGCACTAAGCGTAGAACGAATAATAATAAACAAAAGGGGAAAACGGAAAAACAACAAATAGTGAAAAATTATTTTTGCGTGTTCCAAAAATAAGAATAAAACACTCAAAGTCACTTTTTCTTTAAAAAAGAAGATTTTCTTGGTGAACCCTTTTACGAAATGTGTTCATATGACTTATCGCTTGCTATTCTCTCTTCATACTCAAATATATTGATGAATTGTACTGTCAGTTATGAGTGAGAGGTTTAAAGTGAAAACAAATTTATTGTTTTCCAATATGTTTCATAAACGAGACACTTGGGGACAAAAATTGGGGATAGCTACGTGTAAAGTTGAACATACATACTAAAATACTTACAGATTGCTTCTACAACGGTCATTGTGATTCCGAAATGTTATAGATACTGCTTATCTGAAATGAAATCACGTTTGAGAAAAAAATTTACATTAATTTGTATTCCAGGTACATATTAAAGTCCATCAATTGATGGATGTGACATGTGATAAAATATAAAAGATGCCGTTCGCCCAAGAAAGTGGATAAAAGCAGTTCAATTGAGTTCTATGAGCGTCAGGTATTTGCAAAAGAAATTTTATAGTCTCAGACGCAAAAGAAACTTCGTATGGTTTTCACGCTCAATTAGATCTATCATCGTATCTAACAGTTTCGTTCCACAAAACTTTGCACTGCGTAATCGTTTTTTTTTCAAGTGTCATGCAAACACTTGAACACTCGAAGCATTTTTTCATATCAAACAAAGTTTAATCTGTTTATTTGATGAGAAATCTCTTGACTTTTAGTTAAAACGTGAATCAACGAGAGTTCAAATAAATCAGTACGTTTACATTTCACATTTCTCCTTGCAAATTCGGGTCAAATGATTTCCAAAGTCCAATTAAACAAATAAAAAATTCGCTCAAAAATTTGTTTATATAAATTTAACAGATGTTTTGAAGGCAGAAATGTTTCTAGATCAGACGTTGTACAAATTAAACAGAACCGATAATGATCAAACTCTTCTAAACACAGTTGAACGGTGAAATAAATTCAGACTCATAAATCATCTGTCTTTATGACGACTTTGCATGTTTAAAGGAATTACTCAATATTGATAACATTTACCAAAATCGACGTTTTAGAAATTTTTAGAAAGGATCAATTTACTTAACTACTTTTCTATTGATTATCTTAAATTTCACCGGATAAGATAATGATGAAGAAAATATAAAACTAGTCAACTAATAGTTCAAGAATGTTAAACTCAAACAAAATTGTTTTCAATAATAACGAAACAACAAAGTTCACAATATTTTTTTATAAATTATAGACAGGAATTGTTGATCCTTTTAGGTAGTCAACAGCTTTAAAAATAAGATTTTAGTTGTTTTCATAATCAACACAAAAAGAGAAAGAATGAAAGTCATGGAAAAATCATTTTTAATGTTTGATAGTATCCTGAAGAATTTTCATTGGATTTGGAATGTAATCAAGTGGAAATCTGATTTTTTCTTGCTCGATCTACAAACAATACACAAAGGTTGAAAACTTTTAGTAAAATCAACTATGAAAAGGAAGCTGTCAGCAATAAGCTTCAAAAAGAGGGAACAAAAATGGTCCTGAAATGACCTAGACTTCGACATGGCACACACTACAAATCCTCTTCTACATCATAAAGTTACACAAACTTTGATCCTTTTTTTTTTCAATCTTCTCCCCGATTTATTCGTCCGAAAATACCCTCGATATTTCTTAAGACTGATTTTTTCTCCATATGAGATGATGGAAATTTGTATTCGAAGAATTTCTCTACTCAGGAAAATAAAAAAGAATTTGACATAAGAAAGAATGAAGGAAAGAACATGTCCTTGTCCCTCATTTGAGACAGCTTATGCTTAAGAAAAAGAAAAAAAGAAGAAACATTTACATTCAACTCATAAATAATTTCCTAACACATGAACTTTGGAATCTTCTTTTCAAACGGTAATTTTTTTAAGAATTAAACGTCTTTGAGTGTTTACATTACTCATTCTCCAACAAATTCCACTGAATTAGAATATGACTCTTACTCTTTTTTTATTACATTTTTGTCTCGTTTTTCTTCAGACTTTCTGCAAACTTTTTTTGCTTTTGCTGAACAATACAACGCCTTTAAGCGTCATAAATTTGCTTTAAAACTTTAGCAACTTCTTGATTTTCTCCCTTCTTTTCTTTTATCTCACAGCAAAAGCGAAAAGTTAAATTGTAAAGAAAGAATTATAAAGTTTAATTATTTTAATGTCGACAATATCCGAATCTACAAATCATAAACTTTTCCTTTCCATTTGACGCTTGTTGGTAACAGTTGAAGGATAAGTTGGTTGAAAAATGAGAAGACATTCTTAAATGAAGTCTCCAGACGATCGAGAAAGTCGCTTAATTTCTTTTTCTTTCTGACCGTAATAAAAATTAAAAAACAAAAATATTCACCTTGGTTAAAAAATTCTTCTTTAATTTTTTGTCCACGAGATGTTTTTCACAAATTTCCACAATATTTTTAATATGGATCCAAAAATAAACTTCTTGTGAGTCACAGTGCGGATTGAAAAAATATTTATTAAGTTTTTTATTTAATTAAATTAAATAACGATTCGGTCATAAACGTATTAAATGTTCATAGCTTGGTTTTCCACAAATTTCCCTCTTGGGATATCTTCTAATATTCCTTTTTATGATTATTCTTGTTGGTCACGAAACTATTTTCAGATATTCTTTATATTTTTCTTTATAAAGGCCGCTCGTAAAGTATTTCTGTCTTCACTGCAATGCTGTCATGTGTAAACTGAGAATGAAAAGTTTCATTCACAAGTTTGAAGCTGAAAAATAAAAAAAATTCTATTTGAGTTTTCGCAGAGAGAAAATGAGATGAAGAAGCTTTTTGCTCTCTCATTTAATTAAAGAAAATCTTATTTTTTGAGAGAACACTTTTCGTTTCTACCGACTCACAATCAAGCACAATGTTCAGAGTTAAATGACTTAAAAGATATTGCGGTAAAACTATTAAAAGCAATTTTAAGTGATTTAGAAATAAAATGTTTTATTAAAAGTTACAGCACTGCATGAATTCATTCCAATGATCAAAGAAATAATTTAAGCTGCAGTTTTCTTTATTTTTTTATCGCTATTTTGCACGACGTTTTAATAATAATTCTAAATCATTCGTAGCATTCTTTTTGTCAGGATTCTTAAAGTATAATGATAAATTAAATGATGAAAGACCTTTTTCGACATTCATAATGTAATCATGATCATCCAATTTAGAAATCTCATCATCACTTTCTTGAATGGACTCGGGGATAAGTTTTTTCAGATCTTCAACAGGAGGGTATGCCTTATAATTTAATAATTTACATTCTATTGGCCCTAAACATTTGTGATAATTATTCGCATGATAACGTTCTTCATCTGTTATCTTCTTGTCGTTGTAATGAATCAAATTCGGCATCATAAATATTGCAAACATTCTAAGTTGATGGTTACGACTTTCCGACAGTTCAGATATCGCAGCTTTTGGAGAACTCATCATTGAGAAGCATTTTAACGAAGGAAAAATTGCTGAGACTCGAAATATAAAAATCCCTAAATGTTTTATCTTGCAGAGATTGGCACAGAAAATTTCAAGTGTCTCAATTCGTGGCAACGTTTCGATATCAATTTTCGTGTTCTGGTCCACCACCAAGGACTTTAAAACCTTAAAGTGTCTGAGAAACTTGAAATCGATTAACCTATTTGCTGTCAAATCAAGATACTTGATATCATGTCGTAAAAGTTCGACCAGAGAGTTCGGGAAACATTCCATGCCTTCGTAAGCGAAAGAAATATTTCCATTGATAATTTCATTTACGATAAAGTCGTCACATCTGCAAAAATTCAGAATAAAACATTATTCATACATCAAATATTAACATTTTCGATGAATTTTAACTTACTCGTATGAGCCCAAATCGCTTTGAAAATAAACGTAGTCTCGAATCATCTGTTGATAATGCGACTTTAGTTGGAAGAAATCTGCTTGATGACGCTTTTTAGTCCCAAAGTCCCTGAAATCAACATAAAAGTTTCCGGAATTAATTTTAATGCGAGGGAAACCAACCCAACGAGTGATTAAATATTATTAAAAGTTCAACAGCATTACAATCTTCATTACACACCAAAGTGAATTTTTAAATGCTTTTTCAACGGCTTTATTGTTTTTAATGTCTTTATCATCAGCCATGCTTCTGCTTGTATCATCAATTTTTATTCCAAGTTTTATACGATCCATAACTCTCTTCTCCCTTGATAATTAGGTATATATTAAATTAACAACAATTTTTTCACGCCTTTATCAATTGATGATGCACTCTTGTTGGAATTTAAATTGTAACTGATTTTTCAAGACCACAGACAATGAATTTTAAAAGTGAAATTTTATGCGAGAGTAAAGGATTCTCATCCCTAATTATTTACCTACCTGAGATGTTCAAATTTAATAACTTCAAGTAATTAAAAGAATGATTCAGGTAAATTTATCAAACATTTTCCCCTTTAAAAATCTACTTCAAATTTATTTATGATGGCACTTAGTTATCACACTTGGAAACATCATTGAGAGAACAAAAATAGCAAGCACTTCAAAATATAACACAACAGTTGTTCATAAGGTTAGCGATTGTATTTTTAAACAATTAAAGTGATAAAATAAAAATAAATTCATCATGACAATCGAGACTTTTATCTATTACAAATTATCATCAATGACAGAATCAGATAACAAATCCAAAGCCACTAATTGATTAAATACTTTACAAGTCCATAGTTTCATTACTAATTCGATACAATTGATCACATTTTTTGATATGGTTAGTCAGGGGATGTTTTCTGATGAATTTGAGGCCACAATGACAAGAAAATTGTTTTTCTTGTGTGTGTGTCTTTGTGTGGAGACTGAGTGAATCTTTTCTTGCGAAAGCTCTCCCGCATCTGTAAACGAAAATGTACTAAGATTCAAGTGACATGCATTAAAGTTAAATGAACTTACGTCTCGCAAATAAAACTTCGTTCTCCCGTGTGGGTTTTAATATGAATCTTTAAATCCGACATTTGAATGAACTTTTTTCCACAGAATCCACAGCAATAATTCTTGAGGCTTTCATCATGAGTCTTCAGATGAATTTTCAAGTAATTTTTGGTCTTGAAATGTTTGTTACATGTTGTGCAAAGAAAACTTTCACATGAGTTGTGACTTTTCATGTGAACATCGAGATGAGTCTTCGTAGAGATTGACTTCAAGCATATCTCACATTTGTATAATTTCAGCCCTAAGTGATGATTCTCATGGTCAATGAGATTCTGTTTACTGTTGAGAATTTTCGGACAATGAGAACAAGGAAAGCTTTTCTGTTTTTCTTTGAAATGAACTCGCTGATGTGCTTTAAAATAACTTCTAATGACAAATTTCTTTGAACACACTTCACAAGTAAAATTGTAAATTCCAGTATGAACTGCTGAATGTTCTTGAAGTCCAATTTTTGATTTAAATGATCGACAACAACTTTGTACTTCACAAACATATTTTGCATTATTTTCAGAGTGAGTTTCCATGTGCATTCGTAATTTGTAATTCGTTCTGAAGAGTTTATTGCAAACTGTGCAGATCTTTGGATTCACTCGATTGACTGTCTTATTTTGAATGAATTCTTCAATTTTTCTATCAATGACATTATCGACGTTATTTCTGTCGCTTGGCATGGATTGACAAGTGTCATCGAAGTCATCGTAAGTGAAGCTATCGTCATCATGATTTGTATCAATGTCAAATCCCACATTGCTCTGCTGTTCCACTCCAAGGTTCTCAATATAACAGTTGTCAGTGTTGACTGCTGGTGATTTGCTTGACAACTCAATTATTTGTTCAGGACATGAACTTTCAATTTTAATTCCTTGTGATGAGGTTTGTTGAACCATACTTGGTGTTGCTGGTGATAAGGGACTTATGTGAGGTTGTTGTACAATTTCAAACATATTTTCATTAGGCGGAATGTTGCCTAAAGAATGAGATTCAACGTGACTTTCTGTATTCTCATCATCAAGAGCCAAATGCAAATCATATCGAAATTGAATGTCATAATCTTGAGAATTCTGTACAATTGTGGGTGGTGCTGAAGATGTAGTATAGAGGCCATCAGGATTATTATACATGTTTTCTATTGATTTTATTGGCTCCAGTTCAGGAGTATAATATCCACTTTGATTATTTTGATCATAATGAACAATTCCATGAAGTGACTTTACAATATTGGCAAATTCGTGTTGAGCTCTTATGGAATCAATTCGAAACTGATTAAAACAATTAAGCTTAACATCACATTCATTACAGATAATCAATGGGAATCTGGGATCATCTTCAATCTAAAATTAAATTAAATTTTATTTAAAAATAAATCAAGGTTTATGAAAATTCAAATTCTTACGATAATTGATAAGCAGTCTCGTATTTTATCCCTTCTGATGACATTAGAATAAACTGGAATTCCTAGAGAAGAGCAGTTTATTAAGCAAAGACGACACAAATCGCTTATTAATGACATTTTTCATAATTAGATTGAAACCAATAATTCTTTCTTTTACATATTTGTAAACAAAACTGGGTGACCCCTTCAACTCTACTTGAAGTTCTACTTGGTAGATATTTGTGAGAAATTTATAAGAGTTGAAAGAGTCACCCTGTATTGTTGACAAAAAGTTGTGATAAATTTCTGTTTAATTTAAAACCTCGTTATTGAAATGGAACATGTAATAAACGATATAAAACAGAAATTTCTAAGTGGAGTGCCGATTGACAAAATTGATATTAATGTAAATCATTTTATAATTTAATTCGAAAAAAAACCTAATCAAAGTTTTTCAGACTGACATGCTTTTTGATTGGAATTTACAGGAATTCTTAATTAAGGAAACAGTTCTAAATGACCTAAATATTACATATCCTCTTAAGGTAGAATATCAAGTATCGTTTCTTAAATATTTGTTAAGAAAACTTCAAGAACTTCAAATTGAGGAAATCCATGATGCAATTTATGAACAATTAACAATTAAATTAAGAGAAGCAAACTTAGAATATTCTTATAAACACTTTTTAATGCAGGACAAAGGGATAACAATTAAAGAGTCAAACAGTTTTGTTCGAGATGGAACAACAGGATTAAAGTTATGGCCAGCCGCATTAGCTTTGTCAGATTTTATACTGCAAAATAAATTAAAATTCAAAGATAAATCTGTATTGGAACTTGGATCTGGAGGCACAGGACTCATCGGGCTTGTTTTGCTTAAAATGTGTGAACCATGCAAAGTTTTTCTCTCTGATTGTCATAATTTAGTTCTTGAAAATATAAGCAAAAACATTTTAATGAATCTAAAAGATGTCGAAAAAGAAAATTTACAAAACTCATTGAGAGTTCACACTCATTTAAGCCTTGCAAACAAGATGAAAGAATTTGGAATTCTCGATCTAGCGTGGGAGGATATAGACGCATCTAAAAGCGAAATCCTTAAACTTAAGCCAAATGTTTTACTTGCAGCTGATGTCATTTACGATGTCTCAATTTTTGTGCCACTCATTAAATGCATCAAAGAAGTTTTTCAAATAGCAGGACCTTCCTTGGTCTTTTATCTTTCACAAACCATCAGAAGCATTACAACATTTAATGAATTCTCCAATTTATTGCGAGAAAATAACTTCAAAATAACTAAAATTGAATTTATTTCTAAACATTTTTTTATAGATGAAACTTCAACGGAAATTCAAATATTTGAAGTAAAGTTGAATGAAAAACTTGTTCAATAAAGTTGGACGGAGAAAATAAAATTGTACCGAAAATTTACTTGCGATGATGGAAAAAATTTTGTAAATTGGTTGAAACTTCTGCTACCGATTGTTGATAATGAAAATATTTTATTGCTCATGAACAACTTTTTCAGCATCCCCAGTAGCAATTTTTATAACTTTAGCTGTATATCTACTTCAGTTATAAGTATGTAGGTAGAAAATTGTAAAAAACGTTGTCTTCTTACAAATTTAGCAGCATTTCAACACAATTTATTAGATACCAATCTTATTTTCTATTTCCATTTCTTGTAGAGAAGATAAGCTCAACATCAGCTATAAATAACTCAGGAAGCAGATCTTTATCTAATCTTCAATGAGTTTTTTAATTCCCAATATTTTCTTTCACTCACACTACCACAATATTATAAAACTCAACATGAGCCTGAATAAATATTTCATGTAATTTAAATCGAAAAATTATTTGCTTTTTACGAGAAGGAATTCCTCAAATATTTCTGGCCTCTGGCAAAGCACAAACAAGAATTCACTTTTTCGGTGAACTCGACAGAGAGATGATACAAGAATAAAAAAGAAAATTATTATCCATTCAAGTTGAAATGCCGTATTATTCATGTGAAGCATTTATGTCTTCATATTTTCATAACTCACAACGATTGCTGCTTGTGAGTAAGTAAACGAATGAGTGGAAGGGATTTATTGATGCTGCCAATTTGCTGAACTGAAATTGAATTTGTGAATGCTTCATTTTCCACTTCACCCACGCTTTTCCTCATCTTTCGCACGCCCCCGATTTGCAAACATACATATCATTATGCTTTATTGAATAGCATTCGAATTGAAATTTATGTCTGTTTTCTGTTGAAGCTTTTTCAAGCTCTACGCGAGTTTTTATTTATTATATAATTTTTTTGCAAACGATGGGAAAATTTACAGAGCATAAGCATAAAAAATCATTCCTCCGCATATTGATTTTATTTGCTTACATATTATTCCCTGATAAGTATTGTTTATATGTGGAATGGATTTATTTAAATACACATATCAACAATGAGACGAGCGACGTCTAAGAATTTCATTGTGTAAAGCTTCGAAGGATTTCCACATTACATCAAAGAAGTTTTCAAAAAAATTCAGAAGTCTCATGAACACATCATGTTCAATCAAATGTTTTATTGGATAACAATAAAAGATATATCGAATGTTTGTTATTGGGATGTGATGTTTAGTTAAAGTTTTCTTGTCATTTTATAATCAAACCAAACATTTTCTTGAATTTATTGCTTTAGATCCAATTCTATCCAAAGATAAATTTTTAAAAATCAAAACTCAAGGCGAGACTCTAAAAAATAAAAGTTATTGATCCAAACTATCTTTAAATTAAAAATGTTTATTCTTAAAAAAGAAAAAAGTTAATAATTTAAGTGTGGCTATAACAGGACTTCAATATTTTGGATATCACGCACATATTCGTCGAGAGAAACATTCTTTTGTTTCTGTCCAATTTCTCATGAGTCATGAAACATAAAAATAGCATGAATTGTCTATCTTGCTGCTGATTCTGACCTTTATTTCTTCTATCATTTTTATGGTTGGATCGACATTGCAATGGTTTTATTGATTTACGTGACCTACGACTGGTGCTACAAACGTGAACTTAAAATTCTTCTCCAAAAACTTTATTTTTATTCTGTGATCATGTTGAGAAATTGAGTCAGAATTTGATTGCCTTCGATTGATTAATATAAAAATTCCCTACTCTTTTTCTCCATTGCTTCCATTCATATTTTATGTAAAACAGTTAATTGTCTCTCTTTGATGTGATTCAGTTTACTAAGTTTAAAGGCAGTCGCCAGACTGAATAGCAAACTGGGAGCTTATTGAATATTTTTTTACATTTCTAAAATTGTGAAGACTAAGTAATGACAAATAAGAACTGAACTATCAAATAATTCACAAAAGTGCATCAAATACCTTTTATTTCAATTGAAAATTTGTGTAGCATTGCAATTCTTTAATAGAATAAAAGTGAATAATTTATTTTTCCTTCCCAAAAGTATATAAAAGCAGATATTCTAAATTGAATTCCATCCGATATTTAAAGTGGTTGACAAACATTTCTTCAGTGAAATGCAAATAAGAATTTCAATTTAAAACGTCCGCAGATTGGGTCATGTGACTTTTTCACTCATACAACTCACTCAGCGCTTAACTCACTGCGACAACATTTCAATTTGTTATTGAACTTTTTTTCTCTCTCATTTTAAAGTTTTTTTTTCTTGTGTTTAACATTCTCCTTTCAGCTTTAAGTTAATTTACAATTTATATATGAATGAATCTTATCTAAAAAGAAATAAATAATATTTATTAAAGATTCTTATTTATCAGACACAGTAGAGACGAGTGTTGAAGTCAAGTGAAGAATCATGAGACGTGAGTATTATATTCAAAAGATTAATTAAATAAAACTTAATTAGTACAAACTTCATCGTTATAATCTGGTTAAACATCTAACCATGACAGAAATCATCCATATTTTTAAAACAAATTAGCAGCAAAAAGGTGATAAAGTTTAAATAAGCGATTGTTATGTACACATGAAGATGAAAACAGAGAGAGAAGCGTAGTGAGTGAGAAAAAAAATTGTTAAAGTCATGTGATGCTGGAGGTAAAATGAAAATTGACACTCGTTCATTTAACGATAAAATTCGAGATAAAATTTTATTAGATAAACGATTATTGGCTCATATTTTATGAGATTTTTCAATTTCCTCTGAATTTGTTTTCGCAATCTTCTTCGAAGTATTTGAGAGTCACAATAGAGCGCAAATAATTTAACATTTCCACGAGTTTGGTGAGGAAAATCATAAATTTATTAAACACGTATTTCACTCTTCATTTCGTCTCATTGAATTTTTAAATCATAACAACTTCTCACTAATCACTTAGCATAGCGAGATAACTTAAATAGCTTCTCGTGTTCTTCTTCATGAGAGGTAAATAGAGCAGCAAGGTAGAATTGTTGCGGTAATTAAATTAAGATGTCTCCTAAGTTTTATGTGAGAATCAATTTTCTTGAGATTATCGTACCTTATTGTCATCAAAACTTTGAAGTTTTCTCGTTGAAAAAGTTTCAGCAGTCAGAGAAATTTCATCCCTAGGAAGGTGAAACACTTTTGTTCATCCTTAGTTTCCGCCTCTTTTACTAAACTCAAAAGCAAAAGTTTTCTGTAATTAAAAATTTAATTATCTTTATGAATATTTAAAAAGATTTTTCCTGGTGTTTTTCCGACACTTTTCTTCTTCTCTTATTTAATTAATGCAAGAAGAAATCGCTTTGAAAAGTTTTTTAAACACTTTTATTTTACATATTGCATTTTAATTCTTCGAGCTTTAATTTCTTAAAGTTGTCTCGCATTTCACTCACTTGTTGCTTCATTTCATTTCTCGTATAAATATTTAATGTCTTGATTTTATCATTAAAGGACTAAAAATTGCAAATTAAGTTCAGAATTGAAAATTTTCACAATTAGAAAGAACATTTTGCTGAAATAAATTATGATGCATTGTGGAAATGGATAAATGACTAGAAGGAAGAAACATCAAAGTTCGTCGAATAACTATCAAGTTCTCACTTTGCTTAAGCATGCAATTTACTGTTTTGTAGCAACACGATTGTATGGCAAGCCCATGACTAATCGTTTCAAATAGAATAATTACAGGTTTTTAAGATGTCACTTAGTGATAACAATGAAATATTAAATACATTCAACGACAAAGTCAGAAACTTTTTTCACATTGCTTGCATACTTATTTGTGAAAATATCTTCGTAAACATTCAAGTTGTTAAGGAAGACATTAAAGACAAGATACATGAATTCCTCCAACTTGATAAAACGGGAAAATTCGTAATTTTTCGATACATCTACTCACATTTATATGTTCAGTATTCCGAGTTTAACGATATGTACATGATTAGTTTAATACCTTACAGAAAATCGAAGAAATTGTTTGTCGGCCTTGCTTGATAATTCATTGAGGAAATTCGTTGCTCGTCTCTCCCCCAATTACGCGCGATGTTTTTTCGTTTTGTTTCTTCCTAGTACACGCGTAACTTTAATTGAACATTATATTTAAGCATCATAAAACCCATCGATTTGTTAGTATTGAACTTGACTCTCACTGTTGATGGTCGCTAGGTAGTCGTCCTCGTTCATGGGTATTGAAAAATGGGAAAGTATGAAAGTATTAAATGTCATAACAAATAATCGTGCATTGAAAAATTGGAACTTTTTTATTCATATTTATTTACATTTATTCCATAAACTGAAATTTATTTTGAGCGATTTTTATTCAGTTGACATGGAACAAAAGAGTAAATAAATATATAAAAAAACTTTTCAGTGATTTGATGAGAAAAATCAAATGAATGATAATTTGCGGTGTTAACATACGTACGATACATGACGGAATTGCTAGTAAATATTGGCAGTCAGTTGAAGTTGAAAAGTGGTCGCGAGCAGTTCGATCTTCTATCAGGAAAGCTTTTAAAAAACGATTTTTAAAAAACTTTTAAGCTTTAGGAATTTCATGACCGTGAGAACAGCACAAACTTAATTAAAACAAACACTAGGAAAGCTAAGCTATTCTCGGTTAGTAAATATTTTTATTTTAATTCATCACGTGGTTTCAGTACTTTAGTACAGTGTAAAGTGCATAGAAGCAGAACGAGAGATTGTCGCGACGATAAAAAATTGCGCAAAGTAAAATTAATAATTCAAAAAGTGTTAATTTTAACAACTGTTACTCGTTCTACGTTCATCCTGTCGCAACAAATAAAAAGCAGGCAAAAATTCAAATTTTGTTGATAAAAACAAACAAACATTTCACTTTCTGCAAACGTATAAACTTTTTATTTCGATTTGGATGTTGAGATTGGAGTAGGATCATGTGTTAAAAAATGCATTGGATTTTTTATTCTCTTGTGATGTGACCGATAAAGGTTTTATTGTGGGGAGCGCGATTTTTTACAACTTGAATAAAGAATAAATAAAGATCGAAAGTTTTTCCTTTCCTAACATTACCTTCTTCTCATAAGATGATACATGTAGAATATAAAAAATAAATCCCTGTTGCTTGGAAATTTTATTGAGATTCAATTTAACTGTCACATGATACGAAGCATGATGTAATGATTTTATTGTTGTTCAACTTCACTGTTAACTCTAAAACTTTTGTCAGTTTTTAAACCAAAGGAATTTTATCTGTAATATGTTACAAATTGACTAACATGGAATTTCTCGGAAAATTTATGAGCTAAAAATAATATAAAAAAAATTAAATGAACTTTTCTGAAAAAAATGAGCGAAACAATGGAGTACAGAACAAATTTATCATTTTCTTCATTCTCGTGATTGAGTAAAAAAAATATTTATGTATTTTTTTTAAATGCAATAAATATTTTACGCGATGTCAGACGTGCGGCACGGAAAGTGACAAATTACATGAGCTTCCTCCCCGACATTGAGAGATGTTTTGACATCGATTTGGGAGCGAACGGAATTTTTGTCGTAGGTCATGTTTTTTAATTAAGATGTGCCTTACGATGTTTGCTTGCTTACGATGATAGATTCGTTGTAAAATGAGCGATTAATGTTTCTCTTCTCTGCGCTCGAAATACTTTAAGAATGAGAAAAAAGAGAACGCTTGCGTAGCTGAGCTTAATATAGCTTATTAATGATATGAATGAGAAAAGTTCGGAAAATTAAAAATGAAACTGAAGCTAAGAACCCTTCAAATGTTTAATTAAATCAGTAACACAGCTGATCATGAACCCAAAAGCTTTACATAATTTTTCCATAAGTTTTATGATTATTTATTATGCTTGTCTTAAAAACCCACAATTGCTGCTATATCCACATGTAATAAACATTAATCCAGTTCTATGATATTCATAGTCGGATGGATCGTAAATACCTTGGGTAATTTCCTTTACTTTTATGTCGTCAGAGCACAGCATCCAAAATTTTTAGAAAATTAACTACATTCTGGATAGTTTTAGTTTAGACCGAAAAACTCTATTGCATTCCGGTCTGTTTCATAAATTATCCTTTGCAGACTGATGCATTCAATTGCAAGATTGTTTGTTAGAAATATTATCAAAAGAATGTTGTTTGATGTCGCAAATAGGGATAGGAGTAATGTACTCGATTCAGACGAACATCATCAACTTAACTTGCAAATATTTCCTAATACAAGAAACCAGATAAATGCAAGCAATTATAAAACAATTTGATGAAATTTGTTGGGTGCTTTCCAGAGATGGGCAAATGTTCCGTTCAACTCGATTGACTGACTGACTGACATGTCAATGTCTGTCAGTNTGCAGACTGATGCATTCAATTGCAAGATTGTTTCTTAGAAATATTAATAAAAGAATGTTGTTTGATGTCGCAAATAGGAAGGGATAGGAGTAATGTACTCGATTCAGACGAACATCATCAACTTAACTTGCAAATATTTCCTAATACATGAAACCAGACAAATGCAAGCAATTATAAAACAATTTGATGAAATTTGTTGGGTGCTTTCTGTTTGTAAGCACGACTAAAGTTGAAATCACAACAAAATTTCGTTGGATTTATGTTTCACACATGAACTTTAAACATTTTTGAATAAGAGTAAATAAAATAAAATTTGATATACAACAAAGAAAGTTCACCAAATCAAAACATCACACGCGTGTCTCGTTAATGAAAAGTGTTAATTTTTAACATAAATTGAACGATTATTTGAGTCGTGACACTTGCCATCGACTTAATAAATAAATAATTGTCAAAGCATGTAAAGTGAAGTGCCTGAAGTAAATTTAAATGATTTAATTATTTCCATGAATTGAACAAGAACAAGAACTTTTCACAACTTTCAACGTAACAGAATATCGACAAAGTAAAATTACTTTTCTTCGATTTAATTATCGTACATTAATTTAAGCATCGTATGAAAGAAAATTCAAAGTTGAGAAACTTTTTCAGTTGGTCACAATTCGGATTCGTTTGAAATATTTCCTGCAAATATTTTTAAGTTTATTAATTTTGACTTTTTCTTCAACAGTTCCAACATCGGAGAAACCCAAAAATAAAAGACCCAAAATGGGGGCCATGTTTCGGTCCGAAGAGATGACTTTATGTCAAATGTTCATCCAACCTGAAGCAGCTTACTCGTCTGTGTCGGAGCTTGGTGAAACCGGCACTGTGCAATTTCGGGATTTAAATGGAGATGTAAATGCGTTTCAAAGGAAGTTTGTGAATGAAGTTCGTCGTTGTGATGAAATGCAACGAAAACTTCGTTACATCGAAGGAGAAATCAAGAAAGATGGAGTGAAGATTAAAGATTGTGAGGACGTCCCACGGGCACCGAATCCTCGTGAGATAATCGATCTTGAAGCTCATCTCGAGAAGACCGAAAACGAAATCATGGAGTTATCTCAAAATGCCGTCAATTTGAAGACGAATTACTTGGAACTTGTAGAGTTGCGTCATGTTCTGGAGAAGACCCAAAGTTTCTTCTTTGAAGAAGAAGCAATTAATAACGACGCCATGCTCAACAATTTGATAACACAAGAAGAACATGCAACACAAAATCGCGGTCGATTAGGTTTTGTTGCTGGTGTTATTGAACGTGAAAGAGTTCCAGGCTTTGAACGAATGTTGTGGCGAATTTCCCGTGGAAATGTTTTTCTCCGTCAATCAGAAATGGAACAAGCGCTTGAAGATCCTTTAACTGTAATTATGAACACTTTGAAGCTCATTTCATATTTCTAAGAATTTCTGCATGTTTTCAGGGAAATGAACTTTTCAAAACTGTTTTCGTTGCCTTTTTCCAAGGTGAACAATTGAAGACTCGCATCAAGAAGGTTTGCACTGGATATCATGCAAGCTTGTATCCGTGTCCAAATGAACCACAAGAACGAGAAGAAATGTTGAAAGGAGTTTTGACACGTCTTGAAGATTTAAACATGGTTTTAAATCAGACTCGAGATCATCGTTCACGTGTTCTTAATAATGTCGCTAAAGAACTTCCACGATGGACAATCATGGTGAAGAAAATGAAGGCAATTTATCATACGATGAACTTATTCAACATGGACGTGACCAACAAGTGTTTGATTGGCGAATGTTGGGTACCAGTTTTGGATCTTCCGGTCGTTCAGAAGGCTTTGTCAGATGGATCAGCTGCAGTTGGATCAACAATTCCATCTTTCTTGAATGTTATCGAAACGGTAGAAAATCCACCAACTTTCAATCGAACTAATAAGTTCACCCGAGGCTTCCAAAACTTAATTGATGCTTATGGCATTGCGTCTTATCAAGAAGCTAATCCAGGATTGTACACGATCATCACGTTTCCATTCTTGTTCGCCATTATGTTTGGTGATTTGGGTCACGGCTTAATTATGTTTGGTTTTGGCTTATGGATGGTCACTTGTGAAAAGAAACTCGGCGCTAAGAAGTCAACCAACGAGATTTGGAATATTTTCTTCGGTGGTCGTTACATTATATTGTTGATGGGTTTGTTTTCATCATACACCGGTTTTGTCTACAATGATTTATTCTCCAAGTCGATGAACATGTTTGGGTCATCATGGTCAATAAATTATAACACTTCAACCATCATGACCAACAAAGATCTACAACTGAATCCAACATCTAATGATTCATCAATCGAAACTTATCCAATCGGATTGGATCCCGTCTGGCAATTAGCGATCAATAAAATCATCTTCCTGAATTCGTTTAAGATGAAGCTTTCGATTATTTTCGGAGTTGTTCATATGATCTTCGGTGTTATCATGTCGACAGTTAATCACAATTTCTTCCGTCGTCGAATAAGCATCGTTTTGGAATTTTTACCACAAATTATCTTCTTGGTTCTTCTTTTCGCTTACATGGTCTTCATGATGTTCTTCAAATGGGTTCAGTATAGTCCAAAGCTGCCACCACCACAGTCACCTGGTTGTGCTCCATCTGTTCTCATTATGTTCATCAACATGATGCTGTTCAAAAATTCACCACCACTTGAAGGGTGTGACGAATTTATGTTTTCATTTCAATTGACTTTGGAACGAACATTTGTGTTCATTGCACTCATTTGCATTCCATGGATGTTGCTTGGAAAGCCGCTTTATATCATGATGTCAAGAAAGAAGCATAACAAGGTATCTAATAAAAATGGTGATATAAACTATGGAATGGAAATGTCGCCTGAAACACCAGAAGCTCAACTTCCAGCTCCACATGTTACTGATCATGAACACGAAGAAGAACCAATCAGTGAAATCTTCATTCATCAAGGAATTCATACTATCGAATATGTCTTAAGTACGGTATCGCATACGGCATCATATCTTCGCTTATGGGCTTTATCATTGGCACATGCACGTAAGTTGAACATTTATTGTGATTTGTTTTTTGTAGATTATAACATTTCATTCCATTTCATTTCGAAAAAGAATTATCGGAAGTTTTATGGAACATGGTTTTTCAACTGGGATTGAAACAAAGTGATTCAATCCAAGGACCGATTTTCATTTATTTAATGTTCGCTGCGTGGGCTCTCTTCACGTTAGCCATACTTGTGATGATGGAGGGTTTATCGGCTTTCTTGCATACTCTCCGTCTTCATTGGGTCGAGTTTATGAGTAAATTTTATGAAGGCCTTGGTTACGTTTTCCAACCGTTTTCATTTAAAGTCATTCTTGATGCCGACGATGACTGAGTGATAGACAACACAAGAATGGAAAATAGGAAACGATGCTGACAACGGCTAATAGTATTATTTCCCATGGAAATTTCTTCGGAAATTAACGAAAATTTGAAGAGATTTTCATCAATTTTCATTGACTTTGTAATTTCCATAGGAATTAGTAAGATAATAAAGATTGCGTAGGATAGAAGCAAAATATGAGCAATGTTAAGATTTTAATTAAATGTTTTGTTCATTTAATCATTTAAATTTATATCTCAATATGAGCAAAGCTTTGATTGAATCTTTAATTTTAATTTAGATATTTTCAATCAATTTTCAGTTTCTATTTCTAATTATTTGATTTGACATCATTAACGGCGAATTTTTTTATAAAATTTCCTTCTCACTTCACATTCAACATTTTCAGCTTTAATTTCTTCAATGTTATTAACGAAGTAACGAAATCAACTTGTTTCTTTATCATTTAAGATAATTTTAACAAGCTGATAAGAAATAAAGTTCTTCTTCGTTGCTAGCGACAAGTTAATTGAGCAATTAAAGAAAATTTTACCTGTTCAGTGAGCGATTGAGCGTGAATTGAAATAGAAGTGAAAAAAAGAAACTGAAACATAAAAGGTTTAAAAAGTCTTAACGAATCCTTAGCTATTGATTGTACCTAAAGCAATTAATTTTTTTGTTTCAGTCCAAGTGTTTGTTTCTATTGTTTTGAGAATAACAAATTGAGACACGAACATTAAAACCATTGGCAACCATGGGGGCGATGTTCAGAAGCGAAAAAATGTCGCTGTGTCAATTGTTTATCCAGCCTGAGGCAGCATATCAAACTGTCGCTGAACTGGGTGAAATTGGCATTGCACAATTCCGAGATGTAAGTCTTATGAGCTTCTTAAGCTTACATGATCCGCTTAAATTACAGAAAATCGTGCCAGTATGAAGAAAATTCTCACATGAATTCAATCACATGATTGAAATATTAGAGTGTCGTAATACAAGCTTTTAAGATAACAAAAGAGAATGAAAATTGATAAGGCAATTTGTACTTAACACAATGACTTTAATGATCTGATAAGAATGATTTCTTACATTTTGATTTCTTACAACATTTAAGTAGCCTCCAATTATATTCACTTTTCTTCTTATTTTTCTTGTTTTCCTTCACAACATCGAAGCTTAGATTTTTATTAATTTTAGCAATTTTACGAAAGTTTCTTGTGAAACTTTTGTCAAGTAGTTTTGTAGTATAAAACAAAAACAAAAATTTGATAAGCTAATCAAAAATGTTCAAAGCTTTTAAAAGCCATAAAGCCACTCACAGCCTCAGCAGAAAGTACTTGAAGAGACTTTTATGACACGTACCGCCCTACTTGACAATAACAATCATCATAACATTTTTCTTTCTGTCATTCATTTCATGAACAGTTGAATCCCGATTTGAGCATGTTTCAACGAAAATTCACAGCTGAAGTGAGACGATGTGATGAGATGGAACGTAAAGTCAATTACATCAGAAAGGAACTTATTAAGGATGGAATGGAGGTGCCAGAATTGTGGAAAGATTTACCGAGAGTTCCAAATCCAAGAGAATTTATTGACCTTGAAGCTCAGTTTGAGAACTATGAGAACGAAATCATGGAGTTATCTGAGAACTTTACAACATTGTTGCAAAATTTTCAGGAACTGACTGAATTACGATACGTTCTTGAGCGCACTCAGGTGACTTGAGAATTTGATACTTTTATCTGTAGACATATGAGAAGATAAATCTTGAATTGAATTCCATTAATGTAGTCGTTCCTTACTCATCAAGCTCCATCGGGTACTGAAGGAAAGAAAGACGAGATTACTGGAGAGAGTCAGCAATTGGGTTTTGTTGCTGGTGTCATTCAACGTGAACGTATTTTAGGCTTTGAACGAATGTTGTGGCGTATTTCACGTGGTAATGTCTTCTTACGTCAATCAGACATTGAAAAGCCTTTCACTGATCCCAAAACGGTAAGTTCGGTTGTGGAATAGAAAGGTTTCGAAGAGCTTTAGTTCTACATGTGTTAAACTGTAATCTCTCTAGGGAAAAGAAATCTACAAGAATGTTATCGTCGTGTTCTTCCAAGGCGAACAATTGAAGACACGAGTTAAGAAAATTTGCGCTGGTTATCATGCAAGTTTGTATCCATGTCCCGATAACTATGAAGAGCGCGAAGATATGTTGAAAGGTGTTTTAACACGTCTTGAAGACTTGAACATGGTCATTAATCAGACGCAAGATCAACGACAACGTGTCTTGAATGTCATCGCAAAAGACTTACCAAGTTGGATTATTATGGTCAAGAAGATTAAAGCAATTTATCATACGATGAACATGTTCAACATGGACGTGTCTCAAAAATGTTTAATTGGTGAATGTTGGATTCCCACGAACGACATGTTTCTCGTTCAAAAAGCATTAACTGATGGTTCAGCTGCTGTTGGTTCAACAATTGCATCTTTCATGAATGTCATTTCAACTGAAGAAATTCCACCAACATTTAATCGCACCAATAGATTCACTCAAGGATTCCAGAACCTGATTGATGCATTCGGTGTTGCGAGTTATCGTGAAGCAAACCCAGCATTGTACACGATCATCACGTTTCCATTCTTGTTCGCCATTATGTTTGGTGATTTGGGCCACGGTTTAATTTTGTTTGCTTTTGGCTTTTGGATGGTCATTTCTGAAAAGAAACTCTCGGAAAAACGTTCAAAGAATGAAATTTGGAATATTTTCTTCGGTGGTCGTTACATTATATTGTTGATGGGTTTGTTTTCTTGCTACACCGGCTTCATTTACAATGACATTTTCTCCAAATCGATGAACATCTTTGGAAGTGCTTGGGAGCTTGACTTCAATACGTCAACAGTCATGGAGAATATTGAAGGTCTTCAGCTAAATCCAGCAAGTGATACCTTGAAAGAAGACGCAGTTTACTTGATTGGTTTAGATCCTATTTGGCAACTTGGAACCAACAAAATCATTTTCCTGAACTCTTACAAAATGAAAGTTTCGATTATTTTCGGCGTTGTTCATATGATCTTCGGTGTTTTCATGTCAGTCGTTAATTACAATCACTTCCGTCGTCGAAGCTCAATTTTCTTGGAATTCCTACCACAACTTATCTTCTTGGTTCTTCTTTTCGCTTACATGGTGTTCATGATGTTCTGGAAGTGGGTATTGTTTGGACCGAAAAATGAACCACCACATTCACCTGGATGCGCCCCATCTGTTCTTATCTATTTCATCAACATGATGCTCTTCGGAGAGAACAAATTTTTGCCGGGTTGTGAAGCATTCATGTACCCTGGCCAAGGAACAATTCAACTGGTTTTCGTGTTTGTTGCAATTATTTGTATTCCTTGGCTTTTGCTAGGAAAGCCACTCTACATTCAACTTTGTGGAGGTCATCGTCATCTTGGAGAAGTAAAAACTAATTAAATTATCTAATTGAAATATTGTGAAATAATAATAATTTTTAACAGGATGGAGAACCAGAGCCAATGAGTGAGATTTGGATTCATCAAGCTATTCATACGATTGAATACATTTTAAGTACGATTTCGCATACTGCTTCGTATCTTCGTTTGTGGGCTTTGTCATTGGCACACGCACGTAAGAACATCAATTTTACTGTTGTTTGAATATAAATTATAACGACAAAAAATTAAATGAATTTCAGAACTATCGGAAGTCTTGTGGAACATGCTGATGACTATTGGAACTGGTCAGAAATCCTACGTAGGAGCTGCCGTTATATTCTTCATCTTCGGAGCTTGGGCAGTTTTGACCCTTGCAATTCTAGTTTTGATGGAAGGTCTGTCAGCTTTCCTACACACTTTACGTCTTCACTGGGTTGAATTTATGAGTAAATTCTATGAAGGCGCCGGCTACGTTTTCCAACCTTTCTCATTCCATGCAATTTTGAATGAAACCGAAGATTAATTAAATCAATTTTTCCAATCTTCATCTTCAACGAGAAAGTTTTAATATCAAAATAGAAAATCCTGTAGAAAAAATATAAACACAAAGGTTCCAAATAAACATTTGAGCATCAGTAAAATAATCGAAGAAAATTTAATTGTTTTGATTTATTCTGCTAATCTAATATCAAAGGATGAATTTATTTCATGCAATGAAGATTTCAATATATTTTCCAATCAATCAGCAACAGAGATATCGACGACATGCGCATGTGGAAGTCATGAGCTGGTGGAATCTTCTTCTTAATATCACCTGGAATTGTCATTCATTATTCTTGAGTACTCTTACCACATGACAAATGTTTATTTTTAATTTCGTTCAACAAGAATGAGAATAGTTTAGCTAAATAAATACTCTGTGAGCTAAATAAATATCACAAGATTCACTCTTATCGAACCCGTGATTTCATTTTTACCGTTTAAATTTCTACAAGTCTTTAATCGGCCAATATTCTGCTGTTCAACTTATCAATTGAGCAGATAACAACTTTGAATGATATAAATTGACATTGAGAAGTGTTTGTTGTGGTTAGTTGATTTCAATGTTTTGATAGACAAACATAAAATTGAATTTTCTTTTTACATTTTTCTAAAGAAATCATTTAAACGAAGCATTCAATCATGGGATCAATGTTAAGAAGTGAAGAGATGTCTCTCTGTCAGATTTTCGTTCAGCCTGAAGTCATTTATTCAGCTGTTACTGAAATTGGCATCATTGCAATTGCGCAATTCAAAGATGTAAGTGAAATGTATGAAATAAAATTTGTTTAATTTGATAAAAATCGATAAACTGGAAAATGAGCAATTTAAATATTTAAGTGAAAAATAAAAATCTTTCCAAATTACCACTTACTTCACTTATCAAACGAAGTGATGAATATCATCAGAGTTGTTGAAATGTTCAAACATTAAAGCAGTTGAAACTAGAAAAGTTTTGAAGTGATTCAGTGAATCATGATCTAATTAAGTACTTGCATGTATACTTGAATTATCACATGCAAAGTCTTGTGATTCTGATAAAAATTCGCACACTGATTTTTACTTCTTATCAAATGTTTTTAATTTTTTTTTGATATTTGCTTGCTCAACATGTTTAGTTGAATCCGGTAACAAATTCATTTCAAAAAAAGTATACAGCTGAGATTAGAAGAATTGATGAAATCGAGAGACAACTTGTGGTGATTCATCGAGAACTAAAGAAAGACGAAATCAAGATTTCTAAGAATCAAGAAGATCTTTTGGTTATAACCACTAGAGAGATCAACAACTTGGAAACAATCATTGAGAACAGTGAAAAAGAAATCACAGAACTTTCTCAAAACTTTTCCCAATTGCAGGAAAATCATCGTGAATTGATTGAGTATCGAAATGTTCTCCAAAACGCTGAACATTTTCTCGCTCAAAGCACTAATGACTTTTTAATTGACGAAATTCAAGAAGAAAATTGTTCCCAGTTGGACTTTGTTGCAGGTGTTATTGACTTTGAAAAATTTATTAGCTTCGAGCGCATGTTGTGGAGAGTTTCACTTGGAAATATTTTTGTTAAACATGCCATGATTGACGAGCCCTTTAAAGATTTTAAGGTAAAAGTAAAACATTATTATTGAAAAATATCAATTTCTTTTTTAATCAAATCATAAATAGGATAATGACATTTACAAATGTGTCTTTATTGTGTTCTTCCAAGGTGACACTTTAAAGAAAAAAGTTCAGAAAGTTTGCGAAGGATATCACGCGAAAACTTTTTCATATCCAGCAAACTCTTCTGAACGAATGGATTTGATCAGAGATTTGCAAGCGAGAGAACGTGACATTGACAACGTCATTAATCAGACGAGAGATCATCGTGCCAGAGTTCTCAACTATTCTGCTAAGTCATTCAACGAATGGTCTCTAAAGTTGAAAAAGTTGAAATCAATTTTTCACACGATGAACATGTTCAGCTTTGACGTGTCTCAAAAATGTTTAGTTGGTGAATGTTGGGTGCCAACGAAACAAATTCATTTGCTGAAAAATGCATTAGAGAAGAGCTCGGGAACATCAAACGTTGTAGCTTTCATTAATGTTATTGGAACGAATGAAACTCCACCAACATTTCATCAAACTAATAAATTTACTCGAGGCTTTCAAAACTTAATTGATGCATATGGGATGGCATCTTATCGTGAAGCCAATCCTGGCTTATCTACAATTGTGACATTTCCATTCTTATTTGCTGTGATGTATGGTGACATAGGGCATGGACTTCTCATTTTGTTGTTTTCCATTTGGATGATAATCAGCGAGAAGAAACTTGAAAAAGTGAAAGAAGAAATTTTCAACATTTTCTTTACCGGTCGTTACATTATCTTGATGATGGGATTGTTCTCATTGTACACTGGCTTCATCTACAATGATATCTTCTCAAAGTCAATGAACATCTTTGGAAGTTCCTGGAGAATTAATTATACTGAAAAATATATTATGGAGAATGAAGGTGGGATTCAATTAAATCCATCAAGTGATGACTTACAAACTGGAAGAACTTATCCAGCTGGTTTGGATCCCGTTTGGCAATTAGCGACTGATAACAAAATTCTTTTCCTAAACTCTTACAAGATGAAACTTTCAATAATCTTTGGAGTCGCCCACATGCTTTTTGGAATATGCGTGTCTGTCATCAATCATAATTTCTTTCGACAAAGAAGCAAAATTTTCTTAGAATTTCTTCCGCAAATTCTTTTCTTGCTTCTTATCTTCGGATATTTGGTTTTTATGATGTTCTTCAAGTGGGTGCGCTTTGATCCGAAAGCTGATCAACCATTCTCGCCAGGTTGTGCACCGAATGTTTTGGTTTATTTTATAAATATGATTCTCTTTGGTTCGGAGAAAGAACTTAAAGGTTGTAATCCTTACATGTATCCCGGACAACGAATTCTTCAAATCGTTTTCATCGTTCTCGCTTTGCTTTGCATTCCTTGGATGCTGATTGGAACTCCACTCTATGTTAAATTAACTAGAAATAAACGTAGAAGAAATTTCGCTTTAAGCGATGAGATTGGAGAGACCACAAGTGAACTTTCTTTCGATGATGAAGAACCGATGAGTGAGATTTGGATTCATCAAACGATTCATACGATTGAATATGTTTTGGGAACAATTTCCCATACTGCTTCGTATCTTCGTTTATGGGCTTTGTCGTTGGCACACGCACGTAAGACTCAATAATATTTAGGAAAATATTTTCTGACATGTTAACTTAATATTTAGAACTTTCTGAAGTTTTATGGACGAACCTTTGGCCGATAGCATTCATAAATGTTCCATTTATTGGTCCTGTTATGATTTATTATGTTTTCTCCATTTGGTCGTGTGTAACTTTGGGAATTCTTGTTGTCATCGAGGGTTTGTCTGCATTCCTTCACACACTTCGATTGCATTGGGTTGAGTTCATGAGCAAATTTTACATTGGCGAAGGTTACAAATTTGAGCCATTTTCATTCGAAGTTATCTTAAACGACGGAGATTAATTTGCAATAAACGACGATATTTTTCTAGGTGTCTGTAACACGAGAAGAGAAAAAAGTCAAAATAAACAAAATAAAGTTATTTTTATGACCATCGAAATGTCTTGAAAAGTTTATTTATTCACATTCGTTTTAGTTATCTTTCATCAACAGTCTAATGATGTCTTGAAAAGCAAATGAATATTTATTATCTCTCTTCAGATATTTCCCATTTTCTTCAAAGCATCTTGTGCGGCAAGGGAAATTGAAAATTCGGCTGAACCTTCTGGTTCAATTTTAAGAATTTCATAAGATTCATGAAGTAGCTTGACAATCTGCAATTAAAATGGATTTAAATTAATCTGAAGAGAATTGAAATTAACATTTATTAAGAACCTCTTTCAATCGAGATCGTAATTGATTGCTATTTATGGTTCGATTTTCAAATTCTCTCGTTATTTTCACCATCATTGGAGCGTGCATCTCGTAACAAATTATTCCACGTAATCGACTCGCACCAGGTTCAAGTACGTTCACGACATTCAATAAATCCCGACAATATTCTTCCTTCCTTTGTAGTTGAGACAAATCGAGTTCGTTAATGATAAAGCCGTCAGAACGACCGATTAATTGACAAAGTGAATGCTTTGCAGAAAGTATCAAATAATGGTTTTGATGTAAAACATTTGCATATCGCTTGAGGTAGTCTTCGTAATCTTTAATGCTATTTGGATCGAGCATTTCCAACTCATCAAAGAGTCGATCTAATAAGATTAAAATTGATTTTCCGCTTACAGTGTAGTTACATTTTCTGCATCTAGAGAGATGAAAATTTGATGACAAAAAGGAAGAATTTATTAATAAATGAAAGTTTGAGATGCAAAACGAATGAGATTTACTTCCAATCAGCATCTTGGTTCAGTGGTTCGGTAGACATAATAAATCCATTCGTGCATTTGGGACATAAAAGGGTACTGGCATGTGTTCCTAATTCAGTTGGATCTTTGCAACGTTCACAAGTGCACCAGAAAAATTTACTTTCGTTCAGATGATCCCTTCGTTTAAGAGTACCCTTGAGGTGTTTTTAAAAATCAGACAAATATATGTTCAAAAAAGAAAGAAAAAGGTTAGACAAGCACTTGAATATATGAAAACATTTTCTTAATCTTAAGATGGAAGACAAGCTCGAGTTTTGGAATGTTACGAGATTAACGACAAAAAGCACTCACTTGAAGCGTATAGGAGTAGGATAATGTGATGGTGTCACCCTTTTTGAGTGGTACAGTTGTACGAAGGTGGAGTTTATGGGTCAATGGATCGTCAGTATGTGTCGTATTTGGTTGACAGTCGTGACATATGAGATATGCTTCTGGAAAAAGAGCACGCGCTCGACACCCACTTGTACCGACTTCAAATGAATTTACTTCAAGAATTCCACAAATCGTATGAATCTCATCTTCAGTAAACTGGTTGTAGCCCCATTGATTTCGAATTCGATCGACAATAAGCTCTTGATTTCGATTCCATAGCGTAGGAATATTCTTACGAATTTTATTATGAGATTCCATCTCGTTTATTTGCCTCCACTTCTCGGGATTGACCTGCTTCAACAGTAAACACCTTACGCTCAAAATTGATTCGAAAATAAACCTAATGTCTTTTTCATCACATTTCGTCAGAAATGATGCGAGATTGTGTTTCTTAAACGATTGGCACTCCCACTCACTATGACCATGGTCCATGTGAAGGCCGGGACAGTTTTTTTGGCACAAAATCCAACCACAAAATGAACATCTAAAGTTGGAAAAACATAGAAAAAACAATGAGAAAATTTGGTTTATGATTGAAGTGATGTCAAATGGCAAAACGTAAAAGAAGAAAACTTTTAATGATGCACATGAATGACAAATATTTATTTTGCTAGACAATTTTAACTACAGGAAACATAAAAACAGAAAATAAAATACGAAAAAGTTTTATTTTAAAAGCCACAAAATTTGAGTGTTTAGTGAAGAAAATATTTTGAAGAAAAATGATTTGTAGCGAAGGAAGTCATTAAAAGTTCAAGTTAAACAGTGAAAAACATGGAGAAGAATGTTAAAATGTTTCAAATTTCATCATTGAACTTACAGATTCTTTTTTGATAATGTTGAAAGGTCAACGTAACAGCCTAAACATAATGGCAAACTTTCAGCACATGGGCCAATGACTAACGCATCGACTTCAACTAAAAGTTCGCCCTTCTTCAAATCTCGTGATGCAGCCAAGTATCTGAAATTGGAAAGAGAAGGTTGCTGCACTTATGGCTTTAAATTTAAGATTCGAATGTTGCCAAACCTTCCGTAGATATCAGAATATTTAATTTGATATGGTTTGGCTACTTGTAGCTTCTCAAAATCTCCATTAATTATGTTAACATCGTCTTCATTGCTTGATAAATCTGCTAAATTGCCTGTACTGTCATTATTCTTATCACAATGACTTTTGCGCTTATGTTTCTGTTGGTTTTCATGGAGGGAAAAAGAGAAAAAAAATAGAGATAAAAATAATTTTTTTTGGGGATTTAAGTAGAACTTGAAGTAAAGCACTTAAACGATGTTTTCTTTTCCATTCTATTTAACCTAATACGTAAAGTATTAGACATTTGAACAATAAAAAGAAAAATTCAGCTTCGCAATCTGGTTCATTTTGAGTGTGTCGGATATTTGATGTTAATAAATTAAAAATGTGCACTCGAGAATTTCGGCTAAATATACAGAATGTTAATAAACTCAGAGATTATATCAGTCTTAATTTAAGTAGCTTCTCATGAATTTCTGGTATGAGAAGAGTTTCTTTTCTCTTAAAATTGTTTTATAATTGCCTTCCAAATTTGTCTCAGTGGTTGTTGGAAATATTTTCTCTTCTTAATGAAATCATGATCAGACGTTAATCAAGTCAACGAATTAAATTATGTTCAGTTATGACATGTTAGCGATTTATTATGACAAATTTAAAGCAACGAGTTGAGGTTGTCGTTAAATCTGCTCATTCTTGATTTAAGCATTTTTAATTGGAGTTATGATCTCAAAAGTTATATCTAAATGTAATTAAAAGAAAATTTTATTCATATCTAAGCAAAAAGAAAATCTTCAGGAAAAAAGTTTGAATGAATGAGAAGTGTGAAATGGATTCCTCGTACTTTGAAGCAAACTTTTGCTGACATTCTTCTTCTCACGAGAGTTTTCTTAAATATCATAACAGAGACATTCACATTGCTATTTAAATCTGAATACTTAGTAGACTTTTAAATTCCCATTCGAATGCTTCCTTATTGCACTTAAGTATCATGAAAATGTGTGAAGAAATTTTTTGAGACAAAATATGAAGTGACTTGGGAGCACTTTGATTTTAGTGTAAAAATAAACTCCGACATTAAAACAGTTGAAACCTTTAACTATCAATATTTAAGATTTATTGTGTTATAAAGTAAAGGAGCGCTTTTCACGGGAAACCCACATTAAAATACTTAAAATTGTGTTTTATTAACTTTATCGCTGTTTAAATAAGCAATTTGCCTTTTCTATCTTCGCTTATTGGGAAGGCAGCTGTAAGTTGAAAGAATTTATACTAAAAATTTATGACTTTATTAATAGTGGATTACCGCACGAGACCCATAATCATCAAATATTAAATTACATTTTTTATTCGATGTATCTTTTTGTGTCTGTTTGTTTTCTTATGAGCTTGTCGGGTACCCGCGACATAAATCATTTCTCATGGCTACGTTGGATCGTCTTAGGATGGGCTGAGCTTTGATCTTTTTTATATCTTATATAAAGTGAAATTTAATACACGATGTTGTGCTCAAAGTTTCTTTTACATTGTTTATGCCTAATAAAAATCCTAGGATCACTTTTCACTTTTCGTTTCGATTCGAAACCGTAAAATTAAGATTTACGAACGATTTTCTCCTAGTTTCTAAATTCACATTATGTGTTGTGGATTTGCTTTTTCGAAAATCTGTTTTATAGAATTAATTTCATATGAGTACATTTCCCAGGAAAATGTCAAACAAATGTCACACAATATTTAATTCTATTTAAGTTTACTCAAATAAACATCACCGTCAATAAAAAAAATTATTGACAGATGTGTTTGAATTTTAATTAAACTTTAGTTCTTATGGAACTTAACCAGTAGACTTAATTAAGTAAATATTTAATGGAAACGTGAGTACAGCTCAGTTCATATTTTGTTTGGCTTATCGTGAAACATCTGATTTACATCTGATTAGGTCGCAAACTAAAAATAAAACACAAAAATCTTCTATCTCCAATATTTTGTTTTCAGAAGCAAGGCAATGCCATTTCATCATGAGATTCTGTTCCTCATGAATGTTTAATAATATCTTATTAAATAAACTTATGGTTAAAGTTTGTGAAAATTTCGATGGGAAATGCAAACATGAAATGAAATTTATTCCTAAAAATAACAAAGACACTCAAATGTATTTAATTCTTCTCAGTTGAAAACGAAGCCAACTTATGCATTTTTCATGGGCATTTTCCAGTTTTCCAGCATGAATTTCAAATTTAAAGCTTAAGAATTAAAAATTATCTCAAACATAATAAAATGGATGATCCTATCTAAAGGACTTCAAGGGCACTTCAAGAGTTTTGCATACAAAAATTTAAATTTTCAAACGGCACGTGCTCTAAAATATCAACTGAGAAAAAAAACTTTTTTCACTTCTCAGGTCATTGAGCAATTTTTATGCACTTGGAAATATTTTAAGAAGCTCACCTTGGCTTTGCTTTTATTTGGCATCTTCTTCTATCTCAAATTCACTTTTCACAAATGTTTCTGTTACGCTTCTTGACTTTAGCTGCTTCACAATTCCCGACAAATAAGCCTCGATTAGAGTTAAACGCAAAATTTACGAGCCGTGAATAAATCAACAAAAAAAATTTTTTTTCCCGTCTTTTTTTCGATTATCTCGTCGAAGAAAATTAATCCTTGCTCTGTCTATTTTTTTCACTCAAATAATATTGTCACCGCTTTGAAACAAAAAGTCGTTTCTTTTCTTTTAATTGGATTTTTCTCTTTCAGATTTTTTTGCCACCGTCTTTTCAGCTACATCACAATTGCTAAACTGATCTTTTTTCTTATGTGAAGCGTTTTTGTATTTTCATGCTTGACAGCGGAAAATATCGACGCACTGTCTGACCTGAAATGTGCTAAGATGAACAAAAGAAAAGTTACTGATGTCGACACTTTAGCTACACAACAAAGACTGAGACAGAAAATTGTAAGTTTTTCTTGTTTCTTGTACATGAAAAGCCACTGTCGGAAGGAGCGAGAATTATCAGGAAATTTCTCTTACATTTTCTCAGCAGTACGTACGAATGCCGTACTACTATAGTTTGAGTCAAAGGCGTAGATAGATAATTAAGTTCAACTGAGTAAAGTAAATAAAAATTTTACTATTTTGAAAGAATCTTAAAAAATTGATCACTATTATGAAATTTTCTTTATGGAGTTACATTACCGCCAGATATCCACAACAATCTGTAACTTGCTTACGCTAATTTGAATTTGGTTTTCTTTTCATTTTCTTTTTTCTTTTATTTTCATCTTCTCGATGTTCACGAGTATCTTGAGAAAACTTTTTCTTTTTCTATTTTCACGAGAAACAATTTTTCTTCATTCTTCTACAATTCTCTCTTAATTTTTCTTTATAAAATTGCTTTAACTACATCTTTTTATACATTGTTTAATTGATAAACGACCAGGAGTAGAAGAGAAACTGTTTAATGTTTAACTCCAAACGAAAAAATGAGAAGAAAAAAAAACATTGAAAATTGTACGAAAGAATTTCGATCGAATACTCATATAAATAAATTATTCATTTATCGACTGTTCATGCTCATTTAATCATTATTAACTCGCAGTGATTTTGATGAGAAACAGAAGCTTGAAAAAATCACAGCTCTACAATGAAAATTGATTCCACTCGTGTTGAGACAAAAGTTTTTCTTATTCCCTGAAAACATTCAGCACCGGCCACTGTATATGAATAATTTAAATTTTCTTTGAAGTTTGTCACGAGGTTTATTTTTAAATAAAAATAGATAAATACTCGTACATGTTGAGTTCTATTAACCTTACATTTATTTATTTTCTAGACTAAATTTTCAAGCATTATTAAAAATTTAGATTTGGATAAGGAATTTTATTTATCGAAAAGCTTAACTAAAGTTTAAAGATTTGTTTTGAAATTTATATTTGAAGTTGAAGAAATAAAATTATTTAAATTTTAACAAGGAAATTGAAATCTATTAATAAGCATAAATTAATACGAAGCACTAAGAAGCTTGATGACTAACTTAGAATGATTTACTTCATGATAAACTATTTTAAGACTTAAACTCAATGTTATCATAACTGTCGAGTTATTTAGTTCAGTAACCTTACTTGGAAGTTATTTGAATAAGTAATTCAATTTAAGTTATTAATAGAAATCTCAGAAAAGGAATTTGTGCAATCGCAAAGTGCGCAATCTTGTTGAAAAAAAGTTGTCAGGACATTGTCATAATTTCAAAAGCTGAAAATAATTTGGATAATTTATTTAGCGATTTAATTCTGTTACACGTGCATATAAAAACAAAAATGTAGAGCTGAGATTTCATTCTTATTAAATCTATGGAATCAAACTTCTTTACATTTCTTATTATTCAACATTATGATGGCTTTGATGTGACACGAACAAAGGTGAAAGACTTGGAACATCCGATGCTGCGATGATTTCCTCTAAAGATAATTTCCTCGGTAAAGTTTCATTTGATTGAAAATCAAAATCATCACCAAATGGATGAACTCCATAAATCAAATAATCTTGTAAATACATAACAGTAGGTTTCACATAATGAAATTGAATTGGATATTCGGAACAACAGTCGGTGCTACCTTGTGCGACATTGTAATATTTCGTTTGAGTGTACCAGTGATCTTCCTTAACTTCTGCTTGGAGATGTTTCTTAATTCCAAGTGGGAAGAAACGTTTTTGATGATGACCATCTCGACAATCAACAAAAATCGCTTCTTCTTGTAAACATCGTCCCATTTCGTAATCTTCAGCTCCATTGTTAATGTAACAACGTGTTTTATCTTTCACCAAGACATTAGCAAACTTAATTAGCGCTTTCTTCGACAATATGTAACCACCACCAGCCATGTAACCTTCCTTCAGACCTTTCTTTGCATATCGATGGCCGAAGTAGAGTGAAGTTTGAGGATTGTATTGGGAAAGCATGTAGCGGAGATTCTCAAGAATTACATAACTAAATTTTCAATTTATTAGTGCAATTAAGATTCACGATTAGAAAATTCAATTTACCTGTCATCATCTGCTTTAAGAAACCAATCGAATTCGTCGATATAATTCTTATGTAAGTAGAGAAAACCTTCTTTAGTTTTATGCCAAAGAGATTTTCTTGAATCTTCTTGATTTAAAATGATTGTATCAAGTTGCAAATCTTCTCTAGAAGTAACAAACAAAAGTTTATTGCATCTTTTTTCCCAAGTGTTTTGAACGTGAATTGCTTTTTTTCTGTGATTTTCTGGATGAGTCATAATCATACATAAAATTTTAATGTTTTTGTATAAAAATTCTGATAAACTTTCATTAAATAAATTCACTTTGTTATGACTTTTTTCCTGAAAATCGTTCACACGTTGCAAGTAATTTGTTGATTCAGTCACTGTTTTGTAATTTTCATCATATACATAAAGTTGAAGATAAAGCAGAGTTGATCCAATAAAAAAACCTGCGACTAAATAAGTCACTTCTTTCATCTGCATTTTTAACTATTTTTGACCACTCACAAATGAATGCAAAATGTTTTTCTTTGCCATCAATTCTCTCTCATATAAAACTTAAAGAACTATTAAGTGTGAGGTATGAATAGTCCATTGACACTGATAATATTTTATCAGCAATTCGAAAGAAGTGATAATAAGTATTAAGATTAGATTACATACGAATACATAAATATATATCATTCAGTGTATTCAGGTACGAATTTAACGATTATTTGCTATGTAAAATTAAGTTAATTAATTAATAACTTATTAAATGATTTATTTTGTCTGGTAACTGACTTTTTTCTATATTTGTACATATGTACAACAAAATCAAAAGAAAAGCGAATTTTTCTGGAGTTAACGTTTAAAAATGACCAGAGAAATAATCTGATGTTGATATTTTGATAGCTAACTGTGAAATGCATTAAATGTAGAAATTAAAATATAGAAAATAGAAAGTAATTTTATTTTAATACACAATAAAAACTTGTAAATTCAGCTGTGCGTAGATACGTGCTATCTGTGTCGATATCTATAGATAAAAAAGTTCATCCAAATGTTGGTTTTTAATCGAACAACTTACGTATGAACTCAAATTAAATTCTTTTTTAATCGCATAATTTCAAACGTCAGTTTAATTTTATTGTGTGTACACAGGTAGCGATGAATATAATTAAAAGAGAAAATAATTGAAAAATTCTTTCATTTTAAAATTTAAATTAAATGAATGAGAAAATATGAAAAGTTTTTGTTTCCATAAGTGGTGTAACTACCTCGAAATAAGATAAACTCAGTCATAGAAAAAGAAATCTTTTGATATTTACGTAGAAGTGAGGGAAAATAAAAAATTGAAAGTCATTAAATGTTTATTATTGTTTCAGCTTCGTTAACGAAAAGAGTTTTTGGTGGAGGAGTTATAAATGCCAAAAGTGGAAGGCACTTAATCATGTCAAGTGGTGATATGTAATGTGTCTTTAAATATCCAGCCAAAATATTATCATAGTTCTTCATTCCCTGCCATTCCCCGCCACCTTGTCACTTGAGACATTTTGCTTAATTTATTCCACGAAATTTTCACGAGCAATCACACTTATTGATTTATCTATTCCATTTGCTATGAAAATAAATAAAGAGGTGGAAAAGTGGCAAAATGAAGATGAAAGCAAAATCTCTTGGCTCGATGTCATGGCGCTTGACTAAATTATTGTGACATGACAATTAAATTTTTATTTCGATAGACGAATAAATTGTCTCATTAGAAGAAATTCTTGACGCCGTTCAACACAAATGAGAGTAGAGTCAAAATGTTTCAAAATTTCTCTCAACTTTGTTTCGTTACTTCTCGTAAATGAGCAACATGAAGTCAATCATGAAGTGAAAAGCAATCTAACTGGCAGGAAGCCAATAATGAGATCAAATTGAGCACAAAACAGGTGGTAGAAATTTATTCTGAAGAAACATTTTATTCGACAATGAATAAGAACTGATAACAGTAATGATTTAAATCATAAAAAAATTGTTTAATTGAATTAAAAGAAATTTGTTATATGAAATTCTATTCAACGTTGCTGATATTCTTTACTATAAAAGCATCGAAGCATGCATGCCTTAAAGTTTGAGTTAAAGCCAATTTTCAAAAACCTTTGTATATTATATACAATTAATTTCCAAACATCTCTCATCGTCGCCAGACTGGCTTTGTCTGAAAAATTCGCGAAAATTATTTTTCGCTTTTAATTGCCTTTAACACCGCAAATGACTTAATGAGTTGAAAATCTGATTTTAACGATTCGAAATGCATTTCAGTGTTTTTTAACTGGAACAGAAAGAATGTGGATGGAAATTTCATCATATTAATTAAAGCACTTAAATAAAGCATTTACCTAATTACATTCTTCTTGGTGAAATCAATGAAGCGTTTTACAGTTATTGCTTTAATTGTTGAAGGTTAAGGTCGGGAATGTTAAAACTTTTGCTAGTGAATTATTAATCAAAATATTATTTTGTATCATCAGATAGGTAAATTTGTTTCTTAATTATTAAAGTAACTTTTCCTTCATAATTCCATCAAATTATTTTAAAGAAAATATTCAAACAATTTTCATTACATACCTTGTAGAAAATGGAATAAAATAATTAAATTTATAAGTCAAGGAATCAAAAAAGTGGAAGCAGATAGGGATGGAAGCTTTGCCTTGTCTCTAGAGAGATGTTGGACAGCTACCAGAATCTAGTAAATTAATGCTAATTTTATTCATTAATTTAATAAAATGTCTTGCGAGGAAAGAAAAGAATTTCAATCTGAATAAAATTCATGAGCATGTTTAGAGAAGCATTTGATCCGCGAATGCCTCAAGGTGAGTTGTAGTGAAAATATGGACAACAAAATGCGAATTATTTTGTTTCTTTCTAAGTTTTTATAATTTCATAAATTCTGCTTTCGTGAGATATTTCTTGGAGCTTTTGAAATAAATTTCACTCATTTTTTACTTCCGTTTCTAAGAGCTTGTAAGAATTACTCCAAAGCACTTACTAAAAGATTGTATAAAGTACTTTCCTCAATTCGCTAATAATCATATTTTCCCTTTCAAGTCAAAGTGAAAGCTCAGCGTTGTGTAAGTAGAAATAAAGAGAAAAGTTGAGGAAAAGTTTGTTTTCTTTTCAACGTGTGAAAAGTAGGAGTAGAAGTAGAAGCAGACGAAACGACGTGTCAGAAAAATATTTTCATAAATTGAGGAAGTAAATAAGAACTGAAGAATTCTCACCTCAAGATTTCATTTCATTTTTTTCTGAAACTTCAGAAATTTATTTGAAATGAAATTATAAGTTCTGAATCATTTGAAAATGTGCAAATGTATTCAGAGAATTTTTGTGTTGTTATTCAAAATATTCTATGATAAGGAATGTTAATGTTTCTCTTTCATCTGAGAAAAATGTTTAATTTATAAGATTAATGTTCGATTTTATGTATGAGATAGTTTCATAGGTACTGCAACATAAAAGTTCTAACTCAGCACACTTATGCAGCTGATGATAAATTTTAAATACAAATAAAAGAAGCAAGTTGGTTGCACTTCTAATCAGAGAAGAATAAATGAATTTGTCATGTTTAAATTGGAATTCAATTTATACTTTCAAATCTTCATTTGAACAAGAATATTTCGTTTTAATCGATTCAATATTTCTGTTCGCATTCATTTTCTCATCGTTCATATTCAGATGTTCATAATGTTAAGTCAGAAGGATGAAATTTCTCTTCCGAGAATGGAAATTTCATTATAATGCATGCACTAAAAGCTTCCCACAATTCCATTTACTGAAGGAATGATAATCAGTGAGTTATGTAGTGGAAATCTAATAATAAATTACTAAAACAACTCTCAGTGCGTTATTGTTCGAATGTATACATCAAAATTACAAATTATGCAAATACACATTCGAGTTTATCAGAATTGAAGAAGGTAGATTGAGTTTTTGGTTACTACATTTATGCAATTTATTCAGAATGTTACAAACACTGCCGTCCATTTAGGAAACATGTCTGTGGTAACATAAAAGGGTCAACAAGCTACAATAACTCGCACATGTATCTATGTTTAAATTTATACATACATCGTTGCTATCACATAAATAGTTGAAGGTATTTAGAATGAAATTTCCTGTTGTTTAATCTCGAAAATTGTTTTGTGGGCTTCCAAACTGAAGACTCAAAGAAAGCATTACTCAATCATTGTCATGATACATATTTATGTGCTTAAATTATTACACTTTTGTTGTATTTTGGCCATTACTTTAGTACGTTATCTCTTTTCCAATTCTCATGTTAAATGTTTTCGTCTATCCGTTGTGAAGTGAACTGTGCCTCGTTTCTCTCCACAACTAAATGTATCCTATTCGATTTACTAAAACCATTCCGTTTATTTACTTGGCATTGAATTGATTTGTAAATTTATGTGCATTTTATTATTCCTTTTTATATCGTGCGATGACTCCAGCTGCCTTATTGATGGATTTCTTAAATCAATTTAATACACTAACGAAATCAGTGAGTCTGCAACATCTCGTACTGAATTAGTTCTCTCTTCCCGAAAGTCATTTTTATGCTTAAAAAGCCGTAAATTCTGTTTTTATACACATCAAGTAGAAGCTCTTATCAAGTCTAATACTCTTCACCGCCTGCAGGAGATTTTCTCTTACCCATCGTTATGTTGAATGAAGATGGAAAAGAGAAAAATAAAATAAAATCTCATCAGCAGGAAATATCACTCTGAAAGTATTTGATGCATCAGTTCACGCGGTTCTCATTCCAACTATCTTCACCATAAACTTTATGAGCTTTACACTTTAAGAAATGGTAATAAAACTTTTTATTTGCATAATTTTCCAATAAATAATCGTGAATAATTATTTTAAGTGGCTTTAAATCGTCTTCAACTGTTGATTCCATTCACTTACATAGTCTTAAAATTTCTTTTAAATCGAAATTGAAAATAAAAATAAAGTTAATATTTCAATTATGATTGTTATTAAAGTTTGGTATTGTAGATAAAGTTTTGAAATAGAATCGAATTAAAAGTTTACAAAGAGGAGGCTCACATTTTAGGGATCGATGACGATTGAGTCGAGTTTCTGAGAAGAGAGCATCATTAAAATCATAAAATGCAATTTCAGTTAAGACAGGTTGTACAAGTATAGTATCAAAAGCTCTCCACTCAAATGCTTTAATGAAATAACACAACCATGACTCGAATGTGAAATTAAATTATTTCAAGTATCCTTCTGATGAAATTCATTTCCTGAAGTTTTTCATGAAGTCATAAAATTTTCATTCAACCCGAGCTCAATTATGCACTTCATTTTAATCATGTAATGAAGAACTTATGTAAACTTCTTACTTTAATGAAAGTTTTCTGATGAAAATGTTACGATACAAATGGGAAGAAAATAGAGGATTCAATTACTTATATTTTAATTACTTGCGAGAACAAACATTTCAGATAAATTAAATTGAGTTTGATGATGATTTTCAATATATCTAACTTTCATATTCTCAATTTGATTGGTTGCAGAGTTCATGAGAGCTTTCGGGCATTTTCATTATAAAGTTTCAATTTCAAATTTCACATTTCAAAGATTTATTAACTTTCATCAATTATATAAACCATTTCCTATTAATTTTTTTTTCTTAATAAATTGAAACTCTAAGCCAAAATCATTACGAAGCACCTGCTAAGTTGCGAGTTGTTATAATGAAGGTTTTTACCTAACAAATTGAATGAAGTGAAAAATTACGAAAATTAATGTGGGAGTTTCGAAGTGGCAAACGAAAGGTCAACTAACGGTATAAAATTAATTCCAACCATCCATCGTTGAGCGTGAAAACTAATTTATAAAGATCAAATGTTCGCACCCAAATTCTGAACCAAAAAAAGTAACAACATCTCGTTCCTATGCTGAGGAACCGTGAAAAATTAGAGAAATCTCTTTCGAACACTGTTCAATCGTACGAGAATTGATTAAACGTCATTTGTTATGGCTGGCAGCGGAGGAGTTAGATCAGCTCGTGTTTTGTCATAGTGCTCAAGGTGTTTATTTGTTCACGAAATAAAATGCTCAAATAAGCTTGCAAAGATTTCTTGGAGGCCGCTGGAAACAATCATGTTACGACAATCATTTTCTCTCCCTTTTTAGGTGACAAAAAGGAAAAGTAAAGCAAAAGTCCTCGGCTAATGAAAAGCAAATATTTTTGCTGCTACTGAGTGAATAAAATTCACAGACAATAACTACGAGCTAAGCGAGAAAAGAGAATTGTTTGAGTGGCAGTGATAAATTATTTCAAACTTTTAACGACTCTAATGATTGTTTTAAAAACAAAAGAACAAACATCTTGAAAGGATTATTTATCATTCATTCCACGATGATTTTGTAGGAGAAATTCTTTGAAAGATGTTCAAATATCAAAAAGAATGTCTCAGCAATTTTATTCAGATTAAATTGTATGCTCAAGTGACGTCAGTGAAAATAGAATGACGATGATCCGTAGCAATGGAAATATTAAAAACGAAATCATGCAAAATTTGAATGAAATATTGAAATATGTTTTGATGTGACGTCATTTGCAGATTCATATTTGAACATTGTTAAACAAAATTTTGAGGTAGGTTGTATCAACCGAACATTGCAGACATAAAAAATCAATGAGCAAATATGCTTCTTGAATACCAAATCAAATATTTGTTCGCAGATATTTATTTTCCTTCTTCTCGAGAAAGATTGAAATCGAAATTTTTCCATTTTCCAAATCGAATGAAAATTCATAAAGAAGAAAAACAGCAAAACGAGACGAGTTTATGGAATGAAAACTACTTGGAGCTTTACAGATATTTAAAATTTTCAATTTTCCGGATTAGTACTTCATAGAAATAATTTCATCTTACGTAACGGCAACCAAAAAATGTCATTCATTCCATTATCCCCTCAACAGACGATATGCATAATTCAAAAGCTTAAAGGAGATCATGTTTAATTGAATAATTTGCATATCTCTCTTTGCAGATATCTTTCCTATATACAGATAAATAAATAAGCTTAGATAAACTATTTAGAATAATCTTTTTCTCCCCTATGACATTCAATAATGAATTTTCATTATAATTAAAAGATATTATCTGGAGGTCTTTTGAGATGGAAATACGAAAGGCCCTCATGTTGGTTGAAATAAGATAACAGCTTATCGTTCTGTCTACCAATAATACATTTACAGATATCCAAGTAGAATTGTTTTTTTCCTTCTTTGATTAGAATTTTGCAAGAAGTTTGTTGCGATGAAAACATCTTTGCAGATATCTTTATTAGTCTCCTTTCATATTATGTTCCATAGAACGTCAGGAAAGTCACAAACATCGTAACATGTTTCATCTATTGATAATTTTCCTTACTTAAGATAGCTTGTACGTGTTTTGATTTTTAGGCTATATTTACGTTTCCAAAAGTTTTCCATGTTGAAAGTTAAAATAGGAAAGGAAAGTTCTTGCAGAATGGTCATGTGCGAATGAATAACAATTTCGAGGCGTAATGTTGTTCGTGCTTTAGATCAGCTTTTATTTGCTTTTAGATACGAATCATAAGTTAGACATTTCTAACATAAATGTATTTATTGTTACTAACAATACAACAACCGACTTCAGTACATAAACTTAATAAGAAAGCTGTGACAAATTTGATTTGAAAACTACAACATCATAAAAACAAATTTGAGAAAATTCCAAAACTTTTTTTTTCAGAAGTTCTCAAACTATGCACATTTGTTTTGACTTATCCATTGTCTAGAATCTTATCTTCATCATCACATCAAATAACAAATACCCAAGCAGTATTTTGTACAGATTGATGTTATCAATTTCATCTTGGGTTTATCCGTATTCGTAATTTATGTTTGAGTTGGTTTAATAAAAAATATTCTTCAGAAAATATTTCACGAGAAATTTTCTTTAACTGAAAGAAAGATTTTGAAACAAGATAAGGATGAAGCAATTAAAAGTATCATTACATCGTTAGTCAATTCATGTTTCTAAGAGGATTTCTCGTTTCATATTTCTGTTTCATACATTTATTTGATGCCATGTAATGAGATTGTAATTTTGAAAAGCGAAAACAAACAAAGCGAGAATTGTTCACAAATTTTCTCTCCATTTTAAAGAAAGTGATAGCTTTTTCAATTCGTTTGTAAATTCCACACGGCTACATTTTCTCATTATCATGCTATTTATATTTTGGATTATTGACATAGGGTGTGTGATTACAAAGCTCTTCAATTTACTAATTGAAATTTATGCAAATAATACAGAGCTTTATAACAACGCATGTTTGATGCAATGCTTTGATGGGTTTCTATGTCATGGAACAAGTTATTATAAATTGACAGAAGTTACACTTTGTGAATAGACTGCTGGAAAATCAATAAATGATGAACCGACGTTTTCACAGAACCAATTTCAATTTATTGAATTTTATTTTAGGGTTTCATTGTAAAATCTTGAGGGATCAAAAGTCTCGCAACTTGAAAGCTCTTTTTAAAGTTCGAAGGGAAGTCTTAAAAGTGATTCCATTTCATAAAACATTTCAACAATCAAAAAGTTTTACATTTAGATTTCTTCTTGATTTGAGAATTTTCATGAGTTTTCTATTTAAACATTAAATCAAATCACAAAGTTGTTACATATCAAAGGTGTCGGAAAGTCATGAAAGTGTAACAATTTATTTTATTTTTTGATAAAAGGGAAGTTTTAGATGAGGGTGTGTTTAGGTTGGTTGTGTAATAAATGTTTTATATTTACATTTTGCAATTGGGGATTTCAAATGTATAAATGTGATTTCATATATTATTTTATTATTTCCACTTCCTCATCATACATTTATGATGGGTTTCAGAAGCTTTCGTAATGTATACTGCTTGTAGTTTAAAATTCATGACAATAAAAATGGTCATAAATAAAATATTTCCTTTTTTGTTTGACTTTCACACTTGTGAGACTTTTGACCTCAACCAATCTCTTTATGATATTTTGCAAAAGTTGTGATTTTTATGTTTACTTGCTACACAAACGATGATGAAAATTATCTTGAACGCTTATGTTGTGTCGTAAAACATCAAAACTTCATTTTTTTTGTTTGCTCGCTTCCGTTTGTAGAAGGAGTCTGTAGTGTGGAAATTAAAATGTCATGTTTGCAACAATTTCACGAGCTAGAATTTACATAAATGTCATAACAATTTGTCATTCACTCACTCCTCCTTTCTAACGTTATTTGCTCGCTCAACACAACATATGCCATCGCAGTATATAATAAATGAAATGCTTGACGACCATCTAATTGTATTTATCTAGAACGATTGCTGTTTCAGAAATGAAGCAAAACGACAATGTCCGATAAAAAATAATCTACGTTGCAGTTGCTTGAACGACAACCTAAAAGTACGACAAAAGGCCGAGTTCTCTGCGTTGTTTGAATAGAATCGTCGCCATTCAGAATGGGTTATTTATGTCCGGAAGATGAATTTTTATAGAGATTTATTAAGCTGAATAAAAGCTCAAATGTAAATGCCCTCAACAAAAAGCATAACATAAATTCTCATAAATTCCTTCCTAGGAAAAAAGGGAAAAGGCATCTTTCTATTGCGAAAAAGGAAGGAAAGATGATATAAATTCTTTTACAACGAAACAAATAGCCAAAGATGATTCGACGGTTTGATATTTAACAGATTATTTTATGTGAATTCTTAAGGTTTTTTGTGTCAGTGATCTATGAAGCAAAGTTGGGCTGCTTTTCTCATCAACTATTTTTGAAAGTTTCCTTAAAGATTTTCCAAAACTTTTTCTGTTTCTTCCTATTTTTTTAAAAGAAAAACAAATTTCGTAACAATTTGTTAATAAAATTTGTATGAAAACTAAAATTCAAGAGATAAATCGATTGAACTGCACTGTTGGAAGAAATTTTAGAATCCTTTGGATAGTTGCCAACACTCTTGTTGCTGTAAAAATATAAAACATAACAAAACTATCAAAATTCTAGACAAATATCAAATTTCAAACAATTTTTTACTCTGAAGCTTATGCCATGTCTCGTTATTTCAATTATGTACGATAAAGATTTCATATTTAATCCATTATGAATTTATATCAAATTTAGCTTGTTTCGTTCTACAGCAAATATAAAATCCACTCTGATAAATGAATCATATTGGGTCAACACAAACATAATACAAACATTGTTTCCTAGGAAGTTCAATATGTACAGAACTATTATCTGAAATTAATGATATTTAGTTTACTACATGAACAGTGAACGAGTTTGTTTCGCTATAACTAACATCATGAGAGAAATAAAACTAAATTTCTCTGAGTTTTCATTTAAGGTAATAGAAACAAAACATTTCAACATTCGTAAGGTTAAACATGTTAATTTGTAGCATTAATATCTAATTAAAGTTTATGCCGCATTCTTTAAATCAACAAATAAACATTTCTTAATCTCTTAATGAATATTTTATGCTAATAGTTTGTTAATTCCTTTAACATAATTGGTTAGTGATTGTTTTGAATTGCTTTCGAGTCGAAAGTTTCGACATTGATGGTGGAAATTGAGTACGTTTCATTAATTGTTGGGAATTTGATGAAAAACTTTAGAATTAGAGAAAATTTTGTAAGCAAAATTTCTTCTTCTTGGAACAGATTTTGTCAACTTCTTCCCAATAACTCTGAACAAGATTTACTTAAAGTTCTTTACATACTTCAAAATCTTAACGCGTAAACCGCAAACATTTTTATTATTTTTGAATAAAGGAACATTCTTGGAAAGGTGAGATGACATTTCAAAGCTTGGCTCATAAACTTTGAAGTGGCATCTGATTCTTGAACTTCAACATCTGATTCATCTGTTTCTGCCTGCCTAACTTGGGAAATTTCACCCTTCTTAATAATGTTTATAAATCATTTTTCACATTCAAAGCTAAACACATTAGATATGTCAGAAGTGGAATAGAAGCTCACCCACTGATTTATTTTGTATGCAATTCTAGTGCTTACGATAAGATTCAGTAGGATAAATAATGAGCTGCGAAGCTTGGAGTAGCTTAACGTAAAAAAACAAGAACATTCCCCGCCGAGCTTTGCAATAGAAATGAAACTGCGGAAAAAAGTAAAACCTAATCTACATAAAATTCAAATAAATAAAAATAAATTGTTGTTGAGCGGTGAAATAATGAAAAATTCGAATAAGAACTCATCCACCCATGGTGTGACAATATCTCTTGTCTCCTACTGTTGCTTCTTCCATTCTATTTTACTATTTATAAAAGTTTATTTCCTTTTTCCTCATTCATTTATTTACATTTCATTCGTTTTCGGTCTGTTTGAAAAAAAAGAAAGAAGAGGAAAAAGTTCATCGTCGCTACGTGATATCCAAAAACAGGAAATTACGATCAAATTTACATAAAACGATTTCTTTAAGAATGGTTTAACAAAACTTTTCTTCTCCTATTTTCCATTCATCTATTTCTCTGAAGATGTCCCTTGAAGATTCCAAAAGAATGATATTGATTTTAATGCAAAAGATATTCTTAGAATTGTCAATCGTACTGCAACACTGAATTCTTCTTATTATTACGAATAATAATAGGAAAATTTAATTCTTTAAAATTTGATTAGCAACTCAAAAAATGCTGAAAATTTTTGTTTTTTTCCATTCTTTCATTTATTCATCATGTAAATTTGAATTTAATTACATTCAAAAAGCCACACCATAAAAAAATGTTAAGAAAAGCTTTATAAAGTCGAGTAGAAGAAAAGTTACAGATATGACGTTGATAAATGATTGTGTTGACTTGATGATTACTGTAAACATGATGAGAAGTGATTTTTTATGTTGTCGTTTCGTCTCTCATCCGCCTTGTTGTGTCGTATCATCCTCAATTGTTTTCCTTTGAAAAACAATGAAACCAATTCCTTTACATTTACATACAGAAACACGATATAATAATGTCGTCAGAAAGGATGAATATTTTGAATATTAATGAGTTTACAGAGGTTGCCGCAGAGCTTTTAAGCTCTTTCTAATGAAATATTTTTTTGTTTTGATTCGGTCTTCCTAGGTAGCATGAGCACCATCAATGAGATTGGCATTGATAATCAACGAGGGGTAGTTTCAAATTTAAGCTCTTCTCACCCTTTTTCAACTATTTTAATTATCAAACAATTTCTATATAAAATTACCTTTAAATTTTGATACAAAACAGTTCTTGATGCTTCTTCATTTCCTATCATGAACCATTATCTAAATTTTATCATGAACCGCCCCTTTGGTGAGCACAGAGGCTTACTACTGACTTTTTCCTTCCCATTAATTTTATTATTGATTAGAATGATGAAAAATGTCGTGGGAGGTTGTATCTAAGTAAGATTTTAATTAAAAAACAAATGAGACAAAAAAAATTACTTTTGAACAAATGGATCAAACTTTATTGAATGTTCATTTTTACAGACTTTTTTTTTGTTTACAAAATCATTCGAAAGGTTCCATCTTTAGACATTTGAGAAGAACATGTAAGCTACCAACAAAACCAATTGATGAGATTTCAATTAAGTATTAAAAATTGTAATTTGTTAACACAAACAGAAGAGAATTGAAATGAAATGTAAGTAAGATAATTAATTTTGACACTTCAAAACTCCTTTTTGCTTGCACATCTTCCCCCGACTTCCCTTTTGTGTCAATCAAAACATTTACTGTCATAAAAAAGGTAATAAAATTAAAAGACTTCCAAAAGCTACTTTATGTACATAAAAAAGTTGAGAAGAAATTTGAATCTTCTTAACTTCTTAGGAATATACTTAAAATTAAGCTTTATTAAATAAAGAGTACTGAAAAGTTTCCACGATGAGAATAAATGAACAATTTGGGTTGCTTAGGTTTCCTCAAAAGTCCTCAAAAGCTATATTTATTTAATAAATTTATTTTGAAACTTAATAAAGATTTTCTTGTCTCATTTCAATTTATACAACATTTATGCATCTCATTTCAATTCAATTCCCTTTATTCCAATGAATATTATAAATCACGAGGCAGTGCTTTTGATTAACTCTCTTTATCTATTTGTTGGAAAAACTTTTTCCATTATTCTTTCCGTCAAACAGATACGTTCATCTCTCAATCTTTCAAAGAAATATCACAATTTACATAATAATTATAATTCCATTTCAAGATTTATTTTCCTTTCCCCTTCTCAACATTCACTTACTTGTCTATCAACAAAATGACATTGCAGTTTAAAAATGATTGCAGGGGGAAAAAATGATTCTCTGGAAAATGTAAAGTTTCGTCTTCATGAACATTTATCGCAGGTAAACGTGCAAAATGTAATTTATCTTCTTTCATTCTATTTCGAGTTGTAAACTTTAATATACCCTAGACGATCTAAGCGAAGTATCAAATTTTTCAGCTTAAAGATTTGCATAAAATCAACTTCGTAAACATTTCATATCATGGGTGCGTGTATGATATTTTTATGACTTTTGACTTACGACACAAAAAAAAAATCCATTTCAGCCTTTCGCCACCACATTTCCATAAAAATATTACATTTCACATTATTTTCGGATTATTTTTATAAGATATTATTTTTATTATTTGACATCGCATAGGCTGCGCTTTTTCTTCCATCTCCAAGAAATAACTTGTTTATATTTAAATTGGATTGCGTAATGTTGGGATATCTGCGTTTAGATCTCAAGCATTCACCGTCGCAACCTTTCAATTTCTATAACATTTTCTGTCTTTCATAAAAAATCATGGATAAAGAAAGCATAATGGTGAAATATTGGCGTTTCCTCGACAACATATCTACCACTTCCACATTGAGATATTGAGATGACTTTTATCGATGGAAAAGCTTTGTAATTTCATACGTGAATTGTGTACTCTTGACGTTCCTCTTCCTTCTTTTCATGATACCTATTAAAAGTTCATGGATAAGAATGAAAAAAGAAAAAAAAAATTGAAAAAAACAAGTCAGAAGATATTTTCAAGAAAAATGATTTCCGTGTGGGGGAGAAGAGGGAAAGGAAAGAAAAAGCAACGGCTTTCTCAGGTGGAAGAAAAACTCATTTTCTAGGTTATTAGATTTTAATATTGAATATTGAATCAGATCAGAACTGAAGGAAATGGCAAAGTCGTCGTGAGATAACGGAGAAGAGATTATTGTTGAACTTTTCAAGAAAGTCTTTAATGCTTCTGAAATTTCATTTTATTATATACCTCGCTAAAAGTGATGTTATATCTCCCTGCTGAGTCTTTGCTGTCATTTTATTTTCTAATGTTTGCTGAACTTCCAAATCCAATGCCAAATCTCGATCACATTCAGCTTCACTAAACTCACCTGAGTCAGTAAAGCCATTTGGTGGACGAAATTTTAAACCTTCGTCAAGATTAACATCACTTTCCGAACTGTTAATTTAAATAGAATTAAAAACATTAGTTTAACGACATGTAGGAAATAAAAAAGTTTATAAAATAAAAGAAAAAGAAGAAAATCGACTAGAATTTCATAGCGAAAAAAAAGGACGAAAAATGTACAAATTTTGATGGTCTATTAAAGGATTTAGGTACCTGAACTACCTGTTGTTGCTTTGAAGCATATCCATTGAACGTGAATTATTGGAATCCCTGCCACGACTTCGTTTCTCTGGCACTCCAATGTGTCTTGGGGTGTTGCTTCTTCGATCTCTAATCGGTGATTGATCATTATTAGATTCTGTGCTAGAATCCGGTCGAAATATATCACGTTGATGCTTTACAGGGATACGATAAGTCGGAGCATTACTAAACTCGTTGGTAGGACTTATGCTGGTGTCTGATTCAGAGGCTTCATTATCATGACGTCCTTTAGTAACTCGACTGGCACCGCGTGATATCAGTCTTGTCTCTTGACTCGGTAGACTTTCACGAGCATTACGTAAACGAGCGCTGCTAGCCACAACAGTCATTGATTTACTGAGTGTAGATTCGTCTGTCACAAACATTGCAAGATAAAAATATCTAAATAACTCATACTGATTAAATAAAATTTATTACCATCAGTATTATAGTATCGCTGCTTGTGCCATGATGATTTACCCTTCACGTGACCAAAGCCACTGTTTGGGAGAATCGGATAAGCTGTAGCGTTTAAATCACCCTCAGGGTGTCCAAAAGTTTTAAATTGCATTGTGTAATCCATCGATGATGGTGTATGAACGCTTCTACTTGGTGTTTTCGAATGACTTTGAACCACTGTACGACCACCAGTGACTGAGAATGTCGCATAAGGCGAAATCTCATACATTTCAGAATCGTTGTCTTTATCGATGATTTTAACTGGCGATGCTGAGTACACTTGTTGATTCCTTCGACAATTTGGATCATCTTTCACATCATTAGCTATCGTATGAGACTCATAATGCTCAGTTGATGTTGTTGAGCATAATGTCCCTTTATATCGAAGGATAATAATTCTGTTGAAGTAGAGAAAAGAGGAAAATAAACTCTTGTAACGTCATCAATAATAAAAATAAATATTCTCATAAAAATCATTTGTGAAATGGAAAACCATTTTTATTTGTATGGATTGTTTAGCCATTGCAATAAATATTTTGTTTTTATATGGTGTCGAATGACAAAAGCTATTTTATTTTCATCAATCGATTGCTCACAATCGAAAACGTAGTAAAACTTTTAAATTAAATCAAATGATGTTGAAGCTTCATCAAAAGCTTCTCATTCGAGAAAATGGAAAAGTTTCTCAATCATGTTGAAAAGCTTTTCCATCTGAACTATGTATGGATGAGTGATAAGGTTAATAAAACTTCTTTATTTTCTTTAAGATACCCATATTGATGAAAAAATTCTTTGAAAACTTCAATTACTTTAATATCAAAGTTATAAACTCAACTGGTGAAAAGGTTCATTCATCACTTTCATAAGTTGAGTTTTCTTTTGCTGTCTTCAATTCCACAACGGAATTGTGTTTCGGATTTCTGACCCTTTACTTTTAATAAAGACACAAAATATTCATTCAAACTTACATTACACAAAAGCAGCAAGATAAAATGATAGAGATAGCCAAAAGCATCCAGTCATTTCCCTCGACGAGGGCATATTCAATCTCATTCTCAGCAGGAAAATATTCCGGCATGGGAATTGGTTCTGTAATGAAATTCAATTGTAATTTTATGAAATTTCATATTTTTCTACCTAACTTGAAGAACATATAAAAGTGTGGATATGAAAAGACAAAATCAAATAAATAAAGAAGGAAGAATCTTTCAATTCTATTTTATATAATTTTCTTATCGTACCTCCGGTCAAAGTTGTCGTTGCAAAATTATATTGAATTGAAGTCTTTCCGGCTTCATTTTTTGCTGATATTTTCAGCTGGTACCAACTTGCGCTTTTAAAATCACAAAACACAAGATTATCTTTATTAGCCTCAGAGCTTGAAGAAAAATCAGACGAGACAACAGTCCAACGAATATCACCCAGGGAACGATATTCAATGGAGAAGTGTGATATTGGGCATCCACCATTGTTCCACGATGATAAAAGCATGTTGAGGCAAGTGGTGTTAACTTTCAGGAAGTCTTTCTCCTCCGGCGCTTGGGGTGTTTTTCCTTTTGTCCATACATTTATTTCATCAGAAGCCTGCCCATCACCCACTTTGTTATGAGCTGAAATCTTTAGAATATATTGCGTCCCACACTTCAAGCCACTTAATGTGTAACTTGTTTGATCTGGGGTGAGTTCAATGCGACTCCAAGTTTCTCCAGTTACTCGATACGAGATTATATATCCAAGAATAGAAACGCCACCATTTTCGGTTGCCTCCCACTTCAATTTTATACTATCACTAGTTGCAAATTGAACGTTCAATAAAGGAGCATTGGGAGGCTTAAGAGCAAGAACTGTATAATAAATTTCATCTTCACCGTAAATATTCATAGCTGAACAAGTGTAATTTCCCGATAAGCTCGGCTCAACGCTATGTATTTTCAAATGACCTTTGTCTATAACTTCATAAAATGAACTAAATGTGACTGGACGATCTCTTGTAAACCATCGAGCTCGAGGTGTAGGTAATCCAACAGCCAAACATTCCAAAATTAAGCTCGTCCCTACGGGCACTTTGATTTTCTGTGAAAACGAAGCAATTCTTGCTGGCGCTCTTGAATTCGTTGATTGTGTTACAAGGGATGTTGGTTCACCTTCACCAACCGATGTTGATGCTGTCACCCAAAAATCATATTTCTGATTTTCAACTAGGTTGTGAGCCACAAAGGTAACCGGATATCCTTGTTCATCAACGCGCACCATATTGCCTGTTATAGGAAGAGATAAAGAAAAATTATTGTGAAAGAAAAAAGAAAATTCATTGAATTAAAAAATATTTATCATTAACTCACTTCTTGTTTGTCCTTTCCGGCCAGAATCTTTGCTGTAAACCGTGTAATGAGTAATCAAACCATTCCGTTGAACTGGTGGCAACCAAGATACAAGAATTGATTCGCCTGTCAATGCGGAAGCTTTAATATTCGCTGGAGCTTCAGGAACATCTTCATCAGTCGAACAATAAACCGGAATGCTGTGTAATCCATCGCCAGTTGATGTGAAGGCCAAAACACGAACTGAATAATTGGTAGCTTTCAATAATCCATGTAAATAAGTTTCCATGTTCGAGGTTCGCTTCACTTCACTTGCGGTGAAATCATCTGAAATATTAAGTTATTGTCGAAATAGAAGAACAAACAGAGAAGAATATTAATCGTTAGCAAGCGAACACCAATAAATCATTTTAATGAAAGCCTTTTAAATTATTCTGAATAATGAAAGTAAATATTCTATCTTACGTTGTTTGACCAGTGGTCGATAAAGGACTTTGTAGCCTTGAATAATTCCACCATGAAATTGGAGTAGTGGCTCTTGCCATGAAACTTTGATACTCTGTGATGACAAAGACGTGCAATTGAGGTATTGAGGGGCGGCTTCGGGAACTCCTTCTAGTGTCGTACCCATGACAGCTGTGGACCAAGGCCCAGAAGCAATGCTATTAAAAGCTCGTATTCGAATTGAATACTTCGAGAATTTCCGTAACCCGACGAGAATCGATTTCGTGGTTGCCCATCCATGAACGGTTATTGTCTTACTAACAGTTCTATTTGGGCTACTGATGTAATTTATGTTTTGACGTTCTTCCGTATAATTTACGGTGTAGCCCAACAGTTCTCCATTCCATGAAAGCTTTTGTGGAATTTGCCACGTCACGATTAATTCACCAACGTTTCCAGTATGAACTTGAACATTATGAGGAGCTTCAGTTGGTGCTTCTTCTTGAGTTTTTATAACGATTGGATCGGTATAAGGACTTCTTGCAATCTCATTCACAACAAGCATTCTCATTAAATAAGTCGTAGCTGGATGAAGACCGCCGACAGTCGCTTGTTCTCGCTGCATGCCATCAAAGCTGTCATCGAAAGAATAAGCAAATAGAAAAGTGACAAATTGTAATGACGTTTAAAATTTACCTTATAGCAATATCAATTGATGGCAGCGTAAAGTTTAAAATGTGTGGGCCTTTCCATTCATTATCAGATGACGAGAGAATTGTTTGATGATCATGCATTTGCTTCAATGATTTATATTGAACGAGATAAGAAAGAACTGGAGAGTTGCCATCATATGGTCGTTTCCATGAGAGTTTCACTGTTCGACTCTTCACTTCTATAACTTCTAGATTTGTTGGTGCATCGGGACTTTCTGTGGGATTAATTAATGATCAGAATTAATTTTTAATGGACAAGAAAACTTTCATTACCTTGAACAGCTAAATAAATAAGATGTTCACTCTTTCCAAAGCGATTTTCGGCTACACATTTGTATTTTCCCGAATCATGTCGATCAGTATGACTGATGGAAAGTTGTGATTTCACGCCTTCATCTGTCTTCATTTCAGCAATGCTGATTCGGTAATTATTTAGATCGATTCGATTACCATTGTGACTCCACGCAATATTTAATGGTTCATCACCCATCGCATGACAACTCAACATTATGGGATCGTTGCGGCGAGATGTCACATTTTTCGTAGCAAAATTAAATCGTGCTGGTTCATTAACATTCACATAAATAATTTTCTTCAATCCATTGCCAATGTCGTTACTTGCTTGACACATGTAAAATCCTTCATCGTCAGTTGTAGCGAAGTTTACAGCGAATGTGCTATTTTTAAGCATAACAGCTTGAAATTCCTTCGAGCTTTTATTTTTCCCTTTAAACCATGTAATTGTTGGACGGGGATAGCCATTAGCCTCGCAATTTATTGATATCGGATTGCCAAGCATCACATTTGTATCCTGTGGTTCAAATGACCATTGTGGGGGAACTAAACATTGTTTATTTTATTATTTATCGACTTTAGAAATTTATTTTATCAAGAGGAAGATCAACAAGTTGATTAGACATGAGAAACTGTTTAATGTTTACCTTTTACGAACAACTCAGCAGTGTAATTTATTTTAGCAGCAGAGTTCGTCGCATAACAAGTATATTTCCCACTGTGTCGCGCCGTGATGTCTTTGAAGACTAGTAATGAGAAAAACTCGTCTTTTTTCTCTGTGACCTGATAATGTTTTGAGATGGAAGTGAAATTTAATGTAATTAAGAGTACATCAGTCATACCTGTAAGCTAATTGACAATGGAGAGCCGTCTTTATACCATGTAAAGTACACTGGCATGTCACCAGATGACACTGAACAACTGATTTGTGCTCGACCATTTTCCTGTATGCTTTTTGGAAAGTGAAAAGGCTCAATAACTGGTGGACTATTGACATTTATTTGGATATCACGTCGTGCCTCTTCGCCACTTCTTGACCTAACAATACATGTGTAACTTCCAGAATCGTGTGTTGAATCAACATGAGAGATTTTCAACATTCCACCTTGTTGAATATTTGAAACAACATAGCGAGAATCTTCAGGGAAATCAGAATGATTTAATGTGTTTATTTTGTAAATTAGGGAAAGCAATAATTTTCTTATTTACTTGATGTTATTTCAATTCCTGCTTTCTCCCATCGAATACTTTCGATGGGATATCCGGAAAAAGGACAAAAGACAATCAAGTCTTCACCAGCGATTCCTTTTATTGGACTAATGGATCTTACATAAGGTGGGCCAAATACATTCATTCTTGCAGAATGGTGAACTGATCCAATTCTATTCGATGCTATACACTTGTATAATCCACCATCATCAGCACGAACATGAGAAATATTCAAGTGACTAATGACATCACCTGAGACATCGACGAATTGTCCCATTGCATAACGATGCAAAGAGGTTACATCCAAGATTGGTTGTGAATCCAACAACCACGTAAACTGTGTCAAATAAATGATTTCGTTGAACAATTTTTCACATGAATAAAATATCAAAAAAATGCTTAATAATTTTACCTGCGGTGGCGGAGAGCCGCGTGCCGAACATTTCAAAGAAATATGAGGCCCTGGGCGTACATTTTGTTCAATGAATCGGTAAATCATTTCGGGTAAAGTATCTGAGAAATATAATCAGAATCATCAAGAACAATCCATCAGAATAATTGTATTGTGCTTCTAAATACCCCCAAGCTTTAATTCCCCAGCTGCCTGTACGCTCCCTTTAGAATTTGACACCAAACACTGATAAATTCCTTTGTCGTCTCGTCCAACATCATCAATTCTTAATGAGTTACTTGCGAGAAGTGTAAATCTGAAATCGATGTAATTAGATTAAGAATTAATTTTATAATTAATTAGCCCAGAAGCAACCAAGAAATAATTTACAGAATGAATATTGAATGAGTTAGACAGCATTGAGGGAACGGAAAACAAGAGCCATGAGGAAAAAGAAAGAAATTAGAGAACAAACACGAAAATCATCATCATAATAACTAATCCCATTTAATTATATTCTCTTCTACAGCTTCGCTTAATCCTCCTAAGAGTTCACTGGAGCTATAAACCGAAAGATAAATTACTGTGAAAAGCATCAACACATCATAATGCTACGTTAACTCGTTCACCATCGTAATGTGCTCGAATCCTTGCTAGAAATGAAAAAGAGAACAATAAAAAGAATAGAAAAGGATGAAGGTGGATAAAATAATAATAATAATAATTAGAACGTTGTAATCTCTTTTTCTTTTGCAACCTCTTTGTCTCCTTCTCCATCTCACACTAATTTTGCTTTTCCTAACATTTATCTTGAAAGTTGAATGAGTGAAACCATCAACCCTTTAATGATGAATATTAAAAATAAATTTGCACTTCATATACGTAAAAGCATTCTGAATTATTCATTTTTGAACATAAATATTTATTTGCACAAAAATATGTTTCATCATTTTTATGATGATTATGATAAAAAAAATTTTATTTAGACTTGAAAATTAACTTTGAAGAACTTGAACCTTATAGTCGAGTTTTGTGAACTTTGAAGTTGTTAATGCTTTATATGTGCAAACAGGTTTGTATGTAATTAGTAAGTATGCTAAAACTAAGCATTTCTTTTTTTCTATTTCAACATATTCAAAAGAAAAAGTTTTCGACTTCCACTTATGCTTTTGATTTTATTTTCGTGATTCTTTTAGAAAACGTTCAGTTCTCGCCTTGCAAGAATTAATTAGTTTCTCTAACTTTTAACTTCATTGAATCAGTTCTAAGTAGTTCCAGTTTCTGCTTTCAATAAATCAAATGTACTTAACTTTAATATAGAACTACAAATTGCACTTGAACGGCTGTGCAACCATAAACAAACAAAGCAATTTTCACATTTAGAAATTCATTAAAAGATATTAAATAACAATTCTCCTTTAACAAATAAACATTTCGAATTTATTACTTTTGGTGAACTATGAAAAGATTTTTGAAAGGAAAATCTAAATGAAAATTTGAATTCAACTACAAATAATTGAATCCATGATTACGTTATTAAATAAGTTGATTTCCCTAATGTCAATAAATAATCTAGAATGAGAGTGAAAAGTCGATGAAAATGTTTTATAATTTTTAATAAAGAAACTTGTTGCTGGGTAAATGAATAAAACAAATAAACAAAGTAAGAGAATAACTACATATCACTTAATATCAGTTTGTGAAGCATACAAACAAAGACATAAACATAGATGAGAAAATCAATAAAACATCACAAAGCAATTTGTTGTTTTTTTACTTTCCATCTTTTCTTCATCAAGGTACATTAAAGGCTTAATGAGTCTTTTATCTTCTTTTTGTTAGCAAACATTTAGACTAAAAGCTATGGAAATACACTTACTTGCTACTACCCTGCACATCACTATTTATAATAGATTTTCCATTATGAAACCATTCGATTTGAACGTCAGATGAACCTGATATCGAACAGTTGAAAATTCCAACAGCACCTGAATTTATAATTTGATGTTGTGGAGCAATGTGAGCTGCTAGATACGAATGAACGTTCAAAATTACTTCTAACTTAAGCTCTCCATACTGATTTGAAGCTTTGCATATCTGTGACAAAAATAAGAAAGAAGAAACATTATTAATGAATGAAGAAGATGTGGAATTGTTGCGTGTCAAATAATACCCATCGGCCTGCGTCTCGTTCATCAACATTTCTTATAAGAAGAAGAGTTTGTGATGGAATAATCCTTTGTGAAGATGGCACAGCATAATATGAACCGGAATCTGATAATCGATACCAAGTAAAGATTGGCAATGTCCCTTGAATATTGCATGGCAAGTGAACTTTATTCCCTCTGTCTACATTCACCTCTATTATCGATTTTTGACTTGATTTTGGGGCCATGTTCAAAGGAGTTTCTGTAAGCGTGAGATGAAGAAAATACATGTAAGATCGTTAATAAAAAATGATGCCAAACATCATCACACATACATGAGTGCTGTGGCTCTTTAAACGTAAAGTTTTCTTTTATTTCGAATTCATTCTCATGATATAATTTCACTTCAGAAAAGTTTTTATTGAAAATATTGCAATTTGCATATCATTATCAAATAGCACTCAAATAAAAGAAAGAATTGAAGAGTCTTTCATGAAGCTTTTGAGTTTATAAAAAAGAAAATCTCAAATAACTTTCTATTGCTTCATTTGCTAAACACTCTTGAATTGTTATGCAAACAACAATCGGATCACAATTCCAATATTTACTAACATCAATCTCATAAGCATTCCAAACAATCAGTCATATTCATTTATTTACCTTTTATCGATAAAGATACGGCTTCACTGAGTTTTCGTTCTCCAGTTAATGAGTTTGTAGCCATACAAGCGAAACGTTTTGTAGCATCGTCAGGACGTACATTTCTTATGTACAAATCACCATGAACACTCGTTATGATAAAACGACCACCTGTAAAATTAACAGAGGAGAAACATTTGAGGATTTCAAAACGAATTAATTGTCGGGATAATGACAAAATGGTTGGTGTATGCATAGTGCAATAAAACCCCTAGGGCTGTTGATTGTGTAGAGTAAAGCACATCATAAATTTTTAATTGAATCGATTGCATAATGTCGAGATGCATTTATATATGCAGCTTGTGCATTTCCGTTGCTACAGGATGGAAGTTGAAATACGAATTTATATACATATTTATATATACGTCATACTCGTATAAAAGTATTTATTCATCTGTTCGTGAATAAATTGACAAATTTTCACCCCCACCTCACTCGTAAAGTCACTTCGTTCTCATTTGCAACTCTCACATCACACCGACGCATTGTGCAATGTGAAAATTGGCAAAAATAATTGGGTCAATAGATTTGGACTTTTTGAAGTGCGAAGCTTGAGCGTCATGGACAGTGTTGAGTCTATGAAATCTGAGAGAAAATAGGAAAATGGAGAGTATCAGCATCACACGTTTGTTTCGATGTTTTCATTTAAATTGATGGCGGAACAGACAAAAGAAAAATGTTCATCGTCAAAAGAGTAAAAAAAAAGATAAAGTCATTGACATCCACAACCAACAACTACAAACAAAGCAACTCTGAATGAGAAAAAGTCGAGGATATGAAAATGTTATCACAAAATAAATTTCAATGAAAAACATTTTCGGATGATGGAAAATGAAAAGAAAGGAAAGAGAAATGTGGGGTTTCAAGTGAATGGTTGAGTTGATTTAATGGAGTGGGTGGAGGAAATAGAGATTATCCATCACATAATAAATCATAATGGAGAGTGAAGTGAGTTGTTCAAAACGAAAAGCTTCTCGACTAGCAAAGTTTTTGCTACTGCAACATAGAACATCATTTGAACGAGAGTAAAATTATTGAAGCATGAATTCGAATCTTTTGCTGCTTTCGTTCGCTCAACTCTCTCTCTCGCTTGTATCATGTGTACATTCATGTAATATAACTGTAGCAAAACATGAGAAAAGGAACAAATATTGCTCAACGATGTATGAAAACATAATCTAACATGACAGATAGGCAAATACTGAACATACCAGAAACAAGAAAACTATGAAAGCTTTTTTTTTATGATGGATATCTCTGAAATTGGAAATAAAAGCTTTCGCTTTCTATGATTGAATCTTTTTCAAAGAAAACATCACGAAACTGAAAATATTTACATTTCTTTTGCTGGAGTCAAATCAAAGCTGAACTCCTTCTTGAGCAGCTTTACAAGACTGATTCTTAGATTAATGTTCCATTGACATAATCTGTATGTAACCGAACCGGAGAAAGAAAGAAAAATTTCTGACGTTATCTTTGGATACTTATGGGGGTAAAAAGGATTACATTTTCTTCATGTTTTTACGTTCATTTTCCGAGACTCAAAATCAAGAAGTAAATAACCGGAGGAGAGTAGCTTGAGTGGAAAAGTATACCCTCAGATATATGCATTTGAGTTGAAAGTTAAATGTTTTCCGTAGTTTTCTTCTTCATCTTTTTTCAGAACTTCTTAAATATTTATTGAATATTTATTCGTAAGCCATTTGTTAGTTTGGGTAAGGAAAAAAAGGAAAAAGTTGAGAAACATGCTCTCGAAATTTTCATTCATAATCTTTGAATGATATTCATGATATCGCTCGTATTCATAAATAATTAAGAATCTTTCTTTCGAAATTTTATTCCCAACATTTCATCTAATAAATTGAACAAGACCTCTTAATAACTTATCTATGAAGGGAAGAACATCTCATCTTTGAGAAATAATTGGCACATTCTGCTTCTGCCCTTTTCAGCTATTCATTCTCGATTTTCTTTTGTGGTACGCGCAATTGTATGAATTGAGAAGGCTTCACATGAGTTGAATCCATAAATTGGGTAATTTAATGAAATTTATTGCTTGGGCAAACCAATAACATTAATTTTACGATATCGCTCATTTTTAATTATTTCGTCTCATACATACATACAGGAAGATTGTCGTAAATTACTCTTTATTACGCTATGCTGCTTCCTTCTTTTAAGTAATGGGTAGTAAAAAATATACTCACTAATATCACTATTATCAGTTAAGATTTCTTCTCCTCGATACCATGATGAAATTTCAACATATTCTCGCATGTGTAATGGGACAACACATTTAAGGAAAGCTACATTGTTGAGATATACATCGATGCCTTCGACTTTGACTTCGAAGAGCTGATTAACAATCGCCCTCACATGAACATTTCGACTTATAATTGAACCAGCTTGATTAGAAGCTTGACATCGGTAGATTTGGTCATGGACATCAGAACGATAGAACTGCGATGAGAACGATGGAAATTCTAGAGTTCCATTGCCCTGCAACATTCTGCAAATAAAACATTAAAAGATTCTTTTAAAAAACTTCCGCTTTCAACGTCCTTTAATAATATCATACTTAAGTTATATCTCAAGATATTTTAATATGAAATGTTTCAGATTACGAAAAGGATTCCCACGCATTAAAACCTCCACAGAACAGCTTTTTATGCTGCTAAGATACATAAACATAAGCCAACCAGGGATGTACAAGTCGCATGGCTCCATAAAAATTCACTTTAGTTGAAACCATACCATGAGATTGGATAAGAATTTTATTACTGTTTGTGTCTGAAAATTGAATTTCCATCTCATACATTATTAAGACATGACGTAGCGCAAGTTTACGATGAGTATAAACTCTTTATTTCAACTTGTTGTATCTCTTTTAAAATTTCGATTTTTAAACAAAAAAAATTTCATCAACATATTTGTAGATGTTTTCTCGATTTGCGCATGCAAAGAAAGTTACTGTCAGTCGAAGAAAACAAATTTAGTATTATTTATGTAAATTTTATGATAAAACATGCGCTCATACTCTCACAATTCACTTAACTTGAAATTATGGCAAAGAAAAAAGGTTTTAAATAAATTGAAAATGTTTTGTTAAGTTCTCTACAATTTTTTATGTTTATTTACTTAGATAAAGTTATGATCGTTTACATGAGAAAAAGTAATAAAGCAAACGTTGCATTTCTTTAATTTAATATTTTTTCAACCTTCGCTTGATTTAAATATTTTAAAAAAACTTTTAATCATTTCGGAAATTCTACGAGAACTGTGTGGAAATTGAAGTTTCTACTCGTCCTCGTCGTCATGGTTTATAAATGGAGAAATATTATCTACTCTACACTTCTGATCCTCATTTAAAAAAATCTCTGCCATTGTTCTTGTCAGAGCATTAAATTGGAAAAAAGAAGAAAAAAATAAAGCCAAACACTGCTGTACGAGTTTCACTTTACTGTTTTATGTTTCTGGTCATTGAGGGTAGAAAAGAATTTTCAAGGATGAAAACAAAGGGCAAAAGCGCGGGACTGGAGCGAAACAATCCCCAAAAGAAAAATTAATCTCTCAGTTTTTGTTTTCATTTTCTTGTTCCGGGTTTTCTTTATTTTTCTCATTTTTCGTGTTCATTTCTGTCAATTTTGTGGCAGTCATAGAGAGCAACTGGGGAGGCATAAAAGAGACAAAACTGTCGTAAAAGCACAGCTAAGAAACGAGTTCAATTTGTAAATTGTATTGCATATAATCTGATGCTAGCCATTTGCATATATTTCCGTTTCCTTCTCTTCAATTTAATTTGAGGATAATCCAATGGAGAATGTTTTAAAGAACTTTTGTTTTTCTATTTTCATTTTGTCTCAAATTATTCAATGAATTTATAACATTTCCAGCTTTTATCTTTGTCTTAAAAAAGAAATTCACGAGATTCTTAGCACCAAATTGCGGATTTATTTTTTCAAATTAAATTCTCTTAGCTCGAACAAAAAATCAAAAGTTTGTACATTCTGGTGATCCTTTTAGAAATATTTCCTTCTCTCTTTAATGTTAGAAAAGTCTTTAAAAGATTAAATGTAATACGAACCTTAATCCTGGTATGGAATTCACGATGGTTCCATCTTTTTCGAGCCATGTTATGAGTGGAATTGGATTGCCATGAGCCACGCATGTAATTTGTGTTCCACTTGTGTTACTGAATATTATATGCGAAGGTGGCTCTTGTACAAATGTTGGTATTTGTATTAAGCCATGACGAATATGGTCACTAATTACAATAGATGCATAACATATTTGATAAAGTCCTATGAATGAGAAAGGAAAACATAAATAAATTAAATTAATTTCTCATTTAAATGGTTCCAGGTTTTGGTTTCAAGAAAGATCTTCGCTAAAGGTCCTTTGATTAAACTAAACCAATTACAACTAAAAAGTTTATTAAGTAAAACAATAGAATTGCATTGAGAAAGTTGTAAAGAATCTTCAGTATTTAAAATTAATCCAATAAGGGCAATTTACTTACATAAAAACTAAAATGAAATTTCAAAATAAGATTTTAAACTTTCTTTCTTATATAAAAGTCTTTTTAATACTTTTAATCGTTTTAAAACAGAAACTTTTAAACAAAACCACTTTAAGTTTCTTTGAAGTTTTGAGAATAAGGTTTGGGATGATAAATAATTTTAAATCAGAAATTACAACAACGATATGTTTGTTGTCGCTTTTAATATTACTTAGAGTAGCTTACTTATGTGTGTGCATACATTATGAGCTTTCCATGAGCAAGTTGAAAACAAAAAGCTCAAATTAGCTTACTTTAGCATCATCTAAAATGTCTCTTCCAAAAAAGTTTCAAAAATTGTTTGTTTGTCTAGATCTACGACACAAAAATTTACTAAATCTTTCAATACATTGCTTGAGGTGGTTTGCATAATCCCACATATCCATACACAAATGCCAACAAAATTGAGAAGAAACCAGATAAAATAAATATTTAATTCAAGATCTATTTGTATTCAAGGAAAGATGACCGAATAATATCCAAGATTCATTTTGTATGTTCTAGCAATGTTTTCTTTTGTGACATCATTTATTAACTTCCTCCTTCCTTGGAGGGATAAAATGAAATTTTTGCACTTTGAAGGAATTTTCTCACTGAGCTTATGATACACACTCGATGGAGGAAAAAAAAGTTGTCTGTTTGTTGTGAGCAGAACACCCGAACATGTTGAAGAGTTCTTTGTTTTCCATGAATAAAATATCAATTTTTCACGACCCTAAAAAGATGTGAGGAAGGAAATCGAGAAAGCCACTTTAATTTTTTATCCATAGCCAGATACTTAACATCTCATCCGTAAATTTCCTAGTTCTTTTCATTAAGCTTGAAAGGGTTCTTGAAAATATTCTTATTGTGTTACATTTTCAATTATAATTATAAAGTACGTAGATATATTCATAAATGAAAGCAACTGCTTTTATGCTTCAAATTCTGGAAAAGTGAGTGTGAAAGCGACAATTTCTTTTCTTCTTTTCTACTTTATCACAAGGAAGTGAATAGAAAACCAACGTGCCATTGTTTCTTATATGTGTTTATCATGGTACCATGTTGAATCTCTTTTTCCCTTACACACGACTTTGTTTTCTTCTCCCTTTGATTTATTGATGTCACTCACTTCACAGAATGTTTGTTGAAGAAAGAAAGCAACATAATAAGAATGAAAAAAACATGATGTTGATGTAAGTAACAAAGTCGCGTCAAGCCACCATAAAAGAAAAAAGAGAAGCTTTTGTTATACTTTGTCTTTCAACTTTTTGTGTTGCACATAAAAGCATTTATATTTGGAAATATTTAATACTTAAAAGCTTGTAATGGTGGTTTGAGTTTCCGATTTAATAGGCTTTCACAAGTTATTAAAATTATTTTAATAAAGATGATTAGATAGGATCAAATTTCTCAAAGTAATTATAAGAATAAATTTTAAACAGCTTTCCTTTTAATACCAATTTAAAGTGATTACAGCGGAATAAAATTTATAAACTGCTATGGCATAGCGACAAACAGTTTTATATTAAATTTGCCATTAAAAAGTTTGCTGAACATTCAGAAAACATAAGAAAAAATCTGATGCTTGCTTTTTTTTTCACTGAACGGTAGTAAAACAGAAAAACGAACATCAAAAATTTTCTTTTTTACGATCAAGTCTAGTGAACTATGAGAAATGAAGTTTTCTTACCTATCGTAACGAATACTCTTAAAAAATTCTCCAGCAAAGGCAGGTCCAACATTCTATCAGTGGGAAAATTTTTAGTCTCCTTAAGTACGTCTGGATAAGAAAAGTTCCAAAAGAAGAAAAAAAAACATTTCCAAATAATTTCTTACTTGATTGGGTGAATGAAAAAGGGATGTGGTAAGAAGTTATGTTGCAAAAGTAAAACTTTTAACGAGCAGCAACTAGGAAATTATTTACGCATATTTGAATAATTTTAATGATACCTATTTCAGGTCAGTTATTTTCAATTACGAGTTTACTATCATCACTTTCATATTCAACAAGATAAAGTGAAACTGATCTCAATTAAAAACTTTTCCTTCCACAAAATACAATTAAATATTAATTATGAGAGAGCCAAAAACGAAGGGTGGGTTTTCATTCAAGAAAAGCTTTCGTTTCTTCAAGTTCAACATCAAAGAAGGAAAGTGTAAAATGTTTTTTTTTGTTATCGCCTTTTACTGAAACCAATTTATCTCATAATTATCCAGATCCTTTCTTAAGTGATTTAATTACAAAAACTTCTGTTTCGTTTCTTTTCATAACAAGCTTCTAACAATTTTCAATTTTCACACTGCTCTTTTGAGTATTTAAATTCTTTTGAAGGAAATAATCAGGAAGATAATATGATAATTGGAATTTGCTGCTGGCCATTTAATTTTTATCAAAGGCATTTGTTCGCACTTGTATTGGATGTTTCCTTTTTATTCAAATTACTTTTTTTCCACCCCGCAGCTTTTTCCAAGCATATCTATTAAAACCAAAAAGTATTTTAACAGCTTTCTTTGAGTTTTATTTTGTGCTGAGCGACGTGAAATTTAATATTAATTTGTCTCATTGTTATTCCAATTGAAACTTTAAACAGTTTAAATGCCTTGTCGCGTCTCTAGACGATGAAGCATTCTTCTGCACACAAAGCGCTTCCCTTTCGTCTTTCCGTCGCTAATTTAATTACATTATATTGAATTTTGTAGGAAACGTGATCCACATGAATTTTAATTACACCATTGTAATAGATATCATTTATGCTGTAGAAAAGGAGTTAGAAGAACGGAATTACTCTGAGTGGTAAAAAGTTTTTTTTTAATTAACACTTTTGAGGATTCGTTGAAATTTTGTTTTCCATTAAATATCTTAAATCCCTACAACGATGAAAATTCATCCTTCTTTGAATACATCATTAATTTTATTATTTAGGCAATGAATACAAAACAGAAACAGAAATTTTATAACTCGTTAACAATTTTCTCGTCTTCAACATTTTCCCTTCTCATCACCATCATGTTGTAATTAACATTACCTAAATAATCATTGCATCACTTTCTTTAATCTTCCAAATCACTGACACTTCATTTCAAATTTTTGTTTTATAACCTCAGGTTTTCCTTGATTTCAGATGACTTCTATTAAGTTATTCAGTAAAAAATTTAGCACTTTTACCACAATACTTAATCCTTTAAATACTTAATCTGAAAATTTCATGTGGGCTTCCATAACTTACTTAGAAGATAAACTTTGCTTCTAGCAATTTACACTCTATTTGAAAATTCAATCTACATATTCCTTATTAAATTTTGATTTCTATTTATATATTCCATTTCTATTCTTGTCTATTTAATGAACTTTTCTTTTTTCAAATGGATAATTTAGTGACATTCAGATAGAATATTTTAGAGGGCACATAAATTTTTTTAATCTACATTAAATACAAAGTATTGTTTAAATTTTATTATTCGAGCTCCTTGGACAGCTGCACAACTGAAATAATTTTTTTTACATATATCTAATCACTATCACCGTTTTTCCTCTGGCTATTCCATTCATTATGTTCTAACGCGAAGCACTCGAGTGAATAATCCACTTGTCATTTATGTTCCCACTTTTATATCTTTGTGTATCCATTGTATCCTATTAAGTGAGAGATAGGTAATCCTTCAGTAATCCATGTGTGTATTTGTATCAATTATTCTTTTGAAAACTTTCGTCTAAACGTCTGAACGCTTTTATAGCAAACCGGCAACTGTTTCGATCCTATCGATGCGTATGCTTTTTGTAGAAATCATTGGTGAGAATATTGAATAAACAGTTTGAGGTTCTGTGGTAGATTGAGAGAACTTGAGAGAGCTTTTTAAAGGCTTCTCTCTAGTTGTAAAATTATTTATGAATGAATTTGTAAAAATGTTTGCATCATATTCTTTGAAGAGAATATTATGTTGACAATGATGTTGTCATTTAGAAGGAGATGATGTCTTCATTACTGAGATCATCATAAGCATTTATTGATTTAATTTAATACCTACTAACAATAAATATTATAATTGATTATACCTACTAATTTAATTAAATTTTATAAATATTGAGATTACTTTTTATACGATATTAATGCATAAAGTGATTTATAAAATATTGAAGGGTGTAAATTTCGAGTTTCCCGTTAATCATTTACTTTTAATATTTTTGATTTGTATCTCGAAACAATAGCAAAATAAAAGCAAGTATAATTAAAAATTTACTTCCGTTTGAACGACATTTTTTTGATGACTGTCGAAATGAAGTCTTGCAAACATTTGCAAAAAGATCGCCAGATGAAGTTATTCGTATTAATATTTTTTGTGACAAAATTTGCAGAAAATGCTGTAAGTACTTAATGAGTTTTTAACTACTTTTTTACAAAATTGAGGATCACTTCTTTTTTGTTCCTTATAAGCGACCGGTTCGAAAGTTTTATCCATTAAAATGGGAGAACTGTCCAGTTAAAACTCCAGCAAAAGCATTTCTCAAAGTTCCTTCATTAGTTGTCAACACATTGAACATTTCTGGCTTAATAATTGTGGATGAAGAAATTGTTGGTGACCTTTCCTTTTCCGTTGAAGCCAATAAGTGTAGTTTAAATATGACAGCATGTGAAAAATATCCAATAGTTAGTTTTCTTTTCTTTTTTGGAAACTTTTAAAAATTTTTTTTTTCTGATAATTAAGGTATCACTACGCAACTTTTGTCAAAGATTTAATGAAAAGGATAAAGTTTATTCTGCTATTTTTGACAACATTCAACCTCGAATTCAGTGCCCAATAAAGCCTGGAAATTATACAATTTCACCCGCAACGTTGGATTTATCAATTTTCAATCTTGTTCCATTGGATGGGTTCGTTTGGGTTACAACATTTAAATTTATATCGATAAGTGAAAATGGTAAAAACAAAAGAATTTTTATTTGTATAAATTCTGAAACAAAAATTGTAAGAGGAAGAGTTTAATGGAAGTAATGATATGAAGACAAATAAATTGAAAGACTTTAACTGAAATTTCTGAAAGATAATTTTTGATGTTATTTATTCCCTTAACTAAAATCAAGAATTAATTTTTACATTTTATATTTTTAAAAACTCATCTAAATGTTCCATAAATGTCGTTTAAAAATAGCTTTAAAGTTTTTTTATTCACTTCATTTGTGTTTACGACTCATTACACTTGGAAAAAACTTTAGTTAGAAATGATTTCTGAATAAGATAACAAATGAATTAAAATATCATTTCATTTTTGACAATACTCGTTATTAGATGACCGATTTAAATATTTGACTTTAAGTTAAGTCAGCACGATGAAGATACTGGTGGTGTTTTTAGTCTTCTGGATAAATTTTGCACAAAGTGCTGTATGTGCTCAATTTTTTCGACAACTTCTAAATATACATATATCTAAATTAATAACTTCTTCTAAATTCTATTTGACTAATTTATAGAAACGATCTGCTCGAAAATTTTATCCTTTGAAATGGGACAATTGTCCAATGTCAAACCTACCAGCTAAAGGTTACATGAACTTACCTGAATCGTTTAATAAGGAAATGAATATCTCTGGTATTTTGGTTGTATCTGAAGAAATAGTGGGAGATATTGTTTTCATAATAGAGACGAACAAATGCACACTGAACATGAAAACATGTGAAAAGTTTACAACCGTAAAAAGATTAATTTTAGTTTTTACAAATATAATTGAGAATTTTGTTACATAGCTCAATATTCGGGATGTCTGTGACCGTTTCGCTGACAAAAATCAATTCTACTCTGAAGCTATTGCAGCTATTCATCCAACATTCAAATGTCCAATTAAAGCTGGAAATTACACTATAGTTCCAACAATTGTTGACATGTCAGTAACTAACATGTTTCCTCTCGATGGGTATGTATGGGTGGCAAGCTTCAAATTCATTTCAATAACCAACAAAGGAAAAACTAAGAAAATTGTTTTCTGCATCAACGCAGAAATTAAGATAGTTCGAGAAAAAGTTTGACCTCTGAAATGTCACAATTAAAAATCATTTAATAAACAACCATTTGGGGTTTTATTGCCTTGAACCTCAGCAAATAAAATTTGGAAAACTTTTTGTTATTCATTTTAAAAAACAAATCATTTAATGGAAATCTTTTCAAAATCGTCACGTTTGGCGCTTTTGAATGAGGGGCAGGAAAAATAGTGAAAACTTGGATCGGGGAAATGGCCAATACCGATCCAAATTTTTCCATGGATCGGCAATCTGATCCACGATCTAATATGGAGAAATTGGATCCCGATCTGCATCGGAAAATGGTTCGTCCAACTCTGTTTACGGCTCCTTACGCTTGGAAAAACTTTAATTTAAAATGATTTTTAAATAAGATAACAAATGAATTAAAATATCATTTCATTTTTGACAATATCTAGTATTGCTAGATGACCGATTTGAATATTTGACATTAAGTTAAGTCAGCACGATGAAGATACTGGTGGTGTTTTTAGTCTTCTGGATAAATTTTGCACAAAGTGCTGTATGTGGTCAAATTTTTCGATAACTTTGAAACATACATAAAAAACTATTATTTTGTTTTAATTTTATTTAACTAATTTAGCAACGATCTGCTCGAAAATTTTATCCTTTGAAATGGGACAATTGTCCAATGAAAAATCTACCAGCTAAAGCTTACATGAACGCACCCGAATCGTTCAACAAGGAAATGAACGTATCTGGTACTTTGGATGTTTCTGAGGAAATAGCAGGTGATATTGTTTTCATATTAGAGACGAACAAATGCACACTGAATATGAAAACATGCGAGAAGTTTACAACCGTAAAAGATTAATTTTAGTTTTTACAAATATAATTGAAAATTTTTCATATAGCTCAATATTCGGGATTTTTGTGACCGTTTCACTGACAAAAATCAATTCTTCTATGAAGCTCTTGCATCTGTTCAGCCTGAATTCAAATGTCCAATTAAAGCGGGAAATTACACTATGTTTCCAACAATTGTTGATCTATCAGTAACTAACATGTTTCCTCTGGATGGTTATGTATGGGTGGCAAGCTTCAAGTTCATTTCAATAACCAACAAAGGAAAAACTAAGAAAATTGTATTCTGCATGAACATAGAAATTAAGGTTGTTCGAGAAAAAATCTGACCTCTGAAATGTCACAATTAAAAATCGTTTAATAAACAACAATTTGGGGTTTTAATGCCTTGAACCTCAGCAAATAAAATTTGCAACAGCTTTGTGTTATTCATTTTAAAAAAAATAAATTAATTAATGGAAATTTTGTCAAAAACATTGAAAGAATCTAAAAGGAATTTAAATTTGAAATTTTTCTTGATAATAAAACGTCATGAAAAACTTGAGATTTGATAGTAAATATTATGAAGTACATCTTTACTCTTGTCTTTTTATTTGAAAAACTCGAATGAATTAAACAATGAAGTAGGTGCTTGAAAAATATACAAAAATTTTTCTATTTTAATTCATTCAGAAGTGTAAAACTTTTTAAATATTAAACTTTCCTAACATTTCAATATCATAAAAATTCAACTTTTTTTTTTCAAGTCCAAATTTTGGAAGTTTAATTTTAATCCTTGTTCAAATATCAATCAACATTAAGTAATGAAACCTCTAGATGCTCTTCAACATAGCTTTATAAAACAATTAAAAAATCATTTCCTGGAAAACAAAGCATTCCAAAAAAAGTATAAAAGGTTTTTTGCACGCACAATCGAGACAATCATAATATATTGACGATGGAGATTCTACTGATGATTTTTGTTAGTTGGATGTATTTATCAGTAAATTCTGTAAGTCATTCATAATTAAAACTGAACATATAGTCACAGGTAAACTTTCTTTAACAGCAATATGTGCGAAAATATCATCCTATAAAATGGGAGAATTGTCCAATCAATGCATCAATCCAAGCAGATATAAATGCTCCAGATGTATTCATGAAATCAATAAATTTCTCCGGTGTGTTTCATATTCGTGAAGACATCATTGGAGCTATCACATTTACAATAGATAGTAATAAATGTTCACTGGATATGAGAAAGTGCGAAAAATTTTTTGATGTAAGTAGCTTTGAATTTTTTAATTAAAAATTTAATCATAGTCTCTTTCCCTCAATAGTTTTCCTTTAAAGAGTTTTGTCGACGTGTTAAGGAAAAACATATGTTTTATTCTATTGTATTCAATAGTATCGAGCCACCATTTGTATGCCCTTTTAAGCCTGGAGATTACACTTTAAAACCTACAATATTGGATTTGTCAATAACTGATACATTTCGCTTAGAAGGTTTTTTTTGGGTTGTGAACTTTAAGCTTATTGCAGTTAGCAACAAAGGCAAAACTAAGAAAGTTATATTTTGCATGAATACCGAAACTAAAATTTTGAGAGAGAAACTTTCTAGTTAAACATAAAAAAACTAAAATTTGATATCTATTCTTGTAAATTTTGTGTTCTCTGGAAGAACTTATAAGATTTTAAGAAAAAAATTAATTCTTCAGAGAATAAATTGGAACGAAATGCAAAAAATTCAAAATAGTCTAATAGAAAACAAGTAGATAAACTTTTAAATGTCATAAAGCTTCATTTCTAAAATAAATATCAACATTTAAGATAATTAATTTCAATCCTTTTCAAATGACCTTTCAACTTTATGTGATCAAAATTCATTAACAGCAACAATACAATTGAAAAATGACTTCCTGTATTGAAAAAAATTTCTACAAAAAGCGTTCATTCAAAGTTTCAAGCGAAACTCTAGTCTTCTATTTATGTGAATGATAGTTTTTTATTTTTTAGAAAACTGAGAGAAGTAACGAAAAATATTATCGTAGGATTCAATGATATTCTAAATTTTAAACTTTTGTAATTTTATTTCGAGATTTCTTTTAGTTTCGTTTCAACTTTTGGCAAATCAATTTGAGATTCTTCTTGAAAATTTAATTTCTCTAAGTTCAAATTTTTTTAAATCAAATTCTTCTCGAAAATTAAGTTTATTTTGCAGCAAAATGATTTTCAGTAACAGAGAAACAATTTCTATTCACATTGGGCAATCTGATAATATTACTTCTGATAAAACTTGGAAGTTAAATTTATTGAAAGAAGAGAAGAAATGTAACCAAAAGCATGGCGATAATTTTGTAGCAAAAATAAGTATTATAAATTTATGCTTGTGCTTAAATAAATTAATGATAAATCATAAATTTCTTTACAGGCTGATTATGACCAAATCGAGAGAAATCAGAAAGAATTCAAACGATTTTGTCGTCAACAAGAAGAGAGGATTAACGATCTTGTAAGTATTCTTAAAACAAAGGAGAACCTATCCAAACATGTCGGAAAAACTCAAGAATTTACTACGATTGAAACTGAAAATTCCACTCTTAGAAAGAAAATTGAAAAGTTTCAAGAGAAAGAAAATGAAATTGAGACTGAAGATGATGAAAATCAAATAGGAAAACTACAGAAAGAGTTTGGAATTGTAAAAAAGAAATACGACATTGAACGACGATTATGTGCTCTTCGATTGGACGAAATTGAAAAGTTAAAAGCTGATGTCGCTTTCTTAAGTGAAGCTTACAAAAAGAAGATGGTCGAGTCAGAAACTCTGAGAGTAAAATATAAAAAGTTGAAGACAGTGTTTCATGAACAAAACAACAAATTTATTGAAATGCGTGAAAAATGTAACTGTGAAAGTGTTTCTGAAAATTCAAATCCCGAAAATTAGAAAGTTATTAAAAATTACTTTTAGCATTTGTTATCTAGAAATTCTCACATAACTAGCAATTCATATTAAAAGAATTCTCTATTGTTGTGAGCAATGTAACCTTCAATAAACTTTCGTGAAGTGCCTACCACTATTTAATTTAGAGAAATTTAACTCAGTAAGTTAGATCAGCAATTCAAGTTTTTTGTTAGTTGATTATTTTGTTTCCGATCTTTGAATTTTGGTTTCTTGAATTCAGATAAAGCTTCATCAAGCGGTGAAAAAATTCCAATGCTCTACATATAATCATCAAAAGTTATTCTTTTGTTTTAACAGTTTTATTAAATTTAAATTTGAAAATTATAACAAAAATATACTTTTTATAGCATTCTAGCTTTTTTATAGCAAAAGCTCCTTCTAAGCTTTTGAGTAAACTAAATATTTTTTTCGGTTAATTTCTGTATGTAAAAATCAAACTTAACTGTTAATATAAATATTTTTCTTAAATTAATGTTCACTGAACACGCCCGTTTGTTTACATTTTTACAAGACGATAATAAAACAAAATCATAACAACACAAGAATAATATAGCAAGAATAGGCTATAAGTTGATACATTTCAATCTATTAACATAAAAACTTTATTACCTTAATTAGCTGCATTTTGGAAATTTCCCTCAGGGAATAAAAACCATGAATTGATAAGAAAAAATTAAAATTTCATGAACTTTTATTTAAAATAAAAGCAAAAATCAGGGATTTCATTTGACATTTCTAAAATAATTAACATTACAAAATTGCATAATATTATAAAATGCTTTTGGTGAGGTAAAAAGATGAAAATGAATAATTCGATCGTATGAATTTTACAATTTGCATGGCGTTTTGATTGCGATAGTTTTGGTCTCCAGATATGGTTCTAAACCATCTTCACCAAGTTCTCGACCAAATCCTGATTGTTTGTAGCCTCCAAATGGTGCTTGTGGTGCAACAGCATCATAACAATTAATCCAGACGCTTCCAGCTTCAATAGCTCCAGCAAACATTAAAGCATTGTTAATATTTTTCGTTAGTATTCCAGCTGCAAGACCATAATTTGTACGATTAGCACGTTCGATGACTTCTTCAAAAGTTCTAAATCTTAAAATTGATTGAACTGGTCCGAAGATTTCATCCTTTGCTATGCGCATTTCATCAGTAACATTTGAAAAAACGGTTGGCTGAATGAAGAATCCTTCATTGCCAAGACGTTTTCCTCCAAACTCGAGTTTCGCTCCATCTTTCTTACCAAAGTCAATGTAAGCCAAAACTTTATTGAACATTTCATCATCAACTTGAGGTCCCTGTTCAACACCTTTGTCAAAAGGATTTCCAACTCGACGTTTGCTGACCTTCTCAACAGTTTTACGAACAAATTGGTCATAAATTTTCTCATGCACGAATGTTCGACTTCCGGCACAACAATTTTGACCATGATTTGCAAAAATCGCATTGTAAGCAATCTCAACAGCTTCATCTATGTCAACATCATCAAATACAACAAGTGGACTCTTTCCTCCAAGTTCAAGAGAAACTTTCTTCAAATTGGATTTAGCTGCAGCTTCCATTATTAATTTTCCAACTTCAGTTGATCCTGTGAATGCAACTTTACGAATATCAGGATGAGAAGAAATTGCACCACCAGCAGTGGGACCAAATCCAGTGACGACATTCAAAACTCCAGCTGGAAAACCAGCTTCCTTTGATAATGCTGCGATGTAAAGAGCAGTCAATGGCGTCTGTTCAGCAGGCTTTAAAACAATTGTACAGCCAGCAGCAATTGCTGGAGCCCATTTCCATGAGAGCATTAAAATTGGATAATTCCATGGGATTATTTGACCAACAACTCCAATTGGTTCTTTCCTTGTCATGCTCAAGAAATTCCCATCAACTGGGATTGTGTTGCCATGGATTTTATCAGCAAAACCTGCATAGTAGCTGAAAAGAAAAAACATTTTTATCTTTAATTAAAAAAACACTCATTATCTTGATATACCGGAACGTATCTACAGCGCACTGAATATCAAAGAGTGAATCTTCAAATGGCTTTCCATTGTCCAATGTTTCCAAGTTGGCGAGTGGAATTGCTTCACGTTGAATCAAATCAGCAAGTCTGAAGAGAAATCATCGAAATTTCTACATGAGGAGAATAAAAAATAAATTTTACTTATGCAATAATCGTCCACGAGCTGAAGCATCCATGACACGCCATTCAGATCCTCGGGCGAATGCTCTTTGTGCTGCTTTCACTGCAATGTCAACATCAGTTTTGTCTCCTTCGGCAATGTCAGCAATTTTCTTTCCAGTTGCTGGGTTAATGGTAGAAAATGTTTTACCACTACGAGCATCCACAAATTCATTGTTGATGAATAGCTGAGGATAAAATGTGGTAAAGTTAGAGAAGATTACTTTTATCCTACCATTTATGATTACAAATACCTTAGTAAAGCGAACTTCTTGCCTTGGATTTGCCATTTTTGAACTCCACAAATGTTGATTGTATCAAACTGAAAAATTAATTTAAGAATGAACTAATGAGTCGACCCTAATCTTCGTATTTATACAAAACGAGAAACTTCAAAACAGAAAATGATAACAACACTTTGCAAGTCTGTAATTAATATGAATGAATTTGCGGTATTTTTTCTTAATATCACATTCATTGACTTTAAAACTTGTGAAAAGGATTATGTTCCAAACACATTTTTAATGTCAATAGTGTAGATAAATGAAGTGTTTTTTATTCAGAAAGTTTTCCTTTTAAAACTCAGATATTTACCAGCAATTAATCAAAAAACACAAATCCCCGGTCACAAATACTGAGAGCCGTCAAAACAGAGATTTATTTAAAGAGAATGTCACGAGATGTTTAAATAAATTGAATGAACTTTTGTGTCTTTAAAGGTTCACATTGTAATTTTTAAATAAGTTACAAAGTAAAATCATCTTGCGCAATAATAATTTATTTGCATTTTTATGATTATGGAAAATAAATTTGAAGAATTATGTTGATTTTTATCATAATTTTGACCAGGAAATAAAATAAAGTAAACAGAAATGTTGTACGTGCAACTCAGAATCGGGCCGATCGTCATTTCTTCTCTTTTCACTTTCGTTTCTCTCTTTCAACAAGTCTCTTGGCTCAAGGGGTGAATCATAACAAAACAACAGACAGCAAGAATAGTCAAACCACACACTTTGCTCACTTGTTTAATGGATTTTTTAAGCTGACAGCGTGGTTAGTTAGCTGATTAGTTTAATTATTTTCTTTTCATTCAAAAGAAAAATAATTTAACCCCAGTTATGTAAGAAACATGTTAATCAATTCAAAGGCTTAAAAAATCAGATGAAGCAATTTGCTTCTATGACTTGAACCTCAAGATTTGATATGCCTATCAAAATTGTACATCCATTAAAATAAATGTCTTTTAATAATCAAAAAATGTATAAATTTATGGAATTTGTTAAATGAATTGAAAAGGAAATTAATGAATTAAGATTTTCTTTCAAGCTTTATATAAAATCAAGGGATAATAAAACTTATAGTTAACGAAAGTTCATAGAGAACACTTTAACATGAGTTGCCCCCTACAATTTGTAATAAAAAGAGAAACAAAATACCTATTTAAATTGAACATTAGCGCACGTTCTCACGACAATTTGTTTCGGTTTTTGTTGTAAACAAAGAATGTGATTAAGTTCAAACAGGCATTCAGTAGAGATGAATGAGTCAGATTAAAAGTTTACAAATAAATGAAAAGAGAGATGTTTATTAAAACCAAATATTGTGACATATCTTTACAAACAAACAATGACACTCATTACAAATCTTGATTTAATATGAAACGATTTCCTTGAGATTGAGAACCTTCGTAAGTGTTTTTCATTTTTCCATAAGCGACTCTTGGGGTTTGCGTTTGAGATGAACTTCCTTGCTCATCACTCGGTAGCGGATTGTAAGTGACACGATTTTCCGGTGGACTTCTGGGAACATTTTCCTTCTTTTTCCTAAATCCAAAAAATTTCATCATGCCTCCAATCTTCTCAACTCCATCTTCACTTTGTTCTGATTCTGTTGGCACTGTTGATTGCGCTCCTTCCTGATCATTTTTTGAATTTGTTTCTCGTTGCTTTATCGACATTATTTCATTTTTATGAACAGGTTTTGCATCGAGAAACCTCAACTTTGGTAACCGACTGATAATGTCCAATCTTTTTAATTAATTATTAATTAAACATAAAACAAAGTGGGTTCGAATTAAATTTGAAAGCAGATGAGATTATCAAAAATCTTCTTACCTGTACGCTTCATTATCTTCTTCGACGAAATCTAACTTTATCGCAGGGCATAGCGGATTTCCTAATAAGCTCAAGTACCTGTCGAGAATGAGACGGAACCATAAAGCATCTCTAATTATATGACACTTGAAATATTTACCGAACGTTTGGAAAGCATCGCACGAGATTATCCAGAAGTTGGTTGAGGTTTTCAAGCTGAAATTTACGTCATCAGAATATTGATAAGATTATTTATTTAATGAATCAAAGAAAAGTTCGAAAGGTCGTGCTTGGAATTTTTCTGATTAGATTTCCAATGGAAATTGATTTACAAAGTAATTGTAAATGAAGTTCCATTGCACTTTAAAGCAGCACATCGTTCATTAACCATGATTAATCAAAGCAATGAAACGTGATGTCGTCTGAATGAATGACATTGATTGGTCTAACAATTGTAGACGATAGTAATGATTTCCTTTGTCATACCTTGTTGTTGTTTAATGACAATAAAGTTATATTTGGGAAACTATGCTTGGGAAAAATTGTTGCGTCACTCAAAAAATTATTATCAAGGATGACTTCACGTAGCATTGCAAAACGAGAAATGCCTAAACACAAAAAAAGAATGAAGAAACAACAAAAAAATCCAATTACGTGCTTATATAATAATTCAAATCGTAATTCCATCTTACAATCTAAGGACACAAGAGAATTAGATGAGAAATCCACTTGAGTGACATCTTTGCCGGAAAATTCGGCTATGATTTCTTCGGGAATTTCATCAGAACCATGCTCATGGTAGAGCAGCTAAAAGAATTTCATTTCAAAATAATTAAATGTAAATATTATTTAAAATTTTATTCCCAAACCTTCTTTTCGTTTTCAAAATAATTAAAAATCATTTTTCAAGATCAAAGTCAAATTTTCCACAACACTGATTAACAGACGAGATTTATATTTAAATTAACTTGATAAAATTAAAACTTTTAACAAACAACAAACAACAAAATTTCAAGCAACCAATTTTATAAAATTTTACTTCCCTCTGTTTAAAATTATTCTAAGGCTTCACTTCTCACAATGATTTAAGTTTCTACTCAGCGCTTGTTTTCTACAAAAAACCAAAATAAACAAAAAAAAAGTGAAGTAACGCAGAGAACAAACGACTAGACAAATGAGTTGCCTGATAACATTTTTCGAAGAGAAAGAAAAGAGAATTTGATGTGATGAAAACCAAATCTGAATATTCGTTCTTGTTTTCAATCACGTTGCATGAATAAATTTGAAATTTTCAGATCGCCGATCATCGATGTGTTATGCAGTGTTACTCTGTTGAGTCATAGTGGGTCAATTTTTTCATAAATTATAAAGCTTTTAATCCACGATTGCGGCAATCAAACGACTACTGTCTTCCCCTAATTTTCTTTTGTTTTAATATCTTTTAACATTCAAAGATTATTCGAGTTTTTTGAGAGAGATTATGAGAAAAGCAACCTCGAAACGTTATCAGATTTGAAAGAGTTTTTTAAACGGAATCGTTAAGCTGTGGTATTTTAATGATGCGGTTGTGTATTTAGTGTCCCACAACATTTATTATTGGTGCCGTTGCCATTTGACTTCTTTCGGATGTCTTCACTCAACTGCCATAAGCGACAACAATAAAACCCTTGTTGAATATGCTTAAATGTGTAATGGATTTTCGTTTTCTTTACAGTAATTCATAACTAATCCCTTTCATTTCAATTGCATACAATCGATTTCCTTCCGTATGATTTAATATAATTAATACAGTTTCATTGATTGTTGTTATTTACTATTGACTTAGAGATGTTTCATCCGCTTTCATTGATTTCACAACTCCTCATTACGCATCAAATATATTGAAGACGAGTAGTCGAACAAGCCGAAATCGACTTAACAATAATAAATGCCTAATAATCACATTACGAATTTTCTATTTGACGAATAAATATTGATTTTATCATCAATCATGACCAGACGAAGGAAAGCTATGGAGATCATTGTTTGGCGTTTGCGTTTGAATTACTGTCTAAATGCGTAAATTTCTGCAAATACTAAATCGGCAGTCGTGATTTTCTCTCGCTAATTCCTTTAGATACACATATATGGGGTTTGAGTAACTTTTTTTTATTCACTCAAGATTTTCGCTTTTCATTTGTTAATGGATGTCTTACAATTTGTGTCTTTAATTCATTGCGCACTCATTATCGACATACAAAAGTGTTTATCCAAACTGTGTGTAATTAAATTAATAATTGGATAGTACTTGACGTGGGTTTTAACTCATTCACTACCCACACCCAATATTGTTCAATAGAGAAATTGATGATCGTTGAAATAATGAATTTTTCTCTCTAACCAAAATGCCAGTTATGCCACGGTCGAATGTCAATGGTGGAGTTTGGCAGACATAAAGGCAAATAGCGTGTGACTTAACGAGCATATGATTAGCATTTATTTTTAACAACAGAAAGATTCGATGAGACATAAATATTGATGTCGCTGCATTCAATCAACCAAATTCATTCGATAACCAACCAAAACAACAAAGTAAAAACAAAAACTCAAAATTCGGGTCTCGAAGCATCTTTTTAAAGTGATTTTGTTTGTCTCCCTCGGATTTTCTCAAGATTATTATGTTGCATATCATAAAACTACTTCGTTTGAATGCATTAAAAATTATGGATGAGAGTCACGAATGCCGACTCACTAAATTCTTACAGGAAACTTGCAAGTGAAAGTTTTTTTTCTCTGTCGATGAAAAGTAAAGTCATATTGAATAAAAAACGTGATTTTTGCTTTGTTTTGAATATCATTACAACAGTTTTGTCGGTCGAAAATACAAGATCATAACTGTTATTGTATCCATCGAAATAAATGTCATAATCCAATGCGTATTCATTGAGTGTAATAATTAAGGTGATGGCACTTGAGTACCCGCCCTGCTTCTTCATTGATTTTTGTTTCCTTTGTTAAATGAAGAAGATAAAATTACGAAACGAAATCTGATTTTGAATTCAAGATGCCAAGCAAATTTCTAAATGCTCAAAGCAAACAGCAACAGGTCAACGATATTGGAAATATTAATTTTTTTCTTTTTTGCACAACTTATCGTTTAGAAAAACGCAAAATTATGTAAATTATTAGTTTTGAATTCACTCCGCATATCACCCTGAAAAGCAAGTCTAAACAGCATCAATGATCAAGCAAAAAACGAATGCTGAGCATCGTTGACATACAAATTTGACAATAAAAAAAAGTGAAAATTATTCGAGGTGAAACGAGAAATTTTTTCTACTTTGGTTCGTGTTATGTGATGAATTGATTTGACCCCTTAGAGATCTTGAACTCTTGCGAAGCAAGCAGACATTAACGCTTATGGGAATGAAATGGAAATCTCACTGAAATTTAATTAAAAGAAAAGAAGATAAAGAAACACTTTTATTTTCATTTGTCACAGTTGATTTTTTATTTCTTCGTTTTTTAAAAAATCGTCTTATGTAAAAGTATTAAAAATCTTTAACAATATTTACAAACAACAATAACAACAGCATTGTTATGGCCTTAGTAGAAATTTCCTTCGATGCGAAACGACAGGCGAGTCATCTCCTTTAGTTATGGTTCGTTTTTAATGTTCAGTCCACGATTTGTTTTGTTTTTGGGGTCAATTTATGCACAATAATTTAAGAATTTGCTGGAACGTGGGATGGGATGAAGGAGAATTATCACATTTCGACTGCTTATTTCTTGTGGGGAGGTCCGTAGCTTGCTTGTGGGTTTGCTGGTGCAGCACCGAAACTAGCACCGCCAGCAGAGAAACCACCACCTGAAGAAAGCCCAGCACCGCCTGATCCTGATGAGAATCCACCGCCACTGCCTGAAGAGAATCCACCGCCGCTGCCTGAAGAGAATCCACCACTGCTTCCACCTCCGAAGCCACCGCCGCCGCCTCCGCCGCCGCCTGATGAGAAACCACCACTTGATGCGCCTAAACGATGAGAAATTAAAAAGTTTCATAATTAAATTTACAACTTTTTTGGGAAATATTCATTTTAATGTTCTTACCTGAGAATCCAGCACCGCCACCTTCCTTTTGTGTCTTGTATTTGATGAAGTAAACTTCTGGTTTGTTGACTGGAGCTGCTTGTGCTGCTTCTGGTTGGTTGAAAACTGCTTCTTCTGGTTTCTTGACCAAAACGTAGATAAGAGTCTTCTCTTCGTTGAGAGCTTGAGCGGCTTGGAGTTGTTGTTGAACTGATGGAGCTGATGGGGCCTTAATGAAGATAATTTTGTAGTGTTTACGTGCCTGAACGGCTTGTTGTGCTTGTTGGAATTGTTGAGCTTCATCCTCTGGTGGTGGTACATGAACATAACTGTTAGAAAGAAAATAAAATTAATAAAAGTTATCATTTTAATTAACAATTATCTTACATGTGTTTTTGAACGATGGTTTGTTGGCCACCTCCGAATCCGCCACCGAATCCGCCGCCGCTTCCACCTCCGAATCCACCGCCGCTTCCACCTCCGAAGCCAACACCGCTTCCACCTCCGAAGCCACCACCGCTTCCACCTCCGAAGCCACCGCCGCTTCCACCTCCGAAGCCACCACCTCCAAATCCACCACTGCTTCCACCTCCGAAGCTAGATCCACCTGATGAGAATCCACCGCCTGATGAGAATCCACCGCCGTGTCCACCACCGCCATGTCCACCTCCGAAGCTTGATCCACCTGATGAGAATCCACCAGATGAGTGTCCACCAGAGTGTCCTCCGGATGGGCGGTTGTAGTTATAACCTCCAGGTGCTTCTGGACGTGCAGTGGCAACAGCGATAACAGCTAATAAAACAAAAACCCTCATCTCTATATCTTTATCCTTTCAACCGTAAAGTGTGAACCGATGAAGAAAAGTAAAACGACTGATGATGCTTTTTGATGGAGAATTTGTATTTATATGAATTTCATTTGTATTGAGTGTTAACATTTTTCGTGGTTTCATCTCTTCCAACATATAAGCATTTTTTGAGAAGAGTTTGCCATTGAGTAAATCATCGTATAACAATCAGTTTATGTCGTTGAATAAGTGTGTTGTTGAGATAAGTTGGCCCTTGGTGGGAAATTTTATTTTCCACTTTAAATCCACTAATGCACGATGTGAACCTAAGGTTTATTAGATTTTAATTTGAATTTTATTACATGGGTTGAGCTGTACTTACAACATTTTAATTCCAACTTTACGAATTTTCTTAGCGATAAAAAATTATCATGATTTTTAGTGGGGAAAGTAAAAAAAATGTAGACGAGTGTTTGCAAAAGATGACAATTTTTTGTCTAAACTTGCGTTCATTCAGAAGATGCAGGTGGCCCAGTAAATACTAAACTTTATTTGGCAGACTAAAAAAATGTAGCAGATTGATAACATTTAGAGACATATTTGAATATTTATGCAATCATGCAATCGTCCGTCGAAGAATCAACTCTTGAATTAGGAGTGGTTGGACACTATTTCATCATAACTAATTTTTTAAACCCAATTTTTTGCTCTCTATAATAGATGCTGACCGGTGTATGATAAATTTTACGACTGATTAAAATATTCATCAAGCACCTTATTCGATTTCCTTTATCACAATGTTACTTCAGATGCTGATAAACCGATAAATGTTTTGTTTTTTAAATGGTACCTAAGAGGAAATTTCATTGGAGATCATTTTTTCATTTCTTCAACAAAAAAAATTAGAAATGCATCGAAACATGAAAATGAAATAAATTTAAGTTAATCTTCAGAATGAAGAGTTTGAAGTTTTAAGTATCATAAACATCATCAAATTAAAAGCTTTAGTAGCTAAATAAAGCAAAGTCAAGAACAAATGCTTCTTCAAATGAATTGTGACTTTCATAATGAGTGGTCATTAATAATTTTTTAGCGCTCCTATTGATATCAATTTGTATTCCGGAATCGCTATGTAGATAAACATAAATAAATTTATTGATTAAGGTGTCGTTTAATTTAATGACGAATTCATGAAAGACATAAAGAAAACTCTCATTACATAATGTTGATTAATGCAATGTTTCATGAATTTTGATGATCACAAATTATAAATAACTTAAATATTGCAAAGGGAAAATAATAAAATGGAAAAGGAAATGATGAGTGTGGGAGAGTTTGACACATTTTTACTTTTTCAATTGACATCCGACGTTAAAGATCATTAGTTGGTAAGTGAAAATGAAAGCATTGCGTTGATATTAAACTTGATATTAAATAACATTACGGTCAATGACGATGCTGCAAATATAAAGAATAAACATCACGAATTTCTTTAACGACCTTTTGTAGATTGCTAGTCGGATAACTCCCAACAACTTCTTGACAATTCAGTGCGTTGTTTCGATCGTTATAAAGTTACTGTTCTTGAGAAAGTTAAACAGAAATAAAAGAAATTTTTCGGCGACCTTTTCCCGCTCGCATCTCAAATGTGTTTATGTAATTTATTATTTTTTTCTTGTAATAATAAACATCGTTGTGGCAACCTCCACATTACAATGCACAAACGGCAGGGAATAAAAGTCAATGCCTCATCTTTACAACCGACACATGACAAACGAAATTTGAAAAATCCACTAAATAACTAAAATAACGATGCAATTTGAAGCCTGTTGAAGCTAAAAGCTTACGGGAATGAGCTCAAATTAATCTTAGGGGATTGTCATCATCCGAAAGTTTATGAAATCAAGTCATCAAGCAAAGAGGCGTATATTTTGCACTTAATTTCGACGGAAGACCCATATCAATAGCACTCCAAATGAGCATATCTCAATTAAAATTGAATAAAGCAGAAGTAATTCATGGAACTCTTCTAAATGAATTTCTCTTTTCATTTTTTTTTTGAAATAAAAACTTCAATTCAATGATCATCACAAGTGTAGAAATACAACATGAACAAGCATTTATCTCAGCATGAAGACAAACAGACACAGTTTGGAAGAAGTATATCGTAATGAACATCAATTGCTACAAATCGTTGATTGTGCGCAATGGAACTTAAACATCGCCCACAAAAAATATCGAATAACTTGTACTGTTAACCGACTATTGTATTACGTTCATAAGCGATGCTTTTCTTATCTTTCAGTCTTCATTTGGCGGCTTATGAAATCGGATGCGTGAAAGTGTGTTCAAGTTTTTTTAGCATAAAGTTTACTTTAAAAATCTGATATAATTTAATAATGTTTGCAAACCTCTACATTATGGAAATATGAAAGAAAAAGCCGTCAAACAAATGCCAATCAACAAAAATCAAACGCTGACCACAAAACGATGTTACGCGGCAGACTGTTGATCGGGTGATTTGAAAGAAAAGCATGTAACAAATGATGCCAAATTAATCTGTTAAACTCTAGAGTGGATTTTGGAAAATAAAGTTCAAGAATATTTCCGGTCAATTTGAAGTGAACATTTAAAAGTTTCCACATTGCCATGATCGAGAAATTCTACCGTTTCAATAATTTACGGAACATAAGTAAACAAACCATAAAAAAGTTTTATTAAAGAATTCTTTTGCAAGGTGATCTGTGAATTGGAAGAAAATTGCTTGATTTTAATGGAATAATATTTTTTTCTTTAATGTTTATTCATCGAGAAAATATCAAAAAGAAAAAAAAAGAAAATGTTATTTTTACATTAGAAGTCGTCTTCTTGATGGATGTGATGAGCAGCGAGCTTCCGGAAAAATAATATACTCTACCTTGACATTAGTAATCCCATGAATAATCCTTCCGAGATTCAAAGTTTTCGTCTTGCAACTCACGCGAGTTGAGAGAAAAGTTCATAAAATCTTAAGATATCAATAAAGCCTCACTGACTGAGTTTGATCATAAAGTTGGTATTTATTTTATCATCACCACCCAACTTCTTTATTATGATTGTTAAGAAAAGAAAAGAAGAAATGAAAGAAGCTTAGTGTCGTGGGAAAATAATTTTTATTTTTGCAATTCATCAATGTTCATACATTATGCAGACCTCTAAAACGAAACAGGCGCACATTTATTTAAAATTTCATTTATTTCAAAATTTTCTAAATCGCTTTTAAATCAATACATTGATTGTTTATGCAAAACTATTCGTAACGACCAAAAAAAAATGTTGTCAAAACAGATGAAGAAGCGACATTCGCGTGATATGAAAATGAATTTTTTTATAAAAATTTTGCAACAAATTTCTAACTTCCGAACTAATCTCGTGTCAATAGTGACTTTAGTATAAATACGCAGATAACCTTTCATCGAGACATTGCAATATTTATGGATATTTGATTTCATGGATATGCATAGATAAATATAATCTTTCAGCTTTTCCTAAATCACCTTAATCGATTTTGATTCCACATTTTTATAGTATAAATTCATGTTTGGATAGAAAATTAGATGACGGACCTTTCTGATATCAAATTACTGGTTTTAATTTTTTTTTCCTTCTCTTCATTCAATTTATTAATTTCAACGCTGTAGTAAATTCAAGGAAAATTATCGACAATTGAGATTTAATTAATAAGACAATTAAATGAGCGAAAAGGGACATAAAATGAAGAATATTAATTTCGTGCTGTGTAAATATCTTTGGTAAAAGAAAATCTGTGTAGACTTTGTGTCGTTGAACTGTTTCATCATGCATCCAATGATAAACGTATTAAGCTTGAGAAGAAAGCTCATAAATTTTATCTTTGAAAAAATTATCTGACATATTTAACAATGGTCGTTTTATTTTGGTCATACATCACCTGAGGCTATATCTGCGGCTAAATCCCCTTCCATTATTGAATCTCACGATACTACGTATCACCATGGACATCAAAGCCATTATTTCAGTTTTGAATATTTATCAGATAACTCGCTGTAAATCTCTAAAGAAAGAAGAATGAGATTTGTTTTTGCTAATTATTGATTTACTATCATCTTCAGCAAGCATAATTGTCATTGAAATGATTGGACTAAGTGAATTGTAATGTCTAATATTATTTGAGTAATTTAAATTGAAGTGTACTTGAAAAAGGAACAAACGTAAATGCAATGAGTACATATGTGAAGTGACAGAAAGAAGTGTTAATTGTAATTGAAGTTCTAGTTTCAACTAGCAGTCAACTGAGAAAAAAATCAGATAAATATTTAAATAGCCACTATGGAAATTGAAAAATGATTTACAAGTGCATGGCTACAGTCGCTCTGCAACCATAAAGCAATGGAGATTATCTGAACTTCTAGTGCAATCATAAAAAAAGAAATAAAAGAAATAAGCAGAAAACGGGAGCATAAAACATAATAAACAGAAGAGTGTATGAAAATAAACAAAATTTTAGTGCCGTTCATAAATGAAAACAGCAGTTGATATATTATGAAAGAAAATTTTTCAAGATCTTATCGTGAATAATTTATCTGTAGCTAAGATAAAAGCAAAATGCTTTCGCCAAGTGATGCTGGCATGAAAGTGAGCAACGACAACTTCGTCGACAGCTCACTGTTGACTTTATCATCTTCAAGCCCTCATTTGCATTACAACGAGCAGTTTTCATTCGAACCTTCGAATGACAGTTTCATAAAGCATCTGCTAAACTTTACAGCTGAGAAAGGAGATGGAATACAATCAGTTTTAGCAAATAACGAAAGCTTTAAGCACAACAATGAACAAGCTTTCAATTTTGAAGTTTGTGTTGTTACGCACGATAATGAATCGGCTTGGTTTAGTACAGAATTTCAAGCAACTCTCCATTTCATGTACATAACAATATTTTTGATATCAATTTTTGGTAATGGGATCGTTTGTTTTATTGTTTTCACATCATCGAGGATGCAAACGGTTACGAATTTTTTTATAGCCAATTTGGCTTTGAGCGACATGCTGATGGCGTTCTTTTGTATTCCATTCTCGTTCATTTCACAGTTTGTTCTACAGTAAGTATCATTAACTTGAAAGAAATAATCATTCTTAAACATAGATAATCACGCATTTCATGCTTCAGATGATTATGAAAATAATTGCTAATTGTTTAAATTTCAAATTCCCTACTAAAGGAATAAAATTGACTTTTAAATCAACGAAATTAATTGTATAATTAGATGACAAAGGAAGTGAAATTTTACGCTATTGAAAACAACTGGAATAGAAAAATATTGATCCGAAATTAATTTAGTACATGCATAAATAAAGCTTTTAAAAAGCTTTCCAAATTACCCAATAAAAATATTTTCCCTTGAACTCTCATTCAACAAAAGCTATTTATTTAAAGTTTTTTGACATTAAAATAAGATTTCGAGAGGAATACAAATTAGAAAAGTTTCTTTATTATCCTTCATTGTGAATTTGTTGATTGAATAACGAAATAGAAAATTTTGATGAACTTAATTTGATTTAATCTCATCTTGTTGTCCTTTTATTTTCTTTCAATTCAAGATATTGGCCCTTTGGTTTAGTGCTATGCAAATTTGTAAATTACACTCAAGCTATAAGTGTGCTTGTCAGTGCGTATACATTAGTTGCTATTAGCATCGATCGTTACATTGCCATCATGTTCCCCTTGAAGCCTCGTCTTTCAAAGAGGTAAATATATTTAACCTTTTTACTTTTGCTTTTGTTTGTACATAAAAATAAATCTTTTATGCCTTTAAGCATAAGCCAATTTTTGGAATAGGCTTTGTTTCAATTAGTTGTATTAAACAAAAAATTTCAGTCAGCAATACTTTCAAAAATTCCATCTTCTAGGGTAAAGATTCATAAATATTGCTGAAGTATTCATTACTAAATAATTAGTTAGAGAATTCTATATTTACGAAAAAATTTATTAATCTAATTAAATGTATAGAGAAGGAAATGAATTTTTCAGTATGATTAAATTAAGAGTAATGAATCAAGATTCAAGAATTCTAGGTGCGTAGCTTTTCAATCTGCTTGAGTAGAGAAACAGAAGAAAAGATAAATAAATTAACGAAATCTTCTTCATTGTTTAGACTTTAGAAGACGTTTGGACGCTCAACTTCTTATAAATTAATTGAAAATTGAAGAGATCTGTTATGAAATTTGTTGTCTGTTTTCAAGTGGCATTCATTTTTAGAAAGCTTTCGCAAAATAATTGAATGGTTAGGTAGCTACATAAATTCAAGTTGACAATGTTTTATTGATAATGCAACGCTGTAATTATTAAAAATAATTATAATTTATTGTCAGATAAAATTGATAGATTGATGTGACAAAAAATGTTTTGCCTTCAGAAATTTGTGTAATTTAACTAATCATAGATTATTGGCGTTCTTATCATGAAAAAAATTCTCACGATTAATTTCCTAAATGAAACGTTGAGCAGTTGCACATGAAAAAAGACCAAAATAAACGCGCATGGATAATTTATCATCTAATTAAATTATGACTTAATGGATTGCCTTGCGTTTGCCATATGTATTTGAAAGCTTATTTTTGCAAAGCTTTTCTGTTTTCAATCATAAAAATTATCCATTGAGACACCTTTCTTAGTTAAATGGCAAAAGTCGGACACACAGCTTAATCCTAAAGTTTAATTCAACAGTTTAGTTCAAACATTTATAAAGCCTTTAAAAAAATAAATTTAACTGAACTTTTTTACTAACTTTCTATCCATCAAAATGATTTTTTTTTACTACACAGTTATGCAAAATTTATCATCGTGATAGTGTGGAGTATAGGTGAGTTCAGAAGATGAATTGTTGAAAGGTAAAATTTAATATGAGATTTAAATTTAGCTTTCGGAACTGCGTGTCCTATCCCAATCGTTTCAACCCTTCATCAACCAAACGAATGGTTTGAAAAATGCGATAGGTGAGTTTATATTTCATTTTATTCACTTGATAGCTTTAATATTTTTTTACTAGAAGTTTAAGTGATCAATTTGCTTGTATTGTGAACCCTCAATTGCCTATTCTAGTGAATTTATAATCCTCTTAATATGATATGAAAGATTGTGTAACAAGCTAGTGAAACATTTCTCGTTCTTCCAGAAGCATTTTTCGTTCCCTAAAGCAACATAAATCCTTCACATATGTATCGTGAATTTAAAATTATTTCATGATTCAGATTCAATATTGCAGAAAGAATTTATTTTCTTCTTTTTTATCACTTTAGTACATATCAACTAAGTACCACCCTGAACTTTATCTATCAACATACGAGTTTTAACTTAAAAAACTTTTCAATTTCACAATGTTTACACATAGAAATTTTTGTGCAGAACACATTTTCCAGGATTTATTTTAATACTTTTAATGGATAGTAACAAAAACATTCTTTTCTCTTTTTTTATGCGTTGAAAAGTGATTAAGAATTCCATCGGATTTGTATACAAACCTAAAATGTTTGGCGTTACAAAATTTATCAGTTAATAAAAACGATGGAATGCTTGAAATTTTCAACAATTTTTTATCGCTTAGATAGATAACTCCTTTGATTTTATGTGTACAACGGAAATAAATTGCGAGCACTTAAATATTTTCCAATTTTTTGCATAGAAAAGAATAATCGGTGCTTTCAATGAAAGAAGCTGAAAATATTTTTCGAGGTCGTATTTAAAGATGAACTATCACGTCGTCTCTAGCGTGTTGTCTACGCTTTGGGCGAGTTGAAAATAAAAGCTCAAATTCATTTACTGACTGAAAAGCGTTTCTTGCACATAAATTACGAAGACTCTTGACAATATATTTCTTTTCTCATGAGCATCACATATCGACAATGATTCATCCACTTGAAATTTTATTCTTTGATCATTCTCATAACTCCCAATGATCCCATCAGACAAATTATTCAACTTCAATTGCCAACATTTCTATCCTTTTATTGATTTCTATTATTTTTTTCTTTTAAAACATCTAAAATATTTCAGAAACATTTGTGGCGAAAGATGGAACGAGAGAGAGCACGAATATTATTATTCCCTAGTTCTGATGAGTCTACAATTTATCATTCCTTTGGTTGTGTTAGTTTTCACTTACGCACGAATTGCTGTTGCTGTTTGGGGTAAGAAGCAAACAAAATAAAAAGCTTAGTCTAATTAAAATAACAATCAATTTTCTCTGAAGGAAAAAGACCGCCTGGAGAAGCTGAAAATTTAAGAGATATGCGAATGGCGCGCTCAAAGAGAAAAGTGAGTAAAACTTAAATATTTGTTGTTTGTTTTTTAAATGTTTAATATTCCGTGGTTTCTTTATGAAGAAAATAAAATAAACTGTTGAATTGAAAGTTGAAGAGCTTTCAAAGTTCCCGCAGCGACTTTTAAAGTTAAAAATATGAAAAGCCCAAAATTTATGTAGCGACTTAAAAAAGTTTTTGTTTTAAAAAGCAATGATAAACTGTGAGCATCCGTTTCAGAAAATTAACTTCGTAAACATCAAATGAAGAACTTTTCAAATGAGCTTTAACCTTAATCAACATAATATGTTTTCACGCGATTTGTAACAGATGATATATGGAATGAAATCATAAGCCAGAGACATATAATGGAAAGAAAATTTGTTTTGACATTACTCTCAGATAACTCGTACGATACATCGCAAAGCAACTGAGGTTGGGGAGTTATAGAATGGGTGAATGTCGCGAACATTTCAATGTCACTATGAGTGTTAATCATGGAGACGTCATCATTGACGAGAATTAATGGAAAAAGTTTAAATTGGCATTAGAGTGGGGGTGATAAAAAATACGAATTCGAAAGAGAACTTTAATGAAAAGTTTATTTTTTTTAAATTACAATGAAAAGTTTTTTTAAATTACTTACAATGAAAAGTTCAGCAGCTTTTTGCTTGAGCAATAAATTTCGAATTAAACTTCAAGCAGTTTTTTAACGACAAATTTCATCATCACTTTTACTCAATAAAAAAAGAAGTTAAGCTTGTTTGGAAGCTGAAAGTCTTCCGATAAGATGTGCACATTTTTTGCCACTTTTGCCGCATTTTGAGTGTTCATGAAGATTGTACTTAAAAACAAGATTGGCTGGTGTACCAATTTCATCTCGATATGCAGTTGATTCGTAATTATAAGACTTTGGCCTTAGTGGTGGTGCTTTTGAAGTTAATGGGTTGATGTAGGGAAACTTAAACATCTTCTTTTCATAGCAATCGTCGCTGTTGCCATGACATCCTAAGCCTTTTGACTTTGGTCGCTGCTTTAAAATAATAATTAATCATCAGATAAATGACATTGCTCAAAATCGGTATAGCTTTCAACTCGAGTTTTTTCTTTCAATCTTCGATATTTATCTCGAGACAGCAACAAGAAGAAAAATTTCTTACATTATCGGAAGCTGGCAGAAGAGTTGTTTGATGGTTTCCGGTTTCATTTGTTATATCATGTCTTGGGAATTTCGGACATCTTTTGTTAAGTGATGCTGACGAGTTTTCGGATTCATTTTTATCATCAAGATTTTGACACAACTTGATAATCTCGTTTCTTGTTGCGCTTGAAATATCAGGCACAGACGAACAATTCTTCATGCTTTCGCATTTTCCTAATGGATTGTGATTACAAATTATTGAGACCTTTTTTTAAGAACTTTTAAGAAGAAAATTGAATTTCAATGTTTTCAGATTCAAAACCTTTTGATACCAATAACTCCAATAACTTTTGTCGTTCTTGTGGATCTTGATAGTCTCTTTTTTGACTCGATTCAATTATGTCTGCTTTCATCATCTAAAATAAAGGATTAAATCCAAAACTTATAACTGCGAATTTAAATTTTTGAAGTTTTTAATCTCAAACTAAACCTCAATTGTCACTTAGATTTGTGATGAAAACCTCTCAAAAAACAATGAAGGTGAAATTTAAGTGGATACTTATTTTTAATTGTATCTGTCAGTGTCAAATAAATTAGATAGTTTAAATCTTATCAGATCAAAGCATGAATTTCAAGCAATTTAAATACATTCGTAGCTTCAATGTTTTCAAATTTTTGATTGTATTTTCCCAAGGGGAAAAAATAATTTTTCTTTTTTTACGGGAGGCCCCACGGTTTTCTAAATAATGAATAACTTTTGTTCTAAAGTTTCTTTACTTTTTGTTTATATATTTTTATTGCTTTACAATAAATTTATGGGTAGCCCAATCTTAATACCAAACTTGAGAGATCTTTTTTAAAAGTTTCAAATAGGTTTAATTATTTATTATTTCTGTTTCAAATTAATTGAATGTATGAATAGAAATTGGTTAAGTTCCTATAAATATTTTCCCAACGGTTTAGATGAATATCTTGAAAGTTTATGTACATGACTGAACGTGTATACAGCTTTTATATTATATCTTGGAATGTATAGATAAATTTCTGGTAGTTATTCAAAGAACATCTTTCTTTGAAGGCAGAAACCCAAACACAGAAAGGAAACAAACATCTTTAACGGAAAGATGTTCTTTAATCGAAAAGGAAATCTTTGGGAAAATGTTCTCACAAATCTTCAAAAAGGTTGACAACAACTAATGTACGAGTTGCGTAAATTTTTTGATAAAATTGGTGTGAGATTCTCAACTAAAGCCTTTTGTTTTTATTTCAAAAAACCGATAAAATTAATTTCTTTCTCTCAACATTAGTTAACATATTTTACCTTTTGAAACAAAAAAGATCTTTATCTTTTTAATTTAAAAAGTTTCATTTGATAAGAGAGAAAAAAGTTTAATTATTTATAAATTATCAAGTGAAAAAAGTAAAGTCTTCAATTGAAAGACTTGCGTCATCAACATTAACTATTAAATCGTGAATAAAACTCCCATTATATGTTAGATGTAACCGCCGTTAAATTGTGCAGAAAACTCTTTCACTCAATCACGACACGAGAAGAAAGATTTAATAAACAATTTTTATAGAGCGCAAATCGATCACGGTTGGATTGTGTAAAATTTGCAACAACATCCATCAATTGAAGTGGAGCGAAACGTCGCTGAAATCAATTTATCTTCATTCACCTTTATGTAACAGATTTGATGGTCATCTGAACTCTATTTTTATTGAGTGACTTTGGATTCGACGAGGCGCAGCAGAAGAGAGTGTAGACTTGTTTCAAAATATCGTACTCTATCCATTAATTTAATTTCTTTTCGCGGTATGTTCATGTATAAAAAAACTGACACAATTCAACGCAATTGCTTTTGTTAAAAATAAAAGAAAAAAGGAAGAGATAGACATTAATCGTCGTTACATAAGCCCGCATCTTGCTCACAGCTTCTGAAAGTCTAATTCATAAATAAGCTGTTGGTAAATTTGAGGCTTTGACCATTTGGTTCCAGCTATGCAAACACATTTATTACATTTTCTATCTCACTTCAACAATTTTTTTCAGCAGACTGTGAAATGATTTTTTTCTTTTAAATTTCTTGTCGAATGGTAAAAAAATAAAAAAGCTACGTGTAACAACAATCATTTTTTCTACCTCGCCACTCTCATTCCAAATCTGACTGATGACTCGCTGATGATGATTTCGGTTGTGTAACCGACTGTATAATTGGCATAAACAGTGCGGAGTCATGAGGAAATATCGCTTTCGTTCTTCTCTTCATGGAGTGCAATCAGATACGCGTTGTACTGTTCCCCTCAGGCCATGCCTGTCATTAACTTCACTATAATACGTAATTATTACATTTTATCTTTTCGGAATCTTCTTTCGTTTTTCACTCTCAACGAAAGGGAAAATGTGGGCAATATGAAACAAAAGAAAGAAAAACTGTTTCCGCTTTAAAATGGTTTCAGTTTGTTCGCTTTTTTTCTCGTCTCTCATCGTGAAGAATGATGATTCGTGATAAGCCCTTTCCTTCTTTCTCACAACCATTGCAATGGTCCCACTTCAACTTTGTTGATGTCTCATGTCGCATTACAAAAATTTTCTGCTTTTAACATTGACACAAAGAAAAATGGTAGGAAGTCGTTTTATTAACAAGCAACTTCAAGATATCAACGAGATTTATGTTTGAAAATCAATGTTGATGTCGCCGGTCTTTCTTAACTGAACTGAGGGAGTCACGAAGGATTATCTTACGAGATTGATTAAATTACCCACCATCAAATAAAACTTGTGAAGACGAAAGCCTCGTGAATTTGATTAACGAAACTTTTTTAACATTGATTGATACTTATGCAAATTAAACGAATTATCAAATATTGTCTGATGTCTGACCTCTGTAATGTTGCAACTTACAACCTCAGACATGAATGGCGCCCTGATTGTTACATGAAAGCTTCACATTCTTGTGGTTTTGAAACATTTCGGTGGTTTATGGTAACACGAAACATTTTTTTTTATAAAAAATTAACCACAAAACTGATGATTGAAGAAAAATTCTCTTCGATAATTTAACAGAATTAACTTTCCATTTCAAACAAATATTGTCTCACTTTCATACATAACTGCGGGAATGTTTAACATTTATATTGAGGCAATAAATTTAAAAATGCAACATACAGCTTCTTTACGATCACCATAAGTAACAGTTTTGTGAAGGTTTTGCAAAATAACTTTCAAACAAATATTTTTCGATGAAAGTGACTTCTAGATTTGCAAATTCCTCGCATCTTCAACAGGCGAAAGCATCCTGATTGCGCATTATTGCTTTCTACAAGTCAGCAAAACACATCAGAGAAAAATAAATAAATAAAATTAAAATAAAAAATTGCGAAATCGCGGATGAATATAAAATAAAACTGACGATATGTGTCGAAATTAACATTTACATATGAATGAGTTATTTTTCTCCGGTCCTTTTTCCGCCTTCTGACGGATGATAATATAAATTATTACGATGACGATCATCTTCATCTCTTATATCCAATACATTTTTATTAATTTTCAACATAATTTAATTATATAGATAGACAGACATTTAAAATATATAAAGCAACAGCAAGCAACGGCTTGACGCGATCGTTTCTTTCTTAACTCTCATTTACTTTCACTTTGCTCTTTTATTATATTATTTATCAGATCCGAAACGAAAAGATAAATAAATGAAAAACAACACAACACGACGACGACGATTGTATGGAATGAAATGACATAAAGAAACAATAAGAAGAAGATTTCATGAGAAGAAAATTATGAGGCTGTGAAAATGCCTATAATAATACTACATTGAAGCGAAAGATAAAGCTATTAAACGTTTGTTGTAAGCTCACAGATGATTGAACCAACTTTGCTATAAAGTAATGTTTATCGTCTTAAAATTATAAGCCTATGATGAAGCAAAGTGAGATGAAGGAAAAGTTCCCACAAGAAACAGAAAAGTAAAGTAGAGCTCGTTGTAATAAATTTAAATAAATTTTTGGAGCATCGTCGTTTATTTCACTGTTGTGCGTTATGATCAACATCATAATCTCCATATTTTCCTATAACCAGCATTCACAATCTTTAAGAAAAACGCGTTGAAAAATTCTCTTTTCTTTCGCCACTAATAAAATTTCTCCCTCATTTTTTTTCTGCGTATCGACGAACGACAATTTTACGAGCTTCTGTGGATTGTGTCACATAAAAAGCTGGGATATATTTTCAATTTCTTTCGTATACTTATGTAGTATCACGATTGAATCTTACCAGCTTTTTTAAAAGGTCAGCTTTCTCAAGACTGAAGTTACAATGTAGGAAGATAATTGCAATGTGATTTCAATTCCAACTCTTTCACCACTATTCGAACGATTTTTAAATAAAGAAATTTCAATGATTTTTTTTTAATTTGTCACCGTTTTATTCTTGCAGACTTAAATATAAGCAATAAAATTATTTTTCATTATTCTAATAACATCTTTAACCTAACGAGAGAGTTTATGAGTCGTTTGAGAATTCTCCACTTTCGAATGATAATTTTTTTTCTTCTTAATCTTCTTCCGCGTATTTTTGTCTTTTTTTTGGTAAAAGGAGAAGTGAATTAAGAGAAGAAGAAAGAAATCAGTTACGAATGTTGTCCTGCTAACGCGTCTTGTTCAATCAAGATGTCTTGATAACAGAACACTTCTCAAATATTTACAAAAGCTTCAATGAATGTCTTGTGATGTACAATGGGTTGATAGGGGGCGGGAGCAGATGATAAAAGATAGAAGACAAGTAAGAAGAATGATAGATTTCTTCTTTTGGATTTAAACGTTGCGTTTTGCCTCTTCATGCATTTTGTGAGATGTCATTGATTGACATCTTCAGGAAGTAGATGAAAGGAAAAACGGAAGTTAGATGTGTTGAGAGTGTGTTCTTGAGTTAACATCATGCTTCATTCAGGATCATTCAAAAATGTTGTTCATAACAAGAAGACTAGACGCGCTTTTGGAGTTGAGTGAGTTGTTTATTTACCGGGTGGGCCATAGCTTGATTGTGGGTTGACTGGAGCTGCACCGAAGTCGCTTCCAGATGATGAGAATCCACCGCCTGATGAGTGTCCACCGCCTGATGAGAATGAACCGCCTGATGAGTGTCCACCGCCTGATGAGAATCCACCACCTGATGAGAATCCACCATCACCGCCTCCAAGTCCACCTCCGAGTCCACCTCCAAGACCACCGAGATCACCTCCAGCTCCAGAGAATCCAGCACCTGAGAATCCAGCACCGCCAGCTTCCTTTTGTGTCTTGTATTTGATGAAGTAAACTTCTGGTTTGCTGGGTTGAGTTGGTGCGGCAGTTGGGATAATAATGTCTTGTTGTTCTTCTGGTTTCTTCACCAAAACGTAGACCAAAGTCTTTTCTTCGTTTTGTGGTTGGACTGGGATGATTGGTGCTTGGTATTGTGGTGGAGATGGAGCCTTGATGAAGATGATCTTGTAGTGTTTCTGGGCTGGTGCAACTGGAATTGGACGTTGGGCACGGATTTCTTCTTGCTCTGGTGGTGGGACATGGACGTAGATGTGTTTCTGAACAATGGCAGCTTGACCACCTCCGAATCCACCTCCGAATCCACCTCCGCTTCCACCTCCGAATCCACCTCCGCTTCCACCTCCGAATCCAGCTCCGCTTCCACCACCGAATCCTGTGAATAAACATGAAAGAAATCACACTTTAATATCAAAGCATCGATCGATCATTACATAAATTCATGCGTTATCGATTTTATTATTAATTCTTTTTCTCTCTTCCTTTCGTTATTCCCAAAATAAAAAAAGCCAAAATGAAAGTATAATTTTCACTTTTTTTCGGGTTTCGTGATTTAATTAACTTTCCGCTAATCCATCAAAAACAACAGTTTTTATTTTGAGTTAACAGTGAAAGAGAGACTGGAAGCTGTTACTTAATTATCGCTTCATCTTTTACACGAGTAACTTTAATTTTAATTCACTTTCAAAACTTTTGCATGAATAAATTTAATTTTTCTCATTGCAACTTCCGTCCAAATTCATTTTAATGAGTTCACTGATAAAGTTCATTCATTCATTTAATTATTTTTTTAGTATTTTTTTTCTTCTCACGTTTGAATGAACTTGTCAACTTATCACTTTTTTTCTTTTGTTTTATTTTAATTTATTATTTATTAACACACACCTCCTCCGAATCCTGATCCACCTGATGAGAATCCTCCACCTGATGAGAATCCACCACCGCCTGATGAGAAGCCACCTCCATGGCCACCTCCGAAGCTAGAAGCTCCCGATGAGAATCCACCGGATGAATGTCCACCGGATGAGTGTCCTCCACCTGATGAGTGACCTCCTGATGGTCGGCTGTAGCTATATCCAGCTTCTGGACGAGCAGCAGCTAATGCCAAACAGCACGATAATAACACGAAAGCTCTCATATTTTCAAAACTATTTTAATTTTTTTTTCTCTCGACCAAGCTGTGTCCGATGAAAGAACAAATGTGTAACTGATGCTTATTTCCAACGAATTTTCAATTTATATAGTAAATGGTGGACTAGGATGGATGCTAAAGCTTTATGAATGCGAAAGAAATGAAATAAGACGTTGAAAAGAAAGAAAATAACATTCACTTGGAAGCAGCGAAGAAGAAGAAAATCACATACATTTTACTTCAGCTTCATCCACAATCTTCTTCTTTTCACCGTCTCAACACATTCACAACGTCGCGGCTTTACACGATCATTCTTTGCCTATATTGTTAATATTTTCATCTTCTTCTTGTTCGTGTTGTTGTTGTTGTTTGTTGTTGTGTCTGGAAAGATTTTGGACATGATGAAAGAGGGGGCAGAAGCAACCAGCAGCAAAAATAAAAAATATAATAAGAAAAAATTAAATAAGAAGAAATATAAAACAAAAGACAGCAAAAGAAAAGTAATGTGAAGAGATCCGAAATGTTGCAATTGTCCCGCGCTAACTTGACGATATAAGAAGACGAATTCATTTAAAATAAGAATGAAATCGATAACGGCATAATGTGTACAATCAAGTGTTACCTCATTCAAAAGTAAAAACAAGAAGAGAGTGGCATAGTAAATTCACATTTAATGAGTCCAGTGAGAAGTTTGTGGAACTTCACATTACAATTCTTTTTGAATTACCCGACAAAAGAAAAATAAGAGCTTCATTCAAACGCCACTCGCATAACATCAGTTGATAGTTCATTGTCATGTTACATTCACATTTGCTCCACGAAAATGCAAAATAAGCAAAAAGAAACAACAATAATAATACAAAACTTTTGGTTGAGTAAAGAAATGTCTGCTTTAAAGTTAATTAATACTTCATGTGATTGCTTCTGATGTTTGATTAACAAAATAATAAAAGGTACAACCTCATCAAATCATGTAGCAACATCTTCTCTGACTATAGTAAATCTATTCATGAACTGAAGTTGTCAAAGTCTTTAAGCTTCTTATCTTGAACTGTATAATGTGCTTTGTGTTGGATTTATTGCCATTTTTTGAAAGACACAAAGAAGAAAAGGAAAAGTGAAAAGCTTAAGCCATTTTGGACAATTTATTATTACGCTGATTTATGTGGCTTGTAATCCAATTTACTCAAATCAACGCTATAGTCCATTTGACATGAGTTTATGCTTCCATCAACTCACGATTCGTTTCTTAATAAATGTCGATAAATACTGACAAATTTAAAAGACAATAAAAATAAATATTGGGATGAATCTAAAGTAAAAGAAGAAAGAAAAAAAACTCAGAAGTTGTTATTAAGCCGATATTTATACTCAATGAAATACAAAAAATTAAATACAATTTATTATGGCTGATTTTCCGCTCGTATAGCTGTAAAAGCAACATAATTATGTGAAGATGAAGCAAGCAAATATTTCTAAGGAGCTTCAATGTTCATATTTAGTGAATCATTTCCTTGCAATGAAAGTTACTCAACATAATCAGAGAAAAGTCCATTAAAAGCCATTTATTACCAACCAACTCTTCTTGTTTCGAGCAACAATTAAGCGTCGCATATTTATTTACGAAGACGAAGAAAGAAGGGAAAGACAAGAGTTATCGCATATTGAGCGAGCGAAAAACGAAAGGAATTTTAGTTTTTTACGTATTTCCCCCATTAAATGTATTCAATACATCGCATCGCGCACCATCCAAAAAAATAAAAAAGATATTCTTGCTCCAAAACGGTACTTTCATCTTCCACAACAACCAGTTTTCAATAAAGGTTGAATGAAAACGAAAGTCTCTCGCGGTACGAAATTGTTAAATGTATCTTCCCATCAAGTACTCGATGCTTCTTACTTTAGTCATCAGCTGAATCTGTTGTTGATGCGCGAAATGCAATTTCATGATTCAAGAAATTACTTATCCACTTTGTTTCTCGGATTTATTCATTACTGACGTCCTTGCCATCTTCTGATAGGAGATAAAAGTGAATGTTAAAAATATGCTTTCACAATGCAAATAAGCTTTTTTGTCGAAAGCTTTTACGCATTTAAATTCGTGGGTGGGTCTGAACGAAAATAATTTTCGGTAAGAGAAAGGAAATGTTTATGACGTCACTTAGAAATTACGCCTTCGTATGAAGTCAGATTCAAGTTTCATCTTCGATTTCTACATATCTATATACAAACTAATTGGACATTTCCAATGGTTTCATCGTGATTCGTAAGCAAAAATGTTTCTTCTCTGAAACAAAATGATATAAGCGTATAAGCTTGAAGATCAGGAAGTTCTCGATGCATTCACAAGACACGATGAGATGCAGTGCCGCAAAAACATGTTACGAGATTTGATGATGAAGAAGAAACTTCAATATTCATGAATATATTCGAATTAAATAGTGAGAGGTTGAATTGAAAATCACAGCGCGCACTTATCCGTGACGAAATGCGAATGTGCGCTTTTTCAGCTTACAAATTCGTATTCAATGACTCTTCATATTTCGTTTTCGTACAAATTTTTTACTTTTTTCAATTATCGCGATAATAAATTTCAAACGTTTTCTTCTTTCCTCTTCTTCTTTTTTTGCAGATGATCAAGATGATGCTTGCTGTCGTTGGAGTTTTTATTTTCTGTTGGCTTCCATTCAATCTTTTCATGGTGAGAAACAACCTTTTACAACATCATTTTCAATGCCCGCGCAAATTGTTCATTTCTTAATTAAAAAAGTTGGGCTTGTTTCCGGTCCATTCCGAAGTTAATTCATTCCATGGACATTATGGATAATGATTTTAAAGCTTGTTTCAAAAATTTGAAAAGCATATGACATTCAAGCTGTTACAAACTTCTATTAGCTAACATAAACATCTTTTCTTTACATAGCTCCTTGGCATTGATGCCACGTCAGATGAGCTTCTACCTTACCTTTGGTAAGATATTTGAATATAATTTAGTGTAGCATGTTGACTTATTTCGCTTTAATTTCAATTTTTTGTGTGTTTTTTCGTTAAAGGTTCGCATTTCACTGGTTGGCAATGTCGCACAGTAAGTGGCACTTATTAAACAATACACACAAATTGAAAGTTTACAGAAGTTGCGTAAGAAAAACACGACTTTGTTGTGTTGTGTATCATGTGATGAAGTTAATTATTTTTATTTCAAACGATTGTCAGCGAAGGATTATTTAGCAAAAGACAGACAAATCACAAAATAAAAAATTGCTTAAAAAGAGATTTCATGTAATGAAATTACATCATCACCGGATGATTCCCTCTCATTCATATATCATTAAGTTATGTTTGAACTTTTCGACTTAATAATTAAAGCTCTTCGCATTTTTTTTTCTTTTTATTTCACAGGTTGCTACAATCCACTTATTTATTGTTATATGAATCAAAGATTCCGAAGTGGCTTCATTACTATCCTTCACCGAATTCCTGGCTTTGAAAAGTTTTGTTCCAAGCGCTTTAGAGGTACAAACCGATATCCCAATAACGGGGAAAGTATATTTTTAACCTTAAATCATCAATCTTGCATTAACAAAGTTAGCAAAGTTAACACTAACAAAAAATCTAACCGCATTGTTAAAAATGATGATTATTTTAATGATGACGATGGCATTAACGGTACGGATTAAAACATAATGAGCTTTTTTGTCTTTCGCTCTCTGCAATTTTATTTCTATTTGTTTTGTTTATCTCAAGTCGCTTAATATTCCGCTAAAAAGTTGTTTTGATTTTATGAACACAGCATGGTTGTTTACTTTTATCCTTTCATTTAATGACACGAACGGTGTTTGTCCAACTCAATCGCCTTTACGATTATAATGTTATGTAATGGGTTGTTAAGTCAGATTTGAATCATTTGTGCTAATCATACGTTATGTGAGATCAACGAAATTAAAAGTGTGAAATGATGACCGAATTGTGTCTTTTGAAAACTCGCCCCGGTCTTAAATCACTCGGATATTTAAACTTTCAAGAAAATATCACTTCTTTAGCGGTAATAAAGCATCTATTTGGACTCTAAATCTAAACATAACATTTATTGGTTTTTAATTTGCACACTTCATCTTATAACAATAAAGTTTGTGAATAGCCTCATCACCTAAGTGACTTTTGTTTCGCGTAACGTTAAATCTGCTTCAACAAGTTGAGATATAGCTAATAAATGTCAGTTTCGGTATTAAACTTGAACTTTGAATTGCTAAAATGTTCATTCACAAGTGTTTACTTTCTTAATCTGCTTTGCTACCATGTAGGTTGTAAAGTCAGTTTACGGGGTTAAAAATCTTCAAAGAAACCAAAAGTTGAATTTATTTATTTAGAGTGATTTTTTTCTATCTTCAAATCTCTTCGTTTCCTTTGTAATATCTTATTTATCTGAGCCTCAAAACGAGTACGCAAGAAGCACGAACTCTAACAGTTTTCATTCTGTTTCAGAGTAGGGATCAGAGATTCTTTTCCGATATTGGTAACAGATTTCAATATTTAGAAAAAAATGTTGAAGGTTTGAAAGGATGTCATTTTTCACATCACGTTTCACTCTTTACATTCGTTTTGTGCTACGATAAAATCACACACATAAGCTCCTATAAACATTCAAAGATATTTGAGCTTTTCTGTTGAGAAAAGCTCAACACGAAGCTTTTAAGATAACTTTTTACGATAAGTAACGATTTTTTTTACATCTGATGAATAATAATTATTTGGATACCATATATGACTTTACGACTTATGAGTTAAGTAAATTATCTTCATTATGATTTTGACTCTTTTTTGGGTTGATTTAATAAAAATGAAGTTATAATTCCAAAGCATATCAAGCAAAGTTATAAATAAACTTTTGATGTTCAAAAGGGGGAAAATAAAAAGTTTTGCAATGAACCTTTTTTTCTACGTCACTAAATATTATTATTAAGATCAGAGTTTCATTTATATCTGCTGAAATTGAGGGCGAATTTTTTGACTCACACCGTATAGTTTCATGTTAGTAATTTGATCTATTTGTGAAGCTTTTCTAATAAAAAAATTTGTTTTCCTTTTGAAAATAAATTTTAATTTTAGAAATATTAAAAAGAAAGAATTTCCCAACTTTTTTTAATTCAAATAATTTTAATCAATATCTGCATGATTTATGTGACACATCAGAATTTTGCTATCAAAATTTTTATTACCGAGATAAAAAAGGAAATACTTGCTATGATAATAAACACTTTGACGTTTGAAAGCTCTGCTGGATTCACAAGTCTTAACGAGAATTTTTTTTTCGTTTCTAATTAAATGTTTCAAGTATCTTCAGAGAAAGCGAGGCTCGTGTAAAACCGTCTTAAACTCCTAAGAGACTTTGGTATATACGTAAATGTGTCAGTTTAGAACATAACGTCTCGTCCCATTTCAATATTTGACTTGAAAATAATGTAAATTAGTCACAAGATACTCTGAAATCTACTTAGCGACTTAACGAACTTCACATGTACAAAGACAACCTGAAAATAACGCTGAAAATCCCATGTGAAATTTTTAAATAAATATTTCAATTATATTTATCTTGTTTTCTTCTTTTTTAATTTTTGCATATAAAATTTTAATTAGATCCTAAAATAATTTAATGGTTGTCATTATGTTTTTAAATATTTCTCAGCTTTAAATTCTAACGTTAGTCAGTTTAATAAAAACAAAATTAAGTTAATGTCCCTGAATGAAATTAATTAGGTAGAATAGTTTTAAGGGCGGATTCCTTTTCAATACATTAAATTAGTTATATGAAAGGTAGAAAAACAGAAAAATCTTTTCAAATTAAGTTGGGATGCGTAGTAGTATTCAACTAGAAAACAAATGAAGAATAATCAAGTACAAAATTTTTTAAGCACATTTTAATTTTTACGCTTTTTACTGAGAAATCATAAAATGAGAAATTATTTGAAGCCATGTTGACAGAAATACTTATCGTTAAAGGTATGGAAGAAAGCTCCCATTTACATAGAATCAACACGAGTACCATGTACATCAGCGCAAGGCGAAAGCAACAAATTACTGGGAAAACTCCTCAGAAAACAGAGGTTTGTTTATGTTTATTATGATATCAGATAACTTCGTCAACTCGATTTCCTTCAACTATTTACATATTACAAAGGAGACAAGAGTGACAATTCAATTCCAGTGATATTTGAGTATCTAACACTTATGTATGTCTCTTCCACAGACAAGCTGTTTCTGCGAGGAAACCACATTACAGAGATGATATGCCGAGGAAATAAGCGATGAAGATGGCATAAATTGTGATAATGAAAAATCGCAAAACACATACAATTAGGAGAAAAGGAAACTAAATAACTAAATAAATAAAAACTGGATATGTATGTCACTCTGATGTTGTTTATCAACGTTTAGCATGTACATATTAAATGAAATACGAAAATGTAAAGATGTAATAAGTGTAAATTAATTTATGCCACGACTGAAGCGAAAATGTGCTATCGCCTTCAGCTCCAAATCAATTCATGATGTTAGTTATGTCTCAATCTCATTAGATGATAAATATTTGTTTTTGAATTCAATTCAAATTGAATCAAATCACATCAAAAAGAAGTAAAAAATAAATTAGTATTCACTGGAGCGTGTTTGTTTGCAATGTGAATATTTATATTTGCTATCCAATTACTCATTGTACACTTATTCGAGTGAAGATTTTTTTTCCGGCATTGCATACAAAGTTTGTATAAGATACAGATGGTCATGCTTAGCTTGTTGAATTACTGAAGTTCACCGACTCAACCATCAAAGGAAGAGTCATAAATAATTCAGATTATCCGTGAAATTATACATTACCAAAAAAAGAAAGAAAGAAAACGCATATGAATGTTGAGATGCATATTATTAGGTGTTCATCATTTATATTTTCTTCCAAAAGATTCGATACCAAAATTATTAAACCAAAAAGAAAAAAAAAAGAGAGCCATATGAAGGTCATAAGTTTATAAAGTTGAGTAACTAAATTTATTTTATTATCCAAAGAGGAGAAAACAATTTATGACTGTTATAAAATTTGAATTTGTGTGCTGTTACATATTCAATAAATACTTAAATTCTTATGTACAAAATATTTATAATAATCGTTTGTTTTTACTTTTCTTTTATTTGATTATATCATTCAGTCTTTTGAAATTCAATCGCATCAATAAAATTTAATATTTGTTTGGAGAACATACATAGATTATGTCACTTAATTAAAACATTTCTTCGAAACTTCCAACATACATATCATCATCATTTTATTAAGCAGAAGTCTATCAATAAATCAAATTTTCTTGGAAAGTGAAAGCGAGTGAAAAATGTGATTCATTTAAATACCTTGACGAATTTCGCACACACATCCCTTGCATCAGCAACTTAGTCAGCTCATTAATAATTTAAATTGTTTGTTTGTTAGATGTATTTATAGCTTGTTACGATAGATACCATCAATATCTATTTATCATTGTTAAGGAACTAAGAAAATGTAAGTGTAATTTGTGATCAAGCTAATATTAGACGATCTTTATAATTGCTATCACTATTATCACCAAATCGATTATAAGACCGGTTTGATGTCACCATGCATTTGCAGCAAGACGGAAACTGAAAGTGTTCCATAACAGGTTTTCCGTCTTGGTTGATGGCTAGTAAACTTCTATAAATATAATGTTGCTTGCATTTTGACTCAACTCCCAATGGGAAGTTTTGTGAATATTCACAAGGTAAGTGTTGATTTCTAAAAAGAAACAAGAAATAATAATTAAAATTTAATTAAAATGTAATGAAACTGGTAAATAAATGAATATCAAAATGAAGTTTAAATTAATCGAATATTTCTTAATGGTTGATTAACGATTGTTTTGCTTTGATCAATTACACACGTAGATGTGTTAAGTAACTTTTTGAATATGAAAAATAAATGTCTTAGGATATTTGCAATCGAACACTTGCTTCATAATAATTGCATGAAATTAATATTTAAAAATTAATCTTCATTTTGTTGTGATGATCATTAAGATTGTGTAAACGACTTTAATAAATAATATCGTAAAATTAATTGAGAATGATGAACGAAGTTGTTTGAAATTATTATGTTATGGCAATCATAAAACATCAAATCTTGCATCAACTTACAAGCACTCTTCAATAAGAACTCCTTGTCTGTATTTATTATCCTCATTCACAATTGTCAGCCACGTATTTTGAATCGTTTGCCCTCTTTTTGGATGAATTAATCTTTTACGGCTCTGACATAATCCACTTTCGTCTGCATCAAATCTTACCGAAAAGTTTTCGATAAAGTCATCACCGAAGAGATGTTCATATTTTTCCAAATTTAATGATGAGATGAAGTTTGAGGGGTAATTCGGGTCAACTAAGCAATAAGTTTCGCCACAATCTTGAGTTGTATCAATGAAAGTGATTGATGCTTTTCGATTTATATGCTTCTGTCGACTTCCGCCGGTATCAATCTTTCGTGTACGTGACAAACTATCATTTCGGTAAAATCTCTAAAACGATGGAAGAAAAATAGAATGGAAAGTGACTTTCAATGAATATCAATTCGATTTGCAAACGTTTACTTACAATACGTGAATTTACATCATAATTCGATAAGTGATAACTTTGGGGAATTGTCAGCATCTGAAAAGATTTCAAAACTGTTAAGTTTCATTTCAGAATAATAAATCAGTTTGGTAAACAAACACAGTTCGAAGTCTGTTTACTAACGCGATCTATGACCTTGAAAGTAATTTATTCTCAAAACTTTTTCGTCGCAAAAATATTTTGTTTTTGGAACTTACATGCTGAACTGTCATCAACAGAATCACACAGATATCAACTCTCAATTCCATTAATATAGTTCAATAAATATCTCCTAACATAAATTTTACTTCTTCTTTATGACACATTTATTTCAGATGAACACTCTACAAGTTGCTTTCAAACAGTCACAACAATAAAATCATGCTTTTTCTTCTCACAATAAGCGTCTAAATAACTTTTTTTCTTCACCAGCTACAAAGCGAATCATTCCACTGCGAGATATGAAGTAACACTAAGTAGCTTTAACTTAACATTTGAGAAAATATGAAAACATTTAAAGCATTCATACAATGAAGATATTCATTTGTTTTCATTTTATTTACAAAAAATAATCTGCTTCGTTAGTGTTTGCCACAAGGTGGTCATAAAGTTATTAAATTGCTGCTTAAGTCATATGGAAGCTGAAGATTTCAACTAACACATTCACACCATCTGATCGTTTCAAATTTAGCGAGATATTCAAATTTTACCTGATTACACCTGATATGAAGATATGAGAATGTGTTGATGCTTTTTTATTTAAATTATTGTAGTGTTTGTGTGGTGTTAAAAATTATTAAAAGATTGTTTTGGATTTTCTCTCTGTTATTTTTACGTCATCTCATGAATTCTTGAATTCTTAAGTGATTTAAAATGAATCGATTTAAATTCAGAAAGAATGAAGGCGGAATTTGTAGGTTTCGTCGAGTCACTTTTTTAAAAAATAGTGAAAAGAAAATTAAAAAAATTTCTCCAAATCTTTTGTTACATCTTATCAAGAAGAAGTATGAAACTTTTACTTTTATGATCCATTACTTGAGTATGGTGTGATGCTCTTAAAAATTTTACACACTTAAAGGTACCTGACTAGTTAATCTGTTACAGTTTAAGAATATTAAGGTGAAAAACACTTTTAGACTTGTTTTATTACATATCGACAGGAGCCTAAACGGATTCACTTGCCACTCAAAATCTTTGTCTACAATAAAACTTTACGATGAAATAACTACGTAAAATTAAATTCTCAAGTGGGCGCCTAATGGGTTTATGATCGACCCTGGATTTTGGCAAAGGATGTTCTACAGCTCTTTCAACAACAGTGAAAAGTTTTGCTGGGCGGTAATGGGAATTCCCAAACCAGAAATCGAATTGTTGACGAAGCGAGTTCACTGCCGCATTTATATTCTTGTTTAGATCAACTGCGAGGAACGCTAATGAATTTTAATTTTTTTTCGAATATTTTGGCAGCTAAGTAATGAAATTTCGTGAATTAGTGCTTTGAAAGAATTTTACGAAATGTCTTCGTCTTGTAAAATTATAAACTTAATTATGTTTGACACTTTGAATAGGTTGAGTAGGTTGTATAGTGACCCTTCATAATTTGTGATAGCTTTAAGTGTTTCATCAACACGCAATTAGGCATTTATACCTAACATTCACTTAAACATCAATTTAATTACGTTAATAAAATGTTGTGAGTGTTGCTAGAAAGTTGTTAGTTCCTTACATTATGAATAAGTTCAGAGAACTACGTTAAAGGCATGACATAAGTATCTGTCGATATTCTCTCACTCTCATTGTATTTTCTTCCTTCTTCTTTTGTCTAAAAGTTGTCTGTCAACAATATCAATATACCTTAATGAACTAATTTTGATAGGTCGTTTAGAGATTGATCGTGACATAATAAAGTGACCCCCTGGAAAAGTGCGGAGATATACGCAAACAATCTCTTTTACTTATAAAATATTCAGAGTATCTGGTAGAAAGGAAACAAATTAACAGTCGCTGTTGCGAGGTTGTTTCCTAGCTTTTTCTCGATTATTTAAATAATATCTGGGCTTATTGCTGAAAAAATATCAACGACGATCAAAAATTGCAATCAAACGTGAGCTATTTAGTTGTAGCTTTCATGGGGGAAAGGAATCAAGCCGGTAAATCAATTAATCAAATTCTTTTTAAAAAGGGCGCTGAATCAGCTGTCTCAGCAACACGAAATAATTATGACTTCATTTTACATTTATGATAGTTGATCTCTTCATGAAAGTGCCTGTGGATTTTCACTTTTAAAAAATAAATTCATTTGCAAATTTGATTCGTTGTTTTTAAACGACAATACTAAAACGAAAAAAACATGTTTTGAAAGGCTTAGATAGCATGTAATTTTGCAATAAATTTCAATTAAAGCTCGATCGACTTTTGATCGACTCATATTCACAGGAAATTTCAAAATTGATGAATAATAAGTTGAGCCTTCGATAATTGAGAGAAAAAACCGCTTGATTGCAAAACGTCAATATTTATTGTTTATTTTCAAGTAGAAAGAAACGATAAAAATCAATAATTGTTTACGTTCATGTATGAAGACTCCCACAGATGTAAAAGAACGTTAAGAAACAATAAATAAATATTTGTCAAAACAAACACGAGCTTGAACTGAATCAGTTCTTATCATCAGTTCGTTGTAGGTCCAACATTCGAACAGTAGGATAAAAATTAATTAATTTCGCACATTTACCAGTCAATTAATCCATTAAACAAAAGTCCAATTGTGAAAGTGATTTTATGCATAATTAGATGTTTAATTGAAAGCCGTTTCTTAACCCCATGTGCTTTTTTTGTGAATTAAATTAATTTGATGTCATTAAGCAATCGTGAGAAAAAATTAAAGCAAATTTAAAGTCTATTAATAATTCAAAAACATTTTCTTTATCTTATCATTGAAAGCCCATCAATCCTTTTCATTCAACATCTTAAGCTGAAAAGCCGATTCTGTTATCTAAATTTAATTCTTTTATTAGCTTGATTAATTTCTGCTAGTATTCAGATGTTCACGATTCATTGTCGGCAGTGATGAAGTTTTTAACACAATTTTACTACACCTTTTTGTTTACTCTTCTGAAAACATCAACGTCAATATGTGCAGAATGGACAGCAACATTCGAACCGACCCATGTTACAGTTCAAATGGAAACATTTGAATCAATTCAATTGACTTTGTCAGGACTCTCAGATGATACAATAAAAAATATAAACGACCGAGACATCGTTCGCTTGGTTACAGACGATGGAAATGTAGCAAGAGTTGTATATGGAAGCATAAACTTCGAGGAGAAAGAAGACAACGATGGAACTTGGCAGACAATATTTGAAATTGAAGGAGTTTTTTTGGGTATGAAATTCACGAAGCGAAAATAATTCGATGATCAATGATTTTCGTTATTATTTACTCTGAAGGATCAACGAATATTTATGTGGAAATAATAAAGAATTCTGAAGTCGAGACATCATCAGAATCTATTGAAGTTGTAGTCATTCGTCCGGAGCGGCTCTTAGACACAATGTTTTCGGTGACAATTGTTATTCTCTTAGCAATCTTATTTGTCAATTTTGGTGCTTCAATCAACACATCTGTAGTTAAGGAGATTATTAAACGACCCATTGGGCCGGCTATTGGTTCTGTTTGTCAATTAATTTTTATGCCGCTTCTTGCATTCGGTCTGGGCCTGGCTCTTTTTCCTACACAGCATTACTTAGCGCTTGGATTATTTCTTGTTGGCATATCACCAGCTGGCGGACAAAGCAATATATGGGCACTTCTACTAGATGGAAACGTCAATCTAAGCATCGTTATGACAACAATTTCAACTCTCCTTTGTTTTGGTACAATGCCTTTCTGGTTGTTTACACTTGGACAAACAATTTTTGATCGTGCGAACTTAGGAGTTCCATATCTACGCGTTCTTATTGTAGCCGCAAGCTTATTAGTCCCACTTGGTATTGGATTGATTATACAGAAAGTTTTCCCAAAAGTTGGAAAGTTTTTGGTTCGTATTCTGAAGCCATTGTCATTGGCATTCCTTGTAATTATTATTGTCTTTGGTCTGGCGACGAATTTATATATGTTGGAATTATTTTCATGGCAGGTTAATATGAATGACCGGACACGTTCATTGAAGAATGTCTGAAGATACATTTAATATTATTTCAGGTTGTGGTGGCTTGTACGTGTTTACCGCTTCTTGGAAACATTATTGGATTCACAACTGCTAAGCTTTTGCGGCAACCTACCCCAGACGCAGTCTCAATTTCAATTGAAACTGGTATCCAAAACACCGGGCTTACAATGTTTCTCGTAATGTTTTCGTTTGGTCAACCTACAGCAGATATCACAATGGTGATTCCAATTGGAGTATCTATTATGATGCCAGTTCCACTTATTATACTTGTTATTATACATAAAACAAGAAAACAGTAAGATCATTAATTTTACTTAAAACAAAATTAATCTCCAATTATTCTTAATTTTTGTTTACTTTTTCTCAGCTTTGCACAGAAAAAACTCAAAAAACTTGAGGAAACTTCGTCGTCAGTGGAATCAGAACGGAATTCATTTTAAATCAAGGAAAATAAAACCTTTAAGGACATTCAGTGATCTTGATGTTTTAACATTTTGTCAATGAATGTTGTAACTTTTTATTAGATACACTCTACTTAAATATTAACATACGTATTTAGTAAAAGTAATTACATGTGATGTAACAATATTTATTTGAATTTAGAGCGCAAAATATCTGAATTTGAATAAAATTAACATAATTAAGTACGTGGACGGAAATTTACTGAAATTAACATCTTTTAAATGTATCATTCAGATGTCATTATTACAGTGGATGGGATTTTATGAAGCAGAAGTAAGTAAAAGCATGTTAAGTAATTGAAGAAGATTTCGAAATGAAATAAAGAAAGAAAGCTCGAAGGATTTAAGAGCAATTATTTCATTAAACTTTAAGTTGTTGTTGGATAAAAAGTTTTACTTACATAAATGTGTTGGCACGCTTAATTTAGCCCTCGAGACGATTCTTAAGAGCAGATGACAAAGTTTTTACGAAATTAAAGTAATCATCATCTGTTTTCATGAAATTTACATTTAATGAAATATTCAAATATTTAGATAGAAATGAATTAAGAGATTTTACGCCATCTAAATCTCAATTACATACAAAAATTAATTATATTTTATTATGTAGAAACAATTTTGAAAATACCAAAATAAGACAATAATTTCAATTAACGTGTGCAACTAATTAAGTTGTAATTTTCACTTATGTAAATAATGCAGCATTCGAGATTCATTATTGGGACCACAACAGGAGGTGAAGTCAGACTTGAGTGAATTTTCGACAGTCATAGACTGTAATGTTTTATGAAGAGAGCGTCGATTATGAGCTCCTTTAATCCAATTATCTATAGTATCTGAAATTATGTGTGCCATAACCAGATCAATCAGTGACCAAATCTCTTTCACTACGCAATCCTCAAATGGCCAATTACCATTCACTGGTGTTCCTCTATTTTGTCTGGTTTAGCAAACGCAACGGAATTTCATCAGAAATTAAATTGTTGAATAGGAGCAATGAACAATTCAAAAACAATTTAACAACTTTTTCTCGACAAATTGAAATTAAGAGCAAATCTGAAAAGCTCTCATGTCAAGTTGCGCCAACTGGTTTTTCTCCTTTCGGATAAAGAAAAATGCTTTAAAAATAAATAATAACAAAAGAAGAAATAAATACCAAAATGTAAGACTAAAGAGTGATACACAATTGGAACAACTAGGATCGCAAGAGATTAGCCTTGAAACTCAAGTTATCAGTTTCGAACCTCGACCGGTTGACGCTTGTCTCCACTTACTTTCAATTATATGCAGCAGCTTCGGTATTCTGAGGTCGTTTAATGTTGGCATGATATTATCATGTGACAAGTTTAAAACTAACACGATGAGATAAAAAGAAGCAATTTATTACGCAAAGAACCCTTTCTTCAACTTCCCAACATTTAAAACTGATTGTTGTTCATGCATTCACGCGTTGCCAGTTCAATTTTGATTAATTCACTTAGAAGAAGAAAGAAAAAATTTAAGTAAAGTAAAAAAAATCGGTTAACAATCAGCCTGCCACCACTCTCATACTGCATGCTTGCGAGTAAGAAACTTTATAGCATCTATAAGTAATGGTAAAGAAAAAGTTTTCATATTAAACACAGTTTGTATCTCCAGATGTAAAGGTCGTGTGTCTGTTACAAGTGAAGCACATTTTATTTAAATCCGGCAAATAAATAGTCAAAGATATCAATTTTGTGATTAACCGGCTTTGACAACTATAAATAGAGAATATCTAAGTATTATTTTCGCGCATCAAGGAGCATCGCCACTTATCGGAAGCGCACACATTTAAGAAAAAACCGAGAGAAGATACGAACCAATAAAAGAAAGAAAGAAAATAAAACAGCGGTGAAGAGAAAAATTTCTATTTTTTGTTTTTTGAAAGTGAGAGTTGTTTTATGGTAAAGAAACCCGACGTGGTTAAATAAAAAATAAGTGAAGTTCAGTTTCCTCAACGGTTTCTTGCGTAAAGTTTGTGTTACGAGGATTAAAAATTTAAAGTGATTTAAATATTCTACATCCAAAAACTCATCAGTTCTTCAAGCCAATAAAATATAAAAATAATTCAATAAAATGAAGGTAATAAAATTACTAACAACCAACGTACATTATGCAAACATGCAAACAGCTTTAATATTAAGCCAAACAAAGAAGCATTAAACTCATCAACATATAGTCAAATTAATTCGAAATGAAAGTGAAAACAATTTAAGCTGATGACGTCAGAACCAACTAAAGCTTTCATCATTTAAAGAGTATTTAAGCATTTTCAAATGAAACTTTAAGAACGACGACTGTGATAAATTTGAAATGAAAAACATTTTCCAATTTTCTATTTAAAAAGAAATAAATGTGTGGAATTACTAATTTCATTTAAATTTCTAAAGTTGTTATACGTAAAGGCGTTAAGATTTTTCAAAAGCACTCACATAACTTAATGTACAAATAGATGAAGTGAACGAAGAAAAGAAATCTGTTACAACAAATGCTTGATAAGAACTTTACATAACATTCTTAAAGGATTTAGAGAAATCTTTTCATGATTCGTGAAGATTTGAAACTTTTATGTGCTTTCTTCTACCTTTGAAAAGGTGTTTAAATTAGAAAAGTTGTAGGCGGAAATTTTCAAATATGATTCAGTCATTTTGGTACAAATGATATCGCTAAGAGACGACATAGTCGATATAATTTTTAGGCATGAAGATTAAGCACCAAATTTTGTGGACCACGGTTCATTAAACATTATCTCTTTTCCTGATTAATCACTGTCAATTATGGAAGTCTTAATTGGAATTTGTTGGATTAACAAAAGTTGATCAGGCAGACAGGAATAAAAGTCAACGGTGTACTTTCAAAAACGCCTGCCTAGCAAACAAAACACATAAACAACTTTCATTTGAGTTGAAGGCTTCCACTTACATAAGAAAAAAAGGGTTCTTGCATTTCAAGCATTCCCTTCGTAATAAAATTATCCTTGAAAATGATGCAATCACATGTCAAATGATTTCGTTATGTTTCAACTCCTGAAATTTAATTATTCAAATGATTTCCTAAGGCGAATGAAAACAGGATTATGTGCATATAAATGATTACAAATTTAACGTCAACTGTTATTAAAACTCAATAACAAGGCTGAACTATGAAACAACTTGTTGCATTGCATAGTTTTCAATCGCACTTATATCTTAATATATATTATGAACATCGAACGAAGTCGTTTCATTCCAATTAATCTCATTTCGTAAAGATTTTTGGAAGATTTTTTTCACATTAACAACCTGTTATAACAACACTTGAAATGTTGTGAAGTTTCCCTCACTTTAATTTCAAAACTCTACATTTTAAACAACTTCATTGTTTTTATTTTCTCTCTAGGTCCATATGTAAGCAATGTTTGGTTCATTTTTCAAATTTCATGCATTTCACAGACATATATCATTCGACTGTGCTGCAGTGTGTGCGAAACTAATTCAAAGTGTAATTATTCGCCGTTACTTCATTCGATCATTTGTTGATTTAACTTCTTTTTTTTTTGTGTGTTGAAAAGAAAATATTAAAAAAGAAAATAGAAAAAAAATTAATCAATCGACGTTCATTAAAATCGTTCTTTTTTTTGTCGTCTTTGATTTTATATGAAAAAAGCGCATAAGTCCAAAAAAAATATTTGCGAAAGAAAGCTGATAGAAATGCTCATTTCAAATTAACATGATGCCCGACCGTTGCATAATTTGATGTCAGACTTAAAAAAAAAAGCTTACGAAATGTCGAGTGAAAGGTAACAACGCATACGTTTGGTCCAAAAAGTTGTTTCATTTTGGCACTTTTCCACTTTTCGAATGCGGTCGTTAACTCATTCAATCTCTTTTGGTTTCTTGGAATTAATTTGAGTAATGGACAACAAGATTTTCCGTGAAGGAACCAGTTCAGAATATTTTACCGATTACACAAGATTTGAGTGAGTGCATGTTGCCTTCAAATCAAGGACTAAATTATTTTTTGAGATGTTATTAAGTAGGGACAACATCAAGCGTGTCAAGATTACGGCCTACGAATAAATTACTTTTAATGATACTCCTACGAATTAATAAGACATAAATGCAACTTTTACTATCACTTCAAAAAGAAAGTAAATCGAATCACTCTGAAATTGAGATAATTCCATGTTTTTTTCAGTGTCGTAATTTATATCAATAGCTTCGTTAGTCCATTAAACAAAATAAAATGAATAAACATGAACGACAAATATATTTTGTTCATTAAAGTGTCACGATGAAGTTTCTTCCAGCTAAAACATTAAATAAACATAAAGTTTTGCCATGCTTTTAAAATTCGCGATGTCACTCCCTAAAGTTGCTTAATGTTGTATACTTAGAATAGACGAATGTTTGATTTTAACGTCCATGACATATGATACATCATGTTTACTCTAAAAGCTTCTTCTTTTTTTCATTACTCATTAACATTTATCGTCGATGAAGCGTGAACACTTTCAGAGACATTGTTGACTTTTTATTATTTGGTTCATTTTGGGCCTTTTTTTGATGATACACGATAGATGTTACTTTCACGAACTTGAAGCACAAGGACGACGAACATCAAAAGAAATTGCAATTTCCAAGGCTCCAATTACTTCGTTTCATATACAACTTTTTCTTTTATTATTTAACCTTTATAAGATTAATGATAATTGACTAACACACATTTTATGCAACATTTCAGATTGCTTGCTTTATTATCTTTGCCTTACTGCCAGTTGCATTCACAAAAGAAGCAGAAGCTGAGCCCAAAAATGATATTGATGACACTCCAAGAATCAAGCGTGCTGGTTTTTCCTTAATCGGAGGAGCATTGCAGGTAAATGAATCAAATTTTCATATCATTAAACATTCTAAGATATAAAAAAAATTCATTATTCATAATTAGAGTCTTCAAAAGAATGCATTCAGTGCATCAGCTTCACTTTCAAGTGGTAGTAGTAGTTCATCAGCTGGTGCATCAGCTTCATCATCGCCTCATCAAGAAGAAAGTCATTCATATCATAATCATGAATATCATGTTGAAGAACCACATTACGAACAACATCATGAACAACAACACGTAAATCTCTTTCATTATTTTTATCTGCCAACTTTGTCTACATTTATGTTGTTAAAACATTTTATTTACTGGTTAATGTGGGTTTAAAAAAAGATTTTTTATCGTATTCACTCCATTTAATATCATTTTCAATAGTTTTCATTTCTATGGTTAAATATTTATGGCTTGATGATGAATGCCAACTGTTGAATTGATGATGTTCTTACATCTTCATTCAACATAAATTTAGATTTGCATAATGAAATCAGCATAGAAACGCGCTGGGAAATAAATTCTCATCATTACATGAATGTAAATAATGTGACGAAGCTGATTCTTCATTTCCCTTTTCCCAGAAATATTTGAGATGATAACTTTTGTCTCTTCTCCAGAATATTTACAATAAAGAGAATTTGACATTCAATTTGAGTTGCTTCTGTCAAGCGTATTGACTTATAATTTCTGACAAACGAAGATAATCTTAGAAGAAGTCCGAGAAAATTTGAAATACCTTCAAGCTCTTGAAAAGCGCAAAAGGGAATTCAATCCTTTCTTTCGGTATATAAGCACTCATATTTATCTTAAACATTTTCTACATAAGCGTTTTCCGCAAAACCATGCCTCAATATTTCACCGAATTGACGTCAAACCACAAGCATCATCCATTCGAAAACTTATTCTAGCTTCATTGTGGGATGGATCAATAATTCATAGTATCTAAATCTTTTAAATTCAAGTCACATCATCTCAGTAAATATCTATGCAAGAATTTCAAAGACCTGAAATTGACCTTGTCAATTTAAACGTCTCTCATTATCGACGCTTTTCTCGTTAAATTTCATATTTTTTAACATTGAAGATAATCAATCGAAGTACGACATAAATGAAGCTTAACAACAAACTTATCGCTTTCACTTTTTAGGATACAAAATCATTTGATGGCTGGGAGTTGAAACAGTCTATCGTCAACACTTTGCTTCAAGCTGTGAAGGCAATTGCTGGTGGAATAACAACATTGAATGGACAACTTATCAAAGGCAGTGGATATTTGGTGACACAAAAAGGAAAAGTATGCATTCAAATGAGATTTTCAATTCTCCATCGATATGAGCTTAACTTACTTGACACATTTATTAACATTACATCAAAAATTTGTTTTCAGTTGATTTCACAAGGTGGGGATGCGGTGTCAAGTGCAGGCAAAAATATTATCCAAAACGCTCATTTAGTGAAACCGGATACAAGCGGAGGTCATGGCGGTGGATACAGCAGCGGTCCAAGGTTTGTCGCCAAAAACTTTTCCGATATTTTATAAAAGTTTTAAATTTTATTTCTTCATAAAATAAAATAGCTTCGGGCATTCTTTGGGAGCATCATTCAGTGGTCTTTCATCAGGTTTAACCAAATCTATCTCAAGTTTGTCAGCTGGTTCTGCTGGTCAAGTTGCTAGTTTGTCAACAAATGCCATTGGAGGTTTATCATCAGGATCCGCCAACGCAATCGGTGGCTTGTCAAAAGGTTCATCTTCAGCAGTTGCTGGTTTGTCATCAGGTTCAGCTAACTCTGTAACATCATTGTCATCATCGTCGTCAGCATCTTCATCTTCTTCTTCTTCATCATCCCACGGTCACGGACATTCTTCTTCTGACGTTAAACCTGACGGTGCGTGAACTTAAATCATCGACTCTTGTTTCAGTTTTTAATGAACAAAACCCTTTTTTCTCGCTTGCAGCATACGCTCCAATTGAAGGACCAAGTTACACTTACAATATTCCAGAAACAAATAATTATGGAGGCTACCCTGAAGAAGTGAAACCAGTAAACTCTCTTGGATCTTATGGCCCACCCAAACCTACAATTTCATACCATCAAGAACAACATCATCAACATCAAGAACAACCTCAACAGTCTTATGGAACTCCAGATTTCACAGGTAAATAATTAAAGCAAGCAACACACGATACAAATAAATGCCGACATTCCGTGAAGACAATATCGACGTAAAGACAGAAGACATAAAGTATAAAAGCTTTCATGCAAGGAAAGAATGTTTAGATTTCTTTTTTTCTTAAAGCATCAAACAATCCACTCGAATAGATTGAAATTTTTGAAGGAGAATTATATTTTGGTTGCTGAAAGCTTTAAGCTACGAACATAAATGATGTATGTTCTGAATACTGATTACAAGTACATTCTCATGCCTTGAACATTGACGCTTCATCACTGATGGAATTTCAATTGAAAAATTCTATCTCCTTATGTAAATAAAAGCTCATAAGATTGTATGGTTGTCAATTTTAAGTGCCGCTATTTAAAAAATATTGACAATGAGAATGTTCGAAAAACTCGTTTCGACATCTTTTGAAAAAAATAAAAAATAAAGAATGAAATGAAACCTCAAGAATTTGCCGTTGTCCCGTGCAATGGCAATTTATGAAACACCACATGCTACATGGGAGCAAAATGATCTTGGAAACGACAAACAGAAGTGCCATTCAGGTTACTCTTGGCTCCTTTTTTTTATTAAAAATTTATTTAGGATTGAGAGAACTTAATGTTGATTAATATTTCTTCACTTATATCGTCAAAAGTAATTTCTACCAAATGTTCAACAAGCTCTCACTTCTAAAGAATAACAAAATATTTTCCAAGTGAAGAACTGAAATGAATTATTAATAACTTATATTTTTGCAATAACTTTTCCATCACAAAACCCTCCAAGAATGTTATGCTAGTTAATTTATGTGATGTTGTTATTCAGAATATGTCACATTCATCTCTATTGAGATATTTAATATTCGACTTAAACATTCTTGTTAAACATAAACCAAAACTTATGTTGTTGAACAAGGATAGGTTTCATTTTTTTATTCGAATTCTTTCTTTATTTTCGCTCAACGTAACGGAATGAAGGCAAATTTCTGATGAATAAAAAGAGATGAATTTATGTTTAAAAACCTCATAAATATTTGTGAATCCCATCCAAACTTGCCCAATGAATCCTTCAGCTTTGCAATAATCAAGGTCAGAAAAGATTTTCCTAACTGTTGATGTGGCTCAAAATATCTTTCAAATGATAATTTTGGCCACCATATTTGCATGTCTATGTGTATGCAAATCTTCTAAAGATTTGGAAACAACCTTTAAAGGATGTCCGTTCCCATTTGATCTCTTGATGAAATATTGCAAGCAGTTTCCTTTCCCCATAAATAATTTCCATCATTCCAAATCATCAAACATTTCGCTTATTCAGTTGATTCAAAATATTTCTCTTTTACCAAATATTTAGATGGTGGCTCGTATAAGCCATCTTCGTACTTCGAGGAAAACGACGTTTTGTCTAGCATTCTAAAAAATATTCCACACAAACCAGTGAAGTCAGTGGAGTATAGTATTGGACATGATAGTGGATATAGTTCCAATCAGTTTCCTTTTCCAAATCAACATCCACAAATTCCTCCATTTAAACCTCTCAGTAATTATCCTTCTCATAATATTCCATTCAAAAATGCCCCTCAAACATTCAGTTCCCAATATGGTCCCCCTAACCACATTTCTGGTTTCTCCGGTCAACCATCGATAAAAAGGCCAATAGCTGTGAATCCAAAAGCTTACGACATTTATCATACGATGAAACTTAAAATGACCAAAGAGAAAAACTTTGTAACTTTACCGACCATTGAAATTGGCGACGGACTTGAGATTCAGAAATCCATTGGGTATGAAATTTCAGCCTAAAGGTTTTCATGTTTCTCAAAGCACACACAAATTGATTTGATGAAAAGTCATTTAGATAGATAACTGTTAAGACTGGGATAAGACAACAAACTTCACAGAATGACAATGTACATATTTCTAAGATAACAAACGAGGTAATGACAATCGTGAACTATCATTTAATTTTATATTTAGCTAACACTTGTTTACAGATATCTGCTGACGTGTTTTGTTTATCATCCTTTTCTATTTATTTATTTACCATGTTTTTTTTTCATCCCAAATAGGTCACTTTGGCAAGAGAATGATTGTAGTCGCTTAAAGTAGAGAAGAAGGGGGAGGGTGAAGACTCATCACAAACATTCTACTTTCAAAGCCCTCGGGTTTATGAGGTCATTTTCGCAACCGTCATTTAAACATTTAGATAAATTGAAAGTGTTTTTTATTATAATTTAATGGTTTTTTAAATATTTTACTTTTATTTTTCGGCCAATGTATCTAAGTTTGTAACTTATAAATAAGTTTTTAAATGCTACCCTTTGCGTTATTCATCACGCTTCTCTCATTAAACTAATTTCCATTCCTTTTAAAATTACTTTTTGAATTGATTCACACGTAGCTTAAAATGTCTGTAAAATAAGTTGATGTAGATGAGATTCATGTGAGGAATAAAATTTAATTAAATAAAAATTGTCATTTTTTTTCTTCATTTTATTTAATTCGGTTTTTATAGAACTTTGTTTATATGTCTCGTATTTTCAGATTGAAAATGAAATAAAGAACAAAAATTTTACCTTCAACTTGATTTTCAGATAAATTAATTGAATTTGATTGTCGATTTGATACGAAGATGATGAAAAGCTTTGTTACAATTTGTAAGAAATTGGACAATTTAATGAAAGATTGAATTGCCAAGTCGATCAAGGAAATGTCAACTTTCTTCTTAATCATTTAGAAAGCCATAAACTTAATGAATTCCTTTCGAAATTTCTTTAAATAAATGCTATGGTATAAATCTGAAAATGTTGAAATTTACTTTAGAAACTCATGAATTCTTAACAAGCATCATTTATTGAATTCTAAAAATTTAATCAGCCTAACAACGAAATTATGCGAATCTTGAAAGCCATGCATTGATGTAGAAAAGATTTATTAACTTTATGGATATCTCATGCGAATAAATAATGTGTAAACATGTGTGAGAGTAAATTTGCTAGCATTCAAATTTACAAAGAGTAACCAAAAGAGATGTCGTGCAAAGCTGGTGAACTCTGGGGAAGAATGTAATTTGGATCTTTTGCTAGTTGATCTAAGACACTTGTGACACGTGCTTGAGCTGGTTTTGATGCAAATGTTGTTCTTTGGAATGTTTGGAAAGATGGCTGTGGCACTTGTTGAGGTTGTGGAGCTGGTTGTGGTGGTGACTGAGGCTGTGGTGCATTATATTGGAAAGCTGGTTCTTGGACAAATTGTTCGAACTAAGAAGAGATTCAAAATTAATCAAAAATCATTTTCAAATGATTTGTGTTCTTACTTTGCTAGTAAAACTGTCAGATCGTGAAGCTGGTGAGAAGAGAGAAAATTGTTGTTGTGCTCGATTTGCGATTTGTGGTGCGATTGCTTCAGTTTGTGATGGGAATTGAGCAGGTCGACGATTATCAATTTGTTGGAAACGTTCTACTGGTTTCGGTGCGGGCTGTTGAGGGGAAAATGAGTAACTTTCATCATTTATGAATTGCTGTGGACGTGCAGGGACTGGTAAAGCGTATTTTGGTCGGACAACTTGAACTGGTCTTGGTGTTGCTTGTTCTTCATATTCGTAATATTGAGGAACAGCAGAGGGAGCTGGAGCCGGAGCCAACTTTCTCTTCTCAGATATTGCTGGCGCGTAGTTGAATGATTGCGGTCTGGGGGCTTTTGAAACCTAATCGAAAACATTCACAATATTAAACAAACATTTCATCAGAAGTAAATAATTTACTTGTTTTTGTCGTGCAACGAATTGTTGTTGTTCATCTTCATAATCAGCATCTTTAACGTCGTTGTAGTTTATTGGAGCAACCTGTACAGAATGAATATAAAATGAAGAGATTTAATGCTTAGGATAATCCATGTCAAATCGGATAAAAGACTAACCGTGATTCCTTCGCCACTCGGTTGGAATCCGTATTTATCGGCACCGTATTCGACAACTCTTACTTTACCATCTCCATCAGTGTATCCATATTTTCCTTTGACGTCACCATTTGCAGCTTTTGTTTCGATCTTAAAGCTTCCATCGGCGCCTTCATAACCGTACGTGTAGCTTCCATCTTCGTTATGACGATTGATTTGTTTCAAGATTGCAACTGGTTCTTGTTTGGGTTGTTCTTGTTGCTGAGAGCTGAAACGTGAAGACCCGGAAGAATGTCTTACGGCGGGTTGATAGTCTTCATATTCTTGTGCCACACATAGAACAGATAAAGTGACGAGTATTAACTGTGAGAAGGAAAACAAAAGAATGTTTCATAAAATCTGTTACTATTGTTAATGGCAACGTAACAAAGACCATTGAGATAAAACGTGCTGAGCTGTCTTAAAACCAAAAGTCTTCTTTACTTAGAGTCACGTCAGCTAATGCTGCAAAAAATTGGACCCATAAACAATCCCTCACTCCCCCTTTCTGTAATTCTTTTTGATTTTTCAGCTTCCACATTAAACGAAATGTTTCATCTCAATTCTCTTGGAAACATTTTGTAATCTCTGTGGGGTTTTATAGAAGAAAAGTTCAGATCTAATCAAAAATGAATAGCATTGAGGTAAAGGAAATGAAATAAATTTTTAATATTTAATCTATAAGATTGAGAAGCAAAGAAGTTCAGTTTCTGAGATCTGTTTAAGAATATCGCGAATTCCATGCGGCGACTGCCAAATGCTACATTTCAGTTATGATTATATTAATCACATCGTTCAGCGATTCCTTATATTTTTCTCTGAGTAAACATTCTTTAGAAAAGAATTGCAAAATATTTTCCTCTTGAGCACGACCACCCAAAATAAAAAATTCAATCTTAGTTTATATTTTGGGCTTTTCCTTTTTGTTTATGAATTTTTTAATAAATCTTTCACAAGAATAACAAGTTCATTATCAATATGAACCTGACTTGTTTTATATTAAACTTGAAAAAATATTTTCTTAATGTTTGTTCTTCGAGACTAAATCCAATTTTTTGCCGAATTCTTGATACCTTTTTCCGGTACACTTAAGCAAGAAATGTCGAAGTTTTCTTATTGTCTTGCAAACAAAGTAATGAAGTACATTGCTAGGTAGGAAAAGACATTTGTAAGAAGAAAAAAAAAACTTTTTTTACAGCAAATACCTGCTGTGCTTTGAAGTGAAGCAAGGCTATGCTATGAACTTTACATTGTTTGAAGATGACGATAGGGAATAAAAGCCTGATACGTCTAGTTGAGATGTTTCCATTGAAATTGAAATCTCAATTTGCGACTTGATTCAATCTAATTCAAACACATCCGAAATTACACAAATAACGAGATTCCCAATATTTCTTATGCAAACAAAGTTTAAGTGGGGTCTAACTTTTAAATCATTTTGCAGCATCATGAATTCTTCAGTTCAGTCTCATGACTTCATGACCTTTCAACGACACGAACTTTTAATTCGATCTTCATTATTCATTGCACCATCAACAATAAAGTACTTCATGATTATTTTTATTACTATTTGTTGTTGTGTTATTACAAAAACATGTTCATGGTTTGCGAGTGAGAAAATTATGTTGGATTAAAGCGACAAAAATGTCGATTATGTCAGTTTCTTGTAGATATCACTGAATAATTCTCCAAATGATTGCACAGACGATTATGTATTTATTTTAATGTTTTGCTCCAAAAAATTACACCAATTGTTAGGTGTTTTCTAAAGATTATTCAATTAGGTATTTGTTAAGATACTAAATTGCTTCCATAAATTTCTATTACGGTCAAGGATAACTTCTATTTTCCTGTAGTATAAACGTTCATGTTAAAATAAATTTATTACTTTCACTTCCTTGTTGGTTGCATTTTATCAGAAGCTAATCTCATGTTATTTATTTTATTATGTAAACTTTGGAATGCTTTAAAGAATATTTCTTTTCTCCCACTTATTCCTTATCAACAAGACAGCATCCACATTTCTAACATCATAACTTAAGTGAATGAACGAACAACTAACCAAGTTTTTAATCATATTGCTTTGCAAATATTTGTTCCTATTATTATTTTAATTTTTTTTGCACAATGCAATGCACTAACAAACGTAACAGGCAATTTTGTTAAAGGTAACGTTGAATGTTAAAATCAAACTAAAGAAATATATGATTCTACATTCACTTTTATACCTCAAGACATAGTAAGTAGCCACGGGTGAAACAGAAAAAAAATATTCGTTTGAGATACAATAGCTTAAATAATTTCTCATAAAACGTACTCGCTTATTGCCGTTTTTCTCACAGAGTTCGATTCGTAGCAATGCCATGGTTCATTGAATTTCAAAGCCTTTTTATTTTATTGGTATTTGCGTATGTTATCAGTTGGCTATTCAGCTCGATATCCTTGTCATATGATTTCTTTTATAATGGTCAAGGATGGAAGATTCTTCTGATATCCTAGAACTTTGAATTTTATCATAGCCTGAGAATCATATTTCTTCCCTTTTCTGTATTGTAATGCTTCCGGAATCGTATTTTGGGTATGGATGTATCGTCATGTCATGATGTCAAAAAGAAAACGTAAGAAAAAAAGAAAACTAAAGCTTCACTCAGATGAAAAAATATTTTCTTTATGCTGTTCATTGAAACGAATGTTGTTTACATGACAGAACATTATGTTAATATTAAACAGCATAAATATTTTTCACAGTAAAGCTTAATATTGATACGAATGAATGAAAAAAGTAAAGAAGTAAAAGTATCTCAAAATTATTACGTTAGAAAGATCATTGAACCATTAAATCAAAGAGATACGTTGATTGAAATTCGTAATTAAAACAAATCGTAGGATCAGCTTGTAAAAAATGACTAAAATCAAATAAATATATAAATACGTAACAAGCGAACGAGTAAGACGCCAAAGCTTCTTTCTCTATTTATTAGATTGAATGCAAAAAATGTTCGAAAGAAACTTTTTTGTGCAGCAAAATTCGAGTTGTTGATATGTACGTGGAATAACTAAATGAGTAGAGAAATTTTGTGAATTTTATTTTGTTTTTCCGCAAATCGTAAATTTCCATCCAACAGCCAAGTTCATTCAATGTAATTATGCATTAAACATTACTATTATGGTAATTTGTTGGATTGAAAAGAGTTGTAGACTGAAAGTATCAATTTCAATTCTTTAAAGTTCAACAAGCAAATATTGCATGGGTACTTAAATCTGCTCGACTTGTTTTAAGTCTGCACTTGGAGATAAATACTAATTGGAATGCATGTTTTTATTTATAAATTTGTTTGTGGTATGAGAAGAAATTTCTAGTCATTGTCTATACTAACAAATGGAAAACGTTAATGTTTGCTAATTCATAAAACCACCCGACAATTTGATTTCAAGGTGATGCAGATATTATTTCATTATACATAAAAATATATGACTGACCGGTTAAACTTTAAGACTGATAGATATTATTTTCACACCCGCATTTTTAGATATTCGTGAGATTAATTCCTGAGAGTCGATAAGTAAAACAAACTAGGTTGAACTTTGATTGCTGCTATTTAAGCTGCTTGGTGATGTGTGGGAATCTTTTGGTCATGCATGTATGTCTGGTGATGAATTACCTTGCCAACTAATATTGTTTTTCGTCATCTTCCGGATATTGGACATTGATTGTGTCTCAGACTCTCCTTAAAATAGAATAAAACCAGATTTGATTTTTATTTTCAATAAAATGTTTTCTTTCGATTTATTTTTGCCTCTTTTTTTCTTCTCGTTCTTCAAGAAAGAAAAAATTATAATAGCATTGATAACATAATATTCTAACGTGGATATTCTCCTTTTTTCATGCAGACTATTTAGTATTAAAGATAATTTTTGAATCTGTAAAATGTTTCATTCAATAAAATCTTATTAAGTATTTACACATGTACCTTTGCACTGAAGGTGAAATGCATAAAAAAGCGATTGATGACAAATTGATTTCCGTTCATTTCTGAAGCTCTCGCAACAAAGTATCTGCTGGATTAATCTTTTCACTTTTTATCGTCATTCAATACGTGCGATCTTATTTTTCAGATTATAATTATTGTGTTTTTATTTTCCTTCTTCAAGTTTTCATCAATCAAAGTCGTTTAAATTTACTTTAATCACGTTTCTTAAATGTTTTGTTACTTATGTGACTTTATCGAGTCAAGCTTATCAATCGAGTAGTGATTTTTCTTTTCTTTTCTTTTTAATCATTACCCTCAAGTGATTGCTTGCTTCAAAAGAATAAATTTATGTTGTATTCAGTGAAAAGGAACTTATAAGAATATTAAGAAGGATTTCTGGCGAAAGGAACCAGTGCTATCGTACATTCTTCACTTAAACTTGTACTTTTTTTATTTATTATTTTAAAGTTTTTTATAGAAGTTCGTGAGCATTCAAATTGATTGGTATTTAATTAAATTACATAAAAATCAAGTGAAGCGCAAAATTTTTATGTGAAAACCTTCACGATTAGGGGTTCATTCAAAAATTTCATCACATTCATTACTTCCCAAATTTATACTCACAATAAACTCCATCAATTGATTCTCATTATTTTCTTAATTTGATTATTTTGTGATGGAATTGACCAATGCTCCCCTTCATTTGGTTCGCAGACTAAGATTTTTTTCTATACTCATTCTTTTTGATTATTTAATTGACCTTTTTTTTGTTTTATATTGAAGAAAACAAATTTAAATCTGAATGAATAGAAAACTTGAGAAAATTTACCCAAATTTTTCTTTCGCTTCTCACTATCAATTTCTATTCTTTGTACACGAATGTGTAATGAATGGATTCAGTGATGTGAAGATGGAGTTAAATATCGAGCAACTAATTAATGATTCTTCTCATCATTTCGTGATTTATAAGATTAAACTTTTAAGAAGTTCAAATAACAAGAACCTGATCAACAATTCTTCGTCGCTCAACTACTCAAGAGCGACTAAGTGAAGTTTTAAACGAAAAAAATTAAAATAAAATTAAAGATTTGAAGTCAAATTATGAATTTGATCTGAAGTCAGTCAGATGTGTGGGACGATGATTCTCATGCATTGTATGGGCATATACAATTCCATTTGACATTGCGGGAAGTTCACGGGGATAGGGTAATGTTGGTGGTGGATTGGTTGATGATGATGAATGGATACTGGTGTTGGGCAAATCGTTTAAGATTTTTGGTGAATCTTTCGGTAAAACAAAGTGTAAAGGTTGCTTTGAAGATTTATTGTCGTCAAACGATGATGATACCGGCGTATTTAAAGAAGGTGCCAAGGATGTTACAATTTGCTTCTTTTCAGTACGATTTAGAAGATATTTGAAGAACTCATATGTTGACCAGCACACAGCTGTTGCTGGCATTTGATAAAGCACTCGAGCTTGAAGTCCCTTAAAGAATCCTTTAAAACCAGCAACACGATAAACTTTCTTCACAGCATCGATTAGACCTCGTGTTGATCCTATTCCAGTTTCTTGTGTATTAAGCAACGTCTTACATACATCTAACGGTGTTGTAAAAGCAGCAGCAACTGCTCCAGCTGCACCACCAGCTACCATATGTACACCCGGTGAATATTTCCGTTCCTTATTTAACTTCAAAGAATAATTTTTTGTTATTATAATTGTTATCAATCAAATTAAAAGCCACTTACTGCCTCTTGAAGGAATTCATATGTTGTAAAGTGAATGGCTTGGAAAGGCAGATTCATTACAAGTTGTGTCGTGTATGAGCGATAAAAAGCCGAAATGCCTTCTTGTTGGAAAACTTTTCTTGCACATTCCACGACTGATTTATAAGGTGAATCATACATTTGTAGTCGTTGCTTGATCACTTCGGTAGGGTTTGAAATGGCGTCGTGTATCAGCGTGGCTGATGTCGCACTTAGGACTGAAAATCGAATCAAAATTATTAATTTATTCAATATTTAATAATTGAAACTTACTGTAATTAATGTTATCATTAAATTTCAACTCTGTGAGTTTCTCTTTTGTGAATTCATAAGTGCTAAAGTAGAAAGCATGTGCAGGTCCCGCTCCCAAAACGACAGCTCCAATTCCTCTCAATGGCCTAAAGACGATAATCAAGAAATTTGTGAATTGCATTAACCTGGGTCAATAAATTTTGCAATGGTATTGAATGCCATACCGAGTTATTCCCTCCTGACGAACCATTTCTTTGAAAACATGTCCAATCGTTTCATTCGCATGAGAGAGTGATTGCATTCTCGTCTAAAAAAGGAAGAAATAAATAAATCTTCTGTTAAATGCCTGTCTTGAAGGTAATGCTTATCATAAAATAAAAACCATTATCAATCATTTGATTTTTGTTATCAGTAAGATATCTCGTGAATGTACGCTTTGCTGTAAAAGGAAGGAATTAGAATCTAAACTTCATATTCAGCATGATAAGTGAAAAATATTATTGCCCGCTTGAAATAATTGGTTGCCTATTATTACTTCTCATTATTAAATAGTCATTTAAGAATACATAGGTAAATACGCTCCACACACTTAAGCTATTACTTAATAGTTAAAACGACATGAAAAAGTCTTAAATACAATTGCGGTAGAGAACATGCTATCAGCAAAAATTTCAATGTAGCGAAATACTTTCTTAAATATTTTCTTTTTCGATGATAAGTTGCCTCGGGCCATTTAACAAACGACATCTGTTTAACTAATTGGAATAACTTACGTTAGGAAAACATTTTTAAGAATTTAAATAAGTATTCAGTGTGTTTATATAATAATTTTTTCCTTTCTATTCTCGGTGTTTTTTTTTTCTTTTGCTTTTTGAGGCTTTTCAATTATACAGTTTCAGAGTTCGAGGTTATTTGTTCGTGTATAACGTCTGGCTAAAAGTTAAATGTAGTTTACCTTTATCGTGTCAATAGGGTACATCGATATATGTTCCATGATTCCTGCTGAAGCGCCCGCAAACATGGTTACTGACAATTTCGCATTCGGGAGGTTTTCATAATCATCGAAATTCATCGTTCACTTCGATTAATTAAGCGTTTTACGTACACGCAATGTTTATGCGAGCTATGACACTTTTTAAATTTACAGGTGTCGTGTCTTGAAGTTGTCGATGAATTGTTATATTTGCGAATAATATTTTATACTCTTCTTGCCATTCTATACTTTTGAAAAAACCAGAGCACGCAATTCAACTAAACCAGTTCTATAAACCGCATTTTATTTAGATACACAATAAACCGGTTGACATCGAATCGGTTGAAATTTCTCTCTCCTCTCTTTAGTTTGAGAGACAAGTTTGACTAAAAACATAAACCACAACAAAATAAATTCTGGCACACAAAAATGGAATTTTCTTGTGGTTTTTGTACAAAAACCGAGGAAGAAGTACCACTTATCGAAATATCATCAAACTCCCTCTTGATAAGTGGAAAAAGCTTTGAATTTTTACATATTTTTCACGAGCTTTTTGAAGCTGTAAGTTTTGTTTACATTTTTAAATTAAAAATGCATTCCAAATAAAACTTTTGTTTGTTTAATTATCTCATTATTTCAGGCTCATGAAGATTTGATTACAAATTTTATTTGCGAGAATTGTAAAGATTCGGCTGTGCAGTTTTTCATTTTCAAAAGAAACGTCAAAAGTCGTCAGAATCCTTATAGGAAAACAATCATAAATCAAGTTGAACAATTTCTATGTCAAAGTGAAAATATCGAAGATATTCAAGTTGTGAGAAAATTTAGTTCTTTAACTCTTAAAATAGAACAAAATGATTCTATTTCTGTTAATAAAGAGCCAGAAGATTACCATATAGAAACACATAATGAAGTGAGTTATGGATTAAATGAAGAACTTGAACATCAACAAGCTGAGAATGTTCTTGTTGTCATACATTGTGCCAAATGCAACGAGGATCTTCCAAATTCAGTCAATCTTGAACTTCATAAATTCTTCAAACATTCTTTATTTGGAATTCAATTAGAGAATGAAGTGGAAAGCAGTAGAAAGCTATTGGACGGTGTCGGCCTCATTGGAAAATTTGACACAAGATGTGCAAATTGTTTTCTTTACATGGAAGAGTTCAATAGTTATTCATGTCATTTATTAAAAGAACATAGTCTTGAACTTTTCCAACAATTAAATGATGCTTTATACATGAACTCAGAAGATTTAAATTCAAATCTTCTTCACAAATATATTGAAAGTATCATCGAAATACTTCAAACTGGAGGTGATGTTAAAATCTCTGAAGATATTAAGAAATATTTCTTCGACATTTACTCAGGAGAGACTCTTGATGAAGTTTTAATCGTGACTGAAGATAATCAAGTCATTAATGAAGTGTTAAGCAGTGAAGACGAAATCGTTCAAGAAGAGGGAGAAGAAGTTGTCATCGAAGCACTCGAGCAGACGGAAACAATTAAATCAAAACAAGAAAAGTCAAATATTGTACTGACAGGAGATGACCGTTTATGGCTTAGAAAAGAAATCAGATTGAGAAAATCTTTAATGAAAAATGAGAAAGGAACCAGTCGTGCAATTTATCGTTGCACCTTTTGCAATGAATATTGTTCCAATTCAGCGCCAGGATTTCGTTATCATTTGATTAATAAACATCTGAAGGAAAATAATTTAAGAGAACTTCAAACGATTTCAGATGAGGCAACACCACCAAAAATTATCCCTCGAACATGGAAAAATATTTGCAACGATTGTGGAGTGAAGTTTAAAGATCAAAAAGCATTAAAATGTCATCAAACTTGTCATCAACTCTTTGACTTCATGGCACAAGATTATTCATTTCCTTTCTGTAATGATTGTAATTCATTTTTCATTGACACATCAAGCTTGAATGTTCATTTAATGAAACATGACACAAATGACGAATTGACGCAACCAATTGAAGTCACAATAGGATCAGCAATGTTTCAAGGGAAAGAAATAAATTATCTTCAAGCAATGCAGAACGATTTGATAGCCGATGGCTTCCCATCATGGAATTGCGGACATTGTACAAGAAAATTCGAGAAAGAAGATTCTTGTCGTTTTCATCTTTTGATGTTTCATGCGAGATCTTTCACATGTCCAGTTGATAACAGAGAATTCTCCGGCTTCAAAGCTGTCACATTATTCACTCATCATCTAAAGAACAAACATTCAGAACTCTTTCCTGAAATAACTTTTCCGTGTTCATTTTGTAAAACTGAATTTCCCACGATTTATGATAAACTTGCACATATGAAATCTTGCAGTTTAAAAAAGTTTTCATGCGATCATTGTGGAAAAAAATTCTTTAAGAAAGGCGAACTTATCGCACATTTAAAATTTGTCAACGGCGAACTCTTCTTTCCTTGTGAAGTCTGCAGCAAAAAATGTGAGACTATCAGCGATTTGAAGATTCATTTTCGTAGTCACACCAGAGAGAAACCATTCGCGTGTACTGTTTGTTTCAAACCTTTTCGTACCCTCGCTGCAAGATCTGCTCATATGGATAAGCATGGAGAGAATTTTATGTTCGTTGTGAGTGTTTCATTAACATTTTTAAGTTTTATTAACTACCTAATTCTGATAAATTTCAATTTATTTGCAGTGTCATTGTGGAAAGTCTTTCAAACAACGTCAACTTTATTGTCGACATTTAAAAGCTGTTCATAAGTCAGAGAAGCTTGACGATTTCAAGAATTTAATTGATTAAAATTCATTTTATTTAGGGAAATAAAAGAAAAATTTGCTAAGTAGTTTTAAAGATATTCACTGTAGAATTCGTTCATTTTTTCCGTTGATAGATCAGCTGGTGCGTTGTGATAATTCTTGAGATGTCGAAGTACATGTTGTCGAGTGAGATATTTTCGTTCACAAATCTTGCAAATGCAATCTTCTTGATACTTCTCATCATGTTTTTTTTTGTGTTTCCTTAAGATTGGTCGTGTTTGAAATTTTTCACCTATGAATAATTGAAGTTAGTTAATAAAAGAAGAGAAATTTAAGTTAATGAGTAAGTTTACCACAAATCTTGCACTCGTGTTTCTTCTGAGGTTCATGAATGTCCATGTGAGATGACCGATTAGCAGATGTTTTGAATCTTTTGTGACATATTGGACAACTATATGGTCTCTCATTTGTATGAGCTCTGCTATGAATTTGAAGGTCTGATCGTGAAACGCAACGTTTTTTACAAGTTTCACATGAAAATCGATCCTCGCCTTGCACTATTTTTAAATGATTTTTAAGGAGCCATTCAGTGGCGAAACGTTTGTTGCAATGATTCTCACAAACATAAAGCTTGGCTTCACATTGCTTCATATGTTCAAGTTTCTCAAAATTTGTTGCAAAACCTTGATTGCAATGTCTACAATTGTAAAGAACATTTTTCTCGAATATTTCATTGTGTTTATTTCTTATGTGACCGGAAAAGAGACGAACTTGCTTGTCATCTTCAAAGCATCGATTGTCAATCGGACAAATTACATTATTTGTATGAAAGAATAGCAAATGCACTTTCATGTTTTGTTCGTTGAACTGTTTTTTGCAATGTCCACATGAGAAAGCATCAGCATCAACAATTTCATTGACTTCGTCATTTTTTGGTTCAAAAGTTCGGAAGAAATGATCTTCATAAGCACTTCGTCGTTCAATAAGAAAGTCTTCAACTACTTCATCAACTTGTGAGTGCTGAGAAAGATGATCCATTAAATCATCTTCACAACTGTACATGACACGACAAACATTGCAAACATGAGAAGGAAGAAAAGAAGAAATTGCTTCGAAATTTTCATGAGCACATTGATGTTGTTGATAGTATTTGATGTCTTTAAAGTTTACGCCACAACAAGAATTGGTTGCATTTGGTGGTTTCAGTTTATGTTGCTGCATATGTGATTGGAGTTCAGCAAGACTTTGCACTACAACTCCACACTTACATTTGTAAGTTTTGTCTGCGTCGTCTGCTTCAAATTGATCTGATGGTGATTGCATTTGAATTTCAAATTCTGGGTCAACAATGGCTGATTGACTTTCGTCATTAATAGCTTCTATTTCAAAATAAGGCTCCATTCCAATCTCCTCTTCTTCAACTTCCACTTGCATATTTTCTTCTTCATAGTAAATTGTTGCTTCTTCCTCTTCAACTTCAGTTTTTAAAGACTCATCTATAAGCCCGTCATCTAATTCATTGTACGATATAGTAAACTCATTTTCTGATATTCTGATAGTGGGCACTTTATTGTCATGATTTAAATTAAGAAACTCTTGAAGGTTGTCAAAAACTTCTAATTTAATCATTTTCTGTCTAGCACTTTGTTTAAATTGGTAGAATTCTGTAATTTTTGATTTACATTCTTCGCATATGAAGTTGAAGACTTCTTCATTAAGCTGAAAGTATTAAAAATTGTTATCAATATAAAATTATTTAAAATCTTTATGCAAGATTACCTTTGCTAGGAATAAATCAATTATTACTTCCTGAAGTTCCATAATTTCTTCTCCTATATGAAGCGAACTGTTGATCATATACAAATTGACAGTGTTTTGACAAAATATGCATTCACAGATTGTTTCCATTTTAATTTTATTTGATTTTGAATCTTGTTCCCTTTTGTTTACAACACTCATTTTTGCTTTCAGTTGATAAAAGACGTCATCTCTTTACTGGTTTAGTCAAAAACTATTTAAATAAAAACATCAGTTGTTCCTTCTTGAATCTTTTAATTTTGTTTAGTTTAAGGAAGGTTTCTATTTTTATTAAATTTATTAATTATTTCGTGATTTGTAGAAGTTGTACAAGCTGAAACATAAAGACGCAAAGTTTAGGGAAGCAAAAATAACCGCCAAAAGAAGCGTATTTTAAAATTTTTCAAATGACCGTTAGAAATTGAAACAATTTGTTTATTAAAATATTTCAAAAATCCATTTTATTTCATTACAGTAATAGCAAATATAGCCTCAAGCGTCCAATGCTATTTTTTGGCTGAAATCTTTTTCTTAGCAAGATTAAGTAAATCTTCAAATGACAAATCTTTTGCAGCTTTTTGAGTATCTTGATAGTCGTTCTCAGCAAGCGAATCTGAATGAATTTTTTTTTATTTTATATGGAATAAAATTATATCAATGATATTGTTTTTACCTAAATCAGCATACGATTGTTTACAGAATTTTCTTCGACCTCCAAATCTTATATCGTAAAGCTTTATCATTGGATCATTAGCAAATTTATCAATAACTTCATAAGCACTTTCAGCATCAGCAAATGTCACAAATCCATAACGTAATCTGAATAGATCATGGGAGATAATTTGATTTCTCAACAATTAAACTCTTAAATAAATTACCCATCGTCTTTAGAGTGCAGTGAAATCTTTTTGATTGTACCGTAATGAAGAAACTTTCGTCGAATTTCATCTTTTGTTGTATTTTCATCCAATCCACCGATGTAGACAATTTTACGTTCTTAAAATTCAAGAAAATATATTAGAAATACAATCTTACTTTGAGATTTATTATAAGTTACCTTGATAACTAACATTCTGATCATGTTGATTGCGATTATAAAATTTGAAATTATTTCTGTCATTAAATCGCTTAAGAGAATCAGAAGATGAACTACAAGTTGATGAATCGCTGTCACTTTCCGAACTATTGCTGTTCATTGACGACGAGTGAGTACTGTGTTGTGATCGTGAGTAACGTTTATTGGCATATTTCATACGATCATAATCCATATTAGGACTGAAACTTCTAGAACGACTACGACTTCGCGATATTTTTCTTCTATAATTTCTGGCATTTCTTATTCGATTAAAAATGATATCAGGCGAAAGTAACAGTGGCGGAAAAAGTGAAATACTATCAGTTTGAATGCCAATGCTACATTTCACTGGTTTTAATCTATCTTTGCGTAAATGCATGATGGTTTTATTCTCACCATGCTCACAAAGATTATTCACGCTTTCCTGACTATTCTCACATTCAGTATTAACTGATGATGTACATTTCTCCTGAACAACTGCTTGAATACTTGAAAAAAGTGTTGTCGATGATTTCAGTAACGATTCAACATTATCCTTCTTAAAATTGTTAACAATATTAGTAAGAAATTTACTTGGTTTCGTCTCATCGTCTTTCTCGTCGAAAGGAGGAATTGTAATTTCAGTATTACATCCAGTTGACACGATGGTAATTTCCTCAAATAACTCAGGATTGAAAGTTGGTGATTTTGATTGAAATTGATGAATTGTTTGTGACTGAAGCGCGATATTGCTGTAAATGTTAAATGTTGGATCTGTAGGAAGCACTAGTGTAGGTAGTGAAGCAGGCATATCACAAAGCTCAAAAGCAGCAATTTTTTCGGAGGGTTCAAACATTTTGTCAGTTTCATTTGCTCGCCGCATTTTATATTCTTGAAGATTTAGTTTCTTTCTGACTTTTGGAAAAGTCATTGAATCATTTGAATGCATGCTGTTATCATCAATTTGAGATAATGCATGACTACTGTCACTAGTGTTTTCTTCTTCTATTTTATCTTTCATATTTTCAACAGAGATTTCTGTTTTTGTTATTTGTTGTATTTCAGATTGATGACTTTGAACCTGTTGACAAACTAAATCTGGGAGCGGAACGGCGGTAATTTCAACTTGATCTTCATTATCTGAATCTTGACTCTCGTAATTAACATTTGGATTTATGCTTATTATTTCAAATTCATCGCCTGTATCATCACCGTCTTGATCCATCTCTTCTATTATAGAATTCATATTGTTCATTAAATGTATAACCTAAAATCAAGTAAAAAGCATGGTAAGTTATATATTTTGGCTTAAAGTTGTTAAACAATAATGAGGATTTTGTTTATTATTATCATGCTTCTTAAATTATTTCATTTATCTATGGATTGTCATTGGATTTAAACTTGATTCAAGGAATATAAAATCACACCTGATAAATTCTTTAAATTTGCTTTTTTGCTACACTTATTCAATAAATAGCTTCAACCTTATGTTTAAACTTTAATTTAAGTTGAAGCAATATTATTTTTTTATATTTCACTAAATTATCACATTCATTTCTTTCATTTCTAGTTAAATTCACGCGGTTTCACTAAAATTGCATTCGTGTGCTTTTAGATGACAAATAAACAATGAAAAACATTCAACAACATTATAAAACATCAGCAAAACATTGGAACATTGCTTCATTTTCGCATCTTTTGACGCTAAAAACCATTTGGTTGTCGTCAAATTTATTTCTTAATTTTCTAAAAGTTCTATCAGAAGAAATAAAGAAATTAAGAGTGCAAATTTATTTTAAAACGAAACACAAGTAAACAATTAACAATGGCAAGATATATTCAGCGTCCTGATAATGCATTAAAGCGAGCAAATGGTGAGTTAAAAATTTGTATGCCACGAGGATTTTTTTTATGAAAATTAGCGAGTCTTCTTCTTAAATGCATCCATTTTCTTGTGACTTATTTATAAAAATACATTTAATAATAACTTTCTCTACTGTTATTGTTGCTTGGTGTCTCAAAAAAGAAAATATTAAAGATCCAATATTGTTTTCATAGCTTTAATTTTCAAAGTTCCAACCTCAATTGATTAAAATAATTGTTATGAATGATAACCGTATGTTTCTTCTTATTATCATCCTACAGAGTTTATCGAAGTTGGGAAGCCAGCAAGAGCACTTGATACACTTCAAGAAGTCTTCCGTAACAAGAAGTTCTCATATACTTGGTCGGAACAGATTATTGAACCGATCATGTTTAAATACTTGGACTTGTGTGTGGAACTTAAGAAATCTCATATCGCTAAAGAAGGGCTCTTTCAATATCGAAACATGTATCAATTGGTAATTAAAATCTTTTATTAATTTTTAAGATTGTCATTCATTTCGATTCTTTGACGCAGGTCAATGTTGGATCTCTTGAAAATGTCATTCGAGGATATTTAAAAATGGCTGAAGAAAGAACTGAAGCAGCTCAACAACAGTCCTCACAAGCTGTACTAGATATCGATGATTTAGATAACTTGGCAACTCCGGAAAGTATTCTTCTGATGTCAGCTGTTTGTGGCGAAGACGCTCAAGATCGATCTGACCGAACAATTTTATTGCCATGGGTGAAGTTCTTATGGGAAAGTTATTGTCAATGTTTGGAACTTTTGCGAGTTAATTCACACTGTGAAATCTTGTACCATGACATTGCTCGAATGGCTTTTCATTTCTGTCTTAAATACAATCGTAAGATGGAATTCCGTAAGTTGAGCGAAAAGTTACGAAAGCATTTGGACGATATTGGTAAAGTGTCGGCTCAAAGCTCAAATGTCAGCATCACTAAGCCAGAAACACAACAGTTAAACTTGGATACTCGTTTATACCAATTGGATAGCGCTATTCAAATGGAACTGTGGCAAGAAGCTTATAAAGCCATCGAGGACATTCACGGTTTGATGACTTTGTCAAAGAAACAACCGCAGCCAAAGACAATGGCAAACTACTACCAGAAGTTGGCAATGGTGTTCTGGAAAGCTGGAAATCAACTTTTCCATGCTGCAGCCCTCCTCCGATTATTTCAACTTTCTCGTGAATTAAAGAAAACAATCACGAACGATGAAATTCAACGAATGGCATCACATGTTCTAGTTGCAACTTTGGCTATTCCATTGCCATCAGCACATCCTGAATATGACAGATTCATTGAGACGGACAAAAGTCCATTGGAAAAAGCTCAACGATTAGCAGTGTTGCTTGGACTTCAACAACCACCAACGAGAGCTTCATTATTGAGAGAAATTGTAAGTTAATTAAAGAAATTACTTCGATTTTGTTATTAATTTAATTCTTTTACAACAGATTCGAGCAAATGTTTTCAATCTCGCTCTTCCTCATTTCCAAAATCTTCACAAATGGCTTGAAGTTGACTACAATCCGTTGAGTTTGTGTTCAAATGTTCAAACCGTCATTGATTACATAAAATCTGATGAGAAGAATCCTTTATTGCAATACATTGATTCACTTCAAAATGTGACATTGGTTCGTTTAGTTCGTCAAGTGTCGCAAGTTTATCAAACAATTGAATTTGCTCGATTTTTGGAACTTGCAAAATTTGCAACTACTTTCAAGTTGGAAAGAATTCTCGTCGATTGTGTTCGTCACAATGACATGCAAATCACAATTGATCATAAAGAGAAGATGGTGATGTTTGGAACTGATTTGAGTGAAAGTCAACGTGAAGACCATCACGACGGTCCAATTCTTCAATCAATGCCTTCGGAGCAAGTTCGTCAACAACTTGTGAATATGTCAGTTGTTCTTCATCGTGCAATCGCAGCAATTAATCCAAATCGTCAAAAAGGCGAACGAGAAGCATTGCGAGCTCAGATGGTTGCTTTGTATCATGAAAATAAAGTTCGCGAACATCAAGCAATTTTAATTCGTCAAAAGTTGATTGAAGATCGTAAAGAGAAGATTGAACGTCTCAATCAAGAACGTGAAGAGGAAGAAGTTCGTCGTCATGAAGAGCAAGTTCGTCAACAGAAGCTCGTTGAACAACAACGCTTAGAAAAGGAAGCTGAAGAGCGTGAAAAGAAACGCAGTGAAAATGAAAGAAAACAAATACGCAATCGTACAATGATGGAAAAGATTCAACAAATTTCCCAAACAACTCACGGTCAGAAGATGTTGAAGATCATTGAAGAGAAAGGTGCTGCTGTTGATCCAGATGAACTCGCAAAAGAAGAGAAAAATGCTTTGATACGTGAACGTAAAGAATTGACATCGAAATTGAAGTCACAAGAGAAGAAAGTTGATTATTATGAACGTGCCAAACGTATTGAAGAAGTTCCATTAATTAAAGATTATCTGAAAGATATGGAAGTAAAGGAAGAAGTTTTCTGGCAAAATCAAGAGAAAAACCGCATCGAGAATGCCATCGCTGAAAGGAAGAACGCAGTTACACAACAAGAACGTTTGAAACGAATGCACGCTGATCGTGAAGCTTACATGAATCAATTGAAAGCTGAACGTAAGAATTTATATTTGGATAAACTCCGAGCATTTAATGAAGCTCTTGAAGAAGAAAGAAAGCGACGTTTAGCACAAAGAATCGTTGAAAGACGCAAGGAACGTCGCGATAAATGGCTTGCTGAACGAGAAGCTGAAAAGCAACGCAAGTTGGATGAAATTCAAAGGGAAAAAGATGAACAATTACGTTTGGAGAAAGAACAACGAGCTAAGGAACGTGAAGCTGAATTAGAAAAGTTGAATATTCAAAGTGAAAAGCAGAAACAACGCGAAGCAGAAGCTGAAAGGAAGATTCAAGAAGATCGTGAACGTGCAAGGGCAAGAGACAAGCCAATGCGTGATTCTGAGCATTCAGCTTGGCGTTCAGTCGGTGGTAAGGATGGTGGCGCACGTGAGTCTGTTAAGGAAGGTGCATGGAGAACAGCACAAGGAAGTGACAATGACAACACTTCCGGCGGTGGCAAATGGCGAACTGCTGGAGATAGAAATGATGATCGAGGAGGCTTCCGAAGAGGTGATGATGATCGTGGTGGTTATCGTGACAGAGATGGACGCAATCGTCGTGATGATCGCGATTCATTCATCAAACGAAGTGGTGGCAATGACGGTCCCATTAGACGAAGCGGTGACGATGCTCCAATCAGACGAAGTGGAGATGACGCGCCAATCAGACGAAGTGGGGACGATGCACCAATGAGACGTGGCGGGGATGATAAAGACAGCTACAAACGCGGAGATGATCGTTCTTTCAAGCGTGGAGATGACCGTGGCCCTAAGAGAGATGACCGAGGCCCAATGAGACGTGGTGGCGATAGTCGTTCTGGTCCAATAAAACGTTCTGGTTACGATGATTCCAGCAGCGGTGGTGGCGGTAATTGGAGACAACGTGATGACTCTGATCGTCCTAAAGATGAAGCTTCATCTTGGAGACGTGCTGAAGCACCTCGTGACGACAAAGACAAACAATAAGTCAACTCAATGAAATGTTCGAACTTCTAAGTATGAAATAATCAATTTCGACATAAACTTTTTTCATTTCTTTTCACTTTAATTGGCCTGAACAATTTCTCAATAGGCAAAACTAATTTTTTTATTGTTTATTCAGCCGTTGATAGTGCGTAAGTTGTTGAGTTAAATTTTAAAGCTTAACACGTTCACATTCAATTGAGTTGACGGCCAAATAAGCAAATTTGATAAGTTGAAAAAATTGTTTTTTGTTTCTTTATTTCGTTCGCTGTCTTCTGGCCTTTGATTATTGCATAACTTATCTAAACAAATAGTAACAAAACAAGATAAAAATATTCATTAATTAACCACTAGACATTAAGTCACAGCTGGTAATGTTCCAGAAATTTTATTTTCTTTTTCATTCTAAACTTCAAATGGTTCGTTTGGTCTTGAATTAAATTTTTATTTGATCAAAATTATTGACTAAATAAAATAAAAAATTTCTTTAAAAATAAAATTGCTAAAAGTTTTATGCGGAAAAGTGGGCTGCTGGTGGGGTGTCCATTAATTTTTTATTTCAGCCACAGTTTAACAATGAACTGCTTCCGATAATTAAACTACTTTTTTTTGCACTAGAAATGATGTCATTTTGAAATTAAAAGGAAGTTTTATGATTATGAAATGATGTGTGGTGATGGCTTTTATGGAAAGTCGATTTTTGGAGCATCTTTTATTGGGCTAATCAACGAAGGCAATTAAAGTCTTTGACAATCTCTCATTCTGGGAGGTTTATTAAATGTTTAGCAACTTTTAGTTGACATGATTTTTAAACTTTCATAAACTTTGATAAATTTCGTGTGAACTGGAAAGAGATTTATTAAACAAAGTTTGTAAAATTATCATAAAAATGCCAAGATTTAATGTAAAATTTCATGCATAATGCGAAACTTCAACAATTCCTTTCAACCAAAAGTGTCAACGACTTAATTTAATTTTATCGCTTTTGTTCTTTCCATTTTATGATTCAATTCGATTCCTTGTTGTGAGTACCTTGATATAAAAAATGTGCAAACTTCAACGCAATAAATAAACAAAAAGTGGAAAACCTGTTTGTTACCATTACCTACTCAAGCCATTACCAATTCTGATGCAATTACTTCATTTATCCCAAGCTTACAGCGACAAAATGGAACAACACAAAGTGTGAGTATTAAAAATTATTCAAATAACTTCGAATCCCACCACCTTGACTGCAATTAAAAAATGTCTTTGTTTCAATCTCTAATTCCATTGAACTATTGCGAGGACCGTCTTAGCTTGGCCATTAAACTTCCACAAAATGTTGTTTATTGTTGTCCAATGTCCATGGCTTTGCGAGAAGAAGAAAAATGAAACAAAACAGCAGAAAGTAACCCAACATAAAGTTTTAAATAGATCATTACCACATATCCACCTTGTGTTTAGGCGCAACTAATCGTTATTCGTAAGGAATTCGTGCTCCAACATTTATGAGTCTTGATAGATATTACTAAGGCGGAACAACAAGAAACACTTGCTGAAACAATTCAATTGCATGTTTCTTTTTCTTTATTGGAATGTTTACCAACTCTTTTTTATTAAATCAGTTCGGTATGGCAGGCAGGTAACAAGATATCAATGTCATCGTGTTTTTTTCTTTCATTCGTTTTAAAATTCTTTTTAATTAATCATTAAAATATTTTTGGCAGTGCTTTTTGTGAAAAGAGAAAAAAGTTTTTTTTAATGAATATGATGAATTAACTAATTAAGTTTATCCATATGTAACGGAATACGAGCCTGTTGCCAAGTCTAAGTTTGTTGCTGGATGACCACGAAAGATGTCAACGTTGTTGTTCGATTGTTGGTAATAATTATTATTGCTTGGTGGATTGTAATAGTTTGGTTGTGGTTGGTAGTAGTTTTGTGCAGGTGCAACTGGGGCTGGTGCAATTGGAGCTGCTGCAACTGGTGCTGAGAAACGTGTCTGATAGTAAGGTCTTTGAGTTTGGGTAATTGGTTGTTCATATTGTGGTTGCTGTTGTTGAAATTGTGATCTGTAAGGAACTGCAGGTGCTGCTTGTTGAGCTGGCTGTGAAGAATATGAATATGTTTGAGAAGGACGAGCTGGTGCAGGAGATGCATTGACACGGAACTGTGAAGATTTACTGGGCTTTGAATGATATCTTGGATCGTTGTAAATTGCTGGATCTTCACGGTATTGACCGTCGTCGATTTCACCAGGTTGCAATGGTGGATATTGGCTGTCGGAATGTGGGGCTGCTGGTGCAACACTAATTCCATCTCCAGATGGATGGAAGCCGTTCTGATTTGCACCATATGCAACTTCTCTTAAATTTCCACTGTCATCAACGTAGCCGTACTTTCCCTTCACCTCGCCAGTTGCAGATTTTGTTTCAATTTTGAAACTTCCATCAGCTGCTTCATAGCCATAACTATAACTGCCATCTTCATTGTGGCGGTTGATCTGTTTAAGAATTGGCACTGGCGTTGTGTATTGTTTCTGTGCAATGCAAGAACAGCCAAGGCTGAACAACACAAAAATCTAATGAAAGCGAATAAACATTTTTTAATCACTTTCTCACTTCAAATCACTGTCAAGAACTTACCGAAAATTTCAACATTTTCTTTTATTTAACACTCAATTTAAATCCCAATAGAGCGAAGAAAAATTATGCGGTCGGTTCAAGTTTACTCTCGCTTTCAACACGGAGCGAAGCACTGACTAGCATTAAAACTAAAACAAGATTAAGCTTTGCACTGCCGTGGCTCTTGGTCTTATATATAAAGTTTTGCAATCGATTCGACAACGAAAAGTTTGTTTCTGTTTCTGTTTTTTTTTTTCGTTCGTTTTAAAGACTTTTTCGTTTCTTGCAAGTCGAGTATTGCTTATGATTTTTCATATTAAAAGTTGTCTATCTTTGCTTGCTTCTTTCGTATTCAATTTAACTTTTTTTTCGTTACATTCCGTTTAAGAAGCGGTTCGCAAGTAATTGCCTAACAATCATCAATATTATCGTAATGTTCAACGTAAATGTAAAACGCTTCAAATTTCATGTGCACTTGCTTTGATATCATTTCAGTAATGCATAAGAATGTCATCATCATGGATTAATTTCAAGTTGAGTACTTCGATAGTCTTACATGCACTTGAATGAACTTGTTTGTCATCAAATCGTCTCGTGATCTTCATAATTTTTTTCTTGAGAGAAATGAAAACATGTCAACGATCTTTTTCTTCTCAATCGTCTTTGAATTTGAGATACCTAAATCAGTATTAACACATTCCATTTCGAACTATGTAAGTATCACAATTAGATCACTGGTGACTAGGCTAAAGTTGCAATTTAAATACAAACAGGTTTTCACATTCATTCGGCAGGAACTGAAAAGCTTTTCGGTTTCAAATTATTATCTCACCTATCTATGCAAGGAATGTGAAAAACTTATACAATGATTGATCTTGAAAGTCTCTCTTGGTAGTTGGGAACCAGAAGTCCTTGAAATCTGAAGCATGTGTAACGAATATGATCACTTAATGCTTCAGACATTCTTTACTATTGTCGTCGCCAATAAAAATTCTAAGTTCTCCACAAAACCAACTCGTGTCTGCATTATTATAATTAGATTCGTCAATTTGTTGTTCGTTAGTAATTATGTAAGTCAATGTTGGATACTTAGAAACGTGTTGCCCCTCAAAATCAAATTTTTTTTCTTCTTTTTCATTAATATTAACTAATTCGTGATTTGAAATTCGGTTCTAGGCTGTTCAAGTTATGATTTTTTGTTTTGATGTTTAGTGAAAACAAATATTTATACTTGGACCGACAGGTTGGTTGCATGACGATGCTTTTAGCTTGTCATGTCAGATTAAAAGATTCATCATTAATATAGAAACATGGAAATAAATTTATTTGAGAACTTGTAGACGTTTTAAATACTTGAAAGTCTTTAATATGTTAAGCTTTATAATTGCACATGACAAGCTCAAACATTTCTCTAGCATGTGAAGTTGTCTGAGCTCAGAGAAGAAGAAAGAAAATCAAAAGATGAAGAAGGAAGTGAAGAAAGACAAGAACAAGGGAACATGCTGTTACAATTATTCACATTAATACAATTTATTATTATTGCAATTAATCATCAAACCTACGTCAACATAAAAAACAACAATTTCTTGCGCAATTCAAAACTATCATTTATTAAAAAGATTCTTATGCATAAAAATTACGTGGAAAAATTCTTTTGAGCTTACAAGTCATCATCATCGTCATCTAATTTTAATTTATTTAAGAGGGGAAAGAAAAAAAATGAAACAATCATTACAAAAGAGTTTTCCATAAAAGTTCATGTAGTTAGTATGTATGTCTAAGTATCACATAATTCTGTAATGAGTTGGCCTTATAATGATAAAAATTTGAGCAATGCATCGTAAATAAGCCTTGGGTTAATGTTCGAGTCAGCAGTATAACGGACCCCTTGGATTGGACTGCCATCGTTGTTGTTTAATAAGCCATACTCTCTGTAAAATATTGTAAATCCATTAAGCATCCAATTGTATGATTGCAATCAATTAAATACTCACCCAACTATAAAACCGTCCGCTGTTTTCTCTTCGACACGATATTTTCTAAAATTTCTTCCCTCTACAACATATCCAAATTTGGCATCTTGTTCTTGATCTTGTGGGGAATTGGATTGGTGGTGATTAGCGTTTTTCTCATCCTGATGAGAATTAATTCGAGCGGTGGTTGATTGAACTCCATGAGCACGACCATTCGTCATTATACTCACTGACTCATCCACCTCGTAGTTCTGTTCGGGCATTGGAGTCGATTGATAATGTTGATGATTCGTGTTAGGTTCCGAGTTCAAGTTCTTATGAATAAATTGCTGGAAATGTTGATAGTTTGATGTGATAGTATCATTGAACTTTTGCTGATGATTTATGTGAATTTCTGTTCCCTTTACCGGTTCTGGTGGGGGCGTTTCACTTAACGGTGCATTAAGTACATCGTACGGAACTTTAAGAAGATCAGTAAAGATTGGTCTCTTCGGACTAATCTGATTACCATGTTTAATATTCTCATTGTTAATTGGAAGATGAGAATATTTCCAAGTATTTCTTCCTTCATTTGTCTTCTCGGTCACGCTTGGAACATTCTCGACCTTGAAAAGCTCAACTTTATCGTTCATTTCGATTTGCTGATTCTCATCATGCTGATCTGTAAAATATTTTTCTTCTAGTTTAACATTAACTCCGTTCTCCACCGGATATGTTTGTTGTTGTGTGACTGTGTGATTTGGATTTTGTTCTAATTGACTCTTAATCTCAGTTTTTGAACTTCCCACATTCCAACTTTTAATAGCGCTAAATGATACTGAATGTCCTACATTTCTACCTTCTGAGTTCTCGCAATCATGGCAAATTATGGCCTTAAACGGTCCTGAGGGGCCGTTTGAAGTTACGGTCGCAGATGGTGACGAGAACAATAATTTTGAGAACTTCTGATTATCTGACGCCTCCAAGTCGGGTGGCATTTGCATCGTCGACATTTGTTGTTGAGTAGTTATGTTGGAATTATTTTTGGATAAATTCTCAATCATTGCTAATCCATCTGCTGTCTCGTTTTGATTACTATTTTTAATATCACTTGGGTTAATTTTCTCAAATTCAAAATCTTCCGGTGACGGTTGTGTCGTGTATTCGTTGCTTGGCTCGTAGTAATTACTTGCCGACAATTCCATAGATTCCGATGGCTTTGAGCTTCCGCCAATTTGATTGACTTTCGTTAAACGATGATAAAATGAACTTATACGGTGAATATCGTTCACATCCTCAGACGAATCACTTAAAACACTCTTCAATGGTAGCGGACTAGCTTTCAGTGCACATGACATCTAAAACAACATTAAAAGTTTTTATAATCAGATGATTAAAAATCAAGAATTAAATGTAAATATGTAAATGGTTCGAGTAATATTAATAAATATTTTTTTATTTACTTCAATTTACTTCATTTCGATGTTAAGAAAGACTCGTTCAACAACTAAGTAATTGCTCTATTTAAGTCGATACAAATAAGTTCAAATTTAAATATAGAAGTCAATAAACGTGTCGACGATTGAAATAGATATCTGTTCGTTTATATGCATATGAATATGCATTCAATTTAATGGCTAACATTAACTTCTTCATCTTTTTTCTCTCTTCAACTTTACTTGCAAAAAGGGAATGCTCGCATGTAAAATATTTTATGATGAAACCGGAAAGTTCATCAATATCTTTTGGGCATGTAATAATCATCAACAATTAAGGTTTTCATTGAATCACTCAAGCACACTGTCTACAATTCCTCGTTAATGAAATTAAATTTTCTTTTTTTTTATTGAATTCATGGCCCAAAATTATTTTCTGTACATCAACTTGCAATCAAAAACAACAAAAAAAATTAATTTGATGTTTTTATTAAAACAATGTAAAGTGGAAGAAGCATTACTCGTCATGACATAACAAGCACACCTTACTCATTGAACACTACTTAGGAAAATGCTTTCAGATGCACATCAATATCAGGTTTTGTGGATAAGTTTCAAGTCTTGATTATTATCAACGATTCAACTTACCAAGATGAGACAAGTCGTAATAAATATGTCCATTTTAAATTGGGATTTCCGGTATGGAAGCATAACGCGCTTTTCAGAAGCTCCTGCTGTCTTCTTCGTATAATTATAATTTTATTTCTTCAAACAATTCCAAAACGATTTGGGATGTCTTCATCATCAAAACATACAATTTTCACTATTGGAACCTGTTTGAGCATTGTGTAGATTTTTTTATTTGATCAATAAGTATCTTTGAAGCTTTTCAAACTCTCGTGTTTACTGCATCGAGATATTTATTTTATAAATTGTTTATTTCGAGAAACATTTCATAATTAATTACAAATTGCTAAAGTCCACCGATACCACCGTACAAATGAAGAAAAAGATTTTACTTATTAATGAAATTCCCCCTAACAAAATTGCAAGCAGCCTTGAAAAAGCGACGAAAAAATCATATGGAATTTATTCGTCACAGCAGCAACAGCAGCAACAACAGCATTGTAAGTAGTAAAAGTATGCAGCAGCTTTTTTATGCTTTCTTTCAATGTTGCATAATTTTTCTGTATTCTTTTATATTTATTTATTTGCCTCCCCGAATCGATTGCAAAATTAATTAATTTTTCGTTTCTTGCTTTTATTTTCGTACTAAACTTTTAATTCGATTTTATTTTTTTATGTTTCTTTCCACGAAAGTATTCACTTGAACTATTTTTTTTATTCTCGCCCGTTCGCTTCTCGCGCTTTAACAGGAAGGACTCGAAGAAAAAAAGCTCTTAAGTCTAACACGATCAACAGTAGAATGCAATGAAATTAAGTCGTACCTGTAAGCCCATGCTGCTGTTTCTCTGTCTTAACGTTTTATTTCTTCTTATGCTTGTAAAACTTCATACACAGCCAACCGCTTTGAAGCAGCAGCAAAAATTCAGTTGGAAGAAGAAAAAAAATGTATGGCAAATATTCAATAAAAACGTAGTTTTTTATTTCATGTTCAATGTGTAATAAAATCTGTAGACAATACCACTTATAGTCATGCATGTAACGAACATGCGTTTCTCAATGTAATGGAAAGAAAAAATAATAAAATTATAGATCAAGTTTCGATGTATTTCTTTGAGTTTTCATAACGCAAACACTTTATAGTGATCGCAATTTTTTTATTATTTTATTTATTTGATATTCGTTCTTAAGTTATTTACTACAAATGATCGATACAACAACGTGGCCGTTATATAATTTTCTTTTCTACATCAACCCTTACCTTTCATATCTCATTTCTTAGTAAACTGATCTATTTAGATTCGTGTCGTCAATGACGTCAAATTAAATGTATTAAATACATGTAATTAAATAGTTAAAGTTGAAGTCAAGCAGATAGACGACGGGTGGCAGGCTGAAGGTTGATCACTTGATTCTCAAGATTTTATCCAAGCGGAATTCATTTTTGTTTTATTATTCCTAATGCTAATTATTTAAATAAATGTTTTAAGTAATTTTTAAGAAATATTCAGACTAGATTTGAGTCTTGTATAAAATAAATATTTTATAGAAACAAAGAGAGAAGAGTTCGAGTTGCATCATGAATAACCTTTGTATTCTTTATAAGCAACAAACGCATCCATTCCATAAACAATTGCTAAGATCGATCCAACATACTAAAAATAGAATGAACGAAGTTAAAAAAAAGGTTCTTAAAATTTGTCTGCTGCACACATTTGACTCACATAAACACAAGTCATCGCCGGAAATGCCGTATCACTTGATGACGAGATGAAACGTGGATATAGCCAGACATTTGTTGCAAATCCCAAGTAGGAACTGGAAAGAATTAATTAATAACAACATGAAGTCATTAATCTAAACGAACACTAACCTAGCACTTATGTATAAACAACAAGCCAAAGAATTAAAGAAAACTTCCTGAAATGTGAGAAGATGTAAATAAATTAATAATTCAAGATACGTGGATAGATGTTTCTGAAGAATCATTGCATTAGCTTATGTTAAATTCTTACAAATATTGATTGTCTCATCAATCCATAAGTTTTCACACTAAAAATGTACGAGATTAAAAGAACTAAAGTTGTCGTTAGACATGCAGAGACTGTTGAATGGAAACTGTAGAATGCTTCGCCTGGAATTTAGAAGAACAATGATCTGACATCATTCGATGTAATGACTTGAAGATATTGTGAAACTCACCCATGTCACTAGCTGCGGCCATTCCAAATCTAATAAGTAAAGTCTCACAACAACTTCCTGAACAGAAACATTTGTTTATTAATGTTTAAATTCATAGTTCGTTGTATGTTAATTACTTTTCTTCACAAATGTTGTCAAATCTATTTATAAAAATTCCATCAAAACTCACCTAAAAGCAGCTCAAATATTTTCAATAATCCACATTTTGTTGTTAGAAATTCCAAATGCAAACCTCAAAAAAGAAATAAAAAAAGTTTTAATAAAGTGACAAAGAAATTAATGATGAAATATTTCTCACATGTACAAACTCTACAGCATCCAATTTTAATTCCTTGTCGTCTTCTTGGTTGTTGTTGACTTGTTCTGATCGGAATTCTAACGACTGAAGACATTGATTAAAAATATTTAATTAAATTAAAGTTTTCTGATCACAAAAAGTAAAAATTAAGAAATTTTTTGAGTTGTTTTTCGTTTCAAAGATGAAAATGGAATGAAAACGGGGGAGAAGAAAGAAAAAAAATCTAACGTAGGGATATAAAAATAGAATTTCTCTTTTCCTTCTTAATGCATTATAAGAGACAAACCGAAGAAAAATTTAAAGAATCTCACATTTCATGTACAAAGAATCTCTCGAAAAGAAAACTTGCAAAAACGTGATTGAAAGGAAATGCCGATAAACCTTCGTCAATCATTTCTTTCATAAATGAAGTCAAAACAGAACTGACACGTTAAATTCACGAAACGTTTGAAAATAAAGGAAAATCGTTTAAAAGCGTAAAATACGATAATAAAATTGAAAACGTTTCAAACATGCAACAGAACATTTCATTGATTTTCTATTCCGCGCGCTTATACTTATATTTATACCCATCGACCGGTCATTCATTTCAACTTCACGGTTTGTTGTTGTTAGGAAAATTTCCCCGAGTCAATCAAGGGCGACTAATCACAATCATTTCCTTTCGGCCACTTTTCCTTTTTTTGATTTATTGCGCAGGAGTTTAAAACTAGCCACCGTTGTGCTTCTACTTCAAACAGAACACGAAAATAAAATTGTTGGCATTTCCATTTTCCTTCAGTCAATGAGTGACCGTCGAAGTGGTTGAAAGGATTAAAATTCTGTTTTCAAACTTTAATCATTTGATTTTCTGATGTCAGAATATTCGTGGAATTATCAACAAGATCAAATGATTTGAATTTCTACATTTAAATGTTATTAAATGAACAAACTTTAACAATTTCGATCGAATATCTAAATAAAAGTGATCAACTGATAAAATCGAGTGCGTAGAATTTTTTTCTTCTTTTTTGTGTATAAAAGAATGAATAAAATAATGACGTGACACCCCCACGTTGTGTTTTTGTAATAACGATAATTACATCAGAAACAGAATGAAACAAGGAAAGCACATAGAAATGTCTATCAGTGAATAAATAAAATAATAATATCGATTTTTGATGTATCAATGGTTCTGTCGTCGTCATCGAAAATCGTAGACATTTACATTCTTGTACAGGAAAATTATGTGTATTAACAAAAAGTAAATTGAACACTTCAAAGTTTTTAATAGATTGTGGATTGTGGATACGACATCATGGTGAATCGACCTGATAGTTCATCCACACGCTCTGACAAAAGCTCATCAAGTACAAGATCATCGATGAAGAAAAATAACAACATTAAGAACACTTTTGTGCGATCGAAAAGTGGAAATGATTATAAGGAGAAAAATGGAACGCAAAACAGATTAAGGAATGCTTCGTCATTGCAGAGTATTTCGAAAGCAAGTGGAAATCAAACGAATCGGGGAATGAAAAAATTCAAATCGAATGGAAGGTTTGATTGTCATTTAATTATAACTAAGCTTAAATAGATTTCATGCTTATCGAATATTGAATAAGTCGATGGGTTATTCCAACTTCTTTTGAAGACTGTTTAGATATTCGTAAGCTGAATTTATTTAAACATGATATCCTTAATCGTTGCTATCGATTTATATCGCGGTAGCTGATTCACTTCGAAAAGTTTCATCCAATGTGGTCTGAAGGTCAGGCGACCAAAGGACTTTGTAACGAGAGCGAAAAGAACCAACACGAAACTTTTGTTATTTATCGGTTTATTTTGGAAAGAAAAAATACTCAAATGTTGATAAATCAAATCGTAAACGGAACTTTGTTGACGTTAGCTTTATTTGATTCAAAAAATGAAACTTTTCAGACTACAAAGAGTCATCAAATGGCGTCTCTTTATTTTTATTAACACTCCTAACGCCCCTGAGGTTTTAATGTTTCAGTAAATCTTTTAAAATATTCATAAATTCTCTATTTGATTTATAACATGAAGTGTGGACTCAACTGATATTGGAGTTAAATCATCGGGTAGCTCAACACCTCTCGAAGATAATATTAATGTTGTTGTTCGTGTGAGACCATTAAGTGAAAAGGAAGTCAAGGCGAGTGACGACTCGATTGTCCAATTTCCAGGGAATGGACAAATACTTGTAAGTAATTGTCATGTAGCGTTATTTATGGTGTAGAAAAAAATCAACTAAAATTACAGTGTGAGGGTCAGAATGACTCGCAGAAACCGAAACTATTCACATACAATGTGGTGTTTGAGCCCGGCGCCACCCAAGAGGATATTGTGCAGTATTGTGGAATAAAACGTCTAATTGAAATGGCCATCGAGGGATTCAGCTCCACAGTCTTCTGTTATGGACAAACCGGAAGTGGAAAAACTCACACGCTAACCGGCCCACCACAATTGGTAATTATGATTCATTTAATTAACGATTAATTAGATAGATTGCGATAACATAGAGTTTTGATTTCTTTTCATGAACGATTTTTTATGACGTTTCATAACATTTTTCATTAACTATTGCTGAAACTTTAATCTGATACAACTTCATTGGAATATTAAAATAACTGAACATTGATATATGAGTAGAAAAATTGCCGATTCATCGTCAATTTAGATAAACCGAAACAGAAAAGGGAAAATGAGAATCTAGACCAAGATCTAGACAACAAACATCGTTAATATGAAAATTAATGTTATTTCACTTAACGAAACTTTTTTAGTTTGTGTTACAATGTCACAGAAATTCAATCGAAGGAATGTCTCGTCAATAATTGAGTGATGGTAAAATTAGAACAAATATTTAGTTGGGGTAATTAATGTGCAATTAAGAATTATCCAGAAAATGTGGGCTCTTCGTATAAATATTTAGAAGCATTAATTATGTCGGATCAATTAAATTATTTAATAAATTGTGATCAATATTTCAATTTCTGTTAAAGATTTTCCAATACTCCGTAAAAAGATCTTCGTTGATAAAACAATGTTGACTTCATGCTTATTTAATTTGTATTTAGTTCATTGCGTTTCACTCGATTTTAATGTTAAGAATTCCAAAACAATGTTTTCAGTCTAAATGTGTACTCAGTTACACTGAGTTTATGTTAATATTCATGTCCACTGTGCATTGTCTCTTGCACTTCGTGAGCTCTGACGACATGCTCTAGATAGATAAGAAAAATATTTTTGAAATGAGTTTATGCAGTCATCAATTGTATAAATAATCATTAAGGGAGTAAAGCATGAAATCATTAGACAAGTGAATATCTAAAATAATTAACAAATTTAAATTGTTTCCGTCATTTCAGTTTGTTGGAAAGAAACCCGATTTAAATCACAAGGATCATGGCTTAATTTTCCGATCGTTCTTCTACTTATTCCAACTGCTTCAACAACGACAAGAAAACACGCAATTCATCTTGAAAGCTTCTTTTCTGGAGATTTACAATGAAAAGGTAATTGAATGAGTTCTCTATGATTTTGAAAGTTAAATGAATGAATATTTCATACATGAACACGTATTCATGACACATCCAACGCTGAATGAACAGCATAAATTGCATGCACATGCAAATCAATCATTAAGACATAAATTTTAAAATATTCATGTTAGACAATGCTGATGGTTTCAATGTTATTTGTTGTCCTAGGTAATTGATTTACTCAATCCTGGTGCAGCACGTAAAAAGCCGTTGGCAGTGCGATGGTCGAAAAAAATGCGAGGTGAAATAGAAAATTAAAAAAATAACTATGAACATTACATTTATGGATTTTTCTTGCCTCTTTATGGAATTTCCCTCAATTATGTAGGTTTTTATGTAGAAAATTTGTTTCTTGTTGATTGCGAAGAACTCGACGATTTGTTGGCAGTTTTAGAAGAGGGTATGAGAAATCGCGCAGTTGGTTCACATTTAATGAACGATCATTCTTCAAGAAGTCACACAATTCTTACCGTTCACATAACTTCCGAGCAACAGGCGGAAAATGAGAAAAGTGTCTTCATAAGTAAACAGGGAAAAATTAATTTTGTTGGTAAAGTCGATCAATTGTCATCAAAATGATTGATAAGAAATTTAATTTCCTTTTTTTTCTATTTCTCTGACAGATCTTGCGGGCTCTGAAATGACAAAGAAAACTCAGAGCGAAGGGAAAACTTTAGAAGAAGCTAATAATATAAATAAAAGGTAAATTTAGATTATGATTACCGATCTTATCATGCCTTAATGTTATTTGTTAGCCTAATGGTCTTAGGGTACTGTATTGCGTCATTAGCTGATAGCAAGAAGCGCAGTGGGCATATTCCTTATAGAGACAGTCAACTCACAAAACTTCTAGCAGACAGTCTGGCGGGAAATGGAGTGACGTTAATGGTGAGGTTGAACAAAGCAATTTCATAAATTGCCGCTCATAATGATATCGTCATTGTTAATTCCAGATTGCGTGTATTTCCCCTGCAAAGTCTAACCAATGTGAAACAATCAACACTCTTCGATATGCTGCTCGAGCGAAAAAAATCAAAACCAAACCTTTGATTATTATCGATCCACGAGAAGCATTAATCTTATCATTGAAAAGGGAAGTGAACGCTTTAAAATTGGAAAATGAGCATTTGAAATCATTGAGTGCGTTCCATATGTCGCCTCGATCGGGTTCGGCGCAAATAAATGGCAACAATGATCGATCGAGTGCTATTGTGACACCAAAGATTGATGTGGAGCGCTTGGCTGAACTGGAGAACAATGAATTGTCTGAGCTTGTGAAACTTTATATGACGGAAAACCAATCTTTGAGACAAGAGAATAATGAACTTTATACAACCAAAGATATTTTACTACGCGACCAGGAGTTGGTTAGTCGTGAGAACGAGCGGCTTTTGAAAAAGCTCGAGGACGTCAATTCTGTTTGTTGTCGCTCACCGATCATACCAGCACGACCAACCATGAGTGGCGATGTCTTCAATTTCTCTACAAATAGTGACACTGATATTACCAATTCAAATTATTGGCGGAACCCATTAAATGCCAGCAGTGAATTTATTGATGGAAGAATGTCTTCGGCTGAAAACAAAATTTCTGATTCAGTTCAAAAAGAAATGGATAAGATGAGAATTTCTGACAGGTAATTTTTAATTATTTTAATATATCATTAACAATATTGCAAAACTTTTGATACTTTATCAAGATCTTCAATTGAACTGAACACATTTTTAAAACAATTTCCAATTTCTCTGATGTCGTTCGTTGCGCTATGCGTGTTTATTTCTTTTTCTTCTTCAAAATCAAAACATTTTTCTGGTCATATCTCATCGATCTTTGTCTATTCTAACGATAAGTCGTGAAAAAAATTGTCAAGTTAACAATCACGACTTTCACTTAACTTCTTCTTCTTACCACTTAGTGACTCAACTGGTAGTTGTTCAACTATGTAATGCTATCGAAACAGTAATCAAAACGAACAATATCAAATGACGGATCACATTTTTTATATTTTCTTTCCCGCTCACTCTTCACTTTACAAAGTAAAATTATCTTTAATAAAAGCTTTGGCATATGCATAAGTAGATCAATAAATATTATTTACATACATTAGAACAGCATGTCATGGTCACAGAAAATGTTTTCGATTCCTTAAAAAAATAGAGAAAACATTTTGTTGTAAATGCTTCAACCCTCTTGTCTGTCTAGTCTGCAACGAATTAATATTTCCCACTTTAAATAACAAAGCAAATTAGAAGAGTTACGAAGCTTTGAAAAGAATTTAATTTATTTTCTTAGGAAGTCAAGAATATTTTTTTTTTTATTCAACAGTATAACGACAGTGGCAGGAAGTCTGAGAAGAAACAAATCCTTCGATAGAAATGGACAACCAATTACCGAGTAAGTTAAATAAAAAATATTCATAAGCATAGTAAATATTATTTCAATTATCCAATTAAAAAAGTTTCCCAAATTGTTTCGATGAAACGAAAATATTTTTCTAAGTCAGATGTGACGATTCCTTGACTTGAATTTTTAAAGCTGATGGTTTGGTTTTTCCACAACTTTGTTATTGATTTTTATTGCGAATAAAAATGCGATCAAATAGTCAAACTAGCCATGCTGTCGGCTTGCAAACCACGACGCTTCAAGTATGGGAATCTCCTTGAAATTCTCTACAAAATCACATAAATTTCTAATAACTTTTCGATGTTGTTTCCTACTTTGAATCTTTTCAATTATTCTAAAGATGCCACGCTTAAGCATTTTAAATTAATTAACAATTTCTTTCTTATTTCTTCCACAGCATGATAACGTAAGACAAGAAAATCAAAATTTACTCCAAATCAATTGCACGTGAAAAGCTCAACAACAAATTTCTGGACAAATTTTCTGATTCAGCACAAAGTTTTCTCTTCAAAATTCTTTTTCAAATCAAAATATTTCCTAATCACTGATGATGAATGAAAAACAATAAAGAAATAAATTAAATTGAATAGTTTTTTGTTTTATTTTTTATTAGAAACTCTTGAATTCATGTTTCTGTCATCGTACAACATGTTCTTGAATTAATTAATTTTGCAGCTTCAGCCGTTCATTTTTTGACGGGTTTCTTCGATTTCTTAGCGGCAATTGCCTTCTTCTTAGCTTCAACGCGAACAAGACGAGCCTTGTTTGCTGCAGTGCGGAGCTTCAATCGATTTGCGGCGTTCTTCTTATACACAATTGCTGGATGGCCTTTAGGCAACGTGATCTTCTTCTTTTCAGCCTCAGTTATCTGATCAGCGAACTTCTTCTTCTCCTTGGCGAGCAATGCACGACGACGAGTTACTTCAGCGTATGGATTGAGTTTGATCATTTGACCGACATTTCTCAATGGATTCAATCGGCGGACACTGCGATGAACTCCCTTCTTGGGTGCATTCAAAACCTTCTTGATCTCCTCAGATTTCAACAAACGTGTCAAGTCAGTGTTTGCCATGATGGGATGAGGCAAGTTGTAACTCTTCTTGACCTTTGATGGTTCATTCCATGTTCCGAACAAATCGTTCAAATGTTTGAAGGCTGATTCTGTCCAGACGATCAAACGTCCCAAATGACCACCGGGAGCCAACTTCAACAAATTCAATTTATGCACACTCATCGTGTCAACGCCTGGAATATTACGGAATGCACGACGCAAGCCATCGTCCTTTGAATAGACAACCAATGGTCCCATACGATGGACTCGACGACGGTTTCGCATCTTACCACGACCAGCTCTGAAGTGCTTTGAACGATAAACCTGAAAACAAGAAAATTGAAATAAATATTAAAAAAAGTTCAACCACAATTATAAATTATGAAATAAATTTGAGATCAGGTTTGATGTAATGAAATATTGAATGTTTGAATTATCTACACACAACAATTTCCATCATTGAGAAATGTTGCAACGCCTATTAATTCAAGTGAATTTGTTTAGCACCACAACGATGTGTTCGTCACTCATAAAATGGAAATCTCCATCACCGTAACGATCACAAAATACTGTTATGATGCTACAAAATGTTAACTCATTTATATTTACCTTCAATACATCACCCCACAACTTGTTGCGACGCAAGAACAGAACAGCTTGCTTGGTCTTGTTGTATCCTTGAATGTTGTCGGATACAACCAAAGGAAGTTCGGAAATTCCATCAATAACATGTCCTAGAATATAAAAATAATGATATTTTTGATCCATAAAGAAGTTTCTTAAATGTTTCTTACCGCGAGCTTGAACAAGAGCTGGGACACCGGAAGCTGCAACAGCAGAAACGACAGCATAACGTTTAAGGTTGATGCTGATCTTGCGATGCCATCTACGCCATGGTTTAGTTGGAGCAAACATACGACCACCACGACACATGTTACCGAAAGCACCCTGACCTGAACGGTGAGTACCACCACCACGAACTCTTGGAATACGAGCCACGGCACGACCAGTACCCCATGATTCAGCTGAAGTTTGATGGCCAGCTTCAGCGTTGACGGAATATGCTTGACGTGAATTACGACGCATTAACTGATGGACTTCGTTGACCACATCAGGGCGAATTGGAGCTTTGAAGATTGCTGGTAATGAAACTGTTGTATCTTTTATAACCTCATTTTTGTCAGTGTAAACACTGACGAGAGGGCGAGCAGCTGATAAACTCTGCAAAGACAAACCAATAAGATGTTACTACAAATTTATTTAAATAGCATTGTGCAATATCATCAGTATTTTAATTTTTTTTTATTTGTTGTCTTAAATTTTCGTTTGCCACATGCTTTAATAGCTAAGGAAATATTTTGCAACTTAAATCATGATTAAATAGCGTCTCCACGAACTCAACTCGACATACACATGATGCCTAAGGCTTTAAAGTACATGTTTATGTAAGTACTAACCATCTTAAGAGTCCTTCAACTCGTAAATTTCTATGAAAATTAAATTTCACGAGTTTATATTTGCGAACAGACGCGAAAAAGAAAGAATGAAGCGAGGGCATACAACTATATCAAAATATTGTAATGCCGCATATAAACAAAATCTCAAATGTTATGAAAAAATGAATGGTTGAAGAGATTCTTTTTATGAAATGTATTGTTAATTTATGTTAATTCTCATTCACCGTGTACTCAGATTATGTGTTTATAATATAATCACCCTTTGAATATTATTCTCAAGAAAAAAATCTTTTCATTCCCCTCGCCTCCTTGTAGTTTGCAGTTCTCTCACTAACCCAGAGTGTCAGTGTAATCGATTTATTAAAGACTCCATTTTTTAATTCTTCTTTTATTATTTACACGCTTAAAAGTTATAAATTCCTTAAGAGAAATACTTCGTGTATCTTAATTAAAACACTAGAAACATAAGTGATGTAATCAAAGTCTCATAAAATAACTTGGTAAAGAATTTAATTCGAAAAAATATTTGGAATTTGCGCTGCTTCATCAAATTTGTCAATATTTTTCGTCATTTTCTTCTTCAAACGTTATCAGATGGTAAGAAAATATTATACTGAGTTAAAAAATTATTTCTGCAACTGATTTGTTATGTTTTTGTAGGCACTAATAATGCTTCAGTGTCAATATATCGGATAATAATCAAGTTTGTGAATGAATTGTGAAACGACGAAGCAACATGTCGAGTAGCAACAACAATAACAATAATGGAATTTTCATTAATAAAATATCAGAAAATCAGCCGGAACTTCAACAACCTAGCATTAAAAGACAAAGGATAGATGCGAATAACGAACAACATCCATCTAAAGCAACGCCTACGCAAGTTGTAGCAAAGTCTTTGTCATTTTTAGATGACTCGGGGAACTCCACATCATCTTCTTCTTCCTCCCCTTCTCCAGTAAATGAAAGTGAAATTATTTTAAAACCAGAGGAGAACGATCCCATTGAGAAAGATGAAGAGCAATTACTGATGAGTGATAAAGAGTGCTTGTCGATGTTTCAGACACAATTAACTCATAATCAGTGCTTATGTGGACTTAGTGAAAGAACTTTAAAAATTCCATTCCGATATTATTCCATAGTGAAACCGAAAAAGCAAACGTACAATCGAAATGAAAAAGATGAAATTGACTTAAAGAAAAGCAGTGACGTTCAAGTGCATTATGTAAAATCTTTAGAACATTGGCCCGAAGACTTCTTACTCAAATTCTTGTCAAACCTTCAGCTTCTGTTTCATATTTATTTGAAACAGAATGCGAAAGGAAATATTTGTGGTAAGATTATGGAATTATGCGATTGTCTCATACGCAACCAAATTCACATCTTCGAAGAACTGATTCAACTTTGCAACAGTAGCATTAGCAGCAATTTCGTTAGTTACATTTCAAGTAAAATTATCACATACTTTTTGATTATCATTAAGGATGAGATTGACAGGAAATGGATTGATACGATTGTTGATAATCTTTTCACGTCTGATCATGTCGACAATTTAGCAGTAAAGAAAGTTAATTTTAGTTTAGACATAATTAAGTGTATAGTTGAGTGGAAGGATCATGACGAGCACATTTTAGAAGAAGACGCAAATGGCTTTACGAACCTCCCACCACCGCCTTTAGAGACAAATTATTTCGCGACACTCCACCGCGATCAAAGTGGACCATCAACATCATCTAGTAGTTCCAGTGCCTTGCCATCATACTTAACGTCTCATGTTGCCAACAACAGTGGACGATCTTCAGCAACTTCCGGTCATAACTCACCAGTTTCGAATGGATGTCATTTTGTGCAATTAACCGACTCTGAAAGTTTTGACACGGCTCACATTAAATGCATAACAACAAAGACTCTTGCGAACAAATGGCCTGCACTAGTGCGAAGTATCAGCGAACTTATCATGCAACTTTCTGTCGAAATACCGCCGAATCCAACACAACAACAGAACCAACATAACAATCATCGAACAATTGCTAGACGAATGAACTTTGAGAATAAGGAAAATTGTATTTTAACATTTATTTCACTCTGGGAAAGCATCATTAGCGTAAGGACGAATTTATCAGTCGTTGAGACGCTACCATTCACAACACATCTTGTTAACTTTGAACTTCTTCTTAATCAAAATCTTCCGTGTACGATTTACAAGCAAATGTTACAATTATTCAATGAGGCATTGTGTTATGGAAGTACATTAGCATTACAAGACATGATGCCTGAAGACACATGCGAACTTGCCCACAAAATCATTCGTCATGTTAAAGACAATCGAATTCTCGAAACGATGCCGCGTCAAATTAATTCAACGAATCATAGCGACGATAATTTGAAGACTTTTATCGGATTAGATTGTGAGAGTGTCATTTTTTCACCGAACTCATTAACCACTCAATGTTTATCAACATCACTTAACGATCATCCATCAGTGACATTTGATAAAAGTTTACTACAAAAAATGACATTATTGGTGCTGAAATCTGTCGCAGTTTATGTGAAAGAAATTCGATGCGACTCGTCTGACAGTTCAATTGACAGCAGTGATTATGACGCTTTTCAAGACATGATTGTCATCGAGAGAACGATACGAGAAGTTCTAAAGAAACTTGAATCATTTATGAAGAATACTCTCGAGTTTCATCCTGAAAGTCATTTTAGTAAAATTTTGATTCATTTGTTTGACGATCAAGATGATTTCCTAATAGAAGCGATGGTTTGTACGTTGGACGTCACATCGGGAATATCATTTAGGAATAACGCTTTTCCTGAACTTGTTGCGATGCTTAATCCTGTTTACACATTCCTCGAATTCCTTAAAATGATTTCAAACAGTTCCGACCTTCTACTTGATCTTCTTGTAAGTACTGAAACTTGCTTTCTTTTGTATCTTCTACGCTTCCTCAAATACATTCGCATCAATTGGTCGATGTTCGTACAGAGTTGTAGAGATTGTGGGATGGGAGGCAACGTGCTAGACAACACAATGACGGTAATGATAAGTTTAAGATATAAAATTGGTCGTTTGGTATCAAAGTCGCTTTATCCTTACGATATTGCGCCAATCTTACGACTACTGGAAAGTTGTGAGAACCTTTATGAAGGTAATGAGCTCAGTTAGTTGTAAACTTCTGTCTTCTTAAGTCCACTTAAGCCTTAAATTTAATCAATCAAAAATGAAAGCAAGAAAAAAAATATTTCGAATATAAAATTTAATTCTTTTATTTAAAAAAATTCATACAAATGAAAAGTTGAAAAAGAAAATTAAATCATGTTGTTCAATAAACAATTGTACTAAACTATTTAATCTCATAAGTTATAATTTAGTTGACAAAAAAGAAAGAAAATGAATTAAAAAAAATAAACTCATGAAAATGCCTTTTTTTCGTCTCTTGTATTTCTGTAATCATAAATCTTTTAATTAGGTAGTCGTTCGATGATTTAAATGAATAAAAATGAAAGAAAAGTTTAAGTTGATAAAAAAAGGAAACTTTTTGTATTTAAATTTTATGATAATAATTATGATTTGGAATGATCTTAAATGATGTCACTGTTTAGGTAAATTGTGATGAGGTTTATTGTCAAACGTGCGTCGTGTCACATTTCACTTTCATCATCATCATCATCTTTGATAGAGAAAACAACATTTTTATTTTATTTTCATTTTGAGGGCAGATCTACATCGTTGACGATGATTTTAAGTGAATCCCGCATCGATTGATCATTTCTTTGTAGGTAACTTACTTAATCACAACAGAAAGATTTTGGTGAGAAACAAGACATGAATAACAGCAGCAGATTATCGACAATTTCGAACTCTTTCAATTTCGTTTATCGCAACTCCGCTGTTGATTTTTAATATTCGCAATGAAGTTCATCAGAGTTGTCGGAACAATCTTGAATCTATGTTGTGATGAAAGTCATAAAATTAATTTATTGTGAAACGATTAAAAGATTTTTAATTGCGGTACCTTATCACATATTTGATCGAGTGTTATACAAAGACCATCAACACATCGTAATTCGAAATCCGGACACGGTGATGAATGTGATGTCGAAGCTTTAACAATTTCTTCTTTCACCTTCATTATTGTTGTTGATGTTTCGGGTTCAGGTTTTTGTGTCGTTGTTGGTTTTCGCATTGTACCACGATATCGAAGCTTTGCTGTTGGTGATGTTGTTATGATAATTTCTGATTGAGTTGTTGTGTTGGGATTAATGAAGATTGGCACGACGCCATCACCTGTTGAGACTATTCGATCGCCGTCAGAATCATTATGATCGTCATGTTGCTCTGAACTCGATTGATCGTAATCTCGGTGGTCGAAAAACAAAACTGATCTTTCGTCATCTTCCAGTTCACCATCATCGTCACTTTCCACATCACAATCGACCTCATCACTTCCATCTACGCAATCTTCGACACCGTCACAAAACCATTTATCAGAAATGCATTTCTTATCCGATACGCATTTAAATTCATCGTAGTTACAAAATTTGCAATCTTTCTCATCTTCACCGGTTGGGCAATCGCGAATATTATCGCATCTAAATAAAAATAATTTTTAGAAAGTTTCTTCTTTTGATTTTTAATTGAAAATTAATCGAAATCGATTAAATGAATAAGAAAAAAAAATTGTTACGTCAGTTAAAGAGGTCAAAAAGGTAATAATTTGATGACCAACGACAGACATTGATGCATCAGAAAATAAAAGATAAAGAAAATTCCTGAATCAATAAACTTTTGATAATCTAATAAAAAATAAAAATTGAAATTTATGCAAACCTCCACTTTGATGGGATGCATGAATAATCAGAGCATTGGAATTCATCCTCAAAACATTTCTTAGAGAATCGCGTAATATCCTCGCATGTTGTGTGATCATTTGAATCAATATACGTGTTGCAATCAAAAAACTCGGTTAAAACTTCTGAGCTGGCAATAATATGACTACAACTCTCAAATATTCCTGTGGAAACAAACAAAGAAAGGAAAAAAATTTAAAACGTTAGATTAAAGTGAATAATGTGATCTATTAAAGCGTAACCGCTTTTGACGGGGTTGCACCTTTACAAATTCTCCTACAAGGTTTCAAGTTTTTCATTCTTGACGGTCGACATTCAGGCTCCAACATATGACAAACAAATTCAGCGACACGCTTAGAACATTCAGAGTTGAGGAGATGTTGAAAATGTTGATATTCGATGTTAGTTAAATTCCATTTTTGTTGTGGATCGGTGAGGTCATATGACAGAATTCCTTGACACTGAAAGGCAATTATCAACATTTAAATCTGATTGTTTCAAAGAAATATTAATTTTATAAAGACGACGATTACTAGGGGCAGTGATGTCGATTGGCAACTATTATCATTCACGTAACTCTGCATTGGAAGCTCCGTTGTTGGATCATGCTTATTAATAATTGATGGCAATGTCGGTGAAACCTTAACACCAGAGAAAAGATTTTTATTCGATGTCGTATAAAAGTTTATTCGCTCGACCTGTAATTTCATTACGATGAGGTTAGTCAAAGTTCAAAGCTTATTTATAAGCTTAAAAAAATTAACAATTTCAATTCAATTCGTTTTGATTCTCACATATATTTTTGTTAATAACACATCATCATCATCGGTTGATTTCTCGGCATGCTCATCATCATAAGAAATCACGTTGGTTGACGGCTGTTTAGTGGTTGATGATGATTCGAATGTTGCGATTTTATTCAGATGTTTAATTTGAGTTGATTCTTCCGTCATTGAAGAATTTGTGGTAATACTGAGGTTTGTTGCAGTTGAATTGACGAAGATCGCTTTATTTCGATCATTCGTAGGCGAAGATTCGGGATGGATCCATGAGAATAAAAGATATCCAAAACCCACAAGCAAAATGGTTAATATCACGATTTTAACAAGCAACGTGAAGCTCAAGTTAGATTTGGCACGGTTGATGCACTCCTTATTCCATCTACTGATGCTACTTTTGTTCCAATATCGCGCTGTCGAAGAATTGTCATCGTGAAAAATATTTGAAGGTTTCATTTTGACCTATAATGGAAAGATCCATAAAAATCAATCGTGTTAAATACATTATTTTTATTTTATTATTTAGATGGGCATGGAAGGCAAGCAACTGTAATAATTTTAGATATTTCTTTGAAGCCTAGAAAGAATCATGTTTTTGATGTTTCTTCTCTTTCCACTTCTTTTTTTGTTTGTCTTCTTGACTTTTAAGCAGAGCTGCTGACGAAGGTGCGCCTTCATCTCATCTTTAGTTTGTTTTTTTCTTAGCATTTGTTCCATTGATGAAATCATAACACAGTCGGAATTTAAAAAGCTTCAATTATGAAATTTATAGGTCATGAAAATAATTTATTGCCAACTTCGGTTACGTAAAGAAAAAGAATTCTTTCTGATGAACGGTGCTTGGTAAGCGCGTATGCGAAGATGAATACGAAAACAACATGAAATAAAAAAAAAACAAAAAAAAAAACAAACCAAAACAACAACGAAAAAATAAAAGTAAAAAAAGTAAAGGGAAATCACCTTTCCCCAAACACGAAACCTAATTCCGCGCGACTCCTTTCATTTCATCCGAAGTAAAATGGCATTCATCTAGGTAAGCAAGTAAATACATCTAAGTGCTTCATTCACTTCACATTGAAGCAATCAACAGCATTGAATTACGAAAGAACAGAAGAAAAGTCAACGCGATATGTTGGCGGGAGCAAGAAAAATGCTGAAATGACTTCAGTACCGTGATGATTAAGATTCGCATATTTTAAGAAAGAAATAAAGAGAAGACAAAATATCTACGGTTAAGAAAACTGGTTTTTTACACTTCGAATTCAATTTTTGTGAGTTTATTTATAAATAAACCTACTGAACGCGTTATGCATTTGCTCGTAATGAACAGAGACAAAAGAAGGAGAGAAAAAATACCAACAATTCATATGTAAGAAAACAGCAACAGTCACCATACTCGTTTGTTCCGAATTATTTCTTATTTTGGCATGACCTTGCCAACGAAACCCATAATTATTTTGATTTTGCGTTACACATTACACGCACGTCAAATGATCATCCCGACAATCATCATCCTACTTTCCGTTTGTTAATTTATTAATCAAAATTAATGTTTTTGGATGAACACTTACGATTTCGTTACTAACTTGAAGAAAATATCGACTAATTCTGTTCATCTGCTTCCGATCATTGTCCACGTTTTTAACAAATTCATTATCATTTTTTTCTATCATTCTGGGAAACTCGTTAACCACATATAACTTGCTAACCATAATATATTTATGAATAACAACAAAATTAATTATTTCATCTTTTTTCTAACTTATTTAATTCTAAATTTATTCTAAATTTGCACTTGTCTTTCTCACAACTGCACAATTGTTTCGTTTACTTACGATTGCTTACATACATTAATATAATTTATTTACAATATTATTAACAGTTCGATCATTTAAGTCTTTCTCGCGTTACGGTTTGTCGTCGACTGAATATGCGAAGACTTACTCAGAAAAATATCATTAAACGGCTGCAGAAAGAGAAGACGAGAAGAAATACTTAAGTTAGTGAATGCATATATGGGAGACTTAAATCGCGTTGTCTGTGAATGAATGGAGATTGACTTATGCTCAATTTTCGCGCATTTTACATTTGCTAATCGATGTTGTCTATGATTATTAACATTTTATTGCCTGATAAATGGATATCTTTTATCTAATAACTGCCGATAACATCCTTTCGATTTATGTAAGAAATATTTTTATGAACGTCATGATTAGATAATGAAAGATCCATTGAAGTTGAAAATAAAAGACATTCCATTGAAAATTATTTGACGATCAATCAAAATCATCCATAATATCATAAGACGACATAAAAGGAAAGAGAAGTGGATCAATTCGAAATAAATTGAATTCGGAAATAAATTTTTTGTTTTTGTTGATCGTTCCAATAAAATAAATAATCGTCGCAACTTTGAACATCATAAACGTGAATATTGTTTTACATAATCACAGCACAAAATTTCCCTACAGAAAAAAAGTCTTTGATTTAACAGTGAAAAGTCGTTTATTTTGCATAATTTGATGATTTTTCACGTTTGAATTTCATTAAAGGCGAAATGACTTCGTCGCTGAATGAACGTTTGAATGCATCGTAGATAAGAAAGTTAAGCTTTATTTTTTTTACCTCGCTTTTACTCTTCAACTCAACAATTAGGTATTTATCTACTAAATGTTGGCTGCTGTAAATAGATGGGATAGAAAAATAATTTGCATTTCCCTATGATGTTGTAGTAGCAATTTCCTGCTAAATAATCAGTCGGTCAAGATATCTTAGATATAACTTAGATATATCAGATACACGTTTCTACACGCTCTACGCATTTTATGAAACTTTATTTATTTGAATAAAATGTCGCTTAAAGCTACTCAATAAATCAATCTAATGATGTTGTACATTATCATCTTAAAACTAATTTTATCCAATCAAGAAAACCTCAAACAGAACATTGAAATTTAAATTCTTTTGCTTCATTCTTTGGTCTTTGGCATCTTCTTCTTTCAACAGCTTCCTGAACAAGAATAAACAACAGAAAATTCTTCTTATTCAGTTAAGAATGTTTTGTTTATTGTTGAAACCTTTTTTTCGTAGTTATCATAAATTATGAATTAATGATTAAATGGCATACAAGAGTTCATTATATTACGATGAGTTTGATTATGAAAACTATCAAGAAGCACTTGATTACGAATCTTATGAAGATCATATTACCAACTTCAATGATGCTTTAAGTTGTAGTTTTGCTGTATCAAAGCAAATTGCACTTCAACTGCTCATTTTGTTGTTTGTAAATTTCATCTACCGGATGATAAGATATGCGAGTGAGTTCTCTATTTTTATTTTATTTATTTTCTTTAATTTGATGTCTTCATTGCATAAACATTTATTCATCAACATTCAGATATCGCTGAGTTCATCAAGCATTTATCTTCATCTTTGTTGGGATATTTTTCGACATTCATTTTCTTCACAACCGGCAACTTTTATGTTTGCTTCTTAGTATTCATCTCATATGGGTTTTTAAAGTTTTTACAATTGATTGGAGTGAAGAAGCAAGGATTCCTGGTGATTGCATTTCAAATAGTTTTAATTTTTACTTGGTAAGAGTTCAAGTGCTGAGGTTTATTTGGATGAATAATTAATTAAATTTTAAAGCGAAATATTGGAGCTTGACGGAAACGTTTGGCAGCACGTTCGTGGATCAGCTTTGATTATATCAATGAAAGCAATTTCAGTGGCATTTGATGTCAGCTCAACAAAGATTCCTAAATTGCCGCCAATATATGAATACGTCGGCTACGTTCTCTGTCCAGCCAACACAGTATTAGGACCGTTTACGACTTTCGCATCTTACAAGAATTGCAATAGAAACAAATTTTCTTTGAATCTCTTTTCGCAAATCATCGTAAACAGTTCGATTTCTATTTTCTTTATTATATTGTCGAGTTGTTTTCTCAACTATCTCATCAGTGATAATAATTTGAAATATCTTTTGATGTATCGTGATGCTTTGAATTTCCGATCTAGCCATTATTTCATCTCATTTATGTCGTCAGCTGTTCTTCTGATGTCGGGAATCGACAGTAAAATGACTTCGAATATATTTGGCTATCAAGTGACGAGGCCATTGGACATTGAACTTCCACGTTCATTAATACCTGTCGTCATCTCATGGAATATTCCAATTCATTTGTGGGTTAAAAGTTGTAAGAGACGTTTATCTGATTCGACAACATTCAATGACATTTTATATTCATTTCAGATGTTTTTCATAACTTAAAGCACTTTGGAAAATTCAAAGCTATAATTCTCACTTATTTAATCTCATCATCTCTGCACGGCCTCAACGTTCAACTTGCTGCTGTTCTTTTATCGATTGGAATTTTCACCTTTGTTGAATACAGATTGCGAAATACTTTAGCAGAGATATTGGATGCCTGCGTTGCAGCAAATAAATGCAATCTGGATTCTACAAAATCTTGCACATCAAAAGGTCATAAAAACAATACAACCTTGTATTGGGTTAAGATGATCAATTTCGCATTCGGAGTATCGACTGTTGTGTTGTTAGCATATTTGGGTGTGTTGCTTGACACATCAATTGATCAAAGAAATATTTTCTCATGGGAACAAAATCTCAAGAAATGGATTCAGTTGAAATTCTTTGGCCATATAATTGTTTCAATTTGGTTCATCATTTATTTAGTTTTGAAAAATTGAAAGAAAACGAAATGGAAAAGTTTCCAAATTTTTATTTTTGTATAAAAATTTGGCCGAGGTCATTTTATGATTTTTCAGTGACGGAAACAGTCAACAAACAGTTTATTTGTATGAAGATGTGATGAATAAAAGAAAAAAAAATGAAATAAAAGCATAAAATGAGAATAGATTGAGAGAAAAAGAAGAAGCTCAAATGAATCTCGCTAATAATCTGTGAATTTTGATCATTTTGACATATTGCAACACTCAAAGCTTTACATCTTATTGTAACAATAGACTCTTCAACACGACACTGATATTTAATTGACTGATTCATTTTATGTTTATTTATTATGACTAAATTTGATTTGATTGAAGCATCCATCAAAATATTATTTAATAAGTAAAACGACAAATGTACTTTTGACGACTTCTTAAATTATCACACTTGAGATCATTGCACCTTTTAAGAAGAAGAATAAGGAAATCAATTTAATTTATTTAATTCGTTTAACAGTTGGAAGCGGTAAAAAATTCAAATTTTTGCCTCATTTTTTGCTTCCTTCCTTGAAGGAAAGAAAAACAATTGTTCGAGTAAGATAAAATTTAGTTTTATTCTGTCATTGCGCCAACGAAAAACTAATTTTGTTGCGTTAACAAGATATGCTGCAAAGCTTCAATCGTTGCACAGTTTTAAATAAAGTAGATTATGGAATCATATCTAGTATGAGACAATTCAGTCGACAAATGGAAGATCAAAAGAGAAAACAAAATCATAATGAGCAAAAAATGTACAATAATGTTAATGAGGGTAATGCAAATAAGTTACGAAAATGGATATCAGTTACACCTGAACCGAGGCAACCAGGATTAACTTTTACAGTGCTTGATTACAATATTTTAAGCCAACAATTACTTGAGCAGCATAGTTATTTGTATCAAGGCCATTCAAAACATGCCCTCCGATGGAACCAACGATTCTTTACTCTGATAGGAGAGATACTTTATAATAATCCAGACATTTTGTGTTGCCAGGTTAAATGTAGAAATTTTTCTAGTGATAATTTTTCTCATTTACGTCTGACCTTGACAAATTTCAGGAAGTTCAAAACACACACTTAAGTGACATTCAATCAAGACTTAGATCGTTGAACTATGATGTGATCTACAAAAAGAGAACCGGTGATAAGGTAAATAAAACAACTGAATAAATAATCAGACATTTCTTACGATCCCGTTTACTATGTCTAGCCCGATGGTTGTGCTATATTTTACAAACGACATTTGTTTCATCTCATTGAAGACCATAAAATTGAATTTGAACAACCTGGAATTGAGGTAGACAATAATAACAATATGACATTTCAATGGCATCAGAATGTTTTAAATATTTATAATTTACAGCTGCTCGATCGTGAAAATGTCGCAGTAGTTTGTAAACTTTCATTAAAAACTGATCCATCTGTGCACTTTGTAGTGGCTACAACTCATTTGCTTTATAATCCTAGACGTCAAGATATTCGTTTGGCACAAGTCCAAATACTCCTAGCCGAACTTGATCGAATAGCAAAAGTGTCGAATAATGAAGAAGAGCAAAAATATTTGCCAATTATATTATCAGGTGATTTCAATCTCCAACCACATTCAGCTCCATACAATTTAATTGTAAATGGTGAGTGACTCACTTGTCAAGTGCGTAAATTTGAAAGTAAACAAACACTTTGTTTTCTTCTTTTTCGGTTTATAATAAATCAGGTATGGTGAACTATGCAAACTTAACACGAAGGACTTTGAGCACGAGTGGGAAAGGCACCAACAACCAGACAAACGGAAGACTTCTTTTACCTATTAAATTAGGCATTACAGACGAATGTCAACATGTCAATCATGAGATCAAGGTAAATGTCGATATAAGCGAAAAAGAAAAAAAAAGACAAACAACAATGAATTAGCTTTGTTAGTTTTATTCGTATAATTTAATTATGTTTCACTCTCATTGTAGCTTTATCATTCTGAAAACAACAAAACAAGAACCGATCATGACATTGAACTTACAAAGGAGATCGTAAATCTTTTTCAGACCGGCATTCTAAAGCATAACTTTAAGTTTTCTTCGGCTTATAAAGATTCGGATGATTATGTGTCAACATATCAAGATCGTTGGATATTAGTTGATTATATTTTCTATTCTGATGCTATCAATACTCAAACTAATGGATCAAGTTTGAAATTATTATCTTATCTAACATTGCCATCGTCGGAAGGTTGCCGAAATATTGGATTACAAATTCCAAACACATATCAAGGTTCTGATCATCTTTTATTGGCTGCTCGCTTTTTTCTAGGTTTTAATTCAAGTCAACGTCCAGCAGGATCCTCGACAAAACTTTAATTGGGTCTTTGGTCAATTCAAAATTAGAATTCGTGAGTTAAAGAAATTGGTAAAAGTAGATAACTAAATTACTCATAGAAGGACCCCTCAAAATGTATAGTTGAGCACAGTTAGATGTTATGAAATTGTTAATTTAAACTATTTTATTAGATATGTTTGTGATTCATGATGATTGTTTGTTTGTCCGTTCAATTACTTATTTATTAAGCTGACGAAAATAAAATTTATTTTTAATAAATGAATCAATATTGTCTGAATGAATCTTTTATTGTTTCTATTTGACCATGAAACATGATGAAACGTGTGCAATTGATAATTTTTTAATTGTGTTTACTCGTCGCGTTTCTGAAACAGTTTTCGATTGCATTCCACAGTAGACAGCATACAGCGACATCTTATAGAGAGTAACTCAAACTTTGAGTTGTCAGTCAGACAAAATTTGATCGTTATCGTATTTATTTACAATTTCAGTAAGCGCAGTTCTGATTTACGAAGAGAAAATTATGGAATAGAAAAGAAATATTTAAAAAATTCAAATTTCTTTTTATTATCGAGTTAATATTTTATAGTTTCTAAAATATTCCGATAAATTGTTATCTGTTGAAGGTGCATATAGATGGCTTTTGCACCTACAAGTGAGCCTATTCCACCTGCTGCGAGTGCAAGTGTAAATAGGACAAACAAGGAGGAAATTGGGTCGCGCGTAATACGAAATGAGAAGGATTGGAAATGGGGAAAACAAGTCAGTATTACAATCATCAATTCATTTATTATCGGAATCAATGAATCCTAACTGATAACACTATTATTGAAATAAGTGCAACAGAAAGTTAAAAAATCAAACATGGAGTCGAATTGTGATGTCACAGATTTTGTTTTTAAAATTCATAAAAAAATATTCCACTTTTTAAATTGAATTTTGTGATGATTTTAATTAACCGGATCACTTTTGTGTTTAAAGGATGGTGGAGAGGGACATGTGGGAACCGTAAGAAACTTTGAAAGTGCTGAGGAAGTTGTTGTTGTATGGGACGGTGGAACGGCAGCAAATTACAGGTAAAAAGAATCAAAAAAACGAAACTTGATCTTTTCCAATCTTATTCTGTTTCCTCTTTATTTTCGTCGTCATTCTCGCACAGATGTGCTGGTTCATACGATCTCCGGTAAGCATTTTAATCTTCGTCTTTCTTGTGGAAAGTTTTTTATTTACAAAATCTTTCCCTTTTTAAATTTGTTCAATCTAGAATCTTAGACAGCGCACCGACGGGAATTAAACATGACGGAACAATGTGTGATACGTGTCGACAACAGCCAATTTATGGAATCAGATGGAAATGTGCAGAATGCAACAATTATGATTTATGTTCGATTTGTTATCATTCAGATAAACATCATTTAAGACATCGATTTTATCGAATAACGTAAGATAAAAATTCATTTTAAAGCCAACATAATTTATTCAACTTTTCTTTAGTGTTCCTGGCGGAGATCGAATTCTAATGGACCCGAGAAGAAAATCAAAAAAGATTGCAGTGCGAGGAATCTTTCAAGGAGCTCGCGTTGTTCGTGGTGTTGATTGGCAATGGGAAGATCAAGATGGAGGAAATGGAAGACGAGGTAAAGTGATTGAAATTCAAGATTGGGCAGCAACATCTCCGAGATCAGCAGCATACATTACATGGGATAATGGAGCAAAGAATCTCTATCGAGTTGGATATGAAGGAATGGCTGATTTGAAAGTTGTGAACGATGCTAAAGGCGCGACAGTTTATCGAGATCATTTACCTTTACTTGGAGAAAATACTGCAACAAAGAGTCATAATGGATTTCAAATTGGTGACAGTGTCATTGTTGATTTAGAACTCGAAGTCGTTCAATCATTCCAACATGGACATGGCGGGTGGACAGACGGAATGTTTGAATGCTTAAACAATCCCGGAAAAGTTGTTGGAATCGATGAAGATCATGACATTGTTGTGTCATATCCAAGTGGCAATCGTTGGACTTTCAATCCCGCAGTTCTCACAAAAATGGCATCGAATGCCACTGACGACTCAGCAAATCAATTTGCTGTTGGTGATTTTGTGAAAATTTGTAGTGATTTGGAACGAATAAAAATCTTACAACGAGGACATGGCGAGTGGGCAGAGGCAATGATTCCAACTTTGGGAAAAGTTGGAAGAGTTCAGCAGATTTATTACGATAAAGATTTAAAAGTGGAAGTTGGAAACACGTCGTGGACTTACAATCCATTAGCAGTAACAAAAGTTGCTTCGTCATCTGACGGATCAGTTTCGGCGGTTGCTGCTAATGGTGAACGTTTGTCGGCTATTTTGAAGAAACTTTTTGAACCTCAGGTATCGTCAGATATCACTGAAGAGCTTGTTAAAGCAGCTGCAAACGGTGACAGTGCGAAATGTGAAATGTTTTTGAATCCAAATGGACAAGTGCAAGCACCAATTGATCATCAACCAACGGGATCACCACTGGGCGATCAACAAGAACAAACAAATCAACAATCATTGCCGTCAACATCTTCAGGTCCGACCGTGTCAACAGTCAATCAAGCAAATGTTAATGGAGTCTTTGCTGGTCACACGAGTCTACAGGCAGCCAGTCAAAATGGACATCTGGATGTCATCAAAGTGCTTCTTAAATACAACGCAGATGTAGAGATTGAAGATAAAGACGGCGATCGTGCTGTTCACCATGCAGCATTTGGTGATGAGCCGGCAGTTATTAAATTGCTTGCACAAGCTGGCGCTGATTTAAATGCTCGAAATAAACGACGTCAAACAGCTTTGCATATCGCTGTTAACAAAGGTCACAATAATGTCGTAAAAACTCTCTTGGAGCTTCGTTGTCATCCAAGTCTTCAAGATTCTGAAGGTGACACGNTGTAATGTGAATGATTGAACAGCATTTTAAAAGTTTATATATTGGTACAGCTATTCATCATGCTGCATTGAAGGGAAACCCAACAGCGATGAAGATTTTATTATCGAAAATCAATCGTCCATGGATTGTTGAAGAGAAGAAAGACGATGGTTACACCGCACTTCATCTCGCTGCACTTAATAATCACGTGGACATTGCTGATCTGCTTATTAACATGGGGAAAGCGAATTTAGATCGACAAAATGTTAATTTACAAACGGCTTTACATCTTGCTGTTGAACGACAACATGTTCAGATTGTAAAGCTTTTAGTTCGTAAAGGTGCCAACCTAAATATTCCAGATAAAGATGGTGACACGCCATTACATGAAGCACTTCGTCATCACACACTTTCGCAATTAAGACAGTTACAAGATGTCGAAGGCTTTGGGAAAATTCTCATGGGATTACGCAATGTAAGTCATTAAATAATTAAATATTGACAGCCTGATTGAAATAAACAATTTCATTCACAGAATACTGATAAGAAAGCATCGGCGTCTATTGCTTGCTTCTTAGCAGCAAATGGAGCTGATCTGACAGTTAAAAATCGTAAACTTCAAACGCCTTTGGATCTTTGTCCGTGAGTTTTATGATTGTTTGTAAATATCGAGACGTGTCGTTTACTATTCACTTTAATTCCTTTCAGTGACCCCAACTTATGTAAAATCCTTATTAAATGTTATAACGAAAAGCATACAGAAGACATCGAGACGACGACAATGGATGATAAACATTTGAGCAACGGAATGAATAACGAAAATAACAATCAACAGCAAACGCAACAGACGAAACAAGTTGAATCGTCGGATATTAACGTTGATGAATGTCTTTTATGTTCGGAGCAGAAACGAAATACTGTTTTCAAGCCTTGCGGTCATGTTGTGTCGTGTGAAGCTTGTGGATCGCGAATTAAGAAATGTTTGATTTGTCGTGAGACGGTTTCATCGAGAGAAAAGGTGAGAAGGGGTAAAATATTATTTAATTAATTTAATTTATTAATTTCTTTCACATAGATTGACGAATGTCTCGTCTGTTCAGATCGTAAAGCTTCGGTCTTCTTCAAACCATGCGGACATATGGTTGCATGTGATCATTGCGCTCCAATTATGAAGAAATGCGTTCAATGTCGAACAGCAATCGATCAAATGGTTCCTTTCAAAGTTTGTTGTGGATCAACAGGAACGATAGCAAAAGTCGTTCAAAGTATCGATGATCATAAGAAAGATGCTCATATACTTCAAGGAACTAACCACAATGGACATAACATCAACATGAACAATTGTAATTCGATCAATAACAAATTCAGTGTTGTAGCGACTTCATCGTCATCATCATCAGCGCAATCAACTTACAATAATTTAAGTAGTACGAGTGGAATGCACAACCACAATAATAACAGCAACAATAACAATAATTTGATGCACAGTTCGAATCTCAATCAAGCGACTAACTCAACAAATCTTGCGTCTAATAACGCACCAACAACATCAACAATAACGAAAGCCGATCAGGAGAGTAACGTGAATTTATTTGATGACATGCAGAAACTTCAACAACAATTACAAGACATTAAAGAACAGACGATGTGTCCGGTTTGTTTTGATCGAATCAAGAACATGGTTTTCCTATGTGGACATGGCGTTTGTCAATATTGCGGCGATCAAATTGAAGGCTGCCCGATATGTCGAAAGACAGTAGAAAAGCGAATTTTATTGTTTTAATTCAATTAAGAATGTCAAATGTCGCGAAAAAAAATCTTCTTAATGAACGTTAATTAAATTTAGTTTTTTTTTCTATTTTTATCATTTTTAAATCTCACGATTCATGATCATGCAATAATTTTTAGCATTTTAAATATATTTAGTTAAGAACGCATTAATTTTGTTATGTTCTAGTTATTAAGTATTAAATGTCGCATTTTATTTGGAGAACTTTTTTTGTTTACTTTAACTTTGTTGATGGCAAGCAAGCAATCAAAAAAGTTGTAACTTAAGTGTGAACTTTTTCCATTTAAGAAATGGAATTGATAAAGCTAATTTTTTTAATATAAAATTGCATAGTTCATCGACTTTACTTTTAAACACTGACGATCCTTTTTTCTTCCACTCATACCTAATTCTTTTAATTAAATTTTATTGAAAATATTAAATATCGAATAAAAAATTGCAACAAAAATTATAAATCAATGTTTTGTGTTTATTCTAACGACCAGTTTAACAAACAAGAATTTCGTCATGAACAACAATGCCAAACATTAGTCGGTTTTTCATCATCGCTGTAGCATTGTAAATTGCAAGTAGGCGGGTAGATCAACGAGTTATGCCTAAGGAAAAAGAAATAATTAGAAATTTCAATATTTGCTAGCCTGACCGAAAAATTGAAATTATTAATTGCCAGAATATGCCAAAACCGATAACACACCCCGATCGTCTTAAAAAAAATCGAACTTATAAACATTATAAAAAATATGATGTTCTACATATATAGAAAAGACAAAGTCAAGGAGCAAAGCAAGAGATGAAGCATGGAAGAATGTTCAAGAAGAATACTGCCACATCGATAAAAAAGCAAACGTAAAGTTCTGCAGAACACTGTACTGAACTGAACCTCTATGACGAGAATTTCCAGCGATTTATCAATCAGCAAACGCAAATAACAAAACTCATAATGAAAGATCATAATAAAGGATGCGACTTATTAGTATTGAACCTTTCTAAACTAGAACATTTGACTATAAGGTTTCATAAAGGATATGAGATGTTTATTGCAAAAATTATAGGGTTAGTAACGATTGATTTCGTCAAAAATTGGATATTTCTTCGGTTTCTTAAATCGTTCAAATTATTATCCGAAAGATATTTGTCAAACATATCATAAAACCGAATAATATCTGAGGGAGTAACACATGCTGCAGCCTTTGTTACCAGTTCTGGCTTTCGCAAGCAAACTTTAGGATGACGCTGTTTAAATCCTTTAAACCAACCATCTGATGGTTTGCCTTAAATATAAGGAAATTTTTGGAAAAAAATTTACAAGATCACAATCTTTCAAGGACGCGTCAGGAACATCAACTGATCAAATGGAATAATTTTTTTCAACATGGAATTCAGAAAAGCTGTTACTCACTGATTTTACGTAATTATTCCTTACGAAGATCTGAGGGAGTAAACGTTGAGCCCTGCGTTTCTTTTACGTCTTTCGTAACCACCGCCAGACTAGCTCTACGGTCGCGCGATGGAAGCATCGATAATCCCGACTTGCTTCACCTTGTCGGTATTTATCTTAACGAAATTTTAAGTTTATACGGTAAGCCGATTGTGCGTCAACCGAATTGGATTCTGACTCCTGCCTATAGCAATGGTTTAATTGCAATGGGCACACGCTTTGAAGATGATTTTCCTCAAATTAATTTGGGAATTTCACTCGGTGTGCAAGATAGTTGGGTTCCTGAAGGTGCGACTGCTATTTCGGCAATTATAGTGGATGAAGAAGATAATATGATTACCATGAGCTCCGGTAATCGTATTCATCTTTTCAGACACAACTTACAGGCTGGTAACCTTCTTAATATGAATGGTTTTTCTGGCAGATTAGTCATACGCAGAATTGCAAATTATTTGGATTAATAAGCTTAATAAGATTAATAAGCTTATTGGAATTGTAGTCATGGAAAAAGAATTTCGTTTCGTATAAAAAAAGAAAATTTGAAACCTGTGAAGGGAGGCCTGACATGCTTTGTGGCAAGAACATCATGTATAATAATTTTAATTTTCAATCAGGCGTACAAATAAAAAATGGTGGAAAGTTAATTTCTCAAAACCCAAAAAATAAACTTACAAATTTGAGTTTTGTAAAATTGGCTTTCCACCAATGAAATTTAACTTATTCTATATTCCTTACCTTTAATCATTAAAGGACGATGATGTGGACGTCCACTACGTCACGTAAATTTACGATAGATTGCGTCATGTTCCCATCGTTGATGTCTGGAAGTATGATCGAAAATCTTCTCGCACATAAGTTCTTCAGATAGAAATTCCACCATGCTTCTCACTCGCTGAATCGTAGCCAACAACAACCAGTAACAAATGACTTGACAATCTTTTCAAATCGCCAATCAAGGAAATCTAGGAGTGCTGCGATTTCAGTTTATGTTTTAATTATCTACCTGTGAAAAATTTGTTACTTAGGTTAAATAAATAAAACATGTGACGCAAATTTTATATTTTTACCTTGTAAATTTGTAAAGATTTCAGCATACGGTTGATGACATTGACGTGCCCTAGGAATCAAATTCATTAAAGGCATGATATGTTGTGAAAATTGTGCATCTGGTGTGTAAGCAACAATGTTAAATATCTGAATAAATGTTTAAAGATTTATTGAAGATTATATTTTATCTACTTACCTTCCGGTTTCCATCTATAAAATTATGTATCTATGTTTGAATTTGTTGCTTTCAACAAACTGAAAGTAAAAAACGAAAGTTTGATTTAAAAACGATTCTTTGTTTCGATTCAAAGGAGAAAAAAGTCAAGGAGGCCATGATGAAACGCTTTTTCATGTTCGCCTCGTTGTCGCTTTCAAGTTTCAATATTGAAAGTTTTCATGCTTCTGAAATTATTTTTCATTTCACAAGTATGAAAACTTTCATTTAATTTCATATACTCACCTTTAATTCTTTATCTTTAATGTTAAACTTCCTTTAAATCTTTTTAAGGCTGAAGCGTTTATTATCCGACGTCTTTCTTCTTTGACTGGCAAAATGGAATGAAGAGTGAAGATGATAAGATCAAACTTCTTGGGTCCTTTGATTCGACTTAGTTCAATTGACTTTTGGGGGTAACATTCATGATTATAATTTTCAATTTAAATCATCGACCGTTGAAATCTTAAACGCAAATAATTTCTTCATGAAGAAATTTAATGACACTTCCAATGTTTGGACACTTTATTAAGTAAAAAGATTCAACTAAATATGACTTAATTCATTATTCAACTTGATTCAACTTAAACAGTTTAAAAAGATTCAATTACAAGTATTCAGAATACCTATCTATATATAAGTTCAATTTCATTGTTTTCTTACGAAATAATGTTAACGGCTTATAATCTAAAGTTTCTTCAAAGTTCCCTTATTCGAAGCATTTGGCTAAAACAGATCATAATGATTGAAAGATGAAAACTCAAGTGATAATAATTTTTTTATTTTTGTAATTTAGCCAAAGGATTCGGATGGTCTTCTGTTCTTAGTAATGTAGGATCAGCAATCACATCAGGGACAAAATGAGTTAATTCACTCAAAGAAACTGTTTTAAAAGCTATCAAAAACGCAAAAACTCTTCTTTCACTTCACTAGAATAGGATGCAGAAACATTTTAAAGATGAAGAATAAAAGATGGAATGTCTTATTTGAAGCTAATACGAACAAATAAACTCAATATAAAAACAAAACAATTCATTTCAATCTTAAGTTTCTAATTTATTTATAATTTCTACAATCAACAAATTTATTTATGATTCAATTTGAGGCTGTTGATCATTTTGTTTTCCCATAATCATCAAATCACCCAGCAAATCTTTCTTCTCTTCGAAATACTTTTTATACCAAAGAATGTGATCTTTCTTTTCTTTGGCAGTGAAATAATGATTTTTACTTAAGCCAACACAAACCAACTCCATAAATTGTCTGACAGGGCCACTGGTTGGACACCAACCCTCTAAATGCATTTCTAAAAGAACATGTTCTGAGAAATCTGTAGCAAATTCTTCATCCATGCCTTGTTCATTATCAATTGGAAATTTCCAGAGTTTTCCTTGTTCAGTCCACAAAATCATTTTTTCTGTAACAAATTTTTCATTACTATTGAACGTAAAATAAGAATGAAAGTACGAACCGAAATAATTTCTTGGAGGATGCGTCACTGCAAGTTTAAGTTCGCGTTGCTGAAGTTTACTCCAAGTTTCAAGTGGATCTTTCTCTTCCGATGCTTTTTCAAATAATCCCATAGGTTCAGCTCCAAAAAGATTAACAACTCCAGGTGTTGATCTGGAATAAATATTCTTACATGATGTAAATGACTTTTTGAAATAATTTAACTTACTCAATTCGTCTTGTGAATCTTCTTTCGTTCTGCTGTCCTAAAGATCTTCTAACTCCTTCCGCTAATGAATATTCTTGATCTTTCCATTGCTCTTTTTTCTTAATCGGTTCACTCTCCACTTTCATATCAGCAATAAGATTCCTAAAATGTTGAATATTTTGAAAGGTGTCTAGAAGTGAATAACTTCGAATTTTCTTACACTAAGTTTCCCTCATATTTGAGATTAGATTGTCCCAAGAGTTGAGATAAAAGTTCTGCTTCTGTTTTCTCTGTATTTCCACCAATCTTTTTAGCAATCCTTTCACTTACATCCCTTAAAATGATTTTCATTTAAACGAATTCTTGCACAATCAAGTTTAACCTACCTCAGTGCATCGATATGTTTCTTCAAAGATTCTTTTGACTCTTTTGATGGAGTCTTTTTCTTATTTGGTGCTAAAGGAATTTCTATTTTACTCTTAGAAGCAGTAGAAGGCATGCTTTCAAGTAATGCATTAAGCCTAGATATTGCTTCTTTATTATCAATTGGTTTTGCTTTTGGTTGTTCTTTACCACTCGGTTTTTGTTTTTTATCCGGTTTTTCGTCATCGCTGTACCATCGTACGCTGCAAGTAGGTCTGTAGCTCCATGTTGACAACCTAGGATAATTCAATAAAAGAAATAATCAAAATATTCAGAGGAACAATGCTTTATTAATTATTTTACCTTAATTTCTTTAAAGTTTGCAGCATTTTGTTTATTTTTTCTTTACGTATGCATAAGAAATGAGGGGAAACTGAGAACAAGTGGACAAATATTATTAGGATTAGTTAAGAGCAGCCTTTCACTTGCATCAGACCGATGCCACATGGCCAAATAAGCGTTTAGTAAAAAAGTTACATTTCATGCTAACTTTTCAACCGTTGAAATTGAAAATAAAAACACAACAAGAATAATTATTAGCAGTGAAAAATGATTAAAACACCTTTAAAACTCTTTAAAAAGAAAAAAAAAGAAATGATCTTTTCCAATTTTATTCTGTTTCCTCTTTATTTTCGTCGTCATTCTCGCACAGATGTGCTGGTTCATACGATCTCCGGTAAGCATTTTAATCTTCGTCTTTCTTGTGGAAAGTTTTTTATTTACAAAATCTTTCCCTTTTTAAATTTGTTCAATCTAGAATCTTAGACAGCGCACCGACGGGAATTAAACATGACGGAACAATGTGTGATACGTGTCGACAACAGCCAATTTATGGAATCAGATGGAAATGTGCAGAATGCAACAATTATGATTTATGTTCGATTTGTTATCATTCAGATAAACATCATTTAAGACATCGATTTTATCGAATAACGTAAGATAAAAATTCATTTTAAAGCCAACATAATTTATTCAACTTTTCTTTAGTGTTCCTGGCGGAGATCGAATTCTAATGGACCCGAGAAGAAAATCAAAAAAGATTGCAGTGCGAGGAATCTTTCAAGGAGCTCGCGTTGTTCGTGGTGTTGATTGGCAATGGGAAGATCAAGATGGAGGAAATGGAAGACGAGGTAAAGTGATTGAAATTCAAGATTGGGCAGCAACATCTCCGAGATCAGCAGCATACATTACATGGGATAATGGAGCAAAGAATCTCTATCGAGTTGGATATGAAGGAATGGCTGATTTGAAAGTTGTGAACGATGCTAAAGGCGCGACAGTTTATCGAGATCATTTACCTTTACTTGGAGAAAATACTGCAACAAAGAGTCATAATGGATTTCAAATTGGTGACAGTGTCATTGTTGATTTAGAACTCGAAGTCGTTCAATCATTCCAACATGGACATGGCGGGTGGACAGACGGAATGTTTGAATGCTTAAACAATCCCGGAAAAGTTGTTGGAATCGATGAAGATCATGACATTGTTGTGTCATATCCAAGTGGCAATCGTTGGACTTTCAATCCCGCAGTTCTCACAAAAATGGCATCGAATGCCACTGACGACTCAGCAAATCAATTTGCTGTTGGTGATTTTGTGAAAATTTGTAGTGATTTGGAACGAATAAAAATCTTACAACGAGGACATGGCGAGTGGGCAGAGGCAATGATTCCAACTTTGGGAAAAGTTGGAAGAGTTCAGCAGATTTATTACGATAAAGATTTAAAAGTGGAAGTTGGAAACACGTCGTGGACTTACAATCCATTAGCAGTAACAAAAGTTGCTTCGTCATCTGACGGATCAGTTTCGGCGGTTGCTGCTAATGGTGAACGTTTGTCGGCTATTTTGAAGAAACTTTTTGAACCTCAGGTATCGTCAGATATCACTGAAGAGCTTGTTAAAGCAGCTGCAAACGGTGACAGTGCGAAATGTGAAATGTTTTTGAATCCAAATGGACAAGTGCAAGCACCAATTGATCATCAACCAACGGGATCACCACTGGGCGATCAACAAGAACAAACAAATCAACAATCATTGCCGTCAACATCTTCAGGTCCGACCGTGTCAACAGTCAATCAAGCAAATGTTAATGGAGTCTTTGCTGGTCACACGAGTCTACAGGCAGCCAGTCAAAATGGACATCTGGATGTCATCAAAGTGCTTCTTAAATACAACGCAGATGTAGAGATTGAAGATAAAGACGGCGATCGTGCTGTTCACCATGCAGCATTTGGTGATGAGCCGGCAGTTATTAAATTGCTTGCACAAGCTGGCGCTGATTTAAATGCTCGAAATAAACGACGTCAAACAGCTTTGCATATCGCTGTTAACAAAGGTCACAATAATGTCGTAAAAACTCTATTGGAGCTTCGTTGTCATCCAAGTCTTCAAGATTCTGAAGGTGACACGCCGCTTCACGATGGTGAGTTAATTAAATAGACTGAAAAAAGTTGGAAGATAATCAAAATATTTTATTTTCCACAGCAATTTCTAAAGACAACGACATTTGTTTAACATTCTTGTTAGAGTTTGGTGCTGATGTAACGTTAACAAACAACAATGGATTTAATTGTAAATAGTTTGTAATGTGAATGATTGAACAGCATTTTAAAAGTTTATATATTGGTACAGCTATTCATCATGCTGCATTGAAGGGAAACCCAACAGCGATGAAGATTTTATTATCGAAAATCAATCGTCCATGGATTGTTGAAGAGAAGAAAGACGATGGTTACACCGCACTTCATCTCGCTGCACTTAATAATCACGTGGACATTGCTGATCTGCTTATTAACATGGGGAAAGCGAATTTAGATCGACAAAATGTTAATTTACAAACGGCTTTACATCTTGCTGTTGAACGACAACATGTTCAGATTGTAAAGCTTTTAGTTCGTAAAGGTGCCAACCTAAATATTCCAGATAAAGATGGTGACACGCCATTACATGAAGCACTTCGTCATCACACACTTTCGCAATTAAGACAGTTACAAGATGTCGAAGGCTTTGGGAAAATTCTCATGGGATTACGCAATGTAAGTCATTAAATAATTAAATATTGACAGCCTGATTGAAATAAACAATTTCATTCACAGAATACTGATAAGAAAGCATCGGCGTCTATTGCTTGCTTCCTAGCAGCAAATGGAGCTGATCTGACAGTTAAAAATCGTAAACTTCAAACGCCTTTGGATCTTTGTCCGTGAGTTTTATGATTGTTTGTAAATATCGAGACGTGTCGTTTACTATTCACTTTAATTCCTTTCAGTGACCCCAACTTATGTAAAATCCTTATTAAATGTTATAACGAAAAGCATACAGAAGACATCGAGACGACGACAATGGATGATAAACATTTGAGCAACGGAATGAATAACGAAAATAACAATCAACAGCAAACGCAACAGACGAAACAAGTTGAATCGTCGGATATTAACGTTGATGAATGTCTTTTATGTTCGGAGCAGAAACGAAATACTGTTTTCAAGCCTTGCGGTCATGTTGTGTCGTGTGAAGCTTGTGGATCGCGAATTAAGAAATGTTTGATTTGTCGTGAGACGGTTTCATCGAGAGAAAAGGTGAGAAGGGGTAAAATATTATTTAATTAATTTAATTTATTAATTTCTTTCACATAGATTGACGAATGTCTCGTCTGTTCAGATCGTAAAGCTTCGGTCTTCTTCAAACCATGCGGACATATGGTTGCATGTGATCATTGCGCTCCAATTATGAAGAAATGCGTTCAATGTCGAACAGCAATCGATCAAATGGTTCCTTTCAAAGTTTGTTGTGGATCAACAGGAACGATAGCAAAAGTCGTTCAAAGTATCGCTGATCATAAGAAAGATGCTCATATACTTCAAGGAACTAACCACAATGGACATAACATCAACATGAACAATTGTAATTCGATCAATAACAAATTCAGTGTTGTAGCGACTTCATCGTCATCATCATCAGCGCAATCAACTTACAATAATTTAAGTAGTACGAGTGGAATGCACAACCACAATAATAACAGCAACAATAACAATAATTTGATGCACAGTTCGAATCTCAATCAAGCGACTAACTCAACAAATCTTGCGTCTAATAACGCACCAACAACATCAACAATAACGAAAGCCGATCAGGAGAGTAACGTGAATTTATTTGATGACATGCAGAAACTTCAACAACAATTACAAGACATTAAAGAACAGACGATGTGTCCGGTTTGTTTTGATCGAATCAAGAACATGGTTTTCCTATGTGGACATGGCGTTTGTCAATATTGCGGCGATCAAATTGAAGGCTGTCCGATATGTCGAAAGACAGTAGAAAAGCGAATTTTATTGTTTTAATTCAATTAAGAATGTCAAATGTCGCGAAAAAAAATCTTCTTAATGAACGTAAATTAAATTTAGTTTTCTTTTCTATTTTTATCATTTTTAAATCTCACGATTCATGATCATGCAATAATTTTTAGCATTTTAAATATATTTAGTTAAGAACGCATTAATTTTGTTATGTTCTAGTTATTAAGTATTAAATGTCGCATTTTATTTGAAGAACTTTTTTTGTTTACTTTAACTTTGTTAATGGCAAGCAAGCAATCAAAAAAGTTGTAACTTAAGTGTGAACTTTTTCCATTTAAGAAATGGAATTGATAAAGCTAATTTTTTTAATATAAAATTGTATAGTTCATCGACTTTACTTTTAAACACTGACGATCCTTTTTTCTTCCACTCATACCTAATTCTTTTAATTAAATTTTATTGAAAATATTAAATATCGAATAAAAAATTGCAACAAAAATTATAAATCAATGTTTTGTGTTTATTCTAACGACTAGTTTAACAAACAAGAATTTCGTCATGAACAACAATGCCAAACATTAGTCGGTTTTTCATCATCGCTGTAGCATTGTAAATTGCAAGTAGGCGGGTAGATCACGAGTTATGCCTAAGGAAAAAGAAATAATTAGAAATTTCAATATTTGTTAGCCTGACCGAAAAATTAAAATCTTTCAGAATATGTCGAAACCGATAACACACCCCGATAATCTTAAAAAAATCGAACTTATAAACATCATAAAAAAATATGATGTTCTATATAGAAAAGACAAAGTCAAGGAGAGCAAAGCAAAAGATGAAGCATGGAAGAAGGTTAAAGAAGAATACTGCCACATCGATAAAAAAGCAAACGTAAAGTTCTGCAGAACACTGTACTGAACTGAACCTCTATGACGAGAATTTCCAGCGATTTATCAATCAGCAAACGCAAATAACAAAACTCATAATGAAAGATCATAATAAAGGATGCGACTTATTAGTATTGAACCTTTCTAAACTAGAACATTTGACTATAAGGTTTCATAAAGGATATGAGATGTTTATTGCAAAAATTATAGGGTTAGTAACGATTGATTTCGTCAAAAATTGGATATTTCTTCGGTTTCTTAAATCGTTCAAATTATTATCCGAAAGATATTTGTCAAACATATCATAAAACCGAATAATATCTGAGGGAGTAACACATGCTGCAGCCTTTGTTACCAGTTCTGGCTTTCGCAAGCAAACTTTAGGATGACGCTGTTTAAATCCTTTAAACCAACCATCTGATGGTTTGCCTTAAATATAAGGAAATTTTTGGAAAAAAATTTACAAGATCACAATCTTTCAAGGACGCGTCAGGAACATCAACTGATCAAATGGAATAATTTTTTTCAACATGGAATTCAGAAAAGCTGTTACTCACTGATTTTACGTAATTATTCCTTACGAAGATCTGAGGGAGTAAACGTTGAGCCCTGCGTTTCTTTTACGTCTTTCGTAACCACCGCCAGACTAGCTCTACGGTCGCGCGATGGAAGCATCGATAATCCCGACTTGCTTCACCTTGTCGGTATTTATCTTAACGAAATTTTAAGTTTATACGGTAAGCCGATTGTGCGTCAACCGAATTGGATTCTGACTCCTGCCTATAGCAATGGTTTAATTGCAATGGGCACACGCTTTGAAGATGATTTTCCTCAAATTAATTTGGGAATTTCACTCGNTTCTGCTTCTGTTTTCTCTGTATTTCCACCAATCTTTTTAGCAATCCTTTCACTTACATCCCTTAAAATGATTTTCATTTAAACGAATTCTTGCACAATCAAGTTTAACCTACCTCAGTGCATCGATATGTTTCTTCAAAGATTCTTTTGACTCTTTTGATGGAGTCTTTTTCTTATTTGGTGCTAAAGGAATTTCTATTTTACTCTTAGAAGCAGTAGAAGGCATGCTTTCAAGTAATGCATTAAGCCTAGATATTGCTTCTTTATTATCAATTGGTTTTGCTTTTGGTTGTTCTTTACCACTCGGTTTTTGTTTTTTATCCGGTTTTTCGTCATCGCTGTACCATCGTACGCTGCAAGTAGGTCTGTAGCTCCATGTTGACAACCTAGGATAATTCAATAAAAGAAATAATCAAAATATTCAGAGGAACAATGCTTTATTAATTATTTTACCTTAATTTCTTTAAAGTTTGCAGCATTTTGTTTATTTTTTCTTTACGTATGCATAAGAAATGAGGGGAAACTGAGAACAAGTGGACAAATATTATTAGGATTAGTTAAGAGCAGCCTTTCACTTGCATCAGACCGATGCCACATGGCCAAATAAGCGTTTAGTAAAAAAGTTACATTTCATGCTAACTTTTCAACCGTTGAAATTGAAAATAAAAACACAACAAGAATAATTATTAGCAGTGAAAAATGATTAAAACACCTTTAAAACTCTTTAAAAAGAAAAACTTACTTGACAATGCAACACCTTATAATATTCCTGAAAGTCCACTTATGAAAAAACTTGGCTATGGAACTGGAATCGCCGTTTATTTATTGAATGCAAGCAGCAAGAAAACAAAAAAATCGACAACAAGTCCTTGGGCCATCAAAAAATGTTTAAAGGATAAAACTGACAAGACTTATTCTCAACGACTTGCTGCAGAGGCTGATATTCTAAGAACTTTGACACATCCAAATATTGTCGGATTTCGTGCTTTTCAGATGTCTACTGATGGAAGGTAAGAAATTTAAATTTCTGATATCATTCAAAAAATATAAATAAACAAAAAATTTAAATAGATTCAACTTGGCAATGGAGGCTTGCACATCATCATTAGGTGACTTAATTGAAAATCGCTTTGAAATGAAACTTGGGCCTTTGGAAAGTGAAAAAATCATCATCATGGCATTTGATGTCTCAAAAGCATTGAATTATCTTCATAACGAGGCTCTTTATTTACACGGCGATTTGAAGTCATTCAACATATTAGTTAAAGGCGATTTTGCTGCTTGTAAACTGTGCGACTTTGGTGTAAGTCTTCCAATCAAAAAGGACTGTTTATTGGATTTTGATAAGCAACCAAATGCTTGCTACACTGGAACTGATTTGTGGAATGCACCAGAAGTATTCGAAGAAGATCCTGAACTAATCTCAACGAAATCAGAAATTTTCAGCTTTGGTCTTGTGTTATATGAATGCATTGCACTTTGTCCTCCACATACACTTGAAATCGCACAAGATAATGCAAAGAAAGCACTTAATTTTGACAACATTGATGAGGATGACGATGAAAATGATGAAAGTGAAGACGATGACGATCCATTGGATTATATGGTAGGAACAAGACCACTCTTTCCACCAGACATGAAATTATCGAAGCAGTATGATGAGATCTTACAAGTTTTCTATATTTGCACTGATGAAGATCCTGAGAAACGTCCAGACGCAAAGTCTCTGGAACGTATCTTCAAAGAGTTGAAAAACATTGAATAACAGCGTGTGTAAAAATCAGACGAACTCTTATGAATGAAAAATCTCACACACAAATATAAAACGCAACAGGTTGCCTTCAATCATCAGCTGATTTCATTTCATCCTCTTTGTCTCACAAATACTCGCTCGCTTTTATTCTCCGAAAAGTTTTCCTCGCCGACTTTTCCTCGAAAGAGAAAATGCTTCATTTGCAGTACGGATGTTGAAGTGAAAGGACATTCATGTTAAACAATATAAGCAAATATTCCCCTCTTTTGTATTTTTCGGAATAAAAAGTTTTTTAAATTAACAAATTTGAATGTGAATTTTGTTTAAAAATAATTCGCTGGTAAATTTTTGTGAAAATTTCTTAACAAATTACCTATGACGAGACGAAAACAACCGAAGCCGAGAGCATGTCTCACTAAAAGTAAGTTTATAACACGAGAAAATTTTATCTTTTTTCTTCTAACTAACATAATATTGCCAATGATACAAGAAAGAAATTTTTAGAAGCGTTCGAATGATTCCCGCGGGAATTAAAATTTTTTCTTCGCTCCCTTGTGAAATCGACGAAAATCGATTTTATTATTGACAGCAAAACCGTTATTTGAGTTGGAGTGAAAGTTTTTTTTTATATTTTTGGTAAAGTTGGTCGATTTGAGATACTTTTTGATACAAATTGTTGTTACAGAAATAAGTTTAAGATTCGTTTGGTTTCTTATCGAGATTACTTAGATACGAAATGCTTTTACGATTCTCGTTTTTATGTTCACATGCGACTCACACATTTCATATTTTCTACTTTCATTTTATGTGCTTATTAGATATTTCTGTTGTTATTATTATTATTATTAAGTGAGTCAATTTATGTAATGAATGAATAATCTGTAGATGGTCGAGTCGGGTTGGGATGCTTCTTTAGACGACATCCCATATGCTATTTTCCGTTAAATACGTTCAAAAGACTGTTGGATTATGCAAAAATGTTGCATGTTTTCTAATCTACAACCCATCCATTGATCGAAGCCAATACAATAAAATTTTAAAGTATTTATTGTGAATGCAAGAAAAACTTAAGTATCAAAATTAATGATGGCAATAAATCGAACTTAAGAATGGATTTATAAAACTACATAGTAGAATATGAATTATTTAGTTAATTTAACTTTATTTGCAGACACAGACAATGCAGACGAGGTAGGTGAAACTACTTTGTCGACTACTAATGCGGCTTGCGATGAAGATGCTCATCACAAGAGTGTGGTCAGTTCAAAAGGCAACAAAGGTAAGTAATGACATTTCCGCTTCAATGTTGTTGAATCTCATATGAAAACAAGACCGGAAAGATGAAAAGAATTTTTTGTTTCTCTCGCTTCTTTCGAATACTTTTCCTGATACACCGAGCAAATATATATTATCAAGAGTCAGCGCTGATCTCCCGAGAGCGAGCATAAAAATTTATATTCGAGCAAATATATTGCTTCTGCTATGTTCTCCTTGGTTACGAAGTATGCTCTTGGGACTTCATCGAAATGATAAAAAGAATATTTTCACACTTTCTCTGTGTGCGTTTGCCAACACATTTTCGTTGGCATTTTTTATATTTTTTTTCGGAGGCATTTATAGATCGAGTGACCTCAGCGAAGTTGATTGTTGAGACCTCGAGGCTGCGAGTTTGAGAACATCATCAGAACATCGACAATACCCTCGACTCATAAAATGATAAATTATAATCTAAAATATCATGCATAAGTTGAAATGAGGCTCAAAAGGCAAGCGCCAAAATATGGGAACAAGTTTTGTTATTTTCCACATTTCTCTCCTTCCTCCCCCTGATTTGCTTTTTGCTTGCCTCTTGGTTCCACCGACTCCGACTCCCAATCTGTGTCTCTTTCCCATGCTGCTCAGCTCAGCTCAGCTCACAGCAGTCAAATCCATTTTTCTCATCTCCCATGGGAAAATGCAGAAACAGAAGCAAAACACCATACACAATGATATAATGTATTTTACCGCCCACCCATCGTACACACAACACCACCCCATTAGCTTCGATACGAAATACCCGAAAATATCATACTTTCATTCGCCAGCCCTCATTCTCAATATTTCTTCTCTTTTGAATTTAACCCCGTCGCCCATCGTTCCAATGCTTATTCCCCAACCGAGGAATCAGACGAGGCTCATAGTGGTGGCAATAGCAGTAGCAGTAGCAGCATCGAGAGGGAGAGAGCGAACGTAACAAAAACAGAGAAAGTCTGATCGAATCGGGATTAATACACGTCATACAACAACACAAATAAAGTCATATTATCAGATATGTATACATGTGGAAATGTGGAAAGAAGGCAAGGAAGCAACTCGACTCAACTCAATTCAACTCTCGGAGAAGCACACCAAACACTATATGATCCTATGATTTTCTCCGTTTTGTGTCCCATAGCAGCATCGAGACTATAACAACGGTTTTGTTTTTATTATGTTTGTTGTGTTGTGCGCTCGAAAAACTCTAAAATAATTTCTCACTGAGGGACTCAAAGAAGAGGGATGAAAAAAAAAGCAGCAAAAGAAAGAAAAGAAAAGGCAGGGAATGAGATTCATTGGCATATGTAGATGGAGGAACGTAAAGTTCAAACTATTTCCGAAACTATTAAACGAGATAAAAAAAAGAGTCTTATGCGGCAACAAAAAAAATAGAAAAAAAGGAAAAACCATCCAAGCCATCGACACTCGGTCGTCATTGCATGTTTGAATAAAATCTTGGCCATAAAAGTAAAGCCAAAAGTGAACACTTCGTCTTGTGTTTGTATTTTCTCAAGTACTTGCTCAATGGTTTTTCTAGTTTGTTCATTTTCTTTGTGTTTAGATGTCTCTTGTGAATTAAAAATATGGAAAAAGTTTATGTATATACATACCGGATCCAAAAAAAAGGAAAGGGAGAAAGAGAAAGCGATGGAGAGTGAGAGAGAAAGAAAAGGGGCGAATGTAATTTTATATACGTTGTTGGAATGATCCATATAAATAAAATAAAAGTATGAGGATCTCGAAGCTCCCCTTTAGAGTTGAGACCAAGTCCCCAAAGGAGCCGAAGAGAAATGGGAAAACACTGAATATATTTGAGTTCTTTTTCGAGAGAAAAGCTTTTGAGAGACGGCAGGAGAGAGTCAAGCAGCAGAAGAAGCAGCACCATAATAATAAAATACATGAAAATACTCTGATTAGTTGGAGTAAGCTCTTGGGCATAGGCACTTAAGGGAGTCGGAGAATAGTGTGTAACATGAACGAAAAACCCCGAAACACTGAGGCCCAAGAGCACAAACTACTTGCAATGAAATTAAACTTTCTTTTCTACAATTTCTATGAACAAATAGAAAATTATATTCTGGCTGACTGATACATTTAACATTTAGAAATGATTTTCCTTTCATATTTTATTAACAGACGATGAACATGCTGTTGAAAGTGTTGACCGTGATTATGAATCTGATAACTCTGATTGCGATAGCATTGCTTCGTATTCATCAGGTGAGTCTTTGAATTATCTTTAAGAACTTTGATGATTATTCTTTTAATAAAATTATGTAATTTCTTACAATTAATTTCACTAAATCTCTTCTGTCAGTCACTCAAAAGATGATGTTAATCTTCAGAAGTTTCGCATGTTATCAAAAAATCATTAAAAACATTCTTTAATGCTTTTAAACCTCCTTTGACCCATCTCTTGTGTATGTTTGAATGTTGTGAAGGGGACTCTTCTTCATTAATTTATTAAAGGAAGAGGAAGACTAATTGCTTTGCATGTCCAAGTGTTCTAAATAACATGTCATCTTACAGCATATAAAATCCTTTCGTCTCAAACGGAATTTAAACATAAATTATGCTACGTCTTGAAAGATTTTCTTGAAAAGCTAAATAAGAAGACAAACAGTTACATAAAAGTAAATCTTCTCACAATATTTTCATTGTAATGAAGACACAAACTTTTAATATCAACGACTCTCCCCATTAATATCAAAACACAAACCTCACAAGCACTAGATAGGTAACAACATGAAACGAAATGTACTTTTCAATTTCTTTTCCTCTCGAAATGAAAGAAATGTATTTCGAAACGATGACGGTAAAGAATAAAATGAGTAAAGCACAACACACATACGAAAAAACACATTATTCTGTATATCGTTCCCTAGATGCAGGTGAACTGACGTACTGGCACTCTTGAGAGTCGTATGGGCCATGTAAAAGACACCCTCAACGGCAATATTTATTTCAGAATGTATATACAAATTGTAAATGCAGAAAAAAAATTACAAATAAACTGAGAAGGAATTTTTCGTTTTCTTCTTTCATTCACTTTGCATTAAGAATATTTCTTTGAATGAGATGAGATGAGATCCTTTTAAATATAACCGAAAGAAAGTTATTCCACCTTACGTTATAAAATTTAAGGATTTTAAATGCCATCGGAATAGTTTTCATTCGATGTTAGAATTTTTGAATCGTGTGATTGGGATTTGGTCGAAGCAATGCTGAACATCGATAGTCTGAGTTACTAACTTTCTAATGTTCATCTAAGCTTAAACGTGTATCCTTTAACGATGGTGTTCTATGAATTACTCCACTGCGACAAGAATCTATAGTCGAGACATTCATGCGTTGTTTGCAAATTCATGAAATTGTTGATAATCTTCTAAACTATTTTTCTTTTTTTACAAAATTTATCAGACAACTCTTGTTGGCATCGTTTGCCACCTACACACATTATAATATATTTCAATTCTTAAGGGAATCACATGATAGTCCAGGTTTTGAGATTAATTTTTGATAATGAAAAGATTGGAAAGATTCATTGAAATATTCTCTAAAGGTTAAATTGTTGTTAGTCGATGCAAGAAGCGAATTCGTTTCTTAAATAAATGAAAGTCTTTGAAAGGGCGTTTTGTTTAAATGTCATAAAAGAAAACAAATTTTAAAAACCGCTATCAACAATTACCAGAGTGAAAAATCATTTCATCACATCTCAAATTCTTACGAGAATTAAAAATATCAAATATCTTCATCTCATTTATTTCTTTTTTACTGTTTTTTTTTTCATTTGGGAAACTCACGAAGGATGTGAGAGTGAAAATGAATTTGAATAAAAGATTTTTTCTTCACTATTTTGATGATTCAATTGATTTTGGAGGGAAAGGTAAAAAAGAGCCTCAACATGAGCATAGTAGATGGTTATTTCATTTCCTTTTATGTGATGTCTGTGGGGAGCTATTGAGAATTGTTCCATTGAGTACTATTGAAGGTACAAAACATTGAATTGAGAAAATAACGCAGAACATGTTTTAAAGTATTCATAACATTATACAAGAAATTTTTTAATGTTTACTGTGAGATGGTGAATACTGACAAACAATAATTTTTGGAATCTGAGTGGCGAAGATTATCTACTTAAACAAAAGACGATTGCAAAGTTTCACAAAGATGTTCATAAATTCCGACACTTCCTTTTACTTAACAGTTGTAGGCGTTAATCGTAACTAATCACTGAAGAATTTGATTAATGTTGTAAACGCCTTTCGGGAAAATTTTCTTCTGTTAATTTTAACGGTTGTTGACTACACAAAAACTTACTGTTAAGTTGAATTGAATTAAATTAAACTTTACAATGCATTTTTATTTGATGTTTCATTGAAAGAATATTTAACATTACAAATTGTGTTCATCAACAACACCTTTCATTTCTTAAACATTGAAATCGTTCCACCAAGCAGGTGATTTATAATCTCAAAACAATTGAAGCGAAGAAAAGAAAATTAAGCGTGAAATTATTGGGGATCACAAAAATATAGCACGTGAAATATGCTTTTAACATTTTTATTCGTCTTTCTTATTCGTTTTCGAAATATTTCTCGACTTACTCAATTGGAAAATTATTTTTATTTAAAATTCAAAAAACTTTTGTTGAGTTTAATCCCCACTTTATTGTCCAGAAATGGACACACAACAAGTCAACAGTGTTGCATAGAAATTTATTTAATAAATAGTCATATCATCAACACCACTCAACGAGTCACAAATTCAAATGTTTTTATATAGTAATTAAACTTGTCTGTTACGAAAATAATTTGTGAAAATGAATTTGGTGAGAAGTAGGTAGATATATCACTACTTGATACTTTTCGGACGCATTTGGATAACATTTCACTTAAATAATCCCATTTCAAACCGTCCGTAACCTGTCCATCATGCCTTTCATTGCCGAGAAAATCTCTATGAAAATTTCCATCTCAATTAATAATTCATGATAAAATTTTTAGATCACTTGACTTTTTGGTTACAGAACTTTCCGTTAACGTCATTCAGCATTTCTTTTTTGTTATTTTCTATCTTCTTTTGTTATGATTTATTCAAGGAGTTATCCTGAAACACATTAGAGTGTTTGTGATAAAATTAGGTGATGATCCAACATTGAAATCTTCCCGCGTCAGAATCACCTCACAAATCAACCCTTTGCTGACTCTAAGATGAATGTCAATTGACAGTCATTAGGCATGAAAGAGATCCCCAAGTTAATTTGCCCTTAATTGTTGTTCATGTTCAAACCTACTGTTGAAACAATTTAAATCTTTTTCACACAATCATTTCATTGGAAATCTCGTGCTTGTATGCGCACCCTGTAAAATATTTTCTCTGCTCGCTTTTCTCTCCGGAATATTTCACTCTTATGCTCAGCTCCCCGCCTAATGCTCGATTTTTTTCGTTCTTTTTTCTTGGTCCCGCCTCGACAATAATTTTGTGCATAGATTTAACATCTGAAATATTTAATGGTGATCATTTTAATTTTCCCAATTTCAATTTTCTTTGAATTTCATTTCAATAAAACAGAAATTGAATGAAAAAGAAAATTTAATTGTGGAATTGTAATTCATTGGAAATATTTACCAATGCATAATAAAATAATAAATACAAGAGAATAATAAATAATTAAATAAATGTTATTTATTGAGAGAGTTTAAGATGCAAAACATGCAGAATAACAAACCATAAACAAACAAAATTATAATCACAGTTCCCAAGTAGCCATAAATGTAAGCGATTGGTGCAAAGTCGTACAGTATAAGTTTACTCTCACATTTCTTTTCCTCTTCAATTGGAGCATAATATCGTTTACACAGTGACATGCTCGAGAAATGAACAGCACAATACGATCTGCTCATTTTTTTTTCTGTGTGCGCTTTATGTGCTGCTTGAAAACGGAAAAGAAACGAAAAGAGCAATTCAATTGTGCGCTACTCCCTAAAGAGTTCAGATGTGCTTAAGAGTTTATTAAGGTGACGGAATTATGTTTGGAGGGTGAAATTTATCAAATATTTAAAAAGGAAATAAAATAAAAATGTGTTGAATAGTTTTGGCGACGTTAAGTTAGTTAAAATGTTTGATAATAATCAGTGAAGTTATTTATGGCTTTTAAATACTTTTTGAGTCCAAGTTCGAGACTAGAGAATTTGATAGAAAAGATTCAGAAGCAAAGAAATAACATTCTTATAACAGGTATCATAACATAAATAACAATCTTACTTATTAGCAAGACTCATCTGAGTTGTTATCTTAAATTGAGAAGAAAGGAAGTTTTAATTAAGTTCATTAAGTGATAAATGTTTTGTCATAAATACTTAGTTGATAGAGTCTGGTGCATAAGTTTCTTAATTGAAGTAGTCACCGAGAATCTTGGGACCATTTAAGAATATCGTGCTACTTGTGTCAAGTAGGAAGTGATAAGAATTTGTACAAAGCTTTCATTAGCGTGTAATTGTTCGTTTTGAATTTTTTATTCATCACATAAATTATATTATTTAAACTTCTTGTCTCTTTAATTGAAAAAAAGTTAATTTTTCTATCTACAAATTGAAGTCAATTTCCAACCAAAATAAAAATAAATTTTCACCTTTCTTGTATGTATAAAATCTAAACCTTAAATCACTTTATCATTCAACAAATTGTGATTGATGTAAGATAATGCATCATTTTGTCATGAGATAAAAAGGCGAAGACGTGAAAAGGATTTCAGTAAAATGATGAAAATTTATGAAGTGCTTCATGATGGTAATAAAGATTACCATTACCGCGGTAATTTATTATCATTTGGGTTTGAAGAGTTGAAATCTTGAAATTGATTTTCCTAGTATCTATTTATTTTGCTTTTCCTTCTTATCAGTAAAATTGAGGAAAATTTTTCCCAATTTGTTAAATTTTAAGTGAATTTATTTATTTTGTTTCCAGAACTTTACTCTTCACATACATCAATCAGTTTTCCTTCATCAAACAACAGCACATCTGAAATGGAGACCAACGAAGCTGATGTTGATGGAGTCGATAAGAAAGAACGAAAAGATAAAACAAAATTCAAAAATTGTTCTTACAAATGTCAATTCTGCGAGAAATCGTTTCCACGTTTGGGATATTTGAAGAAGCACGAACAGGTGAGTGAATTATTGAAATTTAATTCACCCCCAACAAGAATTATTCCCACACATTATCCTTATTCACAATAACGGAGCTTCTTCCATATAAACTTGTGTAATAGTAAACCGTACAAGTGAAATTACATCAATAAAGTTCTTCATTATTATTCTTTTATTATGATGTCGCACGGTTTATGAAAAAAAGCGACGAAAAACTTGAAGGAAATAAAATTATTGCGGTCATCATCTTTCTTTTAGCTTTTGCACAAACATATGTAGAGAGTTTCTTTTTAACCTTACGTATGATTGCATTAAATATACTTAAGATAATAAATGAAACTGCACCAGTCGACGGAATACCAAGTGGTGAACATTTTATAACCTTTCGACACATGTAACTCGTGATGTTTTATTAAAAACATAAATTTTACTAATTTTTTCTTCATCGTCATATTTTGTTCCCGTTGCACATGATTAGAGTCATGAAGATTACATGCCCTTTAAGTGTCCAGTTTGTCTTCGACTATTTAAACATAAGAGATCAAGGGACCGACATTTGAAGCTTCATACTGGTGACCGACGATACAAATGTCTTTATTGTGAATCAGCTTTTTCAAGAAGGTAAAGAAAATTAAATAATTTTCCATTTTACAAGAAGATTAAAAGAATTTTTCTTAATTAGCGACCATTTAAAAATTCATATGAAGACACACGACAGTAAAAAAGCGTGAGTTGATTCTTAAATAATTTATTTGTGTTTAAATAGATGAACTTCATATCATAATTAAATTTTATTTAGTTTCCAATGTAGCTTCTGTAATCGTGGATACAACACTGCAGCTGCATTGACTTCTCATATGCAGAATCATAAGAAACAATTAGAAAATCGAGGTCGTAACGATTCACCATTCAATTTCAGGTGAGTTAATCAATGAAATATTTATTTGAAAATTCGGAAAAGGAAAATAAAAAATCATTCACAGTTTGAAATCGTCGGAATCTTCGTCGACTTCAATGATGGATAAGAAAAGATTTTCAGATTTAATTTCACCGAAATCATTTAAATCTGAAGGACATTCCGAATTGAGGTCCTTAATTCGATGTTTCTATTGCACGAAGTCAAACTTCGTATCTTTGGATCAATTAAATATTCACATTAATATCATGCACAGTCATAAAATTAGCAAAGATAAGAGAAATGAAATTGACAAAGAACAAAACGAGTTGAGTCCATTACATTCCTGTGAATTCTGTTTGATGAAATTCACCTCATCTGATAAATTATTAAAACATATTAAAGCAATTCATGATGAGAAAAATGGCGAAAAAGTTTCAGTAAATTCTGAACTTTGTTCACTTGATATGCGAATCGATAACGGCAATAAATTCGATAATGATGACGAACAACCAACCGATTTAAGTCAAAGATTTTCAAAGAAAATTAAAATCGAAAACTCATCCGTTTCAAAAGCATTCAAGCCACCAGTAAAATCACCGATTTCTTCAGAAGTCTTCTTATGTAATCAATGCAACGCATCGCTGCCGAATTTTGAGCTGTTTCGGCTTCATTTGAAAAGTCATTTGGAAGAGAATTACAAAATTCGGAGCAATGACCACCACTTTGAAATGAATAATGCATTCTATCACACGCAAAAGAAATTCATTTGCCCGCAATGTCGAGATGTTGTGTTTGATAATCGTTTTGAATATGATCAGCATGTGGAGAAGCATTACACTGAGTTTTTATGCCGTGAATGTGACGATTCCTTCACCAAAAATGAAGACTTACAAAATCATTTAATTGAGAGTCACGTTTGCTTCAAATGTACGCTTTGCAGTGAAAGCCTCGAGTCGATTATGTCGCTGAAATTACATTTTGCATCTCGTCATTCCCACAAAAGGTGCTCGGCTTGTCACGAGGATTTCAGTTCAGACCGAGAATTTATGAGTCACATTCATTCAAAGCACAGCTCGTCAGATTTAATTCATTGTATATTCTGTCGTGTAACATGTTCATCCGAACTTGAGATGCATTTTCATTTCTTGTCAGCACATGTTAAACAGTTCCGGTAAGAATTTTCTAATAAAATATTTGTCAGACTTCCTAAAATTAATTTTCCAACAGTTGCCCAGCTTGTTCCGAATCATTTCATGTTGAATTTCTTCTCGATCGACATCTTCAAACGCATCATTCTATTAATGATCCTCAATTGAGTGCTAAATATGCTGCTGAAAAAGAAATGGCATTGTCACATTTAAATCTGCAAAATTATCATCCATCGTTAATTGATAGCAATTATAAAGGCAAATTCTTAATGAACAATGAACCCAAACAATCTGATAATAGCTTAATGAGTGGACTTCACTCAAATATTTTTGCATTAAATTCAATATCCAACCAATACACGAAAGGCATTGATCTTGCCTCTCTCCATGAAAGTCTCAATCGTGCACAGTCGACTTTGGAAGAAAGTCAAAATGTTCGAGTTAAGCAATTATTCTCGATGAATAATAATGGCGAGAAATCTTTCAACGACACTCAAAACGTTGCAAAAAGTCAGAACGCTTTGAACATAACTAATTTAGCCAATGACAGAAACAACAATAAAAATGCAACTAATAAGGACAAAACTGATGCAACATCGCACTATAAAGAATTCGAGCCGACAACGGATAAGTCAGGTCAAAGCTTACACACAAGTTCAAAGTCTGGTGTGAGTTTGAAATGTGCATATTGTGAGGAACGTGACGATTTTAAGTCTAGGTGAGTTTTAATTTATTTTTTTGATATTCACTTAAATATTCTTAAGTAATCTGCTCATGAATTATGATTTATGAACTTTTGTTTAACTCAGAACTGAATTGGAAAATCATATGAAGATTCAGCACAACATCGCAGCTAAACATAAATGTTCGATTTGTGATGAAGTTTTACCATCCCCAGCCGGTAATTGAGTGAAATATGATTAGGGTTTGCTTTTGGTCTTAGAAATTGTGAGATAAAATATAAAAAATAATGAAAAAGTTTCTTATAAATATCTAATAAGAATTATTCTCCAGATAAATCTCATAATTCATTTAGACTCAAAATTGTGAACTCAAAATGTCGATATCCCCCAATACTGATAAAAAAATTTATCCCAACAGTTCTCGCGGAACACAAATTGCAACATTGCAAAGTAATATCGGGAAAATGTTTTCATTGTTCGGAGTCAATTAACGATGTCAACGATTTCAAGCAACATATTCAGAACCATAACATGAAAAATAAAACAGCGTTGGAATTTCCTATACATTGCATTTGCTGTCACCAACTTTTAGCATCGGACTTTGAAATGAATCTCCATGCAAAGTGATATTGAAAATGTTTAAAATAGTTAAATAATTAAATTAACGAATGAATTTTCACAGGTTTCATACGAATTCAGCCAACACTATAAATGTCAATGACGATCGAACGTGTGCACTTTGTCTCAACATTATGGAACAGGCGAATATCAAGAAGATATGTAATTCATGCATGACAAAACATAACTTCTCGCTAAATTCGGTTCCAAAAAATCAACTGCAGCTTTGTAATTTATGCAAGAAAAATATTGAAATTGAAAAGTTCCAAGACCACTTGATTGAACATGAAATGGACAATGGAACAATAGCATGCGCTATATGCAGTTCAATCTTCACGTCAATAATTGGTCTAAAAGACCACATTCGTGAACATAATCTCATTGCTTCAGATCTCAAGGAAGTTTGCTCAAAATGTAATTCAAGATTTCTTTATCGCTCAGAGCTTTCTCATCATGTTCATGAACATGAATTGATGGAAAATCAAGGAAATGTAGTAAAGAATGAAGAAAGTGACGACGAGGAAGTCAATAAGATAAAAGAAGAAGATGAAGACGATTATATAGAGATTGAAAAAGTTGTTGAGAATCCAACTTAAAAATTTAAGAAAGTTCGAAAAATAGAGCTTTAAAAACTCAAATGAAAGCTTCCTAATAACTCAATTAATTTTCATTAAATATTATTATATGCCACCTAAATATCTACTTGAATACGTCAGTAGTGCATAGTTACCAAATTTATGTTGTTGATCATCGACATTATGCAAATTCTCATTGTACGTCTCGGGCAGTTTTATACTTTTCTTAAACGTAGGATTATTACGTGTAACTTCTACGTAGAAAAATGGTACGTAAGCAACGTTATACGTAAGCATGTTTAGTTAAATATAAGAAAATTAAATTTGTAGAAAACTTAAATCTAGGCATTAGTTATTATTGAAAGTTCTGTTCACTGCTTCATGATCAAATAAAATACAATATTACATCTCATGTGTCTTTATTATTAATGAATCTACGCTGTCTTGTTTTGTTCAGTACAACATCAATTTGTTTCTGATTAAAGAAGCGATCTAAGAGTCCGCCAACAATTGATCCTGGAATTCGTTGGTTTTCCACGATTAACTTCTCAATAGCCATTGCTGTTTTTTCTTGCAGTTCTTTAGGAGTTATGCCTTCTTCATAGTAAATCGGTGGGCCAAGATGTGTTCTAAATTTAACAGGAAATCCACCATAAATTGGACGAACGGGAATTCTTGTCCAGTTATAGCTTTAAAAGATTGAAATTTACGTAATTGATTTGTCATAATAAATAGCATGAAATACAGCTTACAGTGTTATAAAAAATTTCCTGGCAATGCCAATATTCCTAAAGCCTTCTCTAAGATTCTCAGTAAACATTGGAATGATTGGAGCTTTCGATTCAATTGCAACCTTTGCGAATCCAAGTCGATTTTGCCACAACAATTCATAATAATTATTGCCGAATTGCGCTTCATAAACGCCTCCAGGTGATATAGCTAAGAGATTTCCCCGATTTAATGTCTCGGTACAAGACTTGACTGTTCCAGGTGAAACTTTTAAAGCTTGTGCAATAATTTTCCATCCTGGGAGCTTAAACAAGAAACGATCACCAACTGTGTAAGTCAATCTGTCTAATTTCAAATAAATTTTAGCGACAAAGTAATACATGTCAATTGGAATTGCTCCATGGTAGTAAATTAGTAAAGCAGGTCCATTTCTCGGAAGATGTTCCAAGCCGTGAATTTCGTAGCCATGATAAATCTTTAAAAGATTTTAAAGTTTGCATTGATTTGTAATTTCAAAGAGATCTGATAGCATTTACCGTAGCATGAGCATCCCAAACTGCTGCTATAAACTTATTTGCGACCTTCCAAAAGTTAACGTCATCCGCTCTGATTTCTTTCATTAAAACCCATCTATAACGAGCCAAAATTGAAAAATAAAATTACAGCCAAAAATTAAATAGTCGCCCCATTTAACTCACCTGTGAAACTTGAAAATGTACAATGTCATAGACGAGAAATATATCAAGAGTACGAAAACGCATGGCAATAGAAATGTCACAATAAGCGGATAGTATACAGTCATGTAAAGCCAATATACATAGTTGGAATCTTCCACATACTTGCCTAAAAAGAAGTAGAAAGACTGGTTTAGATAAGACCTTCGCAACAACAAAAACAAAATAGGAATGATTACACTGAATTAATTAAATATCATATCTTCGAAATTCATCAATAAATTTCAACAACAATAACGAAATTTAAAGGTCCCTTTGATTATGTAACATCATTTTTTCATAAATTTGTTGCAAATGTAAAAGTTCATTGTAAATCACTTTCATTGTTGTCTTTTTTGTTTGAATGTGAAAGTACCTACTTAGAAAATTGATGAAAGTTGAGTTTTTGGCGATTTCCTCTTCCATGTCTTTTATATTTTCATTGTTCATCAAGCCAGAATGATAAATATTTAATATTTGTTATTATTTTCTGTATCAAAAACACTAATTTCTCTACATAAATGTGAAAAAGAAATAAACTTCAAGAGAACATTTTTAAAATGACAAAACTAAGTTTGTAAACAAGAGAGAGAGAGTTGTTCAATTTCCGATAGATGTCGCTTGGGCTTTCAATTTTGTTTAGGGTCGAGTACAATATTATGAATTTGTTTAAGTTTCAATAATAAATACATAAGCATTAAAAGAAATTATAAAAGCAATAGTTTGTAGCATTTATACGAAAATATTATCTTAAGAAACATCTTCTCCGCATTCGCTCCAAAGAAACTTAAACAAAAGGAATGCTGGAGATGATCGCCTCATTGAGACGATTTAAATAAATTGAACGTAAGCGAAAATTTCATGAAATTCATCTCGTAAGTAGTAATTGAAAAGTTCGGTGGGCGGAATGTTATTAATAACGATTTCCATAATCAACATCACTTCATTCTTTTATTGATATCTGTAAATGTTAATAACTTTGTTCAATAACACCACAGATAAATCCTCGACCTGATGATGGGTTCAACAAATAAAAACCCAAACGGAATACGTGTATGTGCAAACGATGCTCACTTTATAAGCTTAGGTAATGGTCGATTGAGCACGGGCGTGACATTATTTGACATCCCCATAGGTTTGTTTGCTGTAATGTAATTTTGTCAATAAAACTTTGAGAATAAATTTTTTTCATCTTCGTTTTTGAAGGAAATATTACAATCGGATCCAGTGAAAGCTGCGACATCATAATAAAGGGAGCAGATGTACAGGATGTTCATTGTTCGGTAACACGTAAAATATCCGACGACAATAACTTAGGGGACGTGATATTGAATCGTGTTGGAAGTGCCAAAATTCTTGTCGAAGGTGTCGTTGTTGACGACGAATGTTATTTGCAGCAGGGATCCATGATCACAATTGGTGAAAATAGTTACTTACGGTTTAATTTTCCTCGCAAAGCAGCTCTGTTAAAGACAAACGCCATGGATATGGATCGAAATAATTCAACAGACAAATATGACGAAGTGTTAAGAAAAAGTTTAAATACAAGTTTTGTCAATTTTGCCGAATTTAATTCTGAAAAGTTGTTGAACAACAATGATAAAGTGTCGGAAAAGATGAAGAACTTGAAATTAAAAACGAATGATTCATACCCAAAAATATCAAATATGCAAACTTTTCCTTTTGCCGCAAATTCACTTGATGGCGTCAGTCCAAAGAAGCCAGAAAATGTTGTTGATGAGATGCAGCAGTTGGAGCAAGTGTTGAAAATGTTTGTCGATTATAATAACGACAATCATATTGGTGGTTCGTCTTCATCAAATCGGAGTCTTACTAAAATAAGCTCTGAGAAGATTAACTTATCACCTCAATCTCATCAAAATCGTATCAAAACAAACGGCTCGTTACCGAAAAACTTTCACACTAAAGAACATGGTCACAGTTTTGAGTTTTACGATTCCGATTCAAAGTCGACCGACGATATTGAAATCTATAAGAAACCACAAAGTCCTCGTACGCGAATAAAGACTTTTGTGTCATCGCCCACCAGCAGTAATAATAATAATTCAGCGAAATGTTTATCGCCAACAGATAACAACGATAAGAGCTACACTGCTGATAATAATAAAAAGAATGTCGCGATTGCTGAGAGTTATGAGAAAGACTATGAAAAATTGATAAAGAGTTTCGAAGAGAAGTTTCGTATGGATATTTATAACATTCAGAATTGTGAGAAGACAAGTGACGGCGGCAACGGAACAATAGCCGAATCGACAGATTTGAACAGTGAAAAGAATGAAATTTTGTCGAAGATAAGAGAATTGAAAATTCTTATTTCGGACATTCAATTGCAAGAGAGCGAGACGTATCTCGAGTCTGACGTTGAAAAGTCATTAGTATTAGCAGAAATGTCGAATGAAAAAGCAAATTTATTGAAGTTAAATGATAAATTGTCAGCATTAAAGACACAAATGAAGCATTTGGAAGTTCAAAAAGTTCGAAAGCAGAAGCATCAAGAAATTCAACAAATAAAATTGAGAAATGTTATCAAAGATATGGAAGCGGAAATCAAAATATTAAAAGAACAGAAAGATCTCTCAGTTGACTCAAAGAATCGTTTGCAGGAGTTGGAAGAGAAGCTAGAAGTCGATAAGAAGACTTATGAGGATTTGGAGTTTCATTATCTTGAAGAAGAAACCGATTGGTAAGTTGTGAAAACGTGCGGAAATTCCTTTTCGAAATTAACATTTATTTTCCACATTCTTAGGTTGTCATTGCTTGAAGAGTACAAAGAAAACATCAACACGTTCAGCCAACAAATCGAGGACAAGAAGAATGTTATCCAACAGCTTGAACAGACGAAACAGGTCAATGAGAATCTGACGCAAGATGAACAGAAGACATTGGAGAAGCGTCTATTTAATTTGAAACAAAAGCTTGAGAATGAAAGGGAAAAGCTTAAAAGTATTGACAAAATGCTTTTAGCCAAGAAACCGTCACCAAACATAAACGAAAAAGAGAATAACAATCAAAATGATTCATCATCAAGCTTTAGTGCCTTTGATAGTTTATCGTTCGACCGCAACTCCAATTTAATGTCGAAAAGCTTTAATGAAAACATGTTCTTCAACCGCAACAAGATTGAAGTGTCGCATTTTGATTTTAATCTTAATTTAAATGTCGATCCAAGTGTGAATGAAGACAATGAAGAAGAAAAAGATGATAAACAGAAAAAGTTAAACAATGCCATGGTGAAGGAAGAAGATCTGCGAATTTCACCAATCAAACACAACAACATCAACGATTTATCTCGTAATAGTCAATCAAATGACACTGATAATAACGCTTCACCTCTCATGATGCCAAAGTACCACTCGTTGTCTTCAATTAGCACATCTCAAGATGATTTGGTGCCGTCTAATAATAAAAACAATAACAACAGTCAAATACCGAACGGTTATGGAACATTGACGGGAGTCGTTCAACGTCAAACTCCAAAACAACATAAACGACCTCTCACACGTTACTTGCCAAATTTCTCCTTAGATTTTAATTTAAAACATCACATTGAAAGCGCAGGTCATCAAATTCAGCTTTGTCCACATGTCATAATTACTGGTAATTAACATTTAGCTCAACTTTTTTTATAATTTTTATTCAGAGATTAAGATTGTGATCAAAACTCAAACATTGCTTTGTGACAATAATCTCTAAAAATTTAAAATCTCAATCTCTGGATTGCATTGAAATGAAAAGCGAAGAAGAAGAAGAAATTAATTAACGACTAATTTTTTTATCTTTTCATGAACACACATAAACATTGCAGCTACAAGTTGCCGAGGATTTCTCAACAAAGTTGGTGCCAAACCACTATTCTCCAATTTACGTGTCAACAATCGTTGGTTCGTCTTTGACCGCGAACGTCAAATGCTGGTTTATTATTCTGATAAGAATGAGAAGAAGCCTCGAGGTGGTGCGTACTTCAACGCTATCACTGATGTTTATTTCGATCATTCATCGATGAAAAACAATCGAACGTTTATCGTAAAGACAAAAAGTAAGATGTATACGTTACAAGCACCTTCTCAACAAGCCTGTTCGATTTGGATTGATGTGAGTGATATAATGTTGTTTGATAAATCTAAAACAAAAATAATTGGGGTGACTTTGAATGTTGAGCAATAAGTTTGAATGGAGATCTCATTTTGTTGTTTAACTAAACTCAACAAAGTTTAATTAAACAAGGCTTTTAATTCCATATGGAATAACTTTCATTTCGCATAAAGCGTTGATCAATATTTTATTTGATTTTGCAATGATTATTTGTGTACATGTTTGTTGAATTGTCCCCACCTCAATTCATGACTAAGGAAGCTTAAAAATTTTATTAAGTGGTTTTTATGGTTTCGTTTCATTTACAGGTCATAATAACAGGTGCCCAAGGAAAGATTCTCGAATACGACAAATAAATATTAATTAACGATTTTGCATTGAAACGAAGTTAACCATAGCGATTCCTATCAACACTATCAATATTATCTACTAAGAGAGAGAGACAGACAATCACGATTTTATTTCTAACATTTCCTTTTATACTTTTCTTTATAATTTAAGAATAATTATTCTTTATAATTGCGTGCTTGATTGATTATACGAAACCATATTTTTTAGTTTAAAATAAGTTTGTGAAAAGATTTTTAAAAGGACCAACAATAAAAAGATTTAAATGAATGGATTGACTTTTCTTAATGTTTGTATGATTTTTTTTAAATTTAAATTTAATTAAAGAAGCTTTCGCTCTTTTACAATCAGAAGCAATGCGAGCAAAAATGAGATTTTGTCAAGGGGTGAATCATGACAAATTGTGATGTAGAAAAGCTTTGAAGTTTGAGGAAGTAAGTTAAGAACTCAAATGCACGAAACAATTTAAAGTTTATTGTTTTCAATTTAATGAAACATTAAAATTAACCACACGATCTATAAAGAACAACTTGCAGCACTTCTAACACTAAATTCGTCGAACTTCCCCTTGAATTTTGTAGTATTTCTCAAGTTCATATCGAAACTCTTTCAACCGATGATTTTCTTCTCTTTCTCTCTTTTCCATTTTTTTTCGTTGTCGACGGCATGCAAAAGCTGGTAGTGCTGTTTCGGTTTTTGTATTTATTTTTATTGTGGATTGTTTTTTCATACGTAGAAGACGTGCTACCGTGATCTGTGGTAACCGCGAAAAAAAAATTGTTTTTGAGTTCCAACTAAAAATAAAAACTGCCCTCATTCTTGGAATACGTGAGATAATACAAATGATGTGATACACTGATAGTGTCTTGTGATAAGAAAAAAAAACAAAGGTTATTGTAATTGTTTAGAAGAAATCATCGATTTGTAATGAGACCTAACGCCGAGGTAACTAAAATCATGGTTTTAACGACTCTTTTCCATCATATGACGACAAACGATCGTAAAAAACGAAATAAAGCTCTGATAAGTTTCTCGCTGTGATTTTGTTGAGTTGTTGGCTTTCGAAATTGCACAAAGAAAAGTAGAAAAAAATAGAAAAATCACAAGCGAGCTTTCAACTCACGACAATGAGCTGACTTAATATGCATCTGAATATAAACAATAAGCTCGTTGATTTCGATTTTCAACATTAACTTAGCTTGGATTTTCTCACGGTTACGAAAAACATTAATAAAGTAAAGTTATTAAAAGCAAAGTAGAACTTTTTTGCTTAACTTAACATTTAATTAATTTCATTTCCACGCGTTAAAAAGTTTCTGCTAAAATTCAACATGAAGGTGAAGTTCTGAGGTTTTCTGACATCAATTTCACGTTTCTTATTTCTCGATCATTCACTACAATTTAATATTAAAATTAATTAAAATCATGCGTTCTATTTGCAATCGTAATAAATACTCAATTCTATGAATATTTTTGCCGCTCTCTTTATCTAATCTCGCCTTCAAATGATTTGCCAGCAAACAGCGCAACCTGGAATTACCTATATGTAAAGGTTTTTATCGATAATTGTGCCAGTCTTATTGACGGAAAAGTTTTCAAATCACTCTGCGGGATTCGAATTTCTGTTTTATCTTTCGCTTATTCATATGCAGTCATATGCCACGATACCGTTGCGGCTGAAAGTTTTAAAGCAACAAAACACTTTGAACTTTTATGTTTATCATCTTCATTCGTTGTTCTATTCCCCGTTAGTGATCAACCTTTTGGAAAATCTCATTGACCTGAGACAGGAAGTTCAGACCAAAATTAAATAAGAAGACAGCAATCTCAGCAACAACATCGCAGTTGTTTTCATGTGAAAGTTTTTCATAGCAATTTCAAAGATATTTTCAAGACACATTTTTTCTTCTTTTTTCGTCTAAATTATGTTGTTTGATGGATGACCATGGGCGAGATAGAAAGAAATGATTTTTGTTGCTTTTGTTGTTCATAATTGGTGAGCGGTACTCAAATTTCTGGCGCTTAGGAAATCAAGGGAACAAATCGTAAATTGTGAAACCATTTTGAAACTTCCAGCTTAATAAATGCTTTTCCGTGATCGCAAAGATTTAATTAACCATCTATCGAACTGGTTATGACTTGAAGGATATTTCAGTTTAATTAACTTTTATTGCAATTGTTACCGGAGAAAGATAAAGTCAAGAAAGTTGACCAATAATTAAACTTATATGTAGACATCATTTGCGAAACTTTCCCTGATCTTGTTACACGAAGATGCATCGGTGAGCTTAGTCGAACCGCGAAAAGTAACAGCAAAAAATATTAATTCGATGTTATTAAATTATTAAATATCATTATGGAAAGAAAAGATCTTAAAGCCGCACGTTCATGAATTTAGAAACTGATTGAGGTTTTTTATTGGACTAACGAATAAATAACAGTAGAAAAGCGGTTATTCAACGTCAAATACATTTCAATCTCGCCAATTCATTCTTGCGAAAGCATTAAACTCAATCGGAGGTCAAAGAATTCTATAAAGCGTTTAATTTCGAGCTCATAAATAACAATGCTGATGTTGACTAATACGTGAAGCCGAAAAAATTCATTCCACCTGCAACACGACATTTTGTGTAACTTAACATAGCGGTGGTGAGAATAGAAACAGAGAAAAAAAGTTCATCTGCCAGCTCAGCCATACTTCCGGTTTCACTTTTATTTGAGAGTTGAGAGTTGTCGATGGTAGCCACTCGCATGTAAATTAACATTTTTTATTAATTTAATTCATAATACTGCCTTTGCTTCTTGCGTGTCTTCATGTTCCGCAAGCCATTTTATTTTTCCTATTGCAGAAATTTAATCCATCGAGTGAAACCGGAAAATAAGCGTTCGATGAAAGAGAAAAGACTTTCGATGGTCAAAAAATTCTTTTTCTTTCATTTGTTGGATAAAAAAATTGTTTAAAACCAGTTTTGGATAAGAAAACGAGCGACATTAAAGAATAACTTCAATGTTAAGTTCAATGTAATAATGACCCACTTTTACATCTTATTCTTTGTCTTTATCTTATTGGACAAGACATTGAAGAACAGAAGAGAGGAGAAGAATGAAACAATGTCAAACAGCAAAGAAGAAAAGTAATAAAAATGTTAAAAGGCACGTGAAGAATTGTTTTCACTCGAGATGCAAATCTGTAGCAGCAGCAACAGACCAGTTTTTGTTTCACTTCGATTTCGCTCAATTATTTCTCTTATTAGCCGGTTGGGGAAAGAAAGAAAGAAAGAAAAAATTTCACTTTATGATTGAATTTTATTTAACAAGATCAAAAGAAATGTGTTTTTCTTTACTCTTTACAATTTAAGAGTCTTTTAATCTTTGAATCAAAGTGGTAAAGAAAATAAATTAAATATTTGCCGACAATTTTCCCATTAAACTTTCCATTGAATTATTCACACGAATGACTCATGAAACGTTCAGTTTTTCACCATTAATTCTGCTATGGCGAGCACTCAAGATTACTTATTTTATCTTATCGGTAAATAAAAATAAATTCAGTATGCGGGGGAAAAGAAGAAAATGCGAGCCACTAAATTGTTTTACCGAACTTTATGACAGAAACAGCGCAATAATTTTTGTTCACTGTAAAATCAATGATAACAAATTAAGCAAAAGAAGTAAACAGACGAGACTCTTATCAGTAATTCAGCTCACGATATATGTTGAAATATACTTGAAACACTTCCTTGTAAATTGACTTTCAATTGTCTCCTTTTTCTTCTTCATCAACACAAGAAACCAACACATGACGGTTTGATTCGCATTCAAAATGAAATCAGTGAAGTTGAGAAGCGAGAGAATGAATTGAAGAAAGAACATGCCAGCGTTCTGCCATCTAGCCGAACGAACAGCCTCAATGGTGATGTTTCGGAAACATCAAGTTCACCTGAGCCAAGCTCAACTCCACCTGTTGTTACCATTGACAGTAAAGATCATTTCAAGAAAAACAAGATTATCGAGCCACAACCGAAACCACAATATTTACCAGTCCCGGGTCTTACACGCGCTCTGACATCGCCACAACTCTTTCAAGTGTCACCAATGAAGAAATTCAACCTCAACAACACACCACATCGAGGAATTATGGAAAAATTTATTGCGTCACGTGGGAAACTAATTGGCAATCAACCAGCCCAAAACAATTTCAAGAAAAATTTGATGATGGTGAGAAGAATAAAAAAAATTAATCTTAATTTATTCCTTTCATCATCTTCGTTTACAGTCACCAATTGAATTTAACAGCGGAGGCATTAAAGCATTTTCTATTGTTGAGAAGCCCACAATCGAGCGCGACATCAAAGGTCGACCAGTTAGAAAGGGTTACATCCCAGTGGAGGAGAAAATTCAAAGTGAATTAAGGGATTTGAAGAATCGTGAATGTGAATTGAAAAAGTTGCACAAGCTTAATGGCATTCGTGATTCTGATGATGATTTTAACAGTTCCGATGATTTGGACAGCGATTGGAGTCCGTTGAATGGAAAATTATCAAAATCAATTGATGCTCTCAACAGCAATTCTAGTCTGTCGCCAAGGTACAAAAATAATTATTTAAATTTTCTTTAGTTAACAATTTCTTGCTTTCAGTCCTGAAACCCAAAGACCAGTACCACAACCACGCACTGGTGTCATTCGGCCTGCTGTTTCATTGGCTCAACTTTGTGATTTAGACGAGTCTGAGACTCCATCATCGCATAAGTTGATTGAAAGATGGGAAAGCATCATTCAAGAGAATTTACAAAGAGAAAAGTCGCACAACTTACATTAAAAATCTTCTTTAAAGTCATTTCAAATCAAATTAAGCGACGACACTGAAAAATGTTCATCTTATTACAACTTGTCGGACGTTCTTTGAATTTCGATTTCTTCTTTTCTATTTATTAATTAATTAATGTATTTTTTTTTGTTTCAAAGAATACAAAATGAGAGAAATGTTTGAAATTGTTTTTTTTCTTTTCTTGTTTTAATAATTTCTGAATAAGTTCTTTAAAAGATGTCATCGACTGAACCCGAAGGTGCATCCAAGTCACGATAATGTATGAGGGGACGATGTGGAGCATCCATTCGTCCGCCACCACCACGAGAGAAGCCACCACGACCACGTGGCATCATCATAGGTCCACCTCCATAAGAAAATCCTTGATATGGCATTGGCGAACCACCAAAGTGTGGTTGACGATACATTGGCGAGTTCTGATTGCCTTCTTTCTTAACATTACCAGGATGTTCTGGTAATTGAGGTCGCTTAGAGTCCTTGAGGTAATTGTTGAAGTATTCAACTTCCTTCTTAACTTCTTCGACCTTCTCGGCATGCTTGCTCATGATGTGTTTGCGAATGTACTCGGGGCCTTTGAATTTCTTACCCGACAATGGACACAACCACCTGTCCTTGCCCAAATCTTGAGTGTTTGCACTAACAAACTTCTCAACCTCAGCTTCGATATCTTTCGCTCCCAACTTTTTCATTTCATCTTCTGAAACTTCAGCTGAAGCCGCTAAAAATTGCGACATTTTCATTTCAAAGTTTTTGATGTATTCTTGGATGTCATTTGAAGTGATTTTGTTTTGTGGTTGAGGTCCACGAGCGTGAATGATTCCACAACGATTTGGCATCTCATCTTCGTATGGATACTCGCAATGATTGTAAAAGTCAACCGAATGAACGATTCTTAAGTAAAAAATGATTTTGTCGAGAACTGAAATCAATTCCGGATCACGTTCAAGCAATTCACCTTCAGTGTCATCTTTCGTCTCTCCTGACATGCCCAATAATTCTTCTTCTTCAGCATCAGCTTCTTCAATCAAGTAATCTGTGATGTTCTTAAGGACAGGATTTTTAGATTGAAGACCGAAAGTTTTCTTCTCTTCATTGTCTTCAATTTGATCTTTCCACAAACCAGATTTTTCATCGAGGCTATGAGCAATCTTAGCACATAATTTGATGTCATTCTTACAAACAGTTTTATGGGCTGTAATTCCATTAACAGGACGAACACGACGACTTAAATCACGATTGACAATTGGCGCAAGTTCGCAATCACGAAGTCGAATGTTGTTCAGATTCCAGCAGATTTCTTTGATGTTGACATCTCGTTTAAATGTTATCCACCCACGACGGAACCAACGTCGTTCAACAGCTGGATCCGCAATTGCAACACGAAGGAACCCATCATAGCGTTTACACAAAGCTTCCACTTCTGCTTTCGTGATGGTTGGCGCTAAATTGCGAACGAAAATCGAACTCGTCTTGTGAAGTTCTTGGAGCTTCTTCGATGTCGAATCTTCTTCCACCAAATCCACAATTTCTTCGACTTTCTTTTCTTCATCAATTTCTTTCTTTTCAGTCATCTCAGCAATGTCAGTTTTCTCTTCTCCTTCTTCAATTATTGGAATTTCTTTCATTTCCGAGTCTTCATCTTCTATTTTCTCATCTTTCTCTTCACTAGCTTCGTCAGTTTTCGATTCTTTAATGTCATCGTCAACTCCGTTGCCATTTGCTTTCTTTTCAACACGACGTTCACTATCTGATAAATCAGAATTGGAGCTACTCGATGATGAATCTGAATCAGTTCGTCGACGTTTTTTACTTTCTGTTGTCAAACCTTCAACTGCTTTTTCAGCTTCTTCCGATGCTTCTTTCTCGACTTCAGTTTCTTTCTTTTCTTCGACAACCTTTTCGGTTGTTGGTGGAACAACAGCTGGTAAAGGCTTCTCATCGAGAACCTTTAAATCGTCATCAGTTCCACCTTCAAGCTTAATGACGACAGTGTCAAGCAAACGAATAAGTTGATCAGTGTTGTTGGTATCAGCATGCACATTTGTAATGTCGCCTTTATTAAGAAGTTCGGCAAATACTTCAACACGTTTCTATCAAAAAACGATTAAAATTAATATAATTAAATTAAATGAGTTAAAAATTCTCACCTTCAAGTATCCAATTTGTTCTTCTTTTCTCTTCAAAGACATCTCCGGATGATACTTGAGCTTGAACCTAATTAATTAAAACATTTAAAGCAATTTGTTAGTCTTCGTTTTAACATTTTCAATATTTAAAATCCTTAAGAATGTCAAGATATATTAAATAAATACGCAAAATAAGATCATTCAATTATGATGCGAATGTTTGATTAAATCATTCATTATTAAATATGAAAGACAAGCTTTCATATATTCAAAGATCCTTACCTCTCAACCTGCTTTTTTATTATTTTTATTTATCATTTACTTATTCTTTTCGTTTTAACAAGTCAAATGAGGAGCAATGGTTTAAAATTATTACATTTTCATTCAACATACGAGTTTAAAACGCGATGAGAAACGTAACGAATTTAAAGTGCACGATTTGTCGTTTGCAATAAATATATGAGCTGGAATAAAATCTTTGATCATTAAACCTGTCTTTTTTGTCACCTCTGTCGTTGTCATTGTATGCAAAATCAATTAAATATTTTTTTCTTTTTTGTTTATCGGCCAACGCCGAATCACTTTTTTTGTTGTTATTTGGATTGAAGTTGGAAGAAGATAAAAAAAAGAAATGAAGAGAAATGCAAGTTATGGTTGTGACTCACCATTCTTCATCTTTGTGAGAAACAAAGAATTCATTCATCTGTCCACGCTTAAATTCCAACTTATATTCGTTGTACTTTGTGATGGCGATTTCGTCAGAAATTGAATCGTCCTGTGTTGCCAAGAATTGTTTCAAAGTCATCATTGGTGGCTGCGTCATACCATCGGAGACTGGTGGAGGATGAAGTTCACGTGGTCCATGAGCTGGTGCACCACCATATGGACTGAGAGCACCGTAAGGATCGTGACTATTGCCATATCCGCCGTACATTCCATATTCATGCATTCCATAGCGTCCCATTGGTGGTCCACGATCCTCAAAATCCGATCGCATTCGTTTCATCGGAGGAGAGTAGCGTGAAGGACGATAAAAATCATTTCTTGAACGATTTCTAAAAACCAAATAATGAAATTTAACACTTAAATGAAGAAATTCTATTATTTACCTGTCACGTTCCGGCCATTTTTCTCTATCGCCACCGCCACCTCCTCGATCACGCTCTCCTCTAAACTTATCTCTTCTTTTACGATCGTATTCATCATCTGAGTCACCCATTTATCCTTTGTTTACAAAAAAAGAATTTTTTTAATAGAAGTTAATAAATTTAGAATGTCAATAAAATAATGAAAAAGTGAAGCGTGAACAAAAAGTTTAGTCGTAAATATTTAAGGATTTACCTTGTTTATATACTACTTCTTATTATATTTTAATTTCTAGAGGTATAAACTTTTAAATAAACGTGATTTAGTTATTTGAAAACTCTTTAATGATTCTTATTTTTCTATTTTTTAGCGACACGAGAAATTTTTCGAAAACTTGAAAAGGGTACCCAGCTATGAGTGAACTGAAGTTCAAAAAGAAGCAAGGGGTATAAAGGTATGATGTTTTTTGAACTTCCAGTTAGGTATTTACACTGAAACTTCAGTTTTCATTCGGAAATTCCTCAGTCGATACGTATCACAAAGTGTCTTAATCCGATAGTTTTATAAGATATATCTGTACATTCTATTTTATAATATAAAAAGAAAGGTTGTGCAAAGATATCATAAGTGAAAATATCAAAGTGAATTGAAAAAATGTGAGCCTCGATTTCTTTATCAAAAGAATTTCATACATACCTATTTAGAAAAAAAATATTTCACAAGTGATACAGCGAAAAAAAATTATAGAAGAGAGGACAAAAACTTGTTTTTCTTCTTCAAATTCTTCATTAATTCAAGTGGTAAGACTTAGTAACAAGTTGTCTACATTTCTAAAATATTTTTCTTCTTTCTATCGACTCGCCACCGACTCGTTGACGTTGATATAAATATTCCATTAATTTTACTTAACGATTTTTATTTGTAAACAATAGGTTACAAATAACAAACGCGTAACTGTAATAATAATAAAAAATAAAGATCGCCGGATGAAGATACATTTCCTCTTCAAGGACACATTAAACATGAAATTTCATAAATTGAAGACGAGCTGTCGGATATTTCGAAAAGAAGCACAACTTTATGGTGCGCTTATGAATGTTTAATTAACTCGAACTTGAAATATCTGGAAATACGAAAAGCTAATCGTAAACTCGCAGAGAATTTTTTTTTCTCTTCTATAACCAAACACTTTTTATTAGCTTCTCATTCTCCAAATCGATTTGTTTACGGTGACTGTCCTTTGTAAAAGGTTTTCAAGGTGAATATCAAAAATAAAAATGGATTGAAAGCGCCGTTTATATTTATAAAGAGAAATGGAAGAAATACCTTCTAACACACATCATTGTCTTTCTTTTTTCTTCTTTCTTTGGAATTTTTCTTTTGTATTTTCCGATTAATTTTTTTCTCTCTCTAACAAGCGAGGAAAGCGAGGGAATCACGTTCACTTAGTAACGAGCGTATAATTTTGCATAGTTTACATCGTGGGCAATTGTAAAATAAAAGTTTTCACAAACTTTGAATGCATTGCTATGCAAAATTTATACAGAAATTTCAACTTGTCCTTCCGCATTCCCAGCAACAACAATAATTATAATTTTTGCTGCGTTGAGACATTTCATTGAAGGTTGTTTAGTAAAAATCTTTTTGTTTTTGTTTTATTAAATGTTAATGAGTTGCCTAATAAGTGATGATGATCAAAAGGCCGTTTGCTGTTGTTGTGGTTGTTTTCTGTTAAGTGATGGCTATTCATTTATGTACATTTAGACGTGTATGTGGATAATTAGCACAATGAAAGAAGGAAAAAATATAAAAATATTCTCCGTGTGCCACCTCATAAACATTTCAAGTGCTTTTTGATTGCAAAAGGAAAATATTTGTTGATAAATCGACACATTTGTGTCGCTGCTGTGGGCGACGTAAACACAAAATATTTCATGAATAAAACTTTAAAACTTGATCCACCTGCAACCGAAATTTGCATAAAATTGCTACGAAATAGTTTCGGAATCGCAAAAATAATTTTTTCCGCCAATCATTTCGAGACTTACTTAAAAAGATTTTAATATGAAATGGACCGTGCAATGTCCATCGTACATAACTAGTATTTATCTTTATGAAAGTTACTTTTTTTCACTGAGTTTGACATACATATATGTACAGAAGAAGAACGTAACGTGCACACAAGTTATTGAACTATGAAGCGAAAAAAAATATAAAAATTAAGCGAAGATGACGAAGAAATATTTAAAGCTACTGTTACATTCTTAAACTAAAAAAATGAAAGAAAGAAAGAAAAATGATTGAAGTCGCAAGCAATTTCGAGTAAATATTCACATCCATCACCTTAAATCATTTATTCCAACAATTATGTTTTCTTTCTTTCTTTTTCTTCATCAATTGCGACCGAAAATCTAAAACACCGTCTGCATTTGACATGTAAAAGTTTAAAAAAGTCAAGCGAGTTTTTGAGGCGCGTCTTTGAGGTTTTCGTTTCGCGTGGCAATGAAAAGAGTAGAAAATTAAATCATTAAGCAAACGAATTTGTGGGAAAAAAAGCGCATTACAATACAATTTAACGGATAAATGTGCATAGCATGAGTTCAGATTTATAAGTAATGAATTGTTATGTTATTTGTGCTAAACAGTATCATCGGTAGTTGAAAAATATTCAGCCAGCGACTAAAATATGCCGATGCTGTCAAGAACAATTGTAGGCTGTTTTCAATGAAGGTCACATTCTCATAAAACTTTAATAGGAATGTTGTTAGTTTCGCTGTTGTATATAATTAAGTTTCTAAGCTTAGATAAGAAGTTAGTTCGTTGTCTGGGATCTGTAAACAGCCTGAAGTAGAAGGGAGAGATAAAGTTCTTCAATTCATTTCCAAAGAAGCAAAGATAAGAATCTTTATAAATATTACAAAAGGTACTTAAGCTTGATAGTGTGATGACATCAAAAGTTGTACATATTTATCACCTTTTTATTGTGCGACGACAATGTCACCGACAATGGTGACAATACCGAATAATTGTTATAGTGAGAAGTTGACAAAACTGTATGAGAAAGGCAAGCAATTTATAGAAGCAATCGAGCAATTACACGACTAACTGAACACGTACAAGCCCCTATAGATTGCAGTGTGGAAGAACACGCTATAAACTTATTGATTAATAATATTAACTGCTTAAAATGTAGGTCTCACTGGCGATGCAAATTGCTTTCTAATTATCATATGCTGGATATACTATTCAAAAAGAGAAAAAACAAAATAATCATAAAAATAAAAAAAGCATTACATAGAAAAATTGACAACGAATCGAGATCACCTGTTGAAGCGATAAATTCGTGAAAAGAATTTGACTTGAACGAGTAAGCAGGCAAAGTATGTAGCAAGTAACGAATGAACGAACGAAATAATGACGAATGACTGAGTCAGGTGAAAGCAAGTGATCTTTGAGAAGATTTTACAGCATCGTCATGATGTATTAACATGCCTTTCGGAATTCGATATGGCAAGCAATTGATTGGCAATTGAAATGTATTTGCCACGGCTTTACCTTGCCACATTCTTCTTATGAAAATCTTCGCTTTTTTCTTTCTTCATTCGGTTTAAATTTTTCCTAAGATTGCTTAAGTAGATATGGAAGTCGATAAGTTTTATTTTTATTGAAAGTTGACGGAATTATTAACAAACACCTTCACATGCAATCTCAACTGAAACAATAAACTTAATGAAACGATATCATTTCTTCTTTTTTTCCTCTCGAGTTTTTCTTGTTATCAAACGAGCGCAACGATAAAATATTTGACATTTTTCCACGCTATTTATTGTCGCAACAGGATTTTATGTGTGCGGACGTAATTAAGATTCAATCTAAGAAAGAAATAAAAAGACGGACGCAGTGGAAAATTATTAATCATCAATTGAAGTGAATTTGTGTAAACAGAAACTTAAAACTTTATTTTTATTTTTCATCTATCAACCTGCAACTTTCATTTCGTCTTGTCGCACTCTTTACAGGGAAAGAGAAGAAAATTACTTTCATAAATATTACATTACGGTATTTTTGTCAAAAAAAAAAATGAGAAATATCAAGCTATTAAGCAAAAAAAAGGTTTCTTTGAGTACAGAGCAAAGCATCGTTGTTGAAGCTTGAAGAAATATCCAAGAAAAAAAAAATTAAATCAAATCTTATGAATGAAGTTGCAGAGAGAAAGACCGGATTATACACGTGATTGCGCTACAGATTTGTTTTGTGGTTTTCAGTCTAAACTTTAGACTCTAAAGCTTTAAAGTCTGTGCTTATTTGCTTGCTGTTGTGTCGAGTTGAACAAAATATTTATGATGAAAAGAATTGAGAAAAAGGTTGTTACGTGTTGTTGCTTTTTCATGGAAGAAATGTTTAATTTATTACACGTGATATCACTTTGAGATAATTAACATTTGGTCATGGGGTTATGCGTTAGTTATGTCACTCCTAGTTAGTATTAATTTCTTGCTCGAAAGCCCACAAAAACTGTAACAAGTCGTTATCCCAGCTACCTAGGTCGCAAATCACGAGAAAAAAAAATTACGAAGCGACTAATTCGAGAATAATTTACGCGTGACTTAGCCAGTAAGCGATCTTTAAGCAATCTCTACATGCAATTAAGATCGACAATGTGTGTACACTGTCTGACCGATTTGATTTAAATTATTTCTCATTTTTTATTCGTTACGGTTAGCTATGAAAACTAATGAAAATATTAAATGACATTCAATATGGAGAAATATTTTGTTTATTCTTGCATAACATTTTCTTATTTACTTGCAAAACTCTTCTTAAGTAGGCAACGACAATTAACATTTTCCATTTCATGATTGCAGATTATTTAAGCGCCTTTATAATTACTTGAATGCGAATTATAAATTTTACACACAATGCATGGATTATCGACACTCAATCGATTGCTTGGGAAGAAAAACAAGGAAGGTCAGTAATCGATGAACATCTTTAAAGCTATTTTTCGATTAAATATTGATGATTGACATTTTTCTATCTCAACTATTGATGTTTAGGTTCACGAACATCGAACAACCTTAGCAAATCGACAACTAATTTGGACACATCTAGTCAACATAATAAAATCACTCCGATTGTTGTTAACAATGCGCCCTTTGAGCAAACGTTTCGCGTCACGGTTTATTTGCCGAAAAATCAACTTTATGTTGAACGTATTGGTGCAAAGACAAAGCTTTCAACTTTAATGGAGAGAATTTGTGAGAATAAACATTTGATTGCCGATAAAGTTGAGTTTCGTCATCCTGGTGACATGTCGCAAGTCTTCGATAACGATAAGACGATTGGCGAAGTTGGCTTGAATGAATTGAAATTAGTTTTGAAGACGGAAAGTCATTTCAACACAGACTTTCGTCGTTTTCATGCAGATGATGTCATCAAATACAAGTCGACCGTGCCAGAGTCTGTTTCCTCTTCCGAAATAAGCCGAAATTATAACAAGAAGCCTTCGCCTTACAGTTCAACGACATCTCTCAATTCACTCGACTCAACGGGAATGAATTCATCAGGAAAAATTCAACCGCCAGTGGCACCAGCACGTAAGAAACGAGCGGCACCACGACCACCGAGTCAAAATTCCATTCCAGAACAAGAAATTTTCAGCAAAACTTTGAATGTCTTCAAGGAACCTCATTCGATTCTTCCAATGAAAAATTTTCATGTTTCATCGCCACAACTCAACAACAATCATTTGGAGTTAAAAAGTGACAAGAACAACAATAACATTGAGAGAGAAGGAAATCGATTAAATGCCATAACTCGACCGACATCGATGTATGTGACGAACACGAACGAAAATGTTCAGAATAATTCGAATGGTCATCACCAACGAACGTCAAGTGAATCATCGGAAGTTACAAACATTTTACATGAACGACAGAATTCAAATAGTTTTGGTGAGTTTTTATTTATTTGTTTAGCTGTTTTATGATGTTTTATTGATGATTGAATGAATTTTCAGAACGAAAGAAAAAGCCAGCGCCAGTTCCGCCAAAGCGAGTTCACAAGCCGGTCCCATCACCACGAACTGTTCAAGATGAATTGAAGTCATCAACAATAACAGAAATCAAAGAAATGGATGATGAACAAGAGAAGATCGACTCATCATGTTCACGATCTGATGAAATGAAAGTCGTTGTGGAGTCGTCAGAGAAGACAAAAGTTGAAGAGAAATCATCAGCAGACAATGGAAATGTTTCGAAGACAATGCTGAACAATGTTCAGAAAGTTGAAGACTTTTCCAGTATGGATTCAACCTCTGACGGTCCAATTTCAATTCAAATCATATCGAATGACAGTTCCATTGATCCCGTCACAGATGAGATGACTTTAAGTAGTCATAACAGTTCGAAGTTACCGTCAACCGTTTCCAAAGTTCATATAAAACTTGACGATGAAAGTCGTCGATCATCTTCGGAAGATGAAATGACTGTCAACATCTACAACGTGACGAAAAGTGTTGTGAAGGTGGAAAAGCCTAAGAACGAAGTGATAGTAGAGACGAAAGAGATTGTTGAGATTATTCAGGAGACTCAGAAGGAAGTTCAAGAACGTCCGCAATCGCCACTATGGACTTACACACTTCCTGCACCGCCTGTAATTGCTGAATCGAACGTCGTCAACAATAAAACATCACCAACTGACCGTAAAGGTGATGGTGACAAATTCTTCAGTGATTTCGTTTCAACAGATTGTAATGAGACGATTCTGTCAGATTCTAACACGACTGTTGTGTCAGCTGAGACTCACATTCATCCGATAATTGTTGAACGAAAGACTTTACGTGAAGATCACGCTTTTATCATGACAACACCAACTCCAACAGACTTCACTAAGAAAATTAATGACGATGAGAGTGACAAAAGTACAGAAGTCATCACGTCTGATCTTGAAGATGGCTACTTGGGAAATGGAAAAACTATCGTGAATGTCGTTTCGCAACCATCACAAGTAACAATTGAAAAGAAGATTCAAGAAAATGAAGTCACTGTTGAGAGTTTCCAGAGAAGTCGCTTGCTTATCTCACGATCCGATTCATTCCACTCAATTGGACAAGGAAGGAAGAATAGTTACGATAATCATCAACAGGGAAAAGCTTTAAATACACCACAACGCAGCACTTCATTTTTGTCACTTATTCAGTCACAAAAATCCGAAGTTCATCATCATAACAAAATAAATTCCAACAATGACAACAACATGCTTTACAATCGACAAAGATCAACAAGTGAATTGAGCATCTCAGACGTTCCATCATTGCAAAGCATTGAAGTTCTTAAAAATATTTTAAATTCATCGTCGAGAAAGGAAAGTTTACCAAATGAGATGAAAATTGATGTAAATGAGAAGAAGATGATCGAGAAGGAAAATGTTTCAGTTGAACGTCAAACATCTTTCGAGATGGTCAAGAAGCAAAATGAGATTCAACAGAATTCCACTAAAATCGTTGAAAAGAAAGTCGAAGAAGTTAAATTTTCAAAGCCTGTTGTTGTTGTTGAGTCTAAGCAACAACCAACAACGACAGTTGTTGAAACAACAACAACACCAGCTAAACCAACTGAGAATCAATGGCGTTACAGGGGACCACCAAAAATTAATCTATCAACATGGAATGAACGACCAACAAGTAAAGTCATCATTGCTGCTGACAGTGACTACAAATTTGGTGGAGTTGCTAATCCACTTCCAAGTGAAATAAAGAGACAACAGCAGCAACAGGACATAACAAGTAAACGTCACACAATTCACATTTCCGATGAGACAATTGTAAAGAAAGAAGTGGAGAAACATTTACCGAAAGTTCTTGGCGTTGAATATAAGAAAGATTTGCCATCAGCTCCGTCTTCTGTCGTTACGTTGAGAAATCCTTCAAGTGAAATTGTTACCAAGTCTACGTCAAAGACGACAATCATAAATATCAAGCCGCGGCCAATGAGTATGGAAGTGAGTAACAATTATTCGACACTTGCAATGTCAACTGATCGTTCGCCAACGCAACAATCGTCAATTGCTTATAATCGTTTAAATAGCAACGCTAAAAAATTCACCCCCGTTGTTCATGGCTTTAAATTGAATAATATCAAAGAAAGTGATCATGTTGATAGTTCATCGCAAGTTGTTAAGAAAGATGTTGAGAAAAAGATGATTGTGCCGCCAAGTGTACCAGCAAAGCCGGCATTCTTACGTTCAACTTCAGCAGGAGACATTACACGACCAACAAAACTTTCCGTTGCTGAAATAAAACTTGATAACAATTCTGACAATTCACCTGCTTTGGATTTTCCATTTTCTCAAACGTCACTTCGTCGAACTGGATTGAAAGAAAAAATTCTTTCCACTGATAAGGAAACGAAGAGCATGTTTGGCAAGGTTGTCGAACCAAAACCGGAAGTTGTCATCCGTTATCATAACAACAATAATAACAGCAATGGTGAGAAGATGTTTGAACGATCAGCTGCAAGACAATTATCGCAGCCTGTTCCAGTTCCACCAAAGCCTCCGACAACAGCGTCAATGAACTTCCGTAAATCGGCACCTGTCACTGGAATGGAAACAAGAAATCAACTTCTTGACGCCATTAAAAACTTCGACAAAGATTCGTTGCGCCGGAAGTAGATCGAAGAAGTCTTTCATGAAGTGCCTGTGAAATTGATTTTCAATTTTGTGCCTTTGATGGAAAGAAGTGAAGAAAGGTTAAAAGTCATATCATTAAGAAAGTTCTTAAGAAATGAAATTATTCGTGAGTTGTGACTCAATTAATGTAGAGATAAAGAAAGAAATTTATATCTTTCGTTGTTGTATTTATTTAATTAATAATCTAAAAGGAAATTAAGATGAAAAAGGGGAGGAGAAATATATAAATGAGAAAGAATGATATTAAAAATACATTCCTTAGATTTATTTGGAGATAAAAGGCAGTTAACATGAAAATATTATTCCATTTACAAAAAAAAAAAGCACAAAAAAGTGAATTGTTAGGTAATTAAAATCGTACTCAAAAGCCCATAAATATCCGCAAATTGCAAGCAACTTGTCGTGATTATAAACACGAATATTAAACTTTATGATGCGATATTTGAATGTTTTTCTTTAAAAATAAAAATAAAATTGAATGCATTCAAGAAACAAATCAACAAAAATTCCGTTTCAATGATGAAAGCTTTTAAGTGTTTTTAAAATATTTCAATTGAGCTTAAAATTTGAGAAGTTGAAGTTGTAAGAATAAAACGATGAGAATAAAGAAATATCTACCAGATGAATTTTATTGCGAAGAAATCTTTTTATTTGATTAATTTTTGAAAAGTAGAACTTTTTCTTCCAGCTCGTCTTAATTTTGAGCAACGATGAGAGAAGTTTTGTGACGTGATCGACTTAAAAATGTGATGATCAGATAGAAGTGACGATTTACTTGTTTATAAATCAGTAGACAGTTAGTAATTTCTTTCACTTCACTTTAAAGTCTCAAGCTGCTTAGTTTCACTAAATTTTCAGTGTTTAACAAATAAATTAATTTATTAAAGTAAGTAAGTGAAAAGTTCTTTTAAAATTTCTGCTGCAAAAGTTAAAATATTTCACATTACCTTGTTGAAACCTTTTAAATATTATTCAACTCGATTGAATTGTTCAACAAATAAAACTAACTGAAGAAACATTTAATTTAAAATAATTAACATGTCTTTGGTAATGAGATAGCGTCCCGGAAATTTTATTTTGTTAAATAAACTTGACGAACAGAAAAAAAATGCAAATCAAATAGAAGATGACAAACGAGTTGATTCTTCTTGATTATTATAAACTTGACTATAAATATATGCAAAAATTTGGAAGCATTCATTACTTAATTTGCATATAATTACATAATTTATAAACGATTTATCTCGTGTGTGTTTGCGTCATCAATTAACTAGCAAAATAGCGCCATTTAACTTAAAACATCCGATTTTTTTACATCCGGGTGAATTCTGATCGAATTTTAATCAGATAATTAAGAGACAATCAATCAAGCTTAAATGTAATTAAATCATTTTCAATTCAGATATCCTTGTCGTGAAATAGAAATTTAAAATGACCCTTAAAAGCACCTAACGAAAGAACTTCCAACGAATGTTGAACTTAGTCACGAGTGGCATGATTTTTGTGAGTCAAAGTGTATCATTTTTTCACACAACTTTCCTGCCGTATATAGCAAAATTCTTCATGTACAAAGATCAGCGAATATTTTATTTTCAGTCATCAGACAAAAATTTGATTAACAAATGATTTTAGATTAAGAAAGCCGACGTGACCATAGACAATTTTATTTAATCTTAATAAAGTTGTTTTGTCTTCTGACTACATTGAGATAATTGAAATTATTGCCAGACAACAAGCTCATGTCAATTTAATTCGATTTTTATTTAATTTATAACGTATTGCCCTTTATCAGCCAAAAACTTTCAATGAAATATTAATTATAAATTTTAATCAAATAATATTTTAAAACTTTCACAGTTGCAATTGATAACGAGAATTAATTTGTTACGAAAATGTCTTCTCCAATCATGACGATTATTCAAAATTTCGATCGCGTGATCGACTGGAAAGATCCACTCATTTGGCTCGCAGCTGCCCACATCACCTTTAACCCCTTTTTCTGGAACGTTAGCGCGCGCCTTGAATATAAAACAAAATTACTCAGCAGAATTTTTGGCTCGACAAAAGTTGGATGTTATGTGTTGGCTGTTGTCACGTTTTTGATTGGAATGACGAGAAACTTTGTGGTTGTTATCGCTGTGACAAGACAGCTGTCTCTTGAGGCTTATCTTGGCGAAACTACTGTCAACTACATGAAAATAGTCGGCGGACTTTGTATGGTGATAGGACTCACATTAGCAATAACTTCGATGCTTCGTCTTGGAGTTACTGGAACATATCTCGGGGATTACTTTGGAATGCTTAAAGATTCTCGCGTCACCGCATTCCCTTTCAATGTTGTTGACAATCCAATGTATGTTGGATCGACCATCACATTCCTTGGACTTGCTGTTCTTAAAATGTCACCAATTGGCTTCCTTCTTACAGTTTACATTTGGATTGTCTACAACATTGCACTTTTCTTTGAAGAACCTTTTACAGCAAAGATTTACAGCACCAAAGAAACCAAAGAAGTTAAAGCAAATTAGTAAAAATTTTCGAATTAAGAAAAATAAAAGAAATGAAATTATGCTTGAGAATTTTTTTTATTATCTTAACTTTACAATTCTATTGTTGATAAAATCTTTGATTTTGATTTTGATTCATGAGATTTGGAGGAAGGTTTTGATGCCAGCTGTAATTTGGATAAGCTAAATTTGGAGGATTGTTGTTGGGTAAATGGCGACGGCCTTTCAAAAATTGACGTCGTTCTTCTGGATTTTGTTGACGATAATTCTTTCCTTGTCTCTTTATTTTCTTCTCTTGTTCATCATCTGAATAATCAATTAAGTTATCTGGTGGTTCAATGTCATTTTTCCAACTCGCATCCGATCCTTTCATCGCCATGACTTGTGATAAGATGACAAATGAAGAATATTCAGTTCGAGGTGCACAAAAAACTTTTGTACCAACGGTGATGCCCTTGGCAATGATGTCGTCATGTGAATTAAAGCGTACACAATAAATTGGACCATGAACAGGTCCAATGACATCGAACACTTTTCCAAGGGCTTGCTTTCCATTATCAAGGAACAAAACGGAGTCAATGTCAAGGGGAATTGAATTCGGGAACGTTTCAATAAGAACTGGAATTGAAATGAATGAAATTAACATTTAAATTTGATAATATTATTTAGATTACTTACCTAGTTGATCAACTATCGATGAGATTGACCCCAACTGCACGCATTCCCTCTCATCGACCGAAATTTGGAGATCTTGAATCGGCGGCAAATCATCAATTCCAAATTCTCCTTTAACTTTAAGTGGCTCTCGTTTCTTCGTTTTATTAGGATTTTCTTCATCAGACTCATCATCTGATCCAACAGGTGCACTTAACTTTTTTTCGATGATTTTTCTTATGTCAGTTTCGTTGTCTGATTCGCTGCTGCTGCTGCTACTCGAACTTGATTTAGCTTTTCTGTAATTTTCATTATTTTTTTCAGTTTCTTCTTCACTGTCAGATTCACTGTATTGAGCCAGTAATGATAGAGCAGAGGATTTCTGGATAATCACGGCTTCTTCCGATTTGTTTACATCTGTCTTTCCATATGTCTGAAACATTTTAAATTGTTAGCATAAATACTGAAGAATTTCAGAATATTTCTCACCTCTTTTGATGTGCCAGCAACTAATTCATCAGCATTTTTTAATTTGTTATGATCCTGTTCAATTTCCATTATTTTAATTATTTTCTTTTATTGTTTTTAAATTGTTATTTCACGTGTGGATGTTCGAAATATATTTCGAAATGTGCACACATATACAGACCACTGTTGAGTAATGTGCACACTATTCAGTTGCCCACTGTACTCTCATTTAGATTCCCGGCTAGAAAATTACTTTTAAATCTTTGTTACAAATGGAAAATAGAGAAGATGATGAGATTAAATTACCAGATGATACGCTACAAATTCTTAATGAGTTCTTAATAGAACAAGCAAAGAAGGAGAAAGAAGACTTATTTACAGAAAATTGGAATTTATCTCAATTTTGGTTTGTTAACTTCATTTTAATGTTTGTTTACAACAATTGAAGAGTGTGGAATCTTTTCTCAGGTATTCAGATGAAACTCAAAAAACATTTGGACGAATTTTGAAACAGCTTACGCGAAAGTATGAAGATGGAATGACGATAGCACTTCTCTCATGTCCAAGTCTTTATCAAACAATACGAAGCATAAATGGTAAATAAATTATTAAAGTTTTTGTTTCTTTATAAACTTATTTGGCTGTTATATTACAGATCATGTAAAAATATTCGAGTTTGATAAGAAATTCGAGTCATTTGGAGAAGACTTTCAGTTTTATGACTACAATAAAGCAGATGAAGATAATTATCTTAATGAGTACACAAAATCATTCAACTTAATTATCGTAGATCCGCCTTTTTTATCAGAAGAATGTCTACAGAAAACATCTGTCATAATTAAACGATTAATTAAAGAAGACGGTCTTGTGATATTAAATACTGGAAGCATCCAACGTGAATTAGCAGAAAAGTTTTTAAACTTAAAAGAGTCAAATTACAAGCCACAACATAAAAACAATCTCGGGAATGAATTTTCATCGTTTGTAAATTTTGATTTGGATAAATACCTTTAATTCACATTGTAATGAGTTACAATCAAAACGCATGTAGCGTTAATTTTTGAATAATTGCAAATACAATAAAAACAGACGTGGTGAAGTGATTCACTAACACAAAGACGAGACATTTTCTCAACATACATATGTTTCGTGAAAAAAACAAAAAAAAAGTTATAAGTGAGAAGAGTGATCTTTAAAATAGAGAAAAATCTTCATTAAATTTCTTGGTCGAGATGGAATAGAAGTAGAAGATTTTTTATTATTAACTTTTAATTAATAATTTTATGAATTAATCATTTGACATTACAATTGCCCAACGATTAGGATTACGTGTACCAAAAGCACAATATCTAACAAATTAAAGTGAGTGATATAAGCTTGAAGTGAAATAGAAAATCAGTGTTAGAAGTCGTGAATTTCGTGTCATAAGAGATGAAAAACTGACTTTGAAAATACATTCTAAGTTAACATTGTCATTGATTGATATTTATTTCAAGGTTTTCAATTTTTAATCTTATTTTCTTCGAATATCGCTTATCAATTAAACGATAAAAGAATTTCAAGCTGAAATTTCAAAGCAATCCCGGGAATAAAGTTTCTAAGTAGGAAAATCTATTTTTAGACTTGCCGCACTTTCTGCTGTCTGCTGTAACTGAATTTTATTTTTTGAGTAAGAAGACTAGAGATTCACAGAAGATAAATAATCATGGATCCCGAAAGCTTTCTTGATATCGCTAATCAAGTGATTAAGTTGAAGATGTTTCCTTACTTTGACATTGCTCATTCAATCCTCTCAGCATTGTCAGTGAAGGAAGATCTCGGACCTGGTGCACACGCTTTTTCTAGGTACATCATTAAATTCCTATTTATATTCTTCTTTCTTAATTTGAACATTTCACTTTCAGAAAGCATCCATTAGCATGTTGGTTAAGCACAATGCTTGTTGTATTCGCCGGTGGAATGGTCGCGTCTGCACTTTTAGGAGAACCAATCCTTGGACCTCTTAAAAATACGCCACAACTTCTTGTTGCTACAATTTGCTGGTATATCGTCTTCTACACACCTTTTGACATCGGATATAAAGTCAGCAAGTTTTTACCTGTAAAACTTGTCGCAAGTGCCATGAAAGAAATTTACAGAGCAAAGAAAATTCACGACGGAGTTGTTCATGCTGCTAAACTTTATCCTAATGCATACATCATAATGATCATTATCGGAACATTAAAAGGAAATGGAGCAGGATTTACTAAACTTCTTGAACGATTGATTCGAGGTGCTTGGACACCAACTGCAATGGAATTCATGCAGCCAAGCTTGTAAGTTCAATTTTCTTTAATTTCTTCATTTTTATTTCTAACAAATTTAATTCTATTTAGCTACACAAAGGCTTCAGTTGTTGCTTCAATCATTTTCGTTCTTGACAAGAAGTCTGACTTAATATCAGCACCACATGCTTTAGTTTACTTCGGAATTGTCATTTTCTTAGTTTACTTTAAATTGTCATCACTTCTTCTTGGAATTCATGGTAAGTTTTTTAATCAAAAAGAATTTGAGAAATGATTTATAATTAATAAAAATATTTACAGATCCATTCGGACCATTCGAAAATCTTTTCTGTGCACTCGCGTTTGGTGGCATTTGGGATAGTGTCGCTAAGCTTTTCGGACGCGGACAAGTAAAAGAAGAAAATAAAGATGCGAAGAAATCAAACTAAGATTTCATCATCAACACTTTGATTAGCATAAAAAAGTGCAACATAATTAAGGAATTTTTTTTACAACTCGACCAAAAAATTTTAATCATAAAAATGTTTTTTGTTTTGTGAACCAAATGTAGTGAAAATTAGACGAAATCATGATAGATGAAAGTATTGGAATTCACAATACAAACATAAGCTAGTCAAAGCTAAAGGAAATTACTAGCAAAATTTAAGACTTTTGGACTTTGTGACATTTTCCTGAAAATCGGGTTTTTTATTGAAACTTTTGTGTGTAGCTTAAATGTGGGTCTGACATTTGTTTCCTGTACCAAGTTTAATAAATAAGTTGATTTTCATGAAGAACTTTGTTTTCTTTTACTCATAGATGAAGATTTTTAATTATTTATTCTTTTTCCAGCATTTAATTTTGTTACCCATTCTTCCAGCTGTTTCAACTTTCTTTTAATTTCCATCAATTCCCATTCCAAATGTTTATCTTTTTCATCCATTAATTGATAAACTTTTCTCCGAAGTTCAACGCCGTTTATAATTTCAGCTTCTGTCATCTCAAATGTTGGTGCACAATTCTTGGCTAATTGTGATATTAAAGTTTCCACTTTAGCTCGGTTCTTATCGTAACCCAAATTGATACAAGTGGTTCCTTCGAAGCGTAAACTTTTCAGATCGGAAAGATTGTCGAAAACACTGTAAGCCACGTGTTTCACTGGATTGTTGAGAAAGCTTATAGCATGCAGTTGTGGATTATTTTCAAACAAATTCTTCTCAACAAACTGAATGTTGTTATTATTCAGATGAAGTTGCTTTAAGTTTGGCAAATTTTCCAAGTCTTCTCGTCTAATTTCTTTAAGTTTTGATTGCGAGATATCAAGTGATTCAAGATTTGGAAAGAATTCACCAAGATTGCGTGGAGCAAAGTCCAATTCTTGATTTCTGATCGAAACACCCTTTACATCGCCGTTGTCACGTTTAGATAAATGATTGTTGGAAACATGTGTAATGATATGAAGATCTCCAACGATTATTACTCTTCCTGTGCACGTGTACAATTTGTTTATTTGCCAAATATTTTTCTCAGCATATGTACAATCAAGTATTATTGCTTGAGAGTACCCGCTGATCAAAACAAGAACAGTTGCCACCAAACTATAAACAATCCTTAAAAATAACAATTTGTAAATTAAATTTTCTCTTTCAAAAAATATCACAATACTGAACTCACATTTTGAAATGTTAACTTCAGATTTCAGAACTTAAATGGTAACGAAACATTTCTTTGTGACCATTTTATATATTTTTACTTTTCTTATCATTAACGTCATTCTTCAGAATCGTTGTGAATCAATTAAAAAGTAGCGTGAACAGATACACAGATTTCTCTTTATCTTGTTTAAAGTAAACTATTACGTATCTATTGTTTTCAGTTCAAATATGTAGATATATTTTCTTGATTTATGTAGACTTTAGAGAGTGGTGTTTAATTTTTTTTTATTGATTTCAAGCAGCATTTTGACATTATCTAAAATTTTCTTTTTTTATAGATTTAGGATTCGAATCTATTGTCAATATAATTCAGAGATGAAAATGATCATCGTTAAAAATACTCTTACAGCAAATTTACATTAATCTTTTATTTACATAACCGGCAGCATGCTGATGATAATTTAATGATGTTTAAAACATTCAACTTGTTGCTTCAAAGAAGCATGTGAAATATACAACGATGAAATCCAACAAATTTAACGGTCGCGCATTCAGAAATTTTCAAATTCCATGTGACAGCATACTTGTGTATCCATTTGTAAACAAACAATTCAATGAAAATCAAGTAAACTTAAAAATTTATATTTTGATATTAGCAAGTCAAAATAACTTTAAATAAAATGGCTGATGTGTGTCGTTTATGTGGAGATCTCAAGCCTGTCAGCGACTTAGAAGATATTTATAATAGTGAATCAAACGTCGTAATGAAGCTAGAAAATACTTTCAAAATTTCCTTAGAATATGAAAAATTGCTGCCAAATTCAGTTTGCAGTGAATGTGTGAACAATCTTGAGAAAAGCAGTCTATTTGCAGAATTAGTATCATCTGTTCAAAGCAAGCTCAAACTCGATCTTGAAAACCAATTACAAATAGTTATTTGCAAAGATGAAACGCCAAGTTATCCTCGTCATGAAGTAATTCTAAAAGAGGTTGTTATTAAGTTAGAAAGAATCGATCCTTACTTGGAAACCATGTTTATTAATCCACCTCAAGTTAGAAACACTGCAAAAGTAAGAGAATGTTCAAAAAAGAATAAAATTGCGAAGAAATCTCAAAGAAATCTCATCAATCCACCTCAAGCTAGCAAACCAGCAATAGTGGGAGAAAGTTCAAAAGAGTTAAGAATTGCGAAGAAAAATCTTAGATTCTCAGAAAAGTTTCCAATGAGTAACCTTTTCGAAAAAGAACTGAAAGGTTCTTTCGCCACGCAACCTGAAGATATGAAAATAGATAAATACGTGAAATCTGAAGATGGATCTTTACCAAATGAAATGCTGGAAAATTTAAAAGAAATCAGCTGGAAGAAATATGAATGGAAGTGCAAGGAATGTCAGGAAAGTTTTGAAAACGTGATCGATTTGGATTTTCACAATAGAGAGAAACACATGAAACGAGCGGTCATCGATTGTTGCTCACGAATATTCCTCACTTATCCTAAATATCTGAAACATGTAGTCGACAGGCATCATTCCGAACTTAAATATTGCTGTCTAATTTGTTCAGAATATCGAACGAGTTTCCTTCATCTCCATCGACATAATGAAACCGATCATTCTGATCATAAACTTTTAATGTGTTTATATTGTGGTGAACATCACTACAGTGGTCTTCTTCTCTTCAAACACATTGATGAGAAGCACATTCCATTACCACAAATCCATCAATGTGACCTTTGTGGTGAAAAGTTTTCTAGAAAAGAATTAGTTAGAAAGCACATACAGCAAAATCATATAATCAATCAAGAACCACCTAGAACCCACATTTGTGAATTTTGTGGGTTTGGTTTAAGAAAAGCAGGCGAATTAAGAGATCATATCGGTACTATGCATAGCAATAAAGCTGAAGAAGCTTGTGATTTATGTGACAAAGTAAATTATTTTTTTCTTGAAATTGTTTTTGCTTGAAATTTTCTAAAAATTTGATTTTGTTCATAGGTTTTTAAAATAAGAGTTCAATTGCAACGACATAAGAGAAGAGTACATGAATATAAAAAACCTATGATAACGTGCGAGGTGTGTGGACACTTATCAAAGGCACCAGGCGATTATAAAAAACATCTTAAGGTGTTTACATTGCTTATCTTGAATTTAATATCTATGAATTAATGTAATTTCTCTTTAAAGACACATAGCGATGAAAAAACGTATGTTTGCAAAAATTGTCAACAGAGATTTAAGAATTATTCAGGACTTAGCTATCACACTCATATAGAACACACAGGCGAGCGTCCTTACGTTTGCCCTGTTGAAAATTGCGGTAAATCATTCATAGCTTATGGAAATACAAAGCGGCATATTAAGCAGGTTCACAGTATAACAAACTTAAAGCCAACCATGAAAATGAAAGTTAAAACAGATCAATAAAACTGTCTATGATTTTTTGTTATTGATTATTAAATATTAATCAAACGATAAAAAGAATTTTATTATTTATTTAATATGTAACGGAAATTTGGATTCCAAATTTTTATAGGATCAACCCGACTGTTGCTCTCGAACACGAAAATTCACCCTGTTTATTTGTTATTAAAACCGCAACTAAAGTTATCGGAACAATTTATTAAAATACTTTGAAATTAAAAAATCTAATATGTCAAAAGACAAATATTCAATTTTATTACCCACTTATAATGAGAAAGAAAACTTGCCGATCATAATTTGGCTACTGACGAAATATTTAAATGAGAGGTAAACAAATCTTAGATTTAAAGGCCACGCAATCAATCAACTTTTTTCAAACATTGTAGCAATTTAAATTATGAAATAATCATTATTGACGATGGAAGCCCTGATGGTACACAAGATGTGGCTGCCCAACTCATTAAAATATATGGTGAAGACAAAATTCTTTTGAAACCACGGGCCGCTAAATTAGGACTTGGAACTGCATACATTCATGGAATGAACCATGCAAGTGGTAATTTCATCATCATAATAGATGCAGATTTAAGTCACCATGTAAGATTAAAAATGTTTAATCAATTCGCAATCAAAATATTCGTGAAATTTTTTTCAGCCAAAATTCATTCCTCAATTTATTGAATTGCAAAAGAAACACGATTACGATATTGTGTCAGGAACACGATACTCTGGTGAAGGATCAGGTGTTTATGGATGGGATTTTAAAAGAAAGCTCATCTCAAGAGGTGCCAATTTCCTCACTCAATTTCTTCTACGTCCAAATGCTTCCGATCTGACTGGATCTTTCAGACTTTACAAAAAAGAAGTTTTGAAAACCTTAATAACTGCTTGTCAATCAAAAGGCTACGCTTTTCAAATGGAAATGATTGTTCGTGCAAGAGCTCTTAAATACACAATTGGTGAAGTTCCCATCACTTTTGTCGATCGTCTTTATGGAGAAAGCAAAATGGGTGCAACCGAAATTGTTCAATTTGCTAAAAATCTCTTATATTTCTTTGCAACGATCTAATAAATAAGTTTAAATGAATTTTTTTTTTGTTTTTTAATATTTATATTTTATCGCACTAGAACAGCAAAATTTATGTTTTTTCACATCATATCAATGACAATTTAGTGGGCATTTGAGCCTTTGCCATGCTCGACATCCCATTTTTCTAAATATTCTTTCTTGCGCTGTTCTCGTCTCGCAAAGAATTCCGGATATTGAGCTTTCTCGAGCGGATGCCTAAAATTTAATTGATTTTGTTTTTTTTCAAACAATTTGATAAAATCTCTTCATCGACGCTCACCAATAATCAAGAATCCAATCTGGTGGTATAACTTCACGCTCGTACGCTACACCTCCAGGAGATTCTGGAAACTTCCTTGGCTGTGGATGCTGAGTCTCGAACAGTTCCTGTTCAGCTGCATTGCAAAGAGCTTCTATTTCACGATGATCCTTAACGTTGCGATTTTTATCGAACCGATCTCGCATCAAAACAGCTTCATATCGGTAGCGAGGTCTGAAAAAGATAAGTCACAATATTTTGTTATTAGCTTACATAATTTTTGAAAACAATATCTGCTCAAAATTCATAAGAAAATTCATTTACCTATATTCATACCAATCCCCCAAGCTTCTTAGAGCTCTTTTGTACAAAATCTGCACACGACGAGTGTGAGAAACCGACATGAATTAAGTTTTCTTGAAAAACTGTGAAAATAAAGTGGGTCAGTAATGAATGATGTCACACAAGAGAAGACAAAGGGACAAGCTACGAGTTGCTATAAATTCTTCAAAAAATTATTATTAATGCATGTTCATTGTTTATGAATGTTTAAGGAACTGGAAAATCAATGTGAATACAAACTATTCCTTTATTTACACTTTTTAATGAAATATAATGATTAAACTTAGAAAATAACGGTTATTGATTTTGAAAATTCTAAAGAAGAGGGTGTGAAAGTACGTGTATTGTCTACCCTGTTAGAAGATTTTCATAAAATTTATTTTATTATTTTAGTTTATAAAAAGCTCAAATTAACTGTAGATACTCTCACAGGTCATTCAAAAGACTCATTTAATAGTTGATTCGCTTAATTTAAAGAATGATATAGTTAAGAGACTGAATTTAATTTCAAAAAGAGGCTCAGAAAAGTTCCCAACAACAAAGAATGAAAGAAAAAGAGATTCTCCGTTTGAAGCCTTTAATCACCAATGTTGACATTAAAGTGGCGGCTGCAACAGATGTCTCTAACGACAAGAGAAGTCAAATAATATGCATCGTGACCGAAAAAGATCAAATTATTTTGAGATATGTTACCGAGACGGCCGAAATCATTTTGAAAAAAGTTGATTGGTTTCAAGAAAATGAAAAAATCATTCAGGATGTTGCATTCGATCCTTCTTCGGTCTGGTTGTTGGTTCTATGTCTGGATAATACACTTCATATTGTTCCAGCATTGAGTATATGTGACAAATCGATTTCGTTCAAGTGTAACTTTGCTTCGAATGAAATAACTTCATTTATCGTGCCATTTATTGGACCACACGAATGTCCAAACAGCCAAAAGTGTCCAAATCATGTAATTGATGCATCACAAGACATATTGAAGCGAAATGGAGTGAGACGAGTATTCATCAATCGTTTCCAACGTGAAGCTGAAGGGAAGAAAGAACAATTTAGCACTAGTAAAGTGAACGATTTGATAACATCCAACGCAATCTACAACACTTTTTACTGTGATCAAAAACCAAATGCAAGCTCGACTTCAGTGTCAACTTCATCTTCATTTCATAAAGATTCGATATCAGAAAACACTGAAAAAGTCGCATCAAGTGGCTCGTCAACGCCAATCGAAAGCAATCCAATAAGTTTGTCATCAGCCGCTATGGAAGCTTCAACTGGCTCTTCTGAATCAACAATGTCATCATGTCCCTTTCCAACGGCTGTGATCTGGGGGAAGACACATTTAGATGAGAATCGTGCCATTATTGGATATTCTGATGGATGTGTTGTTGTTGTTTGTGAGTCATTTTTTTATTTTTCCTTGAGGCGTGTACTTGAAAATTTTCTTCTTGTTCATTTCAGTGTTAGCTAACAATTGCCCCTTCATTGGAAACACAATTATCGAGAAGAGCTGCATTGAAAGGTTTGTAATGTGTAAGGATAGCGGCATGGACACAGTTACGTTGATGATCAACACAGTAACGAAAGAGCAATACAAAATTTTATTGGAACAAAAGTCGACTTCCTACACTTTTCCATCGGACACGAAAAACTTCGACGAACGAAGATTTCAACAACGTGAGTGTGAAAGTGATTGGGAAGCTGTATCAGCATCAGGAAGTTCTGTGGACTTGCAAGACTCAAAAGAAAGCAATGAAAGTGAAGCAACAACTTCAGCTGCTTCTGATTTGAAGTCGCGATTGCTTTCACTTCGTGATCTTGGCGCTAGGAAAATTGGCAACTTAAAGTTGAAGTTAGCAGAAAGTCGCATTAAAGCAGCACGAGAAAAAGATAAGAAAAACGATCAATCGCAATTTTCAATGCTTAATTCAGCTTCAATTGCTCCGGAATTGTTAACAACGCCATCGGGTCCATTTTTCATTGTTCAAAAGCCGAACAATAAGAATTTGATGAGTGCGTTTCATCCTTACTCAGACACACTCTCGGTGAGTTGATGGAAATTAGGAAAATGTTTGTTTTTAATTGAGTTTTGATTTCAGATTCACAATATTGAGATCATGATGATACCAAGCTCGTTGTATAAGCTTCCAGCTCATACCAAAAATGTTCTTCTCACTGAAACTGTTCTTTATGTTCATCAAAACAATTCATCAACATCAGTCACGATGACAGAATCAACGCCGGTAATTTCAGGAAGTGCTTCAAGTAGTTGCATCACAACTGTTGGACAATCCAACTCAACAACAGATTTAGGCACGTCAGCAACAAATTCTAGTCAAGAATCCGATAAATTGAATAAGAACGAGTCGGGTGATAATTTTGAGAACGTGATAAGTGTAATAAGTTGTGCATTGACGACGACAAAGATTGGAGATGATTGCGAGTTCAATGAACGATCGATTCTGGGTTCCTTTAAGTTTCCTTCGCACGAGAGAGTTTTAAACGTCTTTCAAATGTCATCAGTCGTGAATTCTGTCAACAATGAAGCAGGAAATGCTGGCGATGAGACCCATGATCAAGTTGAGATCAAATCGACATATTCAAAGTACTTAAATTATCAATCAAAAATCAAAATATCGAACAAATTTGATGACACCGATCGAAAGGTGTTAAGAAATGTTTTTCCTCGAGTGATATTCGATAAGTGCCTGATTGTGACGACTCACGGTGTTTATTGTATTGAAATGAAGGAGAAACCACACGTGACATTCTTAAATCTTGCTGCTTCATCATCATGGGGATTGTGCGATGATTTCTGTAAGACTTTCAATCTCAACATGACGGAATGTGTCGAATTTTCCGGTGACATTATGTTGAAGAAAAAGAAAATTGAACAAGCTTTGCTGATTTATAACATTGCAAGAATTCCACCGATTAAAACAGCTTTGAAGTTGGCGATGTTCAATGAGACTTCTGCGTTGAGACAAATCACAGCAATGGCTTTGAAGATAAGTTTCATCTTAGAGAGTAAACATCCGATGTCGTCATTGATCGAAGATTTATTGAAGAATGTTGAAGAACGTCATGAGAAATGTGATGTGATTGTGAAATGTCTTCGTGATAAACATTCAAAGAAGCATGAAAACTTTGGGAAAATCATCAGCGATTTCTCTTACAGTTCCAACGAGAATAATTTTGAAGTTCAGATGAGTAATTCAGCACAATTTCACTTGTCGAATCTTCTGTTTTTAACGTTATGTGAACGATCGGTTAAGGATAAAAATCTCATGCCTTTGTGGAACTTTATCGTCACGAATACAAAATATCACACAAGTTTATCGTCAATAATTTTATCGCAAAGTGGTCTTTACTCGACAGCGGTGCTGTTAGCGATGCATCGTGGTGCTTGTTTAGATGTCTTCAGTTGTTTAGTGTCAACTGCTGATCATGTTTTGGGTGAGAAATTTTGTGCTTATTAATCTTTGCTTATTTTATTAACTTTTTAATCATCATCGAAGATATCTCAAACGAAATGAACGTTTTCATGTACAATTTATCCGATGGAATATTTATGGAAACAATTATTTATCTACAAAACTTTGGACTCGATTATTTCGAAGTGATTCGTACGAATTTAGATAAATTTGATGAAACTTTATTGGAGGTGAGTTTGATTAATTATTGTTCTTTATCATTTAATAAACTTCATTTATTTCTAATTTCAGCGATTAATGAATCAACTGAATCCATTTGATCCGATTTATCGACCGATTTTATTTAAAGTTAAGAACCAAAACATCATTAAAGAAGTTGAAAATGTAAGAAAGTTTAATTACTTTTTTCTTAAATGATTCCTAAATGTTTTAAAATTTATTTCAGAAATTTCTCGACTTTTGTAAGACTTTAATTGAAACATTCATCTTAGTTCTCATTAAACTTCAACGTTTGAAATGTCACAAGGACAACTTCTTAAACTCCTTAAATATGTTTCGTGTTACAAGTGAAGAACGTCAAAATTATGTAAAATTGGCAAACTTTTCACCATTATCAGCTGGATTTAGTCATAGTGGATGCATTGTTGATAATGCTGTGTACTTATGGGGACGAAATGATGTAAATTGTGCGATGAATCGAAGTGTTTTACAAAGTGACTCATCCGAGAACGACGTTTTGCCAACGAGAGTTGATTTCTTTAAAGATGTCAATCTCGATGTGTTGTCAGTTCATTGTGGTCGATCCCACACTTTGTTCCTTACCAACAACGGTTTGTATTCGATGGGATTAAATCAACTTGGACAGCTTGGAATTGATCGAAACATGAATGTGGCACTTCAGCCGATGTTGATTAAAACTCTTGATAACAAGACCATCACTCAAATTTGTGCTGGTCAACATCACAATGCAGTTGTCGCCGATGGTGTTTTGTATACTTGGGGATGGAATATTTACGGTCAACTTGGTCATGGTGACATTAAAAATGTTCGTGAACCAAAAGTGGTCGAGTTCTTCAAGTCGATGAAGATCAAACAAGTCGCTTTGGGTCAAGCCCACACAATCGTTCTCGCATATGACAAAATCGATGACATTAACACATCGCTTTATGTTTTTGGCTCGAATCATTACGGACAGCTTGGAATCGGTTTTGGTTGTGATGATGGCGATTCAAAGAAGAATTTCACAATCAGCTCAGTGCCTCTGAAAATAAGATTTGAAGAAAATATTCGCTTAATTCACACGCAATATTTTGTGAATTTTGCTGTCACTGATTCTAATAAACTTAAAACTTGGGGCTTAAGTCCACCGGAATTGCGAATTATAAATCAAACTAAAAAACGTGCAAAAGCAAATCAAAAGCTGAAAGAATCGATGCAACAAGATGTGAAGGAAGAAACTTCAACAACATACGAAAACTCGACAAATGAAGTTGGAGAAAATGAAGTAACAACAACAGCAGCGAATATTCCTGAAATAAAAATTGATGAATGTGCGAATGATGATCAACAAGCGTCAACATCATCAGCAACAACGGCAAATGGAGTCGAAGCTGTTGAAGATGGCATCGCAACATCAATGGAAGAATACGTCGGTCATTTGTTTCCTTCAGAAATCGACACTTATGAGTTGGACGGTGAAATTCTTCACATTTCAAGTGGAATTTATCATTACGCTTTAATCACCTCAAACTCGACACTTTTTATGTGGGGAAAGAATATCGAACGTCAGTTGGGAAGAGAGAATGTTAAACCAGACATCTCGACACCGACACGACATTTGTCGTTAGATGATGTGAAATATGTTGAGTGTGGAGCTGATTTCACTCTGGTTGTGACTGCGGGGAATGAGTTAAAGTCTTTTGGAAACAATAACAATGGACAATGTGGTGTTGAGAATATCGTGGATAATAAGCAAACGGGAGTTGGAAAGCTCATAAGATTTAAATCATCTAAGCGTGTTTTTCGTATTCCTGAGAGTACAATGTACTTGCATTCACCTGTCACTGTGAAAGTTCCGCCTTCAGCACAATCGCCGATTATCAATTTCTCTTGCAATCAACCGATTTGTTACTTAAAGAATCTTCCAAAGTTCAAGAAAAGTTCCATTATTGAGAGCAATCTCACCAAATCATTGAGGAAAGAAAACATTCATTCGCTTGATGACAACATTTTAAATAACAATCGTAATTCATTCTCTTCGATATCAAGCATTGCTTCAACAGCTTCGTCATCTTCAAAGTCGTCTAATGATTCGTCAAGTGAAGAGAATGATCAGCAATTGATGAGATCAAATGACTTCGTTCATTATTGTCTGTTCTTGTTTCAAGGACTTTACGAGACTTCACATTTCTATGATAAGAATATGGACAAGATTGTTGGAAGCGAGTACAAAATTCGTGGCTTAATGCTCAATTATAATTATATTGAAGCGTTCAAAATGGCTTTGACGAATGATGGAACAAATGGAGCGATGTCGATCAAAATCTTTGAATATTTTACAACAGATTCCAACATCATCCCTATGCACACCGACGACATCAAATATTTCATTTACGATGTTTTCATTCACTTCATTCACAATCACTATGATGTTGGTGAATTGGAAAAATATTTTCTCTACAATCTTGATTATTATTTCCTTCAATTGGCATTCATACTTTATTTTTGTGGTACCAATAACAATTCGCAACCGAATGGATTAGAAAAGCAGCTGTTTGAGAAGTTCAAACATCTTTACAACAACTACGAGAATTTTGCTTACTTCGACAGTAATGAAATTGAAGCAATCTTCAAGTCGATTTCGACGAGCTTTCATTGTTCACTTTGTCAGAATATTTTGAAATATTCTGAGAACATCAATTGATATTTAGATTATGGTCGGATGGAAGATTTTTTGCAAGCTGGGCTTGTTGTGTAAGAGCTGTTAATTTTCGTTTTCTTTTAATTTCTTGGTTTGATAATCCATCGCGACCTTTAACAAAATTCATTTCGCTTGCTAAGTACTTATACATTTGATAGATGTCAGTTTTATTTCTTTTTCATAAAACTGTTTAGTACGCTCGAGATCGAGAAAGGAAATTTATTTATTTTAGCTTTCCCAAATTTTGATGGTTGAAAAGCGGAAAATCATTTATAGTTCTGACAATATAAACGCGAGTATAAAGTTATTTAAATGAACATTAAAATACATTAGCAATAGAAGGTAGAAAAGTAATGGAAATGATTTTTTTGATAGATCAACAAATAATTGGTAGGAATGATAAGTCTTGACATTGTGCAATGCTTTTACAGGAAAATATTTTCTTCATTTTTAAAGTGATTTTGTGGAGTGTGAATACTTAGTAGAGTTTTTAAAATTTATTAACAAAACTTTTTGAATTCACTCACAATTTTGTAATTTTAAGAACTTAAATATTTTGATGATAAATAAGCAGCACAAGTTTTACAGAAAACAAAAATATTTTCACTATCTTTGTCTCAACTATATACGAGATCAACAGTCAAATCATATTTATATAAAATGAGCAGCTCCTCTTAATACTCAAGAAAATATGTTAAATAATCTAACATTTAAACCAAAAATTAAACAAATCAATTTAACGTTTACAATACATATTTAATAGTTTAGTTGGAATGAGCCATGTTTTATGTTCCTAAAATTGGTGTTAAATAAAAACTCAAGACAATTCATATCTTAAAAAGGTTTTTTTTAATTAATAATTATTAATTACGTAAACATTTTCAGCTTGCTGATGCAAAGATCTTACGAAATTAGGTGTTCTTGCGTTAAACTATTTACGCGACGTTAATACGTTGCTACCTACGTTACGTAAATAAGTGACAATAAATTTTGAAACTTTTCAGATTCATCTACAATCAAAAGCAAATATCTTCACATAAACTAATTTGTTCTTTAAACATTAACAAAAATCTTCAAAATATTGATACAAAGTTTAAGGAAAAATACATCATAAAATGATTGCAGTGCATTGAACACAATAATTTCGCCTCCCACTTGTGAAAATTCATTTTTCTCCACATCTTTCGATGATGTATAATTATCACCTGATAGCCGCAGAGGTGTAATGCTCAAAATCATTGTAATATTCGTTCTTCTTCAAGATGAACTTATCAGAAGTTTCGACATAAAATTAAATATTTCAATTAATAAATTCTACTAGAGACTCAAGCCCTGACTATCGTATTTCCCATAGCAGCAAATCGATTTAAGCAAAATAAGAATTTTTTATCGAAGGAGGTTGGCAAAATGTTCAATATTAAAATATAAATCTTAATAAAAATGTGTGTCTGGCTTGTTTCGCAATATTTCGATTTCTTTCTTCTTAACAAATTGATCTTCTCGCTTCGGTCGACTTATATTCCATCTTTAGCCTTATATTTCATTATTCTCATGTAGATATATTCTTCTTGTTCTTTGGGCCGTCCCCCAATTCATTTCTTTTTTGCCTTCTTTCTCAACTTGCGGTTCTGCTGGTTATCAAAATAATAATATTGTTCACTTATAAATGTTGCCTCATTCCCTTCTTCAATTTCCATTGACTTTACTCTTTACTTGCTTTTGGATTTGAATTTAAATTTTATAATCGAGTTGAGTACAAAAATGTATTAGAACACGAAGTGCATTAGTTACTTTATGCTTCGCTTGTTTCGTGATCTTCTTCTCCATCACTGTTCGAAACCGTTGGCAAAACAAAAATAAGCCCATAAAGCATAAACAGCAAAGAGAAGGAAAAAAGCGGATTAAAGTTTGAAAATTGCGTTTTTCATTTCTTTCGTCTTTCGCTTGTACAATGTGCAAGTAAAAAATGGGCGTGCTGTTATGTTGTTATTTTTTTCTGCTCAACTTTTTGTATGCATTTTATAATGTTCTCCCCATACTTTTCATGAAATATTGATCGGAATCACGTTTTGCATCTCGTTTGAGGCACTAAAGACTTTCTTTGAGAGTCATTTTGCGCACTTAAGATTTATGATGAGCATGAAGAATCGAGTATTTATTGGAACAAGATGCTGATGTAAAGCGATGTAATTTTTAAGGCAATTAAATTGAATTACCTGAATATTTATAATAAAAATTCACATTAAATAAGTAGATAAGTCGAGAAGTTTCAAGTATTGTTCAAAGCCGATGGTGTCAATCGCATGAAAATAAATTTTCCAAGTGGCACATAGTTAAATAAAAATCACAACCGGAAAATCTTGAAATATTGTTTCGAACGATATTTGGTTGGATCGAGAATTACTCAAGATGAGAAAATCACCTCAAGCCTTGCACTGAAAAATTGTTAGCAACATAAATTATTGCTTAAGATGCACATTCAAATCGGTCTCCAACCACAAAGAGATTCTCAAACGAGCACAAAAAATGCTTCATCTTAATTTGTTGTTGTGTGTTTGAGGAATTTCTTTAATGTTGAAATTTACCCGCGCTCGGGAGATTCAATTGAATGGCGAATTATCGCAAGATGTTAAGCTTTTCTTTTTCCTTCTTCTGGCTTGTTATAAAAACAAAAGCAAGCAAACGAGAGAGATTTTTGAAATTGCAAAACAATAAATAGTGAATCAATGTGTATTTTAATAAAAGCGAAATGGCGAAAGAATCTTGATAAGTGAACCGCGAAATTTATTTTATCATTTTCAGGCGTTATTTTGAAAAATGATTCACATGTTCGCTTGTTTAATGCTGAAAAATCTTCATTGGTGGAGTGAGAAGAAGAACGAGGTAATCGCAAACACAATAAACCACAAGCACGAAGAACTCCTTTCATTTAATATCAAAATCGTGTTCACTGCAAATTGATAATGCTTTCAATGCTGGGAGTTAAGTTAATGGTTGGTTAGTTACAAAGGCGAAGTGGAAACTTTATAAATTTCATTATAATCATTTCTCGATATGACTTGCCTTTGAAGAATAAACTTTATACTTAATTACATTCGATTGAACATCACTTCTTAAATCATAAGTTAAATGTTAATAGTTTTGTTCACTTTTCAATCTCAATTAAAGTAAAGATCTTTTATTTTTATTATTATTATTAGCTCAAGACAACATCTTGTGAACAATAAACGTTGGGTTTTCACATTTATTGTGAATTATTGAGATTTTAATATTCAAACTTCAAGCATTTTAAAATCCAACAAATATTTTCAAGATTTTAATATTTCTCAAGGAAGTTCTTCACCATAATTTATGCAAATATTGCACAAACTGAAGTATGAAGATATCTATTCCCAGCATAGATCACGTTCATTCAATTTTAAATTTCTTTCTCATCGAAATTTTCTTCGAAACTTTGTAAAGTTTTTCTTGTCGAAGATTTCTATTCTCGATGGGCGCTTCACTTGCTTCTAGGAGTTTATAAAGGAATTAAATTGACAACAACAGCAATAAAAAAAGTTTTTTCTCTCATCTTATGCAAGTATTAAATTTATTCATTTTTAATCAAAATTTTACTGCTGCTGCTTATAAGAAAAACTCCTTTTGCGACCATAAAAGTTATCAAAAAATTAAAAGTTTTGTTCCGGGGCTATTGAAACACCAACAACTTAAGTAAAATGAGGCGCAACCATGACAAAAGCGAATGAAGATTTGAGTTTATCTGAAAATTCCTTCATGTTTCCCTTTGACTAGAAGGCATCAAATTTTAGCCTCGCGTATCTTGTTTCAGTAATAATTTTATGGTTTATGTATTTCTTCTCTTTTATTGCTTTTCAAGTCATAAAACAAGATCACAAAATCCCATTTATCCCAGCAGCAAACAAAATTAGAATTTGCAAAATGACGGAACATAATTCGATTCCATGAGAAGAAGACGACGACGACGACAATGTCGACGATGATGATGTCTTAGGCTTTCAGGCAATGTTTGTTTAATGAAAACATGAATTGTTTGTTAGATTGAAAGACGCATGTAAGCAACTTGATTAAATTTTGTGATCATCTCCCATGTTCAAATACTAATATCTAAATGCCTGAAAAAAAAACATTTTGTCTAATCTCTAAACTCCTAAATTTTTCATGTTTTGTTGCTGAATGGAAGCAAGCAACGGAAAAAGAAGAAGAAGAACTTTTTTCTTTCCAAAAAGCAAATAAATCACAACGGATTCCTTATCGAGTGTAATCGTGATTTATGGCATCACGCGCATCATAAAATGCCTAAACAAATCATTGGCTGTAAAATGTTAAGCGAACTATGGCTGCTGAAGAAAGAGAGAAAGAATGTCAATGTTAAGCATGAACCCGTAATGTGATTTGAAAGCGATATCAATTTTACTTGAAGAGATTAAAGATCTACATCATTCGCGATACGGTTCCGTTCCGTTTCATGCTCTTTACTGTGAGGAAGACACGAGAGACGAAGAAAAGATGAGAAAAAAAATGCTAATAACATTTAAATTAGCATCGCTTTTACTGCTTGACATTGCCTGATGTGATGCCTACTAAGTGATGTGATGTGTGGCAACAATACGAAACTCGTTAACATGCCTTCTCTTACCTTCCGTTGTTTGCCTACGAAAAATGATGCGAACGAGATACATGAGATCTCATATTGTACAACTTATGTGTGTGCGGTTGTCGCGATAAGAATCAATACCTACCCGAAAAAAAATATACGAAAACGAAGGAAAATTCAAGGTATTAAAGATGGCTTTAAATTGGAAAATTTCATACACAATGCGTGAACTTTTACAGCATTTGATTGTCTTAAAAATATAAAGCTGAATAGAAAAGTGTTTTGCGTTATCAGTGATCTGAGGCAGTTGGGAAAATTGTGTGAACAGAAGCACTTATAAGTATCAAGTTACGTGAACACACGTTGTGAAGACAAAAGGCAATTTGTTGGAAGTTATAAATTTCAAAGCCGTGAATTTACAGCATGATTGGTTGGTTGATGATGAGTTCAACGAAAAGAAAGAAAAAGGGGACTGGTTACGTTCGATTTCATGCATTCAAGTATTGCACTAAAGTGAGAAGCGGAAGGAAGATTTCAAGTTTTCACCCTCAAACAATCACGTTTAAGTTGTGATGTGCAGGAAAATCCTTTAAACAAATTTTGTGCACCCTCGGGATTTGCGATTGTATGTGCGTTTAAGGGAAAATTAGTTTCCACACAGATTCATTGATGTGTGCTGTTTGATAACGTCGAATATATAGCACAGCCACTTTAATCGCTTAAATGAGTGCAAGAAGTGTTTTAACAACAAAGAATGGATCAAAAAATAAAATTGCAGTCGAATGATGATAAAATCGTTTTTAATAATCCGATTATCAAAAAGAAACCAAGTAGCACCATTTCAAGGCAACATTACAACATAGCGCATCATCTCTCACTTCCCAGTTTTCTGCTAAATTGCACAATGCGTGCGGTCATGATATCAAACGGCACGTGACTTGTATTTATAAAGTGTTGGAAGAAAAGCAAGACGACGATGACGACGACACAGGAAATAAAATTACAAACTATTTACGGCCCTATTTGTGTTTCACTGAATATTGTCGTAAAAATTTATACTCGATATCACTTTTTATGACGGTTTATTTTTACATGTCTTTGCAGAAATGTTTTTTCTCTTTTTTATGGTAAAATTTCTTTTTAATTTAATGTTCTCAATATTCAACTTCCCCACACATTCAGGAATTGAAATTTGATATTTTATGAAAGGCGCACGATTTTCTAATTAAACAAAAGTCAAACGTTTTTCTCTTTTTCAGTGAAAGATGAGATTGAGTGGCAGTGAAATCATCTTTTGTCAGTTTGTTAGAGCATTCAATTGCGTAAACGTGTGTGGTAATTGATACAAGATTCTTCACGTTCATGGTGGGTGATCCCGATGCGAATTTGATTGGAAATATCTTTAACCCCTCAATGATTTTTAAGAGTTTCGGAAGAAATTGTCATTCAAATCAACATTTAAATTTTAATTGAATTTAATTCTGCAGCTTTTGCACTCAGTCGAACCATAAAAGAAGATTTTTAATTATTTTTCATTTCCTTTTCCAATGTTAAATTAAATTTAAATGAAGGTAATAATTCATAAAAGAGAAAAACTTTTTCTTTTCATTCTATCTGAATTAAACAAAACCATGAAAAAAGAAAGAAAAATTTAAGAGATAAAATGGAAAAATATTTTAATTTTCCACGGTGTGTAAGTTAGCATCGAGAAAATGGTGGAAACCTCAAGTGAGATGAAGATTTTCTCCGTGACAGTCACAAAAGAATTGGATGAAACTTTCCGCTGTCTTCCTTCTTTTTTTTCTCATTTTCTTTCTCTGTTCGTAAGGGAAAGAAAACGAAGCCGTAAAAAGCCATAAATTTTCACTCGTAAAAGTAACATGTGATCCTTCTGATTGTTTTCTGTATGTAGTAGTCAGGAGATTTATGGGACCCAACACAATAAATCTGGCAGAGAAGGGAAAGAAAATAAAAAGTTGGATCTACGGCTACCTCATCTTCCTTCCGCCACCCCCACACTCACTCATCTTCCATTGCCAGCCTCTTCAGAGAGATTTTCATCCTTCTTTCTCTCACACACAAATAAAGCATAATTCGTGATCTTATCTCCTTTGATTTACTATGTCGACTTTTTAAATATTTTCATTTCCACCCAACAACGAAAATAAAAAAAAAGTTTAGGAAAAGATCTTGAAAAAAGTCGAAAATGTTTTAAGGGAAATTTCATGAATTATTTTTCCACTTTCGCAATAGATAAAAGCGCGAATGTAACTTTATTAGGGTGAAGCTTTGGAACCGTTGACGGATCTTTAAATGCCAAGACATATTTCTTAAGAGCCTTAAAAAATATTTTTTGAAACTTTCGTGACTTCCCTCGTGCCATAAATCTTTTGACAGCTGCGAGCGATGGACAACCAAAATGTTTCTTGTTGAAGGAACAGCAAAGTTATTATATAAACTTTTATCATTAGCGAATTATCAGATCATTAGGGTACACAAAAATTACCTGAAAATGTACAGTGACTTGCTATTGCATTGAAACAAGCATAAAAAGTTTTACACGACAATTTTTTGCATTCTTTCCTTTTAGCGATTCATTAAACATGAAATAACATTGAGAATTCATAATAAGACGCTTAGAGTGTGTAAAAGGTGATATTTAATTAACCAATTCTTCGATTCAAAAAAAACATTGAAGAACAAGTTAAGATGAAACATATTTGGATAATAATTTGAATTAGAAATGAACAAAGAAAAATTCGATTTTCTTCTTCAACGGTTCCAGTGCATGCTCATTGAACAAATCACCGAAATCACCGGTGAAATAGGAGTGAGACGAGAAAAGAGAAGAAGAGAAAAATCAAAACGGATATTACCGGAGTTTTCATCTCCGGTTTTCAGATTAAATTCGTTTTTTTTGCTGTTCTTGCTGTGTAAGGGAAAAACCTTCGAATGAATCTGATGATGCTGAAAAAGGATTTTTCCTTTCTTTTTTCCTGCCATCGCTTTCCTTCTTCATCTTCACGAATGATAATGATGATTGAGAAGATGGATTCCAAAGGTGATGGGAGAATAAATAAGACGATTTTCCACCTTCATCAAACATCTTCTTTTCCGCTTTGCTATTCGTTATAAAATGTCATCGCTCTTCGTCTTCATGTTGCGTGGGTGCAAAGAAAACCAAAGCGAATGAAAATTTTCGACTTTTCTCTGTTTATCTTGAGACTTTAATATGTTAAAGATTTATTTTTCGTTAAATCATTTAACTTATGTTTCAGTTGTATGTTTGAAAGATTCTTCTGATAACTACAGAGCTAAGTTTCATTTCGTGTGTATACTTAACAAAACATTTTTTTAACCAATGAATCGAGTAAGAAAAATGACCAAAAGATTTATCGACACTTTGACTTTCAGCTTCTTAATGATTGTTGAGTTGAATGAACAATTACGAGCACGACACACGTTTTTCGCACATTAAGAAAAACTCCTTCTCGTCGACAACTTTGATCCCGCACACTGCATATTCATTCGAAATCATTCAAGTTGAATCATTTTATTTACTCTTAGTGAATTTACACGTTTTCTCATTTTTAAATGTTTCAATAAGCAAGGGTCGAACATTTTCGAATCTTTCTCCCTTTTATTTAACAATAGTACAAAGATTTAGAACATTTATCACCGATATTTGAGGCATGAAAGAGAGCAACGTTAATAGCACCACCAAACCTTTATTTAAAAAATAATCAAACGTTGTGGGATGAGAAAAGAGAGAAATCATAAATATCCTATTATTTACACTTATAAGGATTAAATGTAATGACTTGCTGACTCAATAAATACAATTCTTCATACATAACTGCACTCACTAACTTCGCTTTGTTATCAACCCTCTTTAGCAACCAGATGAATCTTCCAACCCCTAATGTTGAACTCTCTACACGACCAGTAAAGCATTTCCACTCCCACGGGGATATTCGAAACATATGTAAAATATTAAAAATGATATTTTTTTGGTAAATCTCTTTTATCTATTATAAATGTGATAATTTCATTTGCAAGTCAGTGCATGTATTCAGAACGCATTTCATAAAGCCAATAAGTAATGCTTGAATATGTTTGAAATTAATTCTGTTGATTTTCAGACAATGTTACATGGGAAAAATGTTAAAAAATTTATGTTTTTATTTATGCCACTAAACATTATTTAGACCGAAAGAAATCGAATTTGATATCTGCTTTTGTTTTTCAGAAGTCTTCTACTTTCTCATGTCGAGATTCATGGAGAAAACTTTATTCTTTCTTATTTTTTTCTGTGAGAAGGAAAAAAGAATAAGAATCGACATAAATCTTCTTCTCGGATGTAACTTTTACTCGGGCGATATATGGCGAGGATTCGGGATTTTCGAAGCTCAAGACCACGAAAGAAAAGCCGGGAGGGGGTGAAAGAAAATGTGTATAAATCTACATTTGGAATAAATTTTCTTATCTTGACTGCAGTCCTTTAGAGATTTCTTGTTTTATGACGGTATCTTCTATTTTCAATTCTTGTTAGTTGGATTTATGCTTAAGCTTTATAAGAAAGAATTCGATTCGTTGCTTCAGCTTCTTAAAGTGGATACAAAACAAATTTAATATGAACAAAAAAACTATCAAAAATTATTTGTCCACTTACAATTGATAAATTTTCCCAAACATATTAAAATTAAATCAACGTTTTAATTTAATCAGTGAATTATTGAAATGTTAGCGAACTTTGCAAGCATAAAATTATTTATAATTAAACTTTGGACATAATATTATGTTCAAAATTACACAACAGATAAATTAAACTACTCCTAATTATTAATTAACAAAATGTATCTTGATAAGAAATGCCTTCCGTAAATATAATTTGTACGAGATTTATGATGAATTAGCATACATATTGCTCAAAATATATGACGCGTATCTATGCAAATAAGTTGCGAATAGTTTATCGTATCTAAAGTTGATGTTTACTATTATGAAGATCCCAATGTTATTCAATTACAAATGTCGGACAGATTAATAACCGCATCATTATAATTGTCATGTCAATTTTGTTGTTACATAGATGTATGTATGCAATTAAAATTAAACAAGACTACCCATAAGTGTTTATAATTGAAAGGGCATGATTTACAACAACATTTTACAACATCCGCCAAATGAAGCAATTTTCAATAACACAATTTCGAAAACATGTGACACAGAACTGCATTGCAAACGTGCAAAATGATAACATTCAACATCATAGGATAAAAAACACTCATTTCCATTCTACACAATAATGAAATGAGAAATTAAATTTGTTTAAATATCTGCTTATTGGATACCATGAATTGAAAATTGATTCTAATCACGATCACTCAACAGCTCTATTAAATGTTATTTGTTTGCTGTTTAGTTTCCAATTTTGTCTCAGCACCATTTATGATACTTTCTTCATTTTCAAAAATAAATCTTCATCGTCTTCTATTATTTTCAGCAGCAAATTTATTCGTATCTGTTCTTACACATCTGTGCCCAGTTTTCCATCCCAATAATTCCATAATTGATAAGATATCCATTATTATTGTGAAACTCTTCTCGAGCGATAAATTCTCTGACGGAATAGCTTTTTAAACTCACAAAAAACATTCTGTTTGCTCAATGGATTTCTAAAGGGTAGTTTTTCCATCTTGACTTATCTCGAAAGCTTTGGAACATGGGAAGTGTGGGTGGGGAAATGGAAGGAAACTTTTGAATGGACATGCTGATCTTTATTTGGTGATAGTTTATTCCTTTTTTCTCTCTTTTCAAATAAATATATGACATAAGCGTTTCCTGATGATGAGATATTCATCTGCATATGCTATGTAAAAATATTTCTTTCAACTTTTAAAGATTCTTAAATAATTTTAATTTCTTATTTACATTTGCATACTGAATGTTCCCTCGTCAATCAGTTTTCAGCCTCAATTAAGCTTGAGAAAAATATTTTATAAAATAATTTGCCGCTTTATTTGTCATGAACCAACCCTTCGCTTCAATGCCATGGTAAATATTCATAGAATAAAAATATTTAAACTTTAAAGTGTTTTTTGCTTGTCTCCCGGTTTTGTCATGAAAATATAAAATAATAATAATAAAAAAATTCAAATAGCTGAGCTGAATGAAGAATCCCTAACTGTGTTTGTTGGTGATGTTAACTTTGGTCTTGCTCTCTTTCTCTATGTTATCAGCATTATTCTAAGATCTCATCAATGTGATAACACGAGTTCTTTTTGTGTAAATTCTGTTGTGTTTGAATGAAAATGAAATGAAAAATTTCTGATTTTGTTTTTTCTCTGTTCATGCAAGCAGAAATATTGTTTATAAGGTTCGAGTGAACAATATCCATCTGCTGTCTTTGCCTTTGATTCAGCAGCCACTTGGTTCATTCCATGTCGTTCTCCAGCATGGCTTTACATAAGAGATTCCATTTTTTTTTGTTTCTGTTTTGAAGGGTGCGTTTTGTTTCATTTGAAATTTATTTTGTTGAAAGAAACATGAATGTAAATTGTTTATAACAAAGACATCTCATTACCTTTAAGAATGAGCTTATGAATAATTTAGATATAACATTTCAGTATTCACAAACGTTTGATTGAAAACTTTAATGATTATTACGTTATGTCATATCTTGGTGTCATAGAGACATATCCTTGGGATGTCGTTGCACATCGTGATACATCATTCACGATAAAGATGATTAAGATGCAATCATAAGTTGCAACAAAGCATCCCATAATAAAGACGCTTAGCCAAAAAGCATAAATGACAATGACAACTGAAATGCATTCTAAAAGATCCCTCAAAGGGACGTTTTTGTCATGTTTTCTTTAATTTACACCAAAACATAGTCGACAAGAAGAAAGAGTAAGCAAGAAACCTTAAATGGCATTGTCTGCATTCAGAGCCAACTGATCGTTTCTTGAAGTTTCTTCTGATAAGGTCCAAACATAAGAAAGACATATCTTTTCGTTAGCTTATCTTGCATCTTGCGATTGTCAAATATATGTTAAAATAGAACCAAAATAAAGGACACACTCAGAGATTTAAAAGCTGCTTCACAAATCTTTTACCTCAGCAGTTTTTCTCATTCTTTTGCTCTTTTTTTTTATTTCTTTTTTATTTTGGCAGACAGTATTCTGAAAAATTTAACCGCACATTTTTTTGTCTCATATCGTAACATGAGCGATAGAAAGATTTATAAAAAAAGAAAGAAAGAATTTTCAACATCATTTTACTGCTCTAGTTTGCTATCTTGATTGAGCCTTCGTCTCATGACGCCCTCAAATCAAAGCATGAATTTTGAGTAATGACGGTGACTTGCAGAAGGTTTCAAAACCATAAATGACTCACTTTGTAAGCCACCATGATCAGAGAATTAAAACATTTAAGGCACAAAAAAATATTGCAGATGTAAGGTTGCAAATTGCAACGATTGAGATAAAACTGATAAAGCAGGAACTTCATGCTTATGACAAAAACATAATTTTCTGCGCACATTTCATATCCTTGTGATTTACTGAAGATAACAACGTGGACTAGGGTGAAGAACATAAAGAGAATAGTCAATTGCTTTAATATTGTATTTATTCTCATTGTTTGAATTCAAGATCGCAGAAGCTGATAGCAATATTGGTAGAAGATGATTAAATATGGGTTGAAGTTCATAATAGTTCTGATTAATATTTATCTTGATATGAGTTACAGCACATTCGTACAACTCCCTACATTAACGCTTTCTTTTCAAAATAAGCAAACAATTAAACTTTGATTATTTCCTAAACACGATCTGATCAAAAGATTAAATTAATCTTCGTGTTTCTGAAATAAGATATCGCAATAAATAGTCAAATACGGAAATTCAAAGCTGAAAATTCTGTAATTCCACTCGTGAATCTCTTCATCCGAAACTTCAATCAATTTCACATTTGAGATTAAAATGTCTGCAGCAGCTTCGCTTCTTTTTTTCTACATTTCGCTTCACAAAAGCTTCTTCAAAGCTTCAAGCACATCTTTTCGCTGATAATGACAAATTAATTATTTCATTATAAGCCACAAAAAAGCGAAAACAACTGAAAGCAAAAAAAGTAAAATAAAGTGAACGATTGATGATAGATAAAATAACATTACACACACAATAATTAAAATATAATTACATCTCTATAAACAGAAAAAACGAGAGGAAAACTGAAAGATTTTCTTTCACTGATAACGATGTACTGAATGTGACATTGACATACAAAAAACATGTAACAACAAAAAGAAAATGAATACATGTGAGTTTATAATTTTTCCACGCTACACAGTGTCATTGACTATAACTAAATGTTTAATTATAAATAAAATCTATGAATATACGAAGATATTTAGACGATATCTTTATGTTCATTTCTGCAATTTCTATTCGTTGAAATATTAAGAAAGCTGCTACCATCAGATTCTGAACGTAAAATTCTCAAGAATTCATTGCGGGACTCAATATTGTTTTTCACTCAAAATTTATTAATAATGTTTATATCAAGTCAACCAACAGAACAGAAAGAAATGGGAAAAGGGCAAAGAGAATAAAAAAATTGTCTCCACTAACAATCATACAATCAAAATCATGCTGAGATTTCATTCAATTTATTATTAACTGCAGTTTTTTTCTCGTATTTAAACATTTGTTGCTTAGTCTCCTTTTCGATGTTGTCAAGAGGGTCTCGCTTCCACACAATCCAAGTTATTGTTCAATTGGAGGGTTTTTATGTTCATGGCTTTCGTTTATGTTGGCAGAAAACATTATGTCTATGAATCGTATCCCGCTGATTGCGAGATTTGAAGCCACCCTGAAAATCACTTTATGAGTGGATGAATTATTGGTGTTAAATGGACAACGATTTATATTTGTTTTGATTGGCTTTCAAACTAAGGTAGGTAGAAGATATTTATTCTTATTGTTTAACAAACAACTTCACAAATAATCTTCCCGGTTTACGACGGGCTAATTGTTCTTCTTTCATGTAAGGTTTTTTAAATTTCCCAGGAAAAGCTTCCCATATTCTCTTTCAAATAATTTCTTTATGAAAATCAAAATCTTTATCTGTCGGAATCGAGGAAACATTCTTTCTATGTTGCAAATCCAAATGAATGAAGATCTTATCCATCATCATCATCATACAGAAATATTTGCAATGTAAATTCTGAGAATATGATTGATATGTGCAAACAGATAACATCGAAACGTAAATATTTTGGCATATCGTTGTGAACTGTTTCGTCCCGTTTGTGTGCATCGTCTTTTCACTAAGGCATTAAAAGGCATGGAAAGATGCTGCTTTACTGATTGCATTATCCGATGAGTGTTGTTTGGGTATTTGAACGTATTTTTAGTGCAAAGAACTGGAAACTTTAGTTTCTACACGCCTTCTGCATCTTATCAGCCATCTCTGGTGTATAAAAATTTGTAAGAAATATTTGAGACTTTTGTTGTTCTTTTAAAAGTTGCAATACTTTACAAAAAAAAAGCATCCGACAAAAGTGTTTTATTTAAGAAAAAATTTTCAAATTTATTTGCCATGAGAAAGAAGAGAAATGCACAATTCTTCAACTTAAAGTACTTGAGATAAGCTCTGCTTTGCTTTTGGATGATGTGTGAATTATAGGGAGCTATAAATTTGTCACGCTACTTCTTTCTTTCATCATTGAAAAGTTTGCGGATTACAATGCAAAAATGTAATGAAAGTAACTGATCGATATCAGTTTGCGTTGAGATCTTATTTTCATACAAAGGCAAAAGAAAGATTAAATGACAACAAAAGAAATATTTAAACAACCAAATCTAGTGCATTTCTTCTTGAAAATTACTTTCTTCTTGTCGTTGTGATAAAAGAAGAAATTACGCAGACAAAAATATAAAAACAAACAAACTTCGTTTCTATGCATAAACTTGACTTGGAATCAGTCGCAATTGTTTAAAGTTTTTAAATTTTTCTTCTTTTCTGTTTTGCCAGAAATGGAGACAAACGTTTAGATGCAAAACTGCAAGAATTGTCTTTTCTTTTTCTCAAAGAAAATAATCTTCCTATTGTTAATTTCAAGTAGTACTTGAAAAAGATTAACATACAAAAGAAATAGCGCAACTTACTAGAAAATCGGTTTAGACAACAGAAGAAAGAATAAGAAGAAATTATAAGACTGATAGTGATCTTCTCTGTCTTTAGATGCACTTTGAGTTGTCACGATGACATCGAGAGATATTTTAAATTGCTGAATGCAGTTTTCTATATTTTTATTTGATTGCAGCAGTCGAAATTTCGTCGTTAAACAGTTGTTGTTGATGTTATTAACCTCGGCATTAACTGATTGAAGCATGTTGTTAACATCTCAATAAATTTTAAGGGACTGATGGTGAAGAAAATTGAATTGCTTGTTTAGCTCAATCGACCACAATTGCACAATTAAATTACAATTGGCTCATAAAAGCAACTGTTAGAAATTAAATTGTTTTTATTGTTTACAGTTTCTAATATTTTTGTTTTCTTGAGGGTTCAAGTCTTATGCAAGCAACTTTAGTTTTTTCCCGATATTCTCGTCCCCTAAACCACAATTTTTTAGAAAAGGGACAAGATAAATCTGTCCACAATTCGTTTTGACGATAATAAATTAAATTCTTTATTTGGTTTAATTTTCTTCATTTTGTCTTTAACATTGTTTTGGAGAATCATTCATTAAATCCTTGGCAATAACTTTCGTAAATCAATGTTTGATTCATCAGAATGAAAACAAACTTCATTAATTTATGCTGTTTCCGTCACAACATGAAGTCTTGGGGAAAAAAGACATAAAACTAAAATTAATAATTTAAAATCTACATTTGTGTTCCATTCATCAACAACCTTTCCAATCTATTCGTCCAAACTTTCTTGTAAATGTCCTTTTGTTTCTCAGTCTTTAAATTTATTTCATGAATCTCATAAAGAATGTAAAGCAACACAAAAGAGTAGAAAATGACGAAGAAAAATTATGGCATGATGTCTTGTCCTTTTTCGTAAGGATGACAAAGGTGGAGAATAGTTTTAAACGACCAAAATATCTCTGGCGCCAGACATTATCGTAAGCCTACCGTTTATGAGTTATCCTTTTGTTGGAATTTGTATTTATGTTGAACGATGTCTAGTGGTGTTTAGTTATGTTTCACTTCATCAAGTAACCCGCAACATTTTCGCTTGTTATGCATAAAACAATGACGGAATTTACTCGTTTCGAGAGATCCTTGAAAAAAACAAAGAAGTTTCATTAATCGTAAATGCGGTAGGTAAAGTAGCTGTAACGCGTGTCTACAATATGCTATCAAATTCAAGCTTTATTATAAACGAACAAAAATTAACATATTTGATATCAACAAATCTACGTTGTAGGTACGAAGTTTACATGCTCAGCAGCAGTTCACAAGTGATCGCTCTCTACTATGAGTGCCTTTTATTTTCCTCTTCACAAACGACACTGATTGTTTTTAATAAATCTTTTATGTTGTTTGCCTCGCCACCTTGCTAACTAATACTTAAATGAAAAATTGTTTGCCATTGTTTTGACTGCAAAAGGGGTCTTTAAAATAATTTCGATGCCCTAAGATGAGTCATCAGGAAAGTGAAATACGAATAACAAGCTTTGTATTAAGTTACATTTTGATTCTGGCATAAGAAGAATATTTCGTGGTTTGAAATATAATAAAAATCACTTAACAAGACAAAGACCCTGGTTGGAAAACATTTTCAAACTTATTAATCTTTCTCGATCTCATAAAAATTTTGGGGGGAGAGAGACAAATATAAAGCGAAACATTCATAAATGTGTAACTGAGAGAATGAAAGAAATGACATTTTAATAATAGGAGAACATTTATCAAAATCATTAAATTTTTAAGAATTCATTCATTTGTCACCTACACGTATTTGTTTCTTCTGTTTCGTCGTGTTGTTTGACAGCAAGTTTGAAGCTGTGATTTAATGTTTCTCATTTTTGACTTCTGGTTGTTGATTTTTTTTCTTCATTCAAGGAATGTTGCCATGTAAATTAACCATCAAGTTCAACTCCATAAGTTATACGGAAGCAACTTAAGCATTCCCAATTCATAATTTAATACTAAAGTAAGGAGTTGTCTCGACTCAAATATGTTTCTTTCTTTATCCTCAATTCTATGTCTTTCTGTTGATCTGATGGTGATGATAATTGAAATAAACGCTTCAAATATTCAGCTTCTAATTTAATTTGAAATATGTTAATTTGGATTCATGCCTCAATAATGAGTTTTAAGATATTCCATTCATAACTTCTTTCCGAAGATCTTTAAAATGATTTATTTTTATCAATTACAGTTTTTCCTACTTTTCTTATAGACTTCAATTGATTTATTCATCATTATTTATGCTTGCAATGTCATAGTTTCTGGATTGATTCTTACGCTTAGGGTGGCATGCATCGCATGATAGAAAAAGTTGTTAAACGATAATACCAGAAGCCAAATAATTGTAAAACAATTAATCACAGAACGGACATAAATGAAATTTAATTAATGATTGTACAATTGGAGCTGAACAATTGAGCACGTTCTGGAGAGAAAACAAATTCATATCAACGGGAGCATCACAAGCTGAGTTGAAATATTAAATTACCTTATTACAAAGGCGATTACACTCCATGGTGTTTTCATTTCTGAGAAGAATCAAAATGTTATTTGATATCAAAAGTGTCAGTTTTGAGGCAATGAAGTGAACAAATTACTGTTTTGTACACTTACTAATAAATGAAAGCTCTTAGATGAATTTCAGCAATCTAGAAAATTTATCACTTAAAATATCAAATTTCGTTTTTAAAATCTCAAATGACAATTCATTTACTTCCTAACTTTTTTTTAAGGATTAACACAAAGAGTACGAAGTACGAGTAATGAGTTTGTGAAAAATGAAATTTTAATGCATTTCATAATTACGATATCAAACGACATTAACTTTTTTTTTTCTTCTCAGCAACTCAGAGCTCATTGCCGGATTCTTACATGAAGATTATGGGTTACAGGAAAAAAGTGTAATAAACCATAAAATGTATCTTTTCTATTTGTAACGCTGCGTGGTAATAAAATTAGGCATTTTATTGCTTTTGTTATCGCAACCAGCGAAAAAGGGGTTTTGGCGGATTTAATGTCGACGATAAAATTATAATTTTCAGTAGCAAACGAAAAACTTTTGCTTCAAAAATACTTTCCACGAATCTCCACCTTCAATTTGCTTAGAAATGTGAACAAACTAAAGTTGTAGCGAAGAAAACATGTCGTAAATCCAAATAGGGACGAAATCGAAGAGACCAACAGAGAGAAAACGAAACAACGAAAATTAGCATAACATTCCACAGCATCTTTCTCATTTATAAAACAACAATTGGACGAAACCTTTTAAAGAAAAGCATTAACTGTAATGCACCATCATTTGAATAATTTTCCAACGTTGCTTTTTGGGGAGAGTTTATAAATTAAGTAACTTGAAGATACAACATCGGGAATAAGCTTCACCATAGCTTTTATGTTTATGTTTCAGATTAAAATTAAGATATCAACCAAAACATTGACACTTAAGTCACAAAACCTTCCATCATAAAGTGTTCTGTTGTGTTGGCCAGCTTCAGGAAATTTTAAACGTCGAAAATTTATTGTTTTTGCTGCAATAAAAAAGGGTTTTTTCTCTGAAAAGTTTTATTTTTCGCCCCCGAAGAAAAAAAAGTGCTCCAAAAAATGAATTTACACACAAAATGAAGTTTTTTTCTTTTTCCAACAATAAAAAAATTGCGCTATACCGAGGCCTCTCTACAGATAAGCTCTGTCGTACGTAAATGGTGAATTTTTATTGCGGAGATAAAAATTTATGTAGAAGAGAGCCAGCAAATAAACAATTTCTGATTTCATCTATTTGCATATTTAAAACAAGCATGTAAACATACTTGTGTGCTCCGACAGAAGGACAATAACGATGAATATAAAGAAGGGGCTATCTGACGACTTTACGAGGATAATTCGAATTTTAGAGTGAAAAATCTTTTCAAGACTAAAATGGATTCATTCGAGCAATAAAATCTCATTGTGAAAAAGGGAAAAATTTATGCTTTTCATTTATGCAAATTTCCCCTGTTGTTATTTTGTATTTTCTAAGAAATTTGAAGATCGAAGGAATATCGCATGTTTTGCGTGAACAAGAAGTGGTGCAATGAAAGGAGAAGAAAAAAAAATAATTAAAAGATTCCCAAGCAATATCAGTTGAGAAACGAAATGAAATAAAGGCAACATTATATTGAATCGATCGAGAAAAGGAGAGAACAAAAACATCTGTAAAACAAATTTCAAGAAGAAGGAGCAAAGATTGGCAAAAGATTTTTAAGAATGTGAAGAAAAGAATTCAGCTTCAAACCAACAAGATTCCACACAAACCAGAAATGTTTTAATTAATGGTTTTCTTTTAATGCCAAAGCATAAGCAGAGAAAAAAGGTGAATTTTTCGTTCCATCTCAGGTCTTGTGCACAAAGAGAAAGAAGATAGAAGTTCGAAACATCTGTGAACTTGTGATATGGAGACAACGATCAGCTTCTTGGAATTATGTAAACTCTTTCAATGGAATCTAGTTCGGTGGTGTGCATAGCGAACATTTAAATCTTTCCTGCTCACATCGCTTATATTTATGATACTCGTTGAATGAAATTGAAAAATTATAGCGACTGTTTGATTATAATTTGATCACGAGATTTAAGATCGTTATGAAAATCATTCGAAGAAAGACGTGAAAATAAATGAATGACAGAATTGAAGTTCGAAGGATATGTTGATACATATTTCTAATTATTTATGTTATTAATAACAGAACCAATTATTGATTGAGTAACGCTGTTTGTGCAATGCTTGAATAACAGATTGCTTCAGCAAGTGAACTTTAGTATTTTTATCACCAAACAGATGCAAAAATTGAGCTTATTGGATGTCTGGAAAATTTTAAATACTTGTACTGCCAGCTCTCATTAGAAAAAGTTAAAGCTCTTGATTCTATCGATTAGTGTCAGTCAGATCAGCAATCCCAGAATATTCTCAACCGACTCATTACTCCTCAAATGTCTTGAATGTCTCACAATATTTCTTGTGACTTTGAAGGTTATAATAATCGTCAATTTTAATTGCAACTTTTAAATTTAAACTAATAATTGGAATCAAAAGTTTTGCATCAATTTTATTCCACACCATAATCACACATTATGAAGGAAAAAAAATTTCTACTTCTCTACCTTTTCATGAATTATGTTTCATGATATCTAGCCGAATGTATCACTTTTAACATCATTTATTTTACTAGCATTATACATTAAATTGTCTCATTTTCTCACTCCCTGACTTTTAAGAACATCTTTGAATCTCTCGTTGCTCTTTTGTACCTTTCAAGCTCGTTTTCAAATTGAATTTATATAAAATCAGAATAATGATTTCGTGGAGATATTTCGTGGAATTACTTGGGATTGCCAGATTTCCTCGAAATATTTTTCCTCGATTTTATCGGAAATCACGAAGAATTTTTTTTTCTTTTAAAAATTAAGAATCAAATGCGATATCACGGAGGGGAGAGTTAAACGCTTCCATGCATGTAAGCAAGAAGGTAAAAAGTATCACATTTGAACACGAGACTTAAAAGTAAAGAAAAAGACAGAACAACAAAACAAAAATCCAATTTCGTTTTTATTAATGAGTCTCTTATTCCACAAAAAAAATAAATAAAACAACTCTAAACCTCGACACATAACTTGCGACGTTTGCTTTTCTTTCATATACACAATCAAACAATTATTAGGAAGCTGTTAAGATGAAGATTTAAGTTATCGCCACCAGACACGAGGAAGAAAGAAAATAAGACAAGACACCAACGAAATTAAATTATGAAAAATGGACTCGTATGGAATGATTGATACATGTTGTAATAATGAAAAATTAATTTTTGTGTTTGCGTTGTGAGCGGGTTTACGCATAGATGAAATACTTCAAATAATTCATTATTTTTCTGCTGCTGATGCTGCTGCTGTAAAAAAGGGTGCAAAGTAATTTATCGATGAATTCTTTAATGATTAATTTCATGGGTTAACGACAGGTTATCAATTATTACACTAAAATCTTTAATTACAATGGAATTGATGATGCTTACTTAACAGTCAAATGAGTGAATTGATTTCTCACAATTCTCCTTTATGCAAACGAAGTCCTCGTTGTTTTTATTCTCAACACCAATTTTCCAATATAATTGAGTTGCATATCGAATTTTAAATTACCCAAAACGAATTGGATGAATGAAAACAACCAGAAAGATCAAACGAACGAAAAAAGGTTGATTTCATTTCTAAAGGCAGGAAATTTTTGACTGAGACATTTCATGTAATGAGAAAGGCGTTTTTATTACGACAATGTTTTGAATATGAAATTCGCTATGGAACAAATCAATCGGAATTTTATTACCATGAGATGAAGACAGAGAGACGCGTTCCCTTACAGACTTTGTAAATGTTCCACAAAAGCACGAGCCTTAGAAATGATTTTTCGCATGTGATTTAATTGTGCAAAAAGCAATTAGAATTCGCTATGATTCGAACATCAAAATTTATGTTTTATTATGACAGAAGCATCCTAATTGTGAGAACTTGACAATTAAATTATTCACAGTGTTTAAGCTATGAGAACCACATAAAGAGAATCTTTTTTTTATTCAGGATAAGTTGTTGCAAGGAACACTTTCTTTGATCATTCATCATGCGTGATGCTCTGTGTTCGGGCTTGTTTCATCTTCAATTTATAAATATAAACGTTATCAATCTTGTTTGATCAATCGTGTATAGAATTTGTCGTATAAGTGTCACTCCCGAAAGCAGAAAGGACTTCATTTCATCATACAAACAACACTTTCATCATTCGGCAGCTTTTAGTGTGTGAAAACTTTATTCAATTGTGAATTGAAACTCTTCACAAATTCTTTCACAAAAGAGCGGCTTTGAAGCTTCATTATGCCATGGATTTATTCCACTCACTTCTTTTATATTAAATTGTACCGAATAGAAATTATTTTGTTTGAAAAGGACACAATCAGAGATGAAATTTACTCTTTGACGTATTTTATTTTATATTTTTTGTGTGTTGTCGAGGGAGAATAAAAGAACTATTCTTGGCCCATTATATGTCATAACAGAAGGTTTCACATTTCAAAAACATTCGCATCTCTCCTTTTTTCGTTCTGCTCTTTAGATACTGCAAACAAAGGATAAGAGTTTAATACACTTTATGTTGAAAATTTCTAATCCTTTCTTATGATATGATTTGGTCAGATCTCTATAGAAAAAATTTTTTCTTAACTTTCAAAAGAACCTTCGAATGAATCGTAAAATTCAATTTGAATTGAAAGTGTTGACTTCTTGAATTATCTATGAATAATAAATACGGAATGTCCAAATATTCTCTTGAGATAGCTCAGTTTTAACAACACGTCATAAACACATTAGAAGTTTCTTCGGTAGCTTACGCTTTGAAAACTTTTCAATGAATTTAAACATTTAAAAGCGCTAATAATACATTTATTCGATTAAGAAAGAAAGAGTTTGACACATGGGCGTTTGTTGATGAGCCATGAATTTGTAAAAGTAAGTAAATGGGCGCACTTCAAAAGTCTAACTAAGTATGAAGACAAAATAAAGTTTTGACGAACGTGTGCCGCTCTTCGTCAGCAATAACATCATTCAGAGGCTGTAAATTTATTTTCGTCTTTAACTTCTTCTGAAGTCAATTAAGAAAACGCAAATAATTAAAAATAATGCTTTCTAAATTATACATTCCGACTCTGTGATGATCGACAAAGATATTTCATCTTTTTTTGTTATATTCTTGAAACGAGTGAACTCTGAATTGTTGGTAATTGAAAATACAGAAGCACTTCGCTGATTGAAATCTTATAGCAAACAATAAAAATGTTGATGTGTTCATGTCACAAATTAATAACACACGCTTTTCTGAAGATTGCCCAGCATGACACTTCAAAAAATAAGAGAGAAAAGTAGCTCGATGCTATGTATGTATTTATACTTACAGGTTGTGTGTTGAACATCGAACAGTATAATTATCGAAACGACGATCGCGACTGAATAAATTCTGAAGTCACAAAGGAACAAAAATTCCAATCTCGATTTTTAATCCGCAAATATTTAATTTGGAAGATTTTTTTTAACAAAATAATTTGGAAGTTTTTAATTAAACTCAACACATGTTAACCGGTGTTTCTCTCCTTCTCTCTCTCCTTAAATTTATTTTATAAATTATAAAAACTTGCACAATTTTGAATTTGTTTTTACATCAATTTTTTTAAATTTTTCACTTCTTCTTTTTTCCCTTTTTAATTTAACACAAATATTGAAGTCAAATTGTTTTATTAACATCTTTCTGATTCTCAAACATTTCCCGTCATCAATCTATCAGTCAAGACTAAACAATCTCATTAATTCCTAATCCGATTAATTTTAACTTGTGCATTTCGTTGTTGTATTATACAAGTCGAGTGAAGTCAATCGACTCCCTCGTTTCTATTTTGATAGTCTTAATATGCTCATTCATCTTTTCAAGCGTTCGGCATGCGACATGCTATGATTTTAATATTAAGTTTTCTTGTTTGTTTTTCGCAGATATTCTCGTTTGTGTATACAGGATTCTCGTTTAAATTATAATCAATTGAGATGATTTTCGGTTGAATCTCTAAAGCTGTAAAATGATTACGACGCTGACGAATTTTTCCTCTCCGAAGAGTGTGAGGAAATTTTATGTTTCTTTGTTGTGATTTATGATTAACTTGGTATCAAAAATTTATGCTTTTATAGCCATTTATCTTTTTTTCCCATTGTAATGCACAAATTCTTATTTTCTGTTGTCGTTTCATTCCAAAGTTCGGTTACACACACTTATTTAAGAATTCATATGTCGTTCTTCTTTGTCAGATGAGATGCTGTTATATTTCAGAGATTTTCACAAAATATCAATTTTCGTATAAAAAGACAACATCTCAAAATATATTTTAATCTCCGGGGGGTTGTGCAAGATAAAGATAAGACGATATTATAGATGTGATTGCGGTTCATTGTTGTGTTGCTTACTTTTCCATCTTGCGTAGCACATTGTGTCGTTTAGATTCATTACATTATAGGGGATTTTTCTTCATTATTCCGTGAATCGTCTTTAAGCTTGTCTCATCATCAACTACAAAGTGGCAGATTAAAGCGATGAACAACATTGCTACATCTATAAATCTATTCTTGTCTCTTTCACTTAAGTGTTAAGCTGCGCTTGTTCTTATCTCACTGTGTGCAGTTTTTTCTCGTGATATGCTCAGTTTTAATAAATTTATGTACGCATCAATAACTTTGAAAGCATAAAATTAATGCATACATAAAGCCAGATCATAAATTTGATTTTTTACTTGTCGTCAATTTATGGATTTCTCCATACACTGAAATGCTTGACGCAAATGGCGTTAGCTCTCCTAAATTCGATTTCTCTATGCGCTTGTCAGAAAAAAAGAATGCATCAGGATTAAATTGATAATAAAAAACTGCAGTTTACTCTTTCGAAAGCAAGGATCTAAGGTTTCATAGCGCGATTTCATTATGATATATGAATGAGATTCATAGCGATCTTTTCATAATTTAAAGGATTCCATTTTTATATTTCCTTTCTCGCCACATCTTTCAGAAAAGTATTATCAGAAATTATAAGAAACTCATGCGAAGATTTATAGCTGGAAATGAAATATGGCTTTTATCCTCCTTTTTGCCATGTGTAACTTCTTGGAAAATATTTTATTTTCCTTCTCTTTTCGAAGAAGCAAAAGATTTTCCATGAATCTCAAGGATAATCGGTTGAATGTTGTTCTCTGCTTCTCATTGCCATAAGCCATAGCCCGGGCGAAAAGAAATTTGGTGGAAAAAAAGCATTGACTAAGAGAGATTTTTTAAGCAATAAATAAAAATATTCCGCTTCGGACAGTATCATATCCAATATATTTTACTATCATTTATCTGTGAAGATTTACGGCAGCTTGACGTATCATGCTCATACATTCGTTCCATCCCTTTCTGGCTTTCTCTATTTTGAAATTACATATCGTTTCGGTGTGAACTTAAATCCTTTGCCTTCAACCACGGTTAGTTTAGCGTTGGTGGTTTATTTTTCTATATTCTCATCTGTCGCTAAAAATCTGTTTGTTTTATATATTTGAAGCTTAAATTACAGATGCTTGAGTTATGGATTTTTACAGTTTAGTTCTGCATTGCAGGAAATATTGCTGACCAAAAGCATTCAGATTGAGAAGTAACTTAATAAGACCACTCGAAAGATTTTACACTTAGGAGAATAATTCAACGAGATAAGAATAGATAAAGGATTAAATGAATGAAAGAAGGAAAAACTCGTAAAATACGAGTACGGGGTTGGAAGCTGGTAGAATTCAAAAACCATTAATGTGCTGAACAATTAAATTAAAACCATGATTTTGCCATAAAACTGAGAGCTTCAACAATAGCTTCAAGAGTTTTTGAGAGTTTACTTCTTTTATTTTTTTCTGCTTTCATTATGAAATAGAATGAAATTTTAATTTTTATTGTTTCCCAAGTTTCTGTCGCTTAAAAGAAAACGTTAATGAAAAAAAAGGAGGAAGAAGAGCTTTTCACGAGAAGAAGTCATAAAAAATTGCTCGCTATGAAAGAAACAACCGTTAAAACTCGTAATAAACGTCTCGCTTCGCTCTCAATAAACAATATCCTTACAATAAAAGATGACAAAAAGTCTGTTTTATCTTAATCTTAGTCCGACATGGAAGCAGAGAAAAGGAGAAGTTTTTTTTGTTCATGTCGTTGAGAATTGTTGAGAAAGTTCTTCATTCTGAGTTTGAATTGAATTACTCGAGAATTTTCTCATTGCCGCATGACACAAAAGAATTAAAGCCTCAATTTCCATATTACTTCATGGTATGACAAAGGAAGTCTTTATTCATAAGGAACTTAAATGAAGTGATTGAAAGGCCGAAGCATAAATTTTCACAAAAAAAAATGTAGAAAGAAGAAAATGTAATGGTGACGTTAATAAATGAAGATATAGCTTAACAATGAACGAAAATTTGTCTTCATTATTGATATGAGTTCATGAAAAGCGGAAAATCTCTAGATGATTTTTATGTAGTTCATCCTACTTCCTGCACCAATTTCTCTCACAGCAAATAATCAAAGTGAAGAAGTCTGCTGACTCGGAATATTCTTTTCTTTTTTTTCTGCCTTTCTCTGCAACCACAATAGAGAAAATTCGACAATGAAGAAGAAAAAAAGATTTTCCCAAATATTTTCTTCCATCGGAAAATATCACATGAGAGCGAATCCTTTTTACGCTTCATGGTGTGCGTTGGTGAGTGGAAAATGCTTCTCGTTTCAATGGAAATTTGAATTTCCACGAAGCATGTTTAAAAATGGCACTTCAACTTGTGGGCGGGGCTAAAGCATTCTGGAATATTATTGGTCACTAACACTACTATTGAATATTTATCATCCAATTAAGATTGTATCAGCATTTGAATGTTGAGACAACAGCGAACGCAAAAACCGTCTGATGCTGAATCGCGTCGTGAATACGAATGGAAGTGCATTTCATGAATATATCTCGTCACCCTCGGGTACGACATGAAAAAAAAGAAGAAGAATGTTCACATTCAACTTTGTATGCCCTCTTCTATTTATGTTTGCGTCTGTGTTTGTTCTTTTCTCTTTTTTCATATCGTGTAACTCGTGCGTGTAACTACATGATGTTGATGAAAAAGCAAAATAAAATAGTGGAAAACATTTTTCAATTCATTAAGAGAAGCATCAGAATAAGAGGAAAAAACTCATTTGGTGGATTATGTTGAGAGCAAGCATATTTTTTATGCTCTTTGAAAAATTATTGTACGTGACAAAAGAGTTATTGTTGTTGATGTTATTGATTTTCATGTCATCTCAGTCTCCTCCACTGGTTGGTATTCTTTTTTTCTCATTCTCATATCTCAACATTTGCGAAAACTAATTTATTCAATGGATCAACTTACAAAATGCTTTTGATTTGTGCTGTGACATGGAAATACATTGAACATTTATTACGAAGGTATGAGATTACTTTTATATATTAAATGTAACAGAAAAGATGCATCTAGTAGCACTCCCTTAAGTGAATTAATCATCACTTAAATACATGACACTTTAACACATAGCTTTAGATACCAAGAAACTTTTAATTATCGATTTTCTTTATTCTCTTCTACTTGCACTGCAAATATTTATTTTATTTTTTCGTTTTCCTCATTTATGCTTTCATTCGCATGAAATAATGTTTTCAACATTTTCGCTTTTCATTAAAGTCCTTTTTTTCTCCCAGAAAATTGTTTTTTCACTGGCATGTTGTACGTTCACACACACACACACACACAAGAGCTCATGAAGAAACATTTATGATTCCCAACTTGTATGGCACTTTAATATTATTGTATGACTATGCAGAATTTTCATATTAGCGTCATTTGAGTGGTAGGTCATGTATTTTTATGGAAGATTTACCAAAGTCTATAAATTTTCAGCTTTGCAAGCTTCAACAAGGCATTTTCCTTCCCTCTTCTATGTTTAAATAAATAACTTTGTCGTAAAATTTATTTCAAGCGCATGCTAATCATTTCTGTATAGAACAAGTTTGATTTTTCATCGCATTTTGAATGAAAGCATAAAATATTATCATGAAATAAATGGAAACAGCGACAGAAGAGTGAACAGAAAAAAAATGCACATGCAATTTTAAATTATTTATTTATCGAATCTACATTTTTTTCCGAACGAGCATTGTCGGTAGATTGATTGTGTTGCCTTCTTTTTTCATATAATAAAATTTCCAACGCTTTCCGGAACTATGGTAAACCAGATACTAGCTGTTCTTTCGTTCATGAAACCCACCGCATGTATGTTCTCATAAACAACACATATTTTAGTGTACAAGTTTCCTATGCATGTTTCACATCAATTCATTCATTCGCATGACCTTATTTGCATAATTAAATCATTTTAAACTCGCCTAAATCAACGTAAAACCACCCAAATCAAGTTCTTGTTGAGCTTTAACAGCTTTCTTACTCATTATTTCTGTTTTCTTTTTGTGCCATTTCATTTTGTTTTGTGTGTTTGATGGTGGGCATAAAGACGAAAAACAATTTCATGTGAAATCCTCACACTCTTATCTGTTATATTCTGCTCCCTTTACATTAGCATAAAACTCTGAAGCTAGAATAGAAATTTGAGAATTTAAATGCATTTTTTTCCTTGACTGCTTTTTGTTGGCAACACGGTAGGAGAGAGAAGTGCACAAAGAAGGAGTGAGAGCGTCCAGTCATGTAAATTTATTGCTGTTTATAATTTTTCCAACTATGAAATTCCAAGTTTCGCCCCGACGACGAACGAGAGATTTATACGTCCTGGAAATTAAGTTGAAATATAAATTTGGCTTTAAGGAACACCATTTGTTTTAGAGAATGATTAAAACTATTCGATAAGAGAATGCTTTACAACTTTTCCGCAAACTGCATGTGTCTTCATAATTTCTGCGCTAGCGAATGCGACTCGAGGGCAGACGAAATTGCTGAAATTAATGTTTCGTTTCTCTTTTCTTGCGCTAGATCAGCACCTATAGCGAGAGAGAAATCACCATCTTGCTTCTTGGTTTATGCTTAAGTTCCCCATTTCCACTTTATTTATCATCATAACATAAACTTTTTTATTGCAATCCATTTTTTTAATGGAAAAACCTAAATGCAATTGCACATTCTATTCCTCGTTGCATACAAGACTTTAAAATTAAAATGAACGTATCTCAACATAAGAACATTTCTGTGAATAAGCAGAGAGAAAAATGCAAATAATTATTGTGAAAAAAAGGGAAAAACTCTTCGTTTTTTTCTTTCGTTTCTTAGAAATTCATACCCATGTAAAAAAAGCTCGAGAATATTTGCACAATATGCATTTAATATCAAACAAATAAGTAACGAAGATATATGTATGCGCGATTGTGTAAAGAAGAACACAAAAAATACGTTGAATGTTGTTCAACATGAACACAAGCACAACATAACTGTTTGATGTTTTCAAATGAAACATTCAATGATTTTGTTATGTAAAAATGTTAACAAACAATGCTCAAAACACAACTACTCACACAAAGTACACGAAACATTGAAACATTCTTCAATACATAAGTCTCATGTTGCTTTCAATTCAAAACATATTTTGTCATTCAACATCATGTTCTCAGCTTAAACTCCTCCCAATCTTCCTCTTCTTGTCGACATTGTACAATGTTAGAGACTTTATCGATCGTTGGTTGGAAAATAAAAACTGGCGTTGATGTATCGCGTACACACAACTGCACAATACCCGAAGCAAAACAGAAAAAAACACGAACCGCTTTTACTCGTTCTGTTTCTTTTGAAATTTGATTCGAGCGTGTACCTGCCTGACTTTATATTTCAGTTCGTTCAGAATATTCAGCCCGCTCTGCTGCTGTTCGCGCGTTTGTCCCGTAGGATTTTTTTGTAATTTCTTTCGTTTAATTTACGAAAATCGGATTTTTTACTCTTTCACTATCGCTAATAAAGCAACGCTAAAAACATAAAAACATTAAATAGCGTTAAAAAAGGAAAATAACGAGGAATAGTTGTGTCGTGTCACGCGTTAAAGGAAAACTTTTATGCTACATGAAAGCGAGAATAAAATACAAAAACACGAAAGAATAAAAAATAAGAAAAACTTGGTGGAAAAAATAATTTGATAAAATTTTGTGATGTTATATTGCACACTTAAGTAACGATAAAAGGAAAATAAGGAAAAACAGTTTGCTTATGCTCAACAAAAAGAAGTGAAGAATCACCAAAAACGAAAACAAAAAAGCATAATCGTTAAAAATATTGTACAGTGTTTAACATAATTTTTATAAGTTGTTATCAATCGCTTCATTATCTAGAAGATAAAAAATGTTTGATAACCATGAGGTATTACTATGATATACTATTTAAGATATGGAAATTTCGCCTTCGTTATCAAGATTTTGGCTGAAGAAAATTATGTTGTTCGAAAGCATATTTCACTTCTTTATCTATGATCTAAGATATGAATTTATCGCTCGATTCATGCGAAGGGAATATACTTGAGAATTGTTAGTGTGATTTTTGGCGTGCGATAAATAATATGGCGATGATGATGATTTCGGCCCATCATTGACCAACCTGATTCTAGATTCTTTTGGCTACTACTGATTAATATCGCGAGTTGTGGATATAAGTTTTTTTTTCGGCGTACAACTAAATCAACAAAAACTGTCGAGGTGTCAAAAAACAATTTTTTATTGCCAAGCACAAGGAAAGTGTTTTTCATTGTTCGCAAACGATAGATAAGATTCAACTGCTTTGATAGCGTCAAGTTAATTTTTTTGAGCGATAAGATTTCATTTTTATGGTTTTACAATCGATCATATAGATCCAATTGAAATTGTCAAGTTCCCTCGTTTTGCTTCTTTCATCACTGAATATTTAATATTTATGAAATTAAATACTATTGAAATCATAATTATGCAAATAAACTTCATTGAATAATTTACTCAAGCATTGAAGCGATTGAAGAAACGGTGAATTCCGAAGTTTCTGAAAGCCATGAACTCTCGTGTGCATTATTTTCAAGGTTTTTCAAACATGTTTCGCATTTAAACAGAAAACAGTGAATAAAAAATATTTGTTGTAAGTTTATTAGATACTTGATTCATAATTGATTGGTAATCAGCTGTAGCCAATTGTCTTTTAATGCAGAATATTCAATTTCAAAAATCTGATCACATTAAGTGAACATTTACAGTGATGATGAATTTTATTTTCCATTTTCTTTCCCTGAATACGAAAGAAAAAAAATTGTCTCGTTTCGTTGTGCGCAAGTGTTGATTGTCGGTCTGAGCCATCACCTTTGTATTATTCTCGTTTTCTCTTGTCTTTTATAAGCAAATGGCGATTCCGACGGCGAATGAAAAATTTGAATAAAAATAATAAATTTGCTTGATGCCAATTAATTATTTATTTACGGGCCTTTAAATTGAAGAGAGCAAAAAAAATATTAAAAATTATGCTAATTAATGCTTCATTTTGTGAGAAAATAAATGTTAAGAATCGAAATCTGACGCAACACAATTAAATAAGATTTTCGATGAGGTATTGAGTTCTACGTGTGTGAAAGAAGTTAAGAAAGTAAAATAAAATCTAAGCTAATCATTAATTTATGACCATTGCCACTTGTTCCATGAGAATCAAAATCTTTTGAGGGCTGAGACGTCTAGTGTTTTTATAAAATATTGATGTTCTGCATCTCTTATGTCGATGTGGCCTCATCCCAAACAAAATATTTACTTTTTCACTTTAAAATATTTTCTCCTTCTAGTTTAGTTTCATTTTCTACCTGACAAGGTCAAAACTGTTCGACTGTTGAGAGCTATTGTGCAAAAATATAATTTTCATGTTCTTCTTATTTCAATTCTATAGAAAAGTTGAAAGAAGTTTTGTTGTTCAATTAAATTTGAGACAAATTCTTGTCGTCTCTGAAATTGGAGCCATGTGATGAATGTCTCATTCTCACCTCACCCGTAAATTTTACGCAAAGACCAAAATGATGTTCTCCAAAATAAAAGTTCTTAATTATTTTTCAATCAACTAAACCCTGCTGCATGATATTTAAGGAAAGAAAAAAACTGTTAAAGTGATCAAAAGAATCAATAAATCATAAAGACACCAAACAATGACTCGATGGGGAGTTCACTTTTTGTATGTTCAATTACTATTATTTCTCGAAGAAAAAAAGCAGACTATCATTGTTGGTAAAATATATGGCAATTCGGAAGAAGTGAAAAACACAATTTGAAGTCTCGCGCTTGACTTTAACTATTATTTTTTTTTATCATATTTTTTCTCTTCTCAATATATCGACTCTACATAATTACGGCCTCGACCAAATAAAGTGTTGAAAGAAATTTCCCTGCTCGCACATCAAATCAATGGCAAGCTGTGAAGTTTTCAATAATGCGAGTTGTTATTTATTGAAATTTAGAAGTTAAATAAATTGATTTCTTAGGTTGTTGGAGTTATTCACTCAAAAAACTGAGAGTTTTAAAAAAGAAAAAAAAATTAAGTTCGAATTTCTATTAAGTTTCGTTGCGTGCACTTTCGCATTGAGCTTCCTTGGTCAGCTGTCATCAAATGATTAATTATTTTTTAAATTACGTAATAGTTGGGTGTAATTGAAAATTTGTAGATAAATAATGGTCTTTATCACACTTCTTCACGGTGGTTGATATGTACACCAAAAGAAATAATAATAATGATTTGAAATATTTGTTTCCAAGTACCGCTGTCTCTCATCAACAACTTTTTCGCTTTTTCAATGAGCTGTAATAATTCATCGGTGTGCGGTCTCTTCTCTTAAATTTCCATTTCAATATATTCATAATAAGCCAATTTAAATCATTTGGAAAGAGGTTCAAGAAGATTTATTATCTTTCACACCAAAATATTGCTCATTGGAAATCAATCAATTCATGCATGAAGTGTGCAAAAATGACCATTAAACATGGACAGGGCAAAAGTGATAATTGATTTGAAGATAAAATCGAAGATGTCAGTATGAAAGCTTTCAAATTTGACAGTTTATAATAAAATTAAAATTCTATGGTGAAAATTGAAAGATTTTGAAATGAAATGAAGCAATACAAAAAAGTATTTACAACATCAAATAATAATCAAAGTGTCTGATAACAGAAATATTCGACATCAAATTGAGTTAACTGTTAATGATTATTGCCATGTATAGCTGATTAAAGGAAATTTGTTGATAAAAAGAATTGGTTGGTGGGTTGTCGTATTGATAACGTTTTTATATATGAAAGATTTACACGTCTGATCATCAGTAAGCAGAACGTCTCTGATCAGATCGTTGCTTTTCCTTTTGTACCATCAATCACACTAGCAAAACAATTGTTAAACAAAGATAAATCTCACTTTCCAACTAACCCATATTTCTTTCATATCTTACAGATTTGCCCACTGAAACTCGTTGCACGTACAAGAGTTAAAAGGAAAATTTGAGAGAATAAAAGTGAATTTATAATCAGTGATTTGATAAAAGAAAATAAAAAACTAAACTTTCAGTGACTCAGCTTCTTGCTTAACCTTATGAGTGCTTTTGACTAATTAATTTATCTTAAAAACATATCAAGTGAAGGTGAAGACTTGAAGAACAAAGACATTTTTATAATGAAAGTTCATCAAAGTGTATACGTTTTACAATAATAATAGCAAAGAAAGATAGAAGATAGAAAAAGATTTCATTTTATAATCAAAAAATAAAAGCATCAAATCAATTTTCTTGGAAGAATCTGAGAAGTGACAATGGATATGACATCGACAGCAGAAGCAAGTCGTTGGTACGGTAACCAGAGATTGCCTGGATCACCCAACACAGCCTTATCAGCACATCAGAATGCTGGTGGCTCGGCTGGGGGGGTCGACGCTTCAGAAATGAGTGCTTATTATGCTTTGGAAAACAGCAATGCCCATCGGAGATATTATTCGGCAGCTGGTTACAGCCCTCACAGTACGTACCACAAATGTTATTTCTTTCTGTTTCATTTTTATTCCTGCAAACATCTCAATCGTGAAGTGGTTTGCTGACAGGGTGTGTAATTAGTTGGAATCTCAAAGTGTTCAAAACACTTAAAAAGCACACTTGAAAGAAGATTTTTAAGATGAAAGAAAGCATAAATAAAAGGATCGTAATGTATATATGTAGGCATACGGCAACATCTAATAATTATTGACATTTTCTCTTCGTTTTCAATCAAAAGATCCCGAAAGAGAGTAAGAAAAAAAAATACTTTTTGCTCTAAATTAAATAATTTTCTAGTAAATATGTTTTCAATGGCTTTAACACGCCTCAATCCATTAAGAAAATAATAGTTTAATGTTATAGTTATATGTTAGTTCTGAAAAAAGAGGCAAAGAAAATACAAAAAATTGCAAATCATTGTAAATAAAATTCTAGAGAGAATGAAGAGAAAACTTTTCTTATAAATATTTATACGAAGAAATAAAAAATCCTTGTCGAAAGTTCTAAAGGAAAAATGTGAACTCCTGACAAAGCCAAAAACATTTTTATGAGGAATTGAATGGCACACATCAATGATGTGCCGGGGAGGCAGAAAGTCATTATATCACGAACATTCTTTTTTCTTCCTTTCCTCCACACTACATTATAGTTTCGTCTCTAATGACAAAAGAGATTAACATAAATTTATAGTCGAAAAATTTAGGGAAAATAAATATGGTGAATAAGCGAGTCGATTGAAAGTGTGAGCGAGTGAGAATGATGGATAATTTTCTTTTTTTATTTTATTTTGTTGTATGGCTATTTTCCGAGCGCATTTTTAATGACATTTTAATGATTTGTGTCTAATTTTTGCTGTTCTGATGAAAATGCTGTTTCATGTGACATAGACACAGTAATGGAGGATTATTTGATTTTAGAGAACGGTTTCAGGCCACAGCAATTATTTAGTTATTATATCTCGCGGGTTAGATTAACATCTTGCTTACCTTACATCACGATTAAGTTACGTGGTGTTTTAGTGCTTATCATGTCATGTATTGTTTGCCTTATCGAACGTATGACTGACTTGTTCGTTGTCGTAAAATCAATTTAGTGGAAAAAAAGTTTCCAAAAATTGATTTACAGCGCAGACCTATTAACTGTTTTACTGCTTTTGTGCGATGTTAACTTTAAAATAAAATCGCTTATCGCACCAAAAAACTCACCGATAAAACTTGTACATGATACATCTATTAAACTGCCAATAAAAATAAAAACAAATTTTATAATCAATCGCTTGTTCACTAAAAAGTTGACGAAATTAATTGACTGATATCAAACTCTGGGAAAAAAAGCGCTAAGAAATATGCCAGCATGGCAATTATTATTTGTGATTGCTTTATCAGAAGACGTTTTTATATGCGAGTAGAAATGTTGGGTTGACGTTACGATAACAGATATTCAAGTAGTTTGTTTTAATCTTATCGTCAACAAGAAATTGAATTTTTTCTTTTTCTTTCTACCCTCGAAAAGAATGTAGAATAAAATGATGATGATGATGATGATGATGATGATGATTAATTTATGGAATCGCTATAAAATCGGACTTTATTCAAAACACATTAAAAAAGAAAAGATTCTTATAACGTATCAGTTCATATAATTTAATTTCTTTTTTCGAAGTATAAAATGATAAAACATTTTTACGATCCATCATTTAATTACAACAAAAACAACAACAACTTTGAGAAATAAAATAGTTTTATATGATTTGTTTAATCTGGAGAAGCGGGAGCAATAAAAGGAACCTCGTCGATCATCAAGAAAAATAAGAAGGCAAAAGTAAAGTCGTAAAACATTTCTTCTCCCTATTTTGGGACGTTTGACTTGACATGTACCAGCTATACGAGTTCAAAAAAGGAGATGCAAAGAAATGAAATTAAAATAAAGATGTTTGATGAAATTCATCGTCAGATTCATCGTAAAATGGAGGGAATGAAATAATTAATACGAAGAGAAGTGAATATGAGAGTTATGGACGAGAAAACAGAAGAAATCGTTTCTCATACACACTCGAGTGAAATTTAATAACATTTTCCATTAAAAATATTAAACTTTGTTAGCGAAACAATAAAGGTGGAAACACGGAAAGGTGGCCAAGAAATGTGCGCCACTTAATTGTAGAGAAGATTTGGAAATAATAGCAAAGTTACTGTTTCATGCCCTGAAAAGCATATTTGTTTAAAGATCTTTTTTTCTGTAGTGTTGATAGATGTTTCTTATGTGAAAGCTGCCGATTTTGTCTGAGAAGTGATTTTAGAGGGATTAAGCACTTGACCTCTTAGAATATCAAGAAGGAACAGAAACAAAATCGGATTTCAGCTTTTTAATGGATCACGATCTAAAAAAAGAATTCCAAACCTTGAAGGCGCACAGGCCAATTTGCAAAGAAAAGGATTATAAGCAGATAATCCATAAAATACCACTTGAAACTTGAAGAGCCTCAACTTCAAAAACATAAGAAAACAAAATTTTATAAAATTGTAAAACAAAGTTCAAAATTACCTACGAAAGTCGGCTTTATCCTTGATGCATAAATACACACGCAAAGCATACCTTTTATGATGGTTATTAGTTGTAAACATAATGAACTGTCTCTAACGAGAACATTGTGCTAGTCTGTCTTTAATGAATATGAATTTTGCTTGCATTTATTATAATGTATGTAGATATATGTAAGCACAAGGAAAATAGAGAGAGAGAGAGATATTAAGAGACAGAGAGGAAGAGATGAGGAAGAAGAAGAAAAAAAATTCAAACAATTACTCAATGTAATAATATTTATGATGATGTGTATGTTGCAATTGCAATAAATATAATTTCTGTCTAGAGCATCCATTAAGAAGTCATTAAAATATCAGACGTTAATATATTTTTATGTTGTCATAAAGCGTCGAAACATTCAGTTACGAACACTCAAGAAGAATGCGTGGGTGATGAACTTTTTATTTACATTAATGATTTTTTAAAATAAAAACTTCAATTAAATTTTTTTTTCATTTCTGCTCTCATACCGTTTAATTGGAAAATTTAACAAAATTAATTTCGAGCAAAAATATTTTCCAAGTCAATGAAAAAATCAAAAATCATTCGAGAGAAAAGTTCGACATGCATAATGAATTTGTGTTTAATTCTTTTAATGTGCTTGATTTTTCAGTTTTATTTTATGTGGTTTGCTACATGATTTCAATAAAACTTTAAAGAAAAGAAGAAATAATTTACATACACACTCAACTCACGATAATGAATACAAAGCAAAGACAGTGTTGAAGCTTTTATTTTACCTTCTCCTTTGTTCATAAAAATAAAATGGTCGAAAATAATGTTTTTCTTTATTTTGTGTTTTATTTTTTATGCCTTGATTTTCATTGCTTTGCATATATGTACATCCTCAACATATTACTTATATGGATGAAGTCTTCGATAATACAACTTCGTTGTCGAACAACAATTCATCCAATCCAAAACATATTCCTGATGTTAAGTCCGATTCGATATCGTTTGGACACGCAACGCAGTCCCAAAATTTAATTGTGATATTGTTTCTTGCATTTTAAATTAAATGATCCTTCTGATTAGTACCACGGAAAGGAAAAATGTTGAACATACAACATGCGTGCTACTGCAATTGTTTCAAAAATAATAATAAAAGTAATAAAAGCAGAACAAAACGATCCAATCATTATTTCTCATTACGAAATGCCGAGGAAAACGTTAAGAATTTCCCCATAAAATATTCAAGAATTTTCCTTGTCAAACCTCCACAGGTTGTTTCTTATTTCATGTTTCTCTTTACTTTTATGATTTTATTTAATAAATGGTTATGTATCATTGGAAAACATTTACACACCAGCGAGCAAGAGCAATATGTGATTGAACACGGAATGAAACTTGCGTCTGATTTTATTTTTGTATTTTGCTTTTTTGTGTACACGACGACGGCTTTAGCTCGACATTAATAATTCATAGAATCGTCCAATACTTGCAACACGTATAAATAAATTAATAAACTCGTATATGGCAGACGAGTTGTGTTAGCTTTGTTTGCCGGGTGTCACTACTAGCATATCATCCACCTAATTGTTTCAAATTGAGTTTATTGGAAAGAAATGAAAGAGAAAGGAAGTGATTTGAGCTTAAGGAAATCGGGCGCCGTATTGGCTTCAATGTTCACAAACATTTTACATAAATCACATATTTAATTTTATTGAAAAGAGTCTTGAATGTTTTTCAAAAAAACTTCGATTCAAATTATGAATTAATTATCGCCATGCGCATTTTAAATCAATTCAAATTAAGTTTTTTTTTCTCGCCCAATGTATCGCGGTTGCTAATTATTGAAAGAAACAATTCGGAGATAAATTATTCATTTTAAAGCTTGGGGAAAAAAAATAATTGAATTATAAAGTCCAATCAATGGTGGAATAAATTAAAATGATTTGCGGAAATCGTAGAAAAATTTGTTGTTAAGATGAAAACATTTTTCAGTAGAAAATTGGCGTTATTTATGTTAATTAAAATCTCTTTCAGTGAAAATTCCTCCCAAACAGTTGGAGCGACTAAAAACGAAACGAAAAGCGCCGTCAATGCCCTAAAAATATTTTTCAGTCTTCATTTGAGAATATTTCATCGTCGTGGTTCATTACCAAGCGAAGGAGAAAAGAAGTTTTTTCTCACACTCAAAAACTAATAAAAAAAACACGAAATTAGTCATAACATTTACATAAAAATTACATTTCTTAATTTTTCTTCGCGAATCAAAAGATATTTCTTTTTCCATTTGGTTATGCATGTGAACGAGTATCGTACAACTTACTTGCTCTCAGTATCCTTGTTGGGTTTCATGTGAGTTGAAAGCTCTCACAGTTTTTCGTTATCTTAAAGCTTCTCAGATGAATTGTGACAAAACTTTCATGTCAACCCCAATTAAATAAAATGTTTGTCTTTATGATTATTCATATATCTTTAAACATCATAAACATTATTTAAAGCAAAAAAGAAATTCGAAGAGTCTTTGCGCAATAAAGAGAACGAGAAGTTCTCGTATTTATCATCAAGAAAGATGATGATGAACATTTTACTTTTGATATATGAAAAACAGCCAAACAGTATCAAATTTCACGTGAATACAAAAAAAAATCAACTAAAAATTATTCAAATCTAAAATAATATTTTGGAAAGATTGTTTCGTATTCAGCTTGAGTCAGAGTTTGAGTTGTGTAAAAGAAGCAGTTACCGTCGGGTTATTTATTTCCATTCTTTTTGACATATAAAACAGAAATTAAATTCATCAAAACTAAATAGTGTAGCTCAAAGCATTTGCGTCTTTCGGGGCCGCTTTCGCTTTAAAATAAACAATGAAACAATAACAATAAATTCATTCCTCATCTACAAGCGAAGTTGAAAAGATTACCTTCTTGTTTCTATGTATGTTTTATATATTTTTTGTTATGATTGCTTTTTAGTCTCTTACCAATCCATCTCAAGTGTCTTTTTACAACATCACTTGAACAACTCGTATTTATTTTCTTTTCCTTATTGTAAACTTTGATCAAAACACCTACAAATGTGAATCATTTCACAAAGGTTTAAAGAATTATTCTGTAATAAGAAGAAACTTAAGGGAAAAAATGAGAGTTTACCAGATGAAGAATGAAAAAAGTGCTGCTGCCATTTGCCTGCCAACTAATTAAAGACATTTGAAAATCACTCGTTTTAATAGCCGCCACCTGGCAACTCACAGTGAAAAATGAAATAAAAAACTTCTTAAATTGAATTAAAAAGTGCTTGAAAATGTTTTTTGAGGGGCCTGACTGTTTAGAGCATTGTTCCCAAAGGAGGCTCTCAAGATGCCAATAATAATAATAACAATAATAATAAAAAAGAAAGAAAAACGAAAAATCTGGTGAATAATGGCTTTTGAATGAATTGAAATAAGAGAAAGATGCTTCTGAATTTAGCTGCTCTGTTGCCTGCTTTTCATTGTCAATTTTATTATTTATATCATTCATTTGAATTTCAAATTGTTTCCATTTTTACTTTGTCTCCTTTCTTCGCGCTTTCAAAGCAAAAAAACATTTTTTTGAGGGCGATCGAAATAAAAAAGAAGTTCGTGTTATGTATTTCATTCATTTATGTTTTCTTCTTCGTGATGTCATTTAAATTTTCTATATCATTCTAAACACTTAAGAGAAATCGATTGATTGCACTACCTCATCAAATTTCCATCAAGATAACTTGAAAATTCCATGTTTAATTGACGTGTAATAATCTCTAATCAAAAATCTAAACTTAAGAAATTATTCATGTGAAAGTGAGAGCGACAAAGAATGTCAACGTCGTTGAGGCTTCGGTTAGAGAACCAAAAAAGCAGAACTTACCGAACTTTATGACATTTTAATAACTTAATTAGCAATTACATAATTAAATTCTTTTATCTTCAAAGTCATATCTCATAATATGGATATTTTAGGAAATGTTTATGTTTATTGATTATTCAGAGTAGAAAATGAAATCTATGATAGCGTCAGGTATTATTTTAATCGAATCAATCAATCAGACTCGCGCCAAGCGCAAACTCAACAAAAAATTCATTGACAAACAACTTTTTCATATATTTTTTTGCGGTCGAAGCGCGGGTGAGAAATTCATTCAAAAAATTTACATCTAATGAATGTTGAAGAGATCATTGAGCTCTTTGAGTGATATGATCTGGAATTCCAAGAACTATCTTTATTCACAACAAAAGCATCTTATTTTCTAATTGATAATTTGCTTCTTCATTCAACTCAACCGACCGACACATATGAGTGTATTTATGTATCTGAATATGTATCATTGAATGTCGCTAAACTTCTGAAACAATTTGAACATAGTGAAGTCAAACAAAAGCGCATCTCTTCTCATGCTTGTCTCAGTTCTTAATAAAACTCATTCGCTTCTTATGACGAGAATCTGAGCGCCAAATGAAGAATTCTTTTTTCTTCATCATGTAGTTATTTGATTCGCTTAATTAAACAAGATATTTGAAACTTTAAAGAAAGAAAGATAAAACTTCTCATATATTTCTTTTATTTTGGTTTTATTGTTGAATAATTTAATTTAAAAAATCGTACGAATGTGCAGTTGATGCAGATTAAGGAAATAAAAAACTGCATTTGATAATAAAGGAAAGAGAAAATGCTGCTGCAGAAATATATTTAAGAGAAAAAAAAATAAGTCAACAATGTTTCTGTGTGTAAGCACATTTAACCCAATTTCCAGGAAATTTCATCATAATACAAAACAAAACGATGAAATTGAACCTCGCTATGAAAGAGAGAAGGGAATAAAACAAAAAGCTGAAAGATTAAAGAAAATAAAGCGAGGATAAAATAAAAACGAATGTAAGAAGGAAAAGCCAAGTTGCATGATAAATATTTAAATTGACGATGCACTTTAAGTTGTCTCATTAAAACCCTGATGCAGTTCTCGTGAGGTCAATTCATTCTTTATTCTTTCATCTCTCAGGAATAGGAATAGGAAAAGCTCGTCTTCGATCGTCACCCGCATATTTTCATGTTTTCTGTCCAGTTATCAGTAATTTTTGTCCATGGTCAATGTTTATGAACGCGTTTGCTAATGGGCACCAAACAATTACGATAAATGTTTTTTGCATTAACATAAATTCCATATAAACATTGAAAATATGTTTTATCATAAATATGACTTGCGGTGAAATTTATTAAAATTGATCATTATGATTATTTTCGCATTCTTATACGTACGTTCATGTTTTAACCGAATGTTGTACATATTCAAGGAATATGAGGTGCATTTTTATTGCTTATGGAACGCTTTTCTCTTTGAATTGATCGGCTTTCCATCAGCAGATTCTGATGGTTCTTTCTCTCGTTCTTGTTCTTGTTTTACTTCAGACACAAGAAATCCCCAAAAAATAAAAAGAAGTAATTTTGATCAAACATAATTACAGGTTTTAGAGAGAAAATTGCTTTTCTCATGATCAAGATGGAAATAAAAAATATACAAAATGTTATGAATGAAAGGAAAGGAGCAAGAAGTCCCAAATTATATTTTATTAATAGATTTTTTTATTTGATTCTTGATTCATATCTCGATTGGGATTGTTGGCTTCTTTTCATTTTATAGTCGATGCTACTATACGAACAAATCTCGCAGGCTTACGAAGGAAATTATTAATGAAACCACAATGATTATGTGATTAAGTGTAAATTGAATACATTTTCCTTCGTTTCGTAGATACGAACTGATCGTTGATAAATAAGAAATTTGAATTTGTTTCCAATATTTGTGGTCCAAGATGTGATAATTTAATTAAACGATCAAGATTCGTTTTTGGGGAATAATGAGCTTGTTACGTCATTGACAAAGTCGTAAATTTCTATTCCACGCGGATTCATTTTATTATTGATCAATAAAAGTGGCCTTATCAACACTCTTTTGTTTCTTAATTAGTGACAACATCTAGTTAACCGATCGAAATAAACGTAAAACGATAGATTTGTGATAAATATTTAAGCAAATTTCGTGAAAATTATCGTAAACTTTACATTCAAATTGCTTTAAAAATATTTCTCTAGTTTCATGTATTTAAATTTTGATATCTTTGATAACTTAATAAGCGTACATTTCCAATGATGTTAGCTATGACAAGTTTTTTAAGTTAAAACTAAACTTCAAATTCTTCTTCCTTCCATTCAATTTAATGATTGATTTGTTTTAAACTTTCGAAAGATATTCCATTCTTATGTGTCAATTAAAACTTCTTCTTCGTCATCATTTTATTTTTCATGAATGGATCATCAACTTAGAAATATCAAAAACATAATTCGATAAAATAAGAAATGATTCTCATTCGACATGTATATTGATATACGACATAAAATCACAATATAATTTTGAATATGATTGAACGTTTACGTCAAATGTCTCATATCGTTGTCTCGTGATAATGATGTTAAATTCAAGCACAGAAATTTATTTTAAAGGTGAATAATTATCGAGAAAGAAAAGCAGAAAGAATGAATAAAAAAACTAAACATTTCGTTCAATTAATTGGATACAAACAGGATTGACCACTCATTGACTCTCAGTTCGAAGTAGTTATCAGCTGTTGAGTTCGTTGTAAAGCTTTGATTGACTAAATTGAGATTCAACACATTTCGAATCGAGTCGATGAATATCTTGATGATGATTATCGCTTGAGAAAGTGAACATTTTAATAAGAAGTGCAAGCAGGTCAACATTTATTTTACCTTCTTTGCTTCTGCTTGTTGCTGTTCATTCGTTCAACTTAAAAAAAAATAGAAATTGAAGAAATAATAAACCATTCGATTCAAATAACACAACGTATTGGGTCCAACACACATGTCAATTTAAAATTCATAAAATGCAAGGAATTGACACCTATCAGGAGCGTTTCTCGCGATTTGCTGTTTGTTGAAGTCACTTTAACGAGTTTGTGCCTAAAACTTCAGAACTTTTTCTTCGATTCACATATATCTAAAGATAGCAAACGTTTGATGGACATTCGCAGTCTATCTTCATGAAAAATAGTTAAAGGAAGCTTTACACATGACTAACCATTCCAATGATAATTGATTGCCTGCCTTACTGATTTGCTTACAATTGACGATTTATTTACGACTATTCCTTCCTTTGACGTTTCATCCAATTGAGTGACAATTTCGATTGCAAAACCCCAGTGCGCATTGCACATTAAAATGATTTCGTACATCCGTTGCAATTGCATTTTTCAACAAGCTTCAAGCGGTTTCAAACATAAAAACTAAGAAAGAAAAAGTTTTCATTGAAACTGCGAGTACAAAATTATGCAATGAAAAAAAAATCTATGATGCGAGTGTACTAAATGCTCAGTCAACATAAAAATAAATTAATGGCAAAAAGCTTTTGAGTGAAAATTATAACAATTAAAGCCTATATAGCACATTATGGAACATTGCATAATTGCAATGATGAATGAGTGGCATTGTGATCGTTTGAAACAAATGTTTAAGGCGTGCAAAATCGTGGCATGTGTGCGCGAAAGTTCTCAATAATATTGCGTTGTATTAGTTGAGTTCAAATGAAGTAAAATGTAAAATAAAAATAGCAAAAAGCACCGTGAATCTCATTACATGGTCGTTAGCGTTAGAGAGTTAAAAGAAAATAAAGAAAGAATTTTCATAGCGTGTCCAGTTCTAAATGTGAAGTCAGTAATTTCATCAATTTTCCTTTTTTCGAACAAACGGTCTTTTAGGACGACGCTAAACTGGAGTAACGCACCTTTATTTACCCAATTTTGCTTCCTTTATTTGTTTTCCAAGCGTTTTTCACACTGGATGAAATCACACGCCACAGAAAACGAGCTCCACAAATATTTCGAGAATTCCACAACACGACAAACAAAACTTACTACTTCAAACGCTCATGCAAAGGTGCTTTTTATGGCCGATGTTATTTTATTTCTCTGTTTAGCTAGTTCTTTCTTCTTTTATTCAATTAACGTCTCATCAAGCTCACATATACTCACATAAAAAGCCTATGACATGAAATGGCTCCAATTTCACTTAATTGCGACGCAAACAGCACAAAATCACATCACATTTGTATGTTATTCAATTTCGTCGAAATAAAAAATTGTCATAATATTCCTACTCTAAATAATTGATGACATTCATGTCATGTAAAACTCATGTACTTACAATTTTCATGTCACAATTGCTTAGGAACCTATGCGTGTGATGAGGTAATGCGAAACCATCTCTTTTTCACTTCATGTTTCTTGTTTAACCGAATAATTGTGATTTAGCTATTAATTTGCTTTCTTTGTCTCTTGAAAGCATAATTTCCAGGAGGTCCCACAATGTCTCCGTTGAAGCTTCAAGGCGGCTAGTTCAACACTTTTTATTTCAATCGCAAACAGAATATTAACAATAAAAATTTATAATATTTTATTCTTGCAGTTCTTTTTTGCGTATCATCATAATACAGAAAAAAGGAACAATAATCGTTGAAACATTAATAATTCCAATAAAACTTTAACATTTTGTCTCTGGTTTTTTATTGAAGAAATATCAGAAATTTGAATTTAATAGCGCACACATATAAAAGTTGTTTTATATTTGAGAAAAAAAAAGATTTTTGTGGCTTCATTCGTCAGCTTAAACTTTAATTTTATAACAACAGAAGTAAGAAAATCTTTGCTACGTTATTTTTGAAATATCCCCACAACACAACATTTTAGTTTTATGATTATAATGCGCGAAAAAATAACTTCAACAGCCGATATAAACAATTGATTGTCAAAAATATAAGAAATCGATAAAACAATGAAAATTGTGATAAAAATTTCATAAAACATGAGAAGCATAAATGTGAAAAAGGAAGAAAAAATATTTTGAGATGTTTGATGATCGATTTCTGTTTAAAGATTTCTTTGTTGCATGTGTTTTGTATGTCGATACGATTGTTTTATTCTGTCTTTGATTGTGATCGCAGAATCTCTCAACGTTGCTTATTGCAAAAGGGAAAAGTCAATTTATCATAGGATCCAAGAAAAAGCTTTGCAAAAGAAATTCAACATATTAAATGCGACACATTTCTTAACAAGTTTTTATTGCACTCTTTAAGAAAATTCCTTTTCGCATTGTTCAATGATCGAGGGTTTTAAATTATTGAAGCCACACACAGACACGATGACGTTTTTCTTATCCTAAAACATATTTTAAGGCATTTTTTTGAATTTATTATATTCTGTTGGTTACCTTTTATCGATTGATACTGTTTTTGTGTGATGACTTTTTGAATTCTGACTTCACTTCAAGACTCAACTTTAAAATCGTTTCTCAAATTTTGATGTGACTCAAAAATTTTGTCACATTTTCTTTTATTTATTTCCTTGGCTGTTTACTGATGAGAAGAATTTCAAGTGCTTTTTTACTCGGCGCTTCTTTGTCTGGTTATGGCAATGTTTGAACTGCAATCTCCATCGTTAACTTCTTGAGGCAAAAGCGTTTTATGTATACCCAACGCTCCATAAATTTCAGCTCCATTTTTGTATAGCCTTTATGAACTGACACTTTTCACAAGAGCAAACAAACGTCGGGCGCGTTGATGAAGAAGAAAACTGTTAAATATAAAAAATGATGATAAAGTGGAAGAAGCAGTGTGAATTTTGTAATAAAAACCTGCGAATGAAAACAAAAATCGAGGCGATAACTAACAAAAGAAGTGAAGAGAAAAATGTAGAAATGTGCACGAAACAAAGGGAAAAGAAATTAAATAAAGAAATTAAATGCATTTTTACAGCGACGTTTGAATGGTGAACTCGGAAAGTTGTCAGAAACAAAACAAAGTCACAGTGATAAGATGGAAAACAAAAACCAGTTTTCATTTTATTAAGTACAACGTCTGAGTATAAACACAGAAACATTCACTGACTTTACTACTACTTTCGGCATTTCGCATTAATAATTCAGAAATATGAGATCAATATTATTCATGACATTCCTCTGTCTGCATTTCATAACGCATCAATGATCTGTAGCGTGCAAAAAAATGTCTGCATTCGTCATGATAAACATTTGAATGCGTAAAATAAAAATTTATATCACTTGACGCTGCTTGGTGTCGAAGAATGTGATTTTCATATCCGATAAAAGACAAAATTGATATTTTATGGCTTCATTCCTAATATGTAAGTGTCTCCTATTAAGGTGATCTGATTGTTGATAATTACACTTTTGCATTAATTAATTAATTAATTAAGTTGCTAATTAACTTTGACTTCTTTTTTTTTGAAGAACTTCAAAGCTTTGTGGATTTATCAACGGCACAACGAAACGCATGGCGCTTCACAGAACCCCATTAGAAACTTCCAAATTCTATTTTTAACTTAAAAATTTATAAAGATTATTAATTATCTCGGATTTCTTAAATAGATATGACAATTCTACTGAATTGACCATTTTCGACGACCACACGCCAACCAAACAAATAATAAACGAGAATTGAATTAAATTATTAACAAAATTATTCAAAGAAAAAGTTCTTTTATAATTTAATGACCAATAATTTGTATTCACCTGATTGTGGCATCATCTGCTGCTTCAATTTAACAATAATAATAATCCGTTAATACATGTGAGTTGAGAATTTTATAATCCACTGAAACTCCCCAATAAAAAGCACACCGTGCAGAGATTACTGGAGACAAACAGGCTACCACATATCTCATAATTTTATTACACAAAATTTCATTGATTTAGGAGACCACATACCACCAATCACGATTCTTATTCCACATTATTCTGTTATCCAACTCCACTGGAGTCTTTCATGGACTTCGTTTTTTATTTCTCTCTTTTCTTTATTCTTTCTCATTCATTTAAATAAATTTTATACAAAAATTTTATGTATTAGCGAGAGAAAACGTCTAACAAATAAAAAGTTAGATATCGTTTCTGTCGTTTGATATCGTTAACTTTTATGCAGTTTTGCAACTTGACAAATTTCAAATGCAAAAAAAAGGAATGTAAAAGTCTAGTTGTACATATTTTTATGTCTTTTAATTAACTTGGGACTTAAATTAAAATATGTTTTATAATTCATTATTGCGAGACAAAACTTTTACGACGTGCGTGAGACTGTAAGCGCCAAGTTTAATTAATGAAGAAAATTTTTTGTGGCACTCATGACACAATTAAACTCAAAATCATTGACTTTAATTAATGCATTCATAATAAATGTTATAAAATGATTTCCGTTGACTATTGAAGCACCATGAACGTCCAATGATGATTCTGTTTGCTTCAAGCTCAAATGCATTTCTATTGAAAGCGATGTTGGTAAAATGCCATAAAAATTATTTGAATTTCAGTCAGCTCGACCCAAAAAGTCAGAGTAGATCGTATTATGCAAATATTGCCTCGGGCCGTTAGTTTTCTTTTATTTAATGAAATCATATCCCGGAGAGATCTCGCGTAGTCTATTATTTTGCATTCAACAATTGATAGCTGTAGTTTTTGTAAACTTTTTCTCTTTTCCATCAAGAAATCGAAAGAACTGTTCGTAGACCCTTCACAAGCAGGTGAAATTTCAGTCTTTTTAGTAAAGCAGCAAAAAAAACGTTCCCAAAAAAAGAAAAATATTTTATTCTCTTTTTTTTTGTTATTAATTTCTTTGTACATATTCATAAATTTTAGTTCCGTTTCTTCAAGATTGAGCAGGTGAATTATAACAAAACTGTGTGTCAAGAACCTTTAAGGGAGTTTTGATGAGACATAAGAAATTTATAATGTCGAATTATTTATTGGTTGCTCCATTTGGTGTTATAAATTGTAATTAGTCTACAAATAACATGTTTTTAAACTGCTCAATAGGACGCAAAAACGCACGATGCACATTGTCGCTTACAAGCAAAAGTCATCAGTTCCTGCAGCTAATGGGAAACAGACAGAAAACAATATTAAATTACAGCATTTTATTCGTGCTTTAATTTATCACTCGATTTGCATTTCGAACATGAATTTTCCTGGTTGAATCCGTAAGCAAAAACAAAATATGTTTTGAGGTGCAAAAGCTTCCAAAAAACAAGCATAAATTAAAACATAAACTGATAAATTATGATATTTTTACTGCGAAATTTATCTTCAATGAATTGAATGTTGGAATGAATTCAAAGGAGGGACATTGAATGTTAATACTAAACTAAATAAAGAAAGAATTCGGAAAAAAATCGTTCGAAACAGCGCATAAGAAATCAGAATATGTTTCAATGTAATTTTCACAACAAGGCGTCAAGTTTTTTTTTCTTATATTTTGTTAATATTTTTAACACATATTTTCTGATGTTATGCTGTTTTCAAGTTGTTTTAAACGCAGCATAAAACATGAAAAACAGCAAGAACAAAATATACAAGGAACAAGACAGAACGAAATATGTTTTGAGACGAGCGATGAAGAGATGGACGCAGCGTATCGTAAACTGCATGTTTTGATAAACTTCCTTCGTTTTTATCGTACGAAATTGATAAATACACCATTAAGAGTCACTTCGTCTCTTCGATTTTCAAGAAATTGCTGTTGACTTTTGTCTTCTCTTCTTTACCAGTGCTTAATGCTTTAACAAAAGCATTCTTCCAACAATTATTCTTCTAAATAACTTTTAGCGGGCGATAAAAATGCATTCAACTTTTCACGAAAAATTTTATCACGATTTGAACATCGAATTCTTTTTGCTTGCATTACTTACTCTTGAGTTCATAAATTTCTACATATAATTTGGTTTACACGTATAATTTGAGATGTGATTTCAGCAATACAAAAGAGTATGTTACAATGAATTCCATCGACCAGCATTTATTTCAAAAAATCGAGTGAACTGACGACGACTGATAAGATCAACACATTTCAAAAAGAATTCAGAAGCCATCCAACCCTCAATAGAGCGTTTTTTATTCCGGGATTTTTTCACCCTCCATTCATAATAAAGATTCTAAAACTAGAAACCTCAAATCGGATTATTCCTTACACGTTTAACGTTTGGTACCCTCAAAGCAACGTGTTTCCTTTTTTTCTGGGTGTGTGCAATGACTGGTGTGAGCTAAGCAATGATTTTCCCAACTTTAACCAGAATTCAAAACGGAAAATGAATCGATTTTCTCACATCATCTCAAACAGCTATTGACACGACACGAACTCACTTCAAAGTTTGAATGACAACTACTTGAGATTACTTTTAACTTTTTTTTCTCCTTTTATCATTGTAATGAGATGTTTGGAGATTTCAATTTTCAATCCACAATAAAGCACATAAAAGATGAATGCAATGAAGTTTAAAAAGAGTTTTCCATTTTCTTTCTTTTACAATACAATATCTCCCATTGCTGAAAGCAATTCAAATAAAAGAATAGAAGAATGCAACATTTCAACAGGATAAAGAGTTAATGAGAGTGTTTTAAGCGGGACTACCTTTTCCTACATTTCACTTTGACATAACATATGGCTTGATGTTTAAATGGGTGCTTCGAAGTTCGAACAACACAAAGACCTTTATTTTTTTTTATATGCAGAGTGTCTATCAAAAGAGGTAAAAAGTGAATAATACAGTTTAGCGATTTTATCTCTAACATTTTGGAATTTCATTAAAAAATGGCCGAAGAATGGAAAGACTACATCCAGCTGTCGTTTATGTCGAGAGTGTTTCATTACAATTAGAATAACAGTTGAAAATGTTGATTGAAGTAGAGTAGTTGATGCGTGAGGATTCCCCCATTCGTTTTCTCTTGGCTTCATTTTCGAATTAAAATATAGCTAAATGAATGTATTGGTGAAGAGACTTCAATGCTAGATAGCTCGCGATTTAAGGTAACGCGACGTCATACTAAAAGCTTCTGTTGTGTGTCGCTGACGTTGTTCTTCCGTCTCTCTTTATATAAATTTTCATTCATGACTAAATTCTATGGTTATAAATCAATAACGCCTTAATATGAGTCAGATTATGCAAATGAAGAAAACACATTAAACGTGTTAAGCGATGTAATCAAAACTGCCAAAGAAACATGAAAGGCTTGCACTACATTTCAATTCGCTATTCATCTGATAAGAAGGTGTTAATTCAAGAAACCGAGTACAAGAATAAAGAAAACATTCAATCGACAAAACTATGTATTTATTTATTGTTTTGTTTGTTTCATGTTGAAGCACAATTGTACAGGATATTAAAGTTAAAATGTAAAAGATAAGAATTTAAGATGTGTTTAACTCATTAAAATTATCATAATTGCACTCATCGAACGAGAAAAGTAAGCATTATTTGCCCTGCCAATTGCATTATAATTTATAGTTTAACAAGATCTGAATTGCTTTTATTTTCATTATTAAATATTTACAATCTTCCTTCATCATGAAATAAATAATTACATAGCTTTGGTAGCGATTGGTTGATTTCGTGTGATGAAGACGTCTAAAAGTTTCTACATAAAAATATATGCAATTATATGATGAAATGTCATCTTATTTGCAGTAGTGACCATCGTCTTATCCTTCCATCTTCAAAACCAACAATTATCGGAATTAAACACCGAAAACTGACGAGATATAATCCAATCTCAAACAACTCTTTCCTTTATCTTGGTCATGCACAGCAAATTGATTAATTGAATACATAATTGTAAGTGTGGCGAGAGATATTCGAAGAGTAATTTTCGAACATTTCGGCAGCAACAGCAGCAGCAAATCGTATGTGGAAGATTCTTCCAGCACGATTGTATGGCTTATCGAGATCAAATTATATTTATATGAATAAGGCATTGAGAGCGAATAAGAACCACGTCTCAAATGGTGAATAGTAATTTTCAAATCAAATAATATTGTTTATCGGAGAAAATCGTCCCGAACTTGAAGAGTGAAATTACAATGGTAAGCACACAGCAAGATGGAAAATAATTAAGATATCTAAGGAGATTTATCTTTACGAATGTGGATTTACAATGATTTTTAAGCTTCTCGAATGGATGTTCACTTAACCATCGTTGCTTTCTTATTTCGATCAGCAGGTTATTGTAGGTTTATATTTCAATTAAATATAATTTCGCGAGTTGATTACAAATGCTTTCTTGTTTACTGCTTCGCTTCCCATTTTTAAGCTTTTCAACTGAATTGCATCAGCAGCAACATTTGACTTTACACAGCACAGAGAACATCGGCATGTAGTATATCGGTAATCATTTCTACTGATTTACCGTCCATAAATCACTCATAACTTCTACATGAACGAAGCTCAACATCCGCCGCTTGTGAGTGTTGCGTTTTACTTCTGGCTTAATAGAGATTTATAATCCTTTCTTATCCACGATTCAACAGCAGTTTTGATACGCGCGAATCTGTTATTATCATTATTATATTACATTAATCAATAATTTTCCATTCTCTGTTCGAAATTCCCCGCAACAAGAATCCATCATTTGTCGGGAGATCGATTACTTGCTTCTTGATGCAAACTGGTGTTGTATATTCTTCGACTGAAGCAGCAACAGGATATTTATGACATGAAAAAGACTGATATCTACTGCTTGTAAAATGTTAAAATAATTGGAGCTCACAAAAATGTCTCAAAAATTTTGATGCCAAAAGCAAAAATCGAGAAGTCGTTGAACTGTTTGCAATTCTTACGATCATCATCGAAGACACCTGGTCATGTTGTTTTATTTTAATTTAGTCATCATACACACATATTTTGAATTAATTTTCTTCTCATAATAATTATGAAGCATTGGAAGGCATTTAAACTAACAAACAAATGATAAGCAGCACTACTATTAAAGAATTCAGCGTTGATGATGTCAAGATCTCATGTCTTGATGGTGGAGAACATTTTGTTTTGTTTTAAGCTTGAAATTGTAGCAAAAGAAAGATAAATACTATTCGCATGTAAGATTTTCTGATTAAGATTAGACATCAAAAAATATAACTCTAAGCAATATATTTTAATAACACTTTTCTTGGTTGTTTCGCTTGCATGAATCTCAAGGCGATGATGCAAAAAAATAAAAAATAAAAACCAGTAAAGAATTGTGCACAACACAATGACTAAGATTATCCGAGCCTCTCGTTTTTCTCTTTTCAATCATTGTAATTATTATGATTAAATTTGTATCGATTGCAATTTCTTTTTCGCTCTCTTGTTTCATCTTCGAATACCTCAACAATGTGTTCGCAACATGCCAAAGAGAAAGAAAGTCATTCAATTGTTTTCGATACTGAACGAGTCGTCGGATAAATAAATGAAGGCAAAAGTCTTCATAAAGATAACGATTTTGCGTTGATCGTCAATAAATATTATTTATGAAGGCATCTCATTCTTCGTCTCTTCTTCTGTGTTTGGCAAAAAAAAAATTATTTAAACGATGGAAAAACAACAGTAAAATGCTGTTGGCATTTATGTGATGTATGGATGGGCTCGTTCGGTGTTTCGCCTCTTAAGCGTTGCGGGGAGATTCCAATATTTCATATTTCCACCTCGATTAGGCAAACCTCACTTAAAAACTGTTATTGAACGTTGAAGAGAGAGCCTTAGGATGTGCAGTGACGTCCAATGAATGATAATTCAAAATTACCCAAGTCGATATACTGGGTGCAACTGGATCAATAAATATCCCGAATATCTGTAGTAATTTTCGCTAATTTTTCATTTCTTTTTTCTTCTTTTCATTGCAGCATCAAGAATGCCCTCGTCGCATGTCTCAACGCCCCAAGTGTGTCGACCACATTTTCATGCACCATTACCGTGGTCTTTAAGTGATCCACCTAAGCCATTAACATCGGGAAGTGCTTGGGGATCACCTTTCGCTTGCCCACAAGATCCGCAAGATAGCAAACTCGTTGGACAACTTCAGAATAGTCAAAGTGGTAGTGGACAACATCTATTCTCGTTTCCACCAACTCCACCAAAAGATTCAACCCCTGACTCAGTACAAACCGGACCAACCGCCGACTACCAAGCCGCTGTTAATGTTTTTATGCATCAAGCTCAAGCATCCTCAAATAGCCAATTGAATGGAACTGATACAAGTTCAAGTTGTGGTCTCGATGTGAAGCCTTGCTTATCAGGATCGGGGAATAGTGGTGGTCAATCGCAACAACCTCCAAAACAGCGTGAAGGTACGCACCAATCACAAAGTACTAATAGTCAAAATAGTAGCAGTAATAATAGCAATACAAATAGTCAAAGTCTAAATAACCATTCAAATGCATCGTCAGTACACAATGGAAGTGCAGGTAACAACACCACAACTGCACATCATCAACAACATAGTGCATTGAATGGTAGTCTTTTTGATTCAACACATCAAACATCATCGTACGGTGCCTACGAAAGTGGTTATCTCGGATATCCACAATCTACTAACAGCGTCTTTCAATCCAACATTCGTTCGTCGGGAATGAATAGCAATAGTCCATCATCCAACCACAAACCACAACGAACAAAAGCGAGAACAAGTGCTGGTAAGATGAAGACACGGTGTGGGGAATTTATTTATTTCTGAAGGGTAAAAGAGTTTAATGTCGATGATGTTGATAATAATAATACGATGATAGTTGAGATTTGTCAGACTGTTTCAATTAACATCATAATATCTTCAATCATCGTAGTTTATTCTCTTACCCTGACTTTACTTATTTTATTTTTTAATTTTTTTATTCAACGTAATCTATCATTTGGTTCTCATATAATTTTTAATACATTATGGTTTATTGTTCTATTTTTATATTATTTTATCGTCGCTGACCTCCCTTTCCTAGGATATTTTTAATTACGATTCTTGTTTTTTTCCCATTTTTGCCATAACGTACAGCGTAGCGCAATTGCCTGATAACTAAAGATTTTTCATTTAGAGTTGGGAAAAAATGAGCTTAATGGCTTAGCTCCAGGCAATGTTCAACGCACCATTTCTCACAATAATCGTTAGTGGTTCACATTTTAACACTCTTCGAGGTTTTCTTTCTTGTGCGTTTTCCGCGAAAAAAAATATTTCTTTGTGCGGTTTTTCCCCCCGATGTGTGTTATCATAAAATGGGCATCTCGCTGAAAGGGAAGCAAAGACGGTCATAAATAGTAAAAATCATAAACTCGTTAACTGTGTGCTGGGTATTTGTTTTTTACTGCTTAAATTTTTTTTTACTTACTTCAACTTGTTTTCGTGCCCACCCACGTACATATAACAACATAAGAGAAATAAAATTAGTTCAATGTAACTTTTTCCTACACCGTTCTTGAGTATTTTATTTTATTTCGTTATCGATACGATTGTGCGTCGGACACGTTAGAACTCAAAGCACTAAATGTACGTTTGTTTTCCGTGTAAGGTTCCAATATTTAAATGTTTAGATGTGGCACTAGAGAAGCAAACAATTGCGTTTTTATGTTCAATTTTAATTTATTTTAATGTCAGCAAAGCTATAAAAAAGCCTGAAAATTATTTATTAAGCAAAATTTTCCGGAACAATAAATAAGGGTTTTGTTGTTGGCACCTACCGAGATTGAGTCGTTCATTGATAAGAAAAAATTAAAGTTTTCGCTTAACTATTGTAGCTTTCCACACGATAGATGACTAAACAATATGAACTTCTAGAAACATTGTAGAGGTGCATTCGCTATCCGAAAGTTTTTGATCATTTGGGTCTCATTTTCCTTTTTATTTGTTTCTGATTCAAATTTAAATTCGAGCAGCTGATATTTAAGCAACATTATTCACGAATTAAACAAAAATTCACCTTCCCGCTCACGTTTGCAAAGTTATTTTACTTATTTCTGACGTATGTTCGACATATCTCCTTCTCTCTCTATCTCTCTTTCTGTCTTCAATGGCCATCACATTACGTAATGCCTTGATATAAATAAAGTTTATTCCGACAAAACAATACAACATTAAGCTCATTTAGAAGATACAATAAATAAAATTAAAATTCTAATAAAAATTATTCTTTCCAATGAATAAATTAAAAATGCAAACAGAAAAGAATCAACTTGATTTAGCATACAATTAAATGAAAATAGCGATAGAGAAGAACAATACAATTTGAGGGTATTTTAAAGTACATTTGTCCATCAATCCCGCGCGCTCGAGAGAGAAGAACAACTTTCGATGAATTGTTCGTTGAATGCATACAAAATTAACATAAATGGAAAATATGTGGAAAATAATTTCCATACGCTTGAAACTTTGCTTGATGCTACGCTAGAAAAACTCGTTTTTAATTGATTTCCAAGCAATAAAGTTCTCCCGCAGAGCTATAATTTTTAATAAATTGTGCAACGAGAACACTTAAACTGCGAAACAATAGCCAATTTTTTTGCCATATTCAAGGTTGAATAATTTAAAAGTTTTAATTCAGAAATTCTCACAGATCGAAATATCGTCGTAAATGGTTGTAAACTTAATTAAACAACGTGCTTAAGTGCACTCAAGAATTATTAAAACTTGAACACGAATATTGATGCTTCGATTGTGGAATATCTTATGGCAAAAGTGGCCACTTTGATGTGACAAAATATTGATAAAGTAAAGCGAGAAATTATGAAGAAGAGAATCGTGACATTTAAAGAAAACTTTAAAATATCTTTTGAGGTTCGTGGTGATGAGAATTTTCGTACATTAAGTTGAAACAATTAATAAAATTTCTCTATTTAAAACAATATAAAAATTCCCTTGTAAAAGAAAAAGAAAATAATTTGTCGTTTAAGTCAAAACATGCATACAAACACACACACAAGTGATCAAAGCAAAGAAAATTGCTTATTTAAATATTCAGATTAGAACAGATAATTCATTTGTGCTTCTATCGTGAAATCTAATCTTTCGACTCCGATCTGTGTAAGATTCTAATTAAATTGTTTTGTGATGCATCAGGCAACAGTGTCACTTTCCAAACGAACAACCAAAACAAAAACTGTCTCGATTCGAGATAAAATAAAAAGAAAAGAAATAAAAATTAAAACAAGAGACATAGTCTCGATAAAAAGCAACAAAATTTTGTCTTTAAACTCAAAGTCACAATTCTTCTCTGTGACAGTTTCGAATAAAAAAAGAGCCAACCATACTTTAAAGAGTCTGGCTCTACTAGAATTATTGTTTTATGTTTTACCTGCTTGCTACGGTAAAAAAAAACTTCCACTGGTCTCGCTAGAATTCATTTAAAACTTTTTCCATGGACTCGCGTGAAATTTATGATGTTCTAAAATGTTGGACGAAATTTTCTTATTCCCAACAAAATAAAAAGAAGAAAATGTCGAAATTATTTATGTGAACCGTTAATAAAGGGAGACGTACATACATTGTGTAACGTTATCAAGTTGAAAATTTCTTAATTTCTTCGTTGTTTAACAACAATACATAAATTTATGAAATCCTTCCCCATTCAAGTTACGAGAGCTAAGTAAAATATTTGTTCTTAGCGTAACATTACCGCCCAAAAATTTATTATCACTCATTTGAAATTTATATTTCTTTCTCGTGGTCATGATGGTGCTAACCACTAGAGAGTGAACCAAAGCTTACGCAGAATGTTGAGGAAACTGATTGGCATTCGCTCTCACGATTCGTTCGAATGGCTCAACCTTTTAATTTTTAATTTTATTAGTTTTAATTTAATTAACAATTTTTTTCTGTTCGTTTTTCGTTTTTTTCCTTTTCCAATATTATTTTAATAAATCACCAATCGTGTCTTTTTCTCTTAACCAATTCTCACAACAGCACAATAAATTTTAAAACAGCAAATAATCTACTCGATTCGAAAGTTAATGAAAAATTATGTCTTCGCTTTAATTGATTGTGAATCGAGTGTTAATATCAACAAGTATATAAAAGCTTACGATTTCATTGCATGGCAAATAATTTAGTGGAATATTTCTCTGTTGATTCCTCGATTCCTAATGAATATTGAGTATCTACATAACAAATTGAAGCAATAACTAACTTGCCACTAATTGGGAAATGTTTTCAATTTGACTTCATCTAAAGGCAGTGTGTACTTGTTAGCCAGTTGCAATAAAATGAAGCGTCATTAAAAGGAGTCATTCCCTTAATGACCACTGAGAAAATATCTTCACGACCGCATTTCATTGCTCCAATATGCTACTGAAATATTGATGAATATGGAAAAGTAAAATGTCATTCGCTTCAATCAACTATCAAAGCAATAAAATGCCTTCAATTTGTACAGTTTCACATTGTTGTTCCATGAATATCGTCTGACATTTTTATCCAACATTCAAACGATTAAATGTTCATCTCATTTCTTGTTTCAGTAGCTCGTTCACCAAAATCAGCTACAAGAGATCGTTATGAGATTTTCTTGTCTTGTAATTTTTTTATACAAAAAGAATCGTGTTTGTTGATGATACCAGTCGAGAAACAAAACATAAAGAAAAATGTCTTGGAGACACCAAAAGAGAATCTGAAATGAAGCTTGAAATTATTCAAAGTAAGCTCGTCGAGTCTTATGCATAAATTCATTTAAACCATTTTATAGTCAAGTGTTGCCAGATTCATTTTCTACATTGATGGTGATGCCACCTGAAGAATCCCAAGAATCACGTAATGAATGAAAATGAAATTAATTTTCCAATAAAATAAAAACATACAAAACAAACAAATACAATAAATGAATGGGAACGATGACGGTTCTCCATGACCATCGATAAATCAACTGTTTAATGATGTTTCCAAAACAAAAGTGACACTACAGAATTTCAGAAAAAAAGGAGAAAAAGAAAGAAAAGGTTTAAGAAATAAATAACTGGGAAAAGGTCTCCAGATTTCTTCCTAGGTTTCGATGAGAATTAAAAATCTTTTGTGAAACTTCTTGTTGTAGTTTAAAAGAATCATCATTGGTTCAACAGGTAGAAACGCCAGCATAAAATAAGGACGTTTAATAGACGACACGAAAGTTTTTTAAAACAATGAGAATACATTTTTATGGCTATTTGTCTCCTAACTTCAATAACATTGTCAGCATGTCTTCTGTCTGGTGCTGAAAATTTTACAAAAAATAATAATTTCTCGTTCCTACCGTCGTAAATAATTGCAAAATGTAGACGTCAATGACTCCAGAAAATAGGAGGAGAAGTATTTAATCCCTTTAGGTATGTTGATGAATTGCTTCCCTTATGACAAGGTGGAAATTTAGTTCAACAATATGAACAAAGTTCTCTTTATATCACTTAAAAAATTTGGAAGCCAATCAAAAAGAATTTTAAAATGTTTTCTGAATTTTTAATTCTTCTATAAAGATTTCTATCTACATATTTATTCAATTAAGTAGATTTGCTAAAAATGTTAAAATTCTTATCGAAATTTCGATGATTTTTACTAAATTTCTTAATTTATTACTTTCATTCATTGTGCAATTTGTTAACAACTCTGGCAACACGATTAAATATTTATTCATCTTTCGTTCTTGCTGGTTTACTTAACTATTTTAAATGGAAATTAATGAGAAAAAATCCTGATTACAAAAACAAAATTCTATATATTACAGAAAGAGGGAAAAGTTATTTTATGTACAACATAGCAATACATATTTATGTATGGCATAATTAAAATTTACACCTGTTTGTCGCTTGCTTTTGCTGTTTGCACAGAACATTCGACATCCCCTCGAATAATAAAGAGAACAGCTCAACTAAAAGTGTATAAATTTGTAAGAAAAATTATTAATATTATAAGAATATTTTTTTCTTGTCATTCTGTTGTGGCTTAAAGTTTAAATTGAGCTTCTATATTTGAGCATAAACACCTTGCCACGTCCCCGTCGTTCGTCCTCAAAATGTAATAAAAATGAGAAATAAATTCAGACGAAGAAACGAATAAATTTTAGTTGAGACATAAAAACTATGATGGGACAAGAAAATGAATAAAAAATTCAGGTGATGTCGACTGTGCGGCATAACCGCTCGCCAAAGAAATTTAATTGTTGAAAAATTTTAATTTTAATGATTTCGTCTTGGTGTAGCGAAAAGCACATAAATCTTCAGTTTGAGATCTGCTTTTCAGCGGAAAACTTATGATGTTAAGGGTCATTTAAAATTGTTGGAGTAAATTAGAAATTGAGTTAATTTAAAACGCTGAATGATTGCGATTAGTGAATACTTCCCAATAACTCACCCATACGATGAAGATTTCGAGGTTTAGATAACATCCAAGTGCAACTCCTCCTGTGCAAGACAGTTACTTCTATTCATCTTATAATTTATAAAATTAATTTGATGGAAAAAAACTATTTATTTAAATTTCAAACTAAGAATCTTCGAAGACATTTAAAACAGACTTTGTATCATTTTATCTGCATAAGACAAATTAAATTAGTTAATCAAATTAAAATCAATGATCACAATAATTCTTAAAGCGAAGCCATAAAATTAATACAGCTAATAATTTGCATGGGAAATCTTTTCGATGGAGATCGCGGACCAATCATCTGTGGATGATTTTTTTTCTGTTTGTTTATTTTGCGGTGGAGTTCCTAAGGACCGTACATAAATTAAATTATGGTTTTCAAAAGAAATGATAATAAGCAATGATTTATTGGTGAGAAAAAGCATTTTTATTAGCTGCGCTCTGCGAAAGACTCGGAAAAGAAGGAGAAGAAATTTAAATGGCGATGACACTTGAAATTCTGAGAAATTTGAATCCCACTTGGATTGCGCACACAGTCGAAAGAAGAAGATCATAAAGACGTTTCATGGGAATTTACCTGAGATGTGAGATGTGACTGAAATATTGTACAGAAAAAAAAGATCTAACAGACTTTGATGCTTTTCTAACAAAAATTAATTGAATTTATTTTATAATTTATCACTTTTCATGTTTTCTTTTTTCCAGAAGGTAGAGAATGTGTAAATTGTGGAGCAACTTCAACGCCACTGTGGAGAAGAGATGGAACTGGTCATTACTTGTGCAATGCCTGTGGATTATATTATAAGATGAATGGACAGAATCGTCCGCTTATCAAACCGAAACGAAGACTTGTAAGTATTCTAATTCTTTCATTTCAAACTCGTTAAACTTTCTGAGCTTTCACGAATTATTTCCCTTCATGTTTGTTGAGACAATTTTAATTAATTAAGAAATCAGCTTCTCAAAGAAGTAAAGAAGAAAGAGATAAATAAAGAAAGACTGTGATGAAAAATTTGAATACTAGATAAGAAGCTCGTGTCAGATTTATTCCAAACATAATTTTTGAAAAGGTTTTTATTATATTAAAACTTCTTTCGAGTGTGTGTCACAGAGCACAACTCAACAGAATAAATCTGGCTGCTTATAAAACAATAAAAAGCGACGTTCCCAATGATCATTGGCTTAAGGAAGAAGCAGCAAAAAAGTATAAAATCAATTTAAATAAACAACGTAAAACGACCAAAAACTGTCTGCTGAACAACTCTTCTCTCCACTAAGCAATTTATTTCTTTCTCTCGCATTTTGATTCTTTTTTTATATTTTGGTAACGAACCAGAGAAGTCATTTAATAAACACAAAATAAAACAAATTTTAATCTTTGTGTTTAACAAAATTTTAAATGGAGTTTTTATTCAAAAGAAAATAAATTTCTCAGAATGTAAACTTAACGAGGAGAAGCTACAGAGTTGACTCATTGGTGGCATACGTATGTGAAGAGTACAAGAGAAGATTCATTCCATAATCTGGCGCTATCCTATTAAGAGTATTAACATCTTCGGCCAGTGCCTTCCCTTTTGAATATTATACGCGTATCAAGAAACAACCAGAACTGGATGTTCAATTAATTGACTTTTATAAGAAGAACATTCTTGTTCGTTTCTTTATGGACATGCTTTTTGTTTGCTGCCGTTTTTTTTATAGATCTTCGCTGTTCTTGTGTGTCGTCTCCATGTAATAAATTGGATCAATTTTTTCTCCCTTTTTTTTGGAGACAATGCAAACAAAAGAAATCAGCAACAATTTCTCTGGTAGCTCAATTCCTACAATCATTTTTATACTAAAATCGCATCATATTGTAAACAAAACATTCATGTTTTAAGCGTGGATGATCTCATGACTCTCAAGCTACCATGAGATGATCCTTTTTTATTTGAAAATTTTCACATCGGCATCAGACAATAGCTTCCTGTCTCGAATTACTTTTTTTTATTATTCATATGTACATGTCTGGGCAAATTTTTTGTGTCAAATATCCATTCTCGTTCATTGATTGTGTAAATATAGTAAATAATGTAGAGACAACTTGCCAATAAAAAGGTCAAAAACCCTATCAAAAACCGTAATGTGTATCCTCAAACTCGTGGAAAATTTCGCAAATAAAGTCGATGTTTTGCATATAAACATTTTCATTTCGTTGCTAAACTCTGTTTCGATGGAAGGAAAGAAAAAAGTTGTTTTTAACGAGGTTTAGCCCCCTTTTGTATGACTGGCATGGGTAAGCAAGAGAGAGAATTTTTTAAATTTCACATAAAAATATAATATTGAATGTGCGGAGGGCGTCGATATTCGATTATTGAACAACGAAGTCAGTCGATCTGATGCCTTTTTTTATTCACTCGTTATTGTGTCGCGCAGGCAATTTTCAGTGTTTCGCATATTCTTCCCAGGTAATATCAACGTTCAATTTTGCAACAAATACTGAATAAAGTTTCCAATAGTTTCTCTTTTTTTTTGTTTTCTTCTAACTCGAAGTTTATCGCATGATAAAGAAAAATCAAAAAAGAAATCGTCAGAGAATGGGAAACGAGGGATGGTTGCATGAAATTGGTTGCTTTGAAGATGCATGGCAAAGAGCATCAATAATTGATGCCTTGAAGCTTACAAAATGTGTGCATTTATCGTGTATCGTCTTTTAAATATGTTTTTAATAGTAGGGAGTGTGCGTTAATTAATTCACATCTGAATAATTTGAACTGATTCTAAATGTAAATATTAAAATAAAACAAGTTTCATTGAATCGTATCGTTAAGAGAATACAAATTTTTAATGGAATAAAATAATTTAATGACATAATTTATGAAGCTCCCTGGGAAATGTAAGAAACATCGTCGATATATTTATAAATATCAAGCAAGAAAATTCGCTTCGATAACAAGGAACACTCAACTTCACTGTTGTTTGAATCAAACGCTGACGAAATAAACATAATAAATCGATTACTTAATTAATTATTAATCACCTTTAATGTTGCTCTTTTACAAAACTGCTTTTCGATTTCTTGTGATTTTAAAATCATTGCCTGAAGCATTTTTGCTCTCGGGAGGGTATCAATTGTATAAATTGGCGCAATTCCATTGAATTTAAATTTTATGTTAAGCAATTTCATTGTACACGCGGATTTATTTTATTTTATTTTTTTCTTAAATGCCCTTTCAATTCTTTCGTCATTTCAATCAATCCCCACAACTCGACTTTGATTCTTCTCAATCATTTTCAATAAGGTTGACTGTCTTGAAGCTTCTGCAATGAAGCCTCGTTATCTGGAGCTGATTGTTGCCTTTTCCGAATCAATATTGCTTTACTTGCATTCTTCTCTCATTCCCACGATTTTCATCTTTCCTTTTTCTTCTCGTTTAATTTTCCTTTTACTTCATTTGTTTTTGTCCCTCTTGTGATTACAACCGGTCACATGGTTATTCGATTGTTTTATTCACTTGGAAAGTCATCGTAAAAGTAGCAAACTAACAATTATATAATGTTTATACGCACCGATTCTTCTAGTGTTTGTAAATACATATTTTTATTTATTCTTTGTTTTCTTTAAATAATGAAATAACGATGATGAGAACATCTACAGGTGTATTTGTATCCGAAAATTATTGTCCCCCATATTTAATTTCTCTTTTTCTTTCCCATTCATAACTCCTACTATTTAATGAGCGATTAAATGTGGCATTTTTTCAACGCTTCTTCTATTATATCGTAAACTTAAATGAAGATGAGAAAACAAGTTCAACATGAGTCTCAGCGACAATTTTAGCCTGACTTTGAGCTCGATGGAAAACCATTGCAAACAATAGAATTTGCTGTAAAAAAATTCATAATTATTTAATAAACTTGACATTAATCAAGCTTTATTAAATTATTAAGAGACAAAGATTTCTAGAAAATTAAAAACAATTCAAGTAACTGCTTTTCAAAACATAAAAGAAAAAAAATTTCAATTGTAGCATTTATTTTGTGAAGGGCGATTAATGCGCGAAAGAAGACTCGCTGTTGTCATCATGTATAAAAACATGTAAAACTCACTTTTAATTGCACTGAGAAAATTAAATAATTAATTGTAAGGCGGCAATTTACTTTCAAATGAAGCTCTGAAATGGAAAATCGAGAAAATTATCTCATGTTAACGTTCTACCTACACATTCTGTTATGTTGAACATAAAAACAAAATTCTTAGCAAACTTTTACATTTAATTTAAACAAACATTAACACGTTCAATCATTATTATTATGATTATTAAAAATAGTGAAAAGTCGATAGAATAATAGACATTGAACAGATTCAAAATACATCCCATAAGAAATTTTGCTGATTTGAAAGGCCTCAATTTCTTTTTTCTATCAATGACTCGACATAAAGTCTTCGGCTGCAAGTTTAATTTCGAATCAACAAGATTGAAGAATTTTTAATCAAAATATTTTTGTTTGAGTACAAGCGATTCTGTCAATAATGTTGAGAAGTAACGCAAAATGGAAGGTAGGAAAATCTAGACACTCAATCGTTGATCTCAACTAGAGTCTTATGCTATTTGATGATGAGTGCGCATTCAAAGAATGTAAAACATATTTTTTGCTGACATGTAAATCATGAATAACGACATGGAAATGTTGTATAGAGCGATCACGATAAGCTTTAACTTATTTATAAACATAAATACATTTTTGATCTCACTCTGACAGATAAAATCATTTGACTTTGCAAAAATAATTAGCCAAAAGTTATTTTTGTGTCATGAGACTTATTACATGAAATCAGAGCACTTCCTAGAACGAAACGTTCTTTTCATAATTTGTTAAATGCATTCATTTAATTTATTAAACGGGCAGTTAGCTAATGATCATCAACGAAACTCGATACTTTAACATATCGCTGACATGTTTTGGAATTTTTAATTGCGGCGCCAAAAACTAATTTAAATAATTACGCAAAGTCCAATTAATTACCCGGCATTCTTCTTCTTCTTCTCCCACAAGTCTTAAGCACAAAAGATAATGAAAAAGAAGAAGAATTAGAGAAAAAGTCTTTAATTCTCATTACCAGATGTTCACATGATCCAATGAAATGAAGAAGAACGAAGACGATGCCAAACTCACACCAGGCCCTCCACCAAACATGTAGATCGTGAATAAAATGAAAACGAATGAATTGTTACAAAAGCTCTCGCGTTCTTTTCTGTGTCTTCGCAAGTTAAAGCAATAAATTCTCTATAAATCAACAAATCACAGTTCTTGGAAATTATCATATTGAAAACAACAGCACAGTTTACCAATGAAACATGAAAACAATTCTCAAATTCATTTCATTCTCTTTTCCATATATTTTTCATCTCTTAACGCGAAGAAGTTTTTTCATTCTTGCATATCACTTGAGTCTCCGGGAACTCTGTCTAGGTAGAGTATTGATAACTGGTACCTTGTGGAATTCCTTATGCTCGTATTAAAGCGTTGAGTGAACAAATTCTTGTAAAAAGAGAAACAACACCAACAACTTGTCCGTTCTCATATAATAATCCATGAATCACATTACTTTACTGTACCATTTTCTCTGCATCTCCTTCATCGTATAGTACCCACGCGCCACAGGGAACCCTTTCTCATATCTCGCTTTTTTATTGTTAAGAAATAAATAAAATTTTGAAATTTTATCACATTTTTCTCTCGCTCGACTCGGATACGTTTCTTCAGCTTTTTTTTATTTTGTTTGCTGAGATGAAATCTTAAACAAACACAACAGTTTACTTTGTTGAATTGCATCGAAAATCGCTCCTCCTTAGCATTTTAATGAACGCAAAAAGGACATTTCAATGAAATCGCAGCCGGGGGTGAGCTCAATTATCGATGGGAAAATATTTTTCTCAGATGCTTCTGTTGTTGTTAAAACTGATTGATAATTTATTAACGAAATTATTGTGAGACAAAATAATAAAAAAATCTCGTAAGAACATTTTGTGAAATTTCAAGTCAGCAGACAAATCGCCAATCGTTAAAGTCTTTTCCATACCCCATGCGGTACGATGAACGTAGCAATTATGTTAATTAACGATAACTTTGAGACCAGCTGAAGAAGACTTTTCATGTTCCCATATTTCTACCGCATAATTTTGATGAGCAAGACTTTAATATAATTCAATAAATTTTATGACGAAAACGTATATTTGAATAAATTTTATTATAATTTCATATTAAACAATGTGAACAAGAAAGAGAAGCTATCAAAAATCATTATTTTTTATTGATTTGTTCAGTTTGGATTGTCAACAAATTAGTGTTTAATCAGGTGTTTTGTATACACGACATCGACTCTTCTCTGATAGGGGCTTCGATCGTACGATAAGCAAAAATCATTTTCTAAATAATTCGAACTGTGTGGGAAACTTTCATCATAACATCTTCAAAGATTTCGATGCTATCAGGCTGGTAGCTGGTAGCTTCTTGAATACCTACGCCACTCGTCTTTAATAACACTCGTCAAAGACTCATAATTTAACAACGAATATGATTTATGTATTGATAAGAAGGCGGACTTTACATATCAAAGAGAAGTCATGAAAATTCATGAGATGAAATAAAACAAGAAACAACAAAGTGGAAACAAATTGGATCTGGCTTGATGCTTTGGTGGAATGAAGCTATCAATTTTCTAAACCAATAGTTTGGCACAAAATAAAACCATTTTACCAACTTCAAATTAACATTACATTATAGTCAAATAAAACATAAAACAAATATTTTCTACTTTAATTTAATTTCTGTTTAATGTTGATTTTATGCAGTTTTCTAAATACGTTGCGTCAAATAGATACGCAATGCTACGGTATTCAAAGGAAATTAAGTTTCATTATTATGTTCAGTTAACTCTTTCATTTAAAATTACATACTGTTCGGTCCACCTACCGAATTGTTTGTTGTTTTGTTGTTTTATGAATTCAATTCACTCTTAGAGAAGCTTTTGAATAATTTTCCAATACGATATGCTCGTTTTATAATCTTAATCGTCTCTGCTATTGTTCAACAAAGCATCAAACGGGATTAAAAAACAAATAAAGAAGTTTTTGTCTGATAAGAGTCGCCATATTAACAACGCATACATTTACATCAAATTGTAGTTAATAAAAAATGCATCTACCTTCAACGAAAAGTCATTAAATAAGAATTGTTTGGAGTTGCAAGTGCCCAACCATACAAATGTACAGCAATTCAAATTAAAAACAAGTCCCATAAATTAATTGGTTCAGGCATAATAATCTTTATTCGAAATTTATTTTAATTCGCTTAATGTAGTTTTATTTTTTTGTTTCTCTTACTCACACTTGAAACTCGAGATTATATAAATAAATAAATAATCAGATTTCCAATCCAATAAAATGTTTCATTGGCTTTTAATATGAATTAAAACATAACAATTTACGCTTGTGTGACAATTTTTTTCTTCGTTGCTTGATAACTCTCAACAGCAATAAAAATTCTCTCACACAAATTCAGTTAATTTGATTCCAATTAAACAAGAAAATAACTTTTGTTTCACCCACGCACGTTCACACTTAAGTGTTATTTTTAAGATCTCTTGCAGTTCTTCGTTTTCGGTCAGGCCATTGAATAGCTGTAAATATCTTGTTTATAAGTCACTTATAAAAACATTCTCATTAAAAAGCTATAATAATACAAGCTCTCTTCATTCACGGTGAATACAAAGAATATTGTGAAGGAGAACTTTAAAAGGCAACACATTATTAGGCATAAATATTCATAAATCACAAAGCGATCTCGACATTATTGAAAACATGAAGTTAACGCCATTGTCTCTCGTACAATGTTTCATCAAGTCATGTCATTGGATAGATTTCTGCAACAACTGTAAACAATGTCAGATCAATTTCCAGTGGATTTATGATGATGAATATAAAATAAAAGATATTTATTGACTAATTAAATGAGCGTTGATCGAAACAAAACAAACAAAATAGACTCGATAGAGACCTGTTTGAATGTTTGCTAAGAAACATTTATTTATCGCACGCAAAGGATTGTGTGATTGTAGCACATAATTGGTTTCATCAAATTATGTCAATCGCACATCAAAGGAAAGTGTAGATTTATCAATTTACCACGCTTTCGCCTTGACGCTTAAAATGTTTGTAACTTGTACGTTATGGACGTTTGATCTCAATTTCCATATTCAGAATGATTGCTTGAAAGATTTAAGCACAATCCATCGACTTGTTTCTTTCACGTTCACTGTGCGAACAATTAAAATCTTATATCGCTTCGCATTTCTACGCTCTTGAAGCAGTAAAATTAATGGATTGTAAGCACCTAGGTGGCCGCCACAGAGTGAACATGAATAAAAAGTTGCTATTCATATTTTGACACGGAAATTGTAGATAAATATCGATTTGACTTTTTATTTTCGTTAAAGCTAACCGGGAATATCGAGTCAGGGTGTTAAACGCGCACAACGACGACAACGACAATCCTCTAGTCAGCTATTTCCATTTTACCTCGCCACTGAATACATTTATAAAGAAAACTAGGGACGAGAGAGATGGAAAGAGAAGAGAGTGAAGAAAAAATTCCTGAATCATGTCAAAGGTTCGATTACGTTTTAGGAAGAAAAGCGACAACTAGTAACAACAAGCATTTTATGTTGAAAATTATGATGGCAACACATACATAAAATGTTTTCATTTCATTGCGCGTTCTCTGCTTTTGTCAATGTGATTCGTTTTCCGCGTTGTTTTGCGCGTTTTTTCATACAAGTTTGCTTTAAGCAGCACAACCAGAGTACAAGTAAAACGTCGAGTCGTGACTGAAATTTCAGTACATGAAAAAAAAATTTATTGTGCAAAAGACAAGAAGAACTCAAATTTTTACACCTCAGACTGATTCGAGACACACGGGGAATAAATATTTCAATAAATTATTATGCAATATTAAATTTGTTAATAGAGTTGCGGGCACACTTGAAAACATTTATTTCGCAGACTCAATCAAATATCCAATATCAACAGAATAGTCAGGATGGTGGAACATGCGCAAATTATTTCTCAACAATCAATCGACTACAAAAGCTTGACTGAACTGGAAAAGAATAATTAATGGTTCAAATAGCAATCTTTGATTCGTATTCTATTACATATTTTTATATGGAATTGTCAACCATCCCCGTGAAGGAGAAAAGTGAATGAAATTGAACTCATAATGATTAATTGAACGACTTTTTTGGTTGAAAACAATCTCATGTTAAGATTTTTATTCGCAGCCGAAACAATTAATAAAAGTTTCCCCATTGAGATCAAAAAGTTTATTTATTTTTGCTTCTCTTGTGTAGCTGTTGAGTTTCTGTTTTCATTGCTACGCACACTTCGTTTACACTTTCTTGGTTGTTATGGAAACTGCCGCTTCACCGCTTTTCCATATGAAAAGGAAAGAATAAGGAAAATTTATCGAATAAGGTCGGAGAAGAAAATCGATAATTTTAAACAGCAAATGCGATGGATTCTATTCAAGATTTTCTTTTCTTTTCCATGAAAATTGAAGCAACTTTTCTTCTCCCTTCGAAATTAAGTTTCGTTTAGGGCGTGGTAAGAGAGAAGAGAATTTCAAGTTTTTCCACTCAGTCAGGGGTTGCCAAAGGAATTCATGCGATGGGAAGTCATGAATGTAGTTTGAGTTATCGATACATAAAGAAGAATCAAATTTGATTGGTTGATAATTTATGATTTCATGTCAACATGATTTCGTTGTCAACGAGAAGAGCAGTGAAGAAGAAACTTGAGAAACGAGAATTTCTCAAGGTTGATACCTTTGTTGAGAAATCGAAAAGAAAGATTTTTATGGAATTTTGCACGTTAACAAACTACATCGATGATTACGACGGCGACAAGAGGAAATTAAAAGGGGCAGAGAATCCTAAAACAGATTGGATGTTGATTAAGAATTTTTTCTTACTTCCTTTTGCTTTCTCATTAATCGATTTGATGGTTTGTCTTGTCTTGTTTAACAAACGCCAAATGCTTCCTAAATGTTATTTTTTGATATTTTATTTTGCAACCGCTGACGTCTGATTGTGTGAGAATAACTTTTTTTCCTATCTTGGTCATCATCATTGCATGATGAAAGCTTGAAGAAAAAATATCGATGAAATCACCGCTAGATTGATAAGTGAAACAGATCGTTGAAGTGTAATAAATCTAACCAACGGAATGTCGTTACCTCCATGCTTCTGTTGAACGTTTCTGAATAATTAATTGACATCTAAATCAATTCATGATACTTCGCTTTTTAAAATCCTTCAACTTTAATTGGTAATCCATTAATGGGTTTGGGATTAATCATGGAAACATGCTTGATAATTTGCAATTGATAGACATCAAATGATTCATCAGTCAAGTCACAGAACGGCAGTGGAGACCTTGCCCGCCACACACATCTTCCAATCGATTTCTTTGCCATCATTCACATCGCGCTCTGTGATTGATTTACGAAAACTGTCTTTCCCATCTTTATGCATATTAAAAGCTTACATTCATCTCTCATCTTGTCTTGTGATTGAAGTTGAAATTCATTTTAATTAAGTTCTGGAAAGTATACTTTTCAAAATCCAACAGTTTGAGATATTCACGTCTTGGGAGTTTGCGTTCGTTCTGTTTATTGTACTTATTGTGTTTGCAACTTTTAAATGTAAATCCAAGGATGACATTTTAAACACAGAAAATTAAATGTGATGGAAGAAAAAATTTCAATCTTTCTTTCGATATCGACTCAACTTCTTCTGTTACTTGTTCTTGATTTGTTGTCGTTTAAATAAGTAATTTTTGGAAACGGAAAAAACATTCATTGTTATTTTCAATTGGAATAATTCCTTTTTGAAGTAACATAAAATTAGCATAAATATGTATATGTATGAAACTGCTTTTATTGTAAGAAATTTCATTATTTTCCAACTCTTCAATCTTCTTTCATTTTAACAAAAAGAAATTTTATTTGATTGAAGTTTTGTTTACGTCCATTTCATATTTTTACAATGCAAAGAAGAAAGGAGAAGGAAAAGAAATGTTTGAGCGGCAAATAATTGGAAATCTCATTGGATTAAGTGAGAAGATTGAGTTGAAGCCATTCAAAAATCATAAGGAAAAATAATAATATTAGATTGGCCTTCTAACAAGCATCACATTGTTGTATTTTACATTCGACTTCTTCACAATTTTGTAGGACGTAACTAAAGCTTATGCTCTAAATTATTTGACAAGATCTAAATCAATCAATATAATCATGGGCTTGCTTCCGGTTCATTGAACGATCGCATCCCAAAGAAAAAGATTCATCACAAAACTGAATTGTTGTGAATTGAAATCCCGAAATCAATTTTGTCTTTGCTCGTTTTGATTTCCTTTTTTGATTTTTTCAATGCTTATCCCACACGATAAGACCGCCAGCCCATTACACATTAATTATATATAATTTCACCATTTATCAAGTGTTAGAAATCAATTTTCGTTCGACGAAATATCAAGAAGTTCTCGCTCCTTCTCTCTCTCTCGTTTTGAATCTTTTCATTTCAACTTCTTTTGCTTTTGCTTCCATGTAATTTTCATGTCAAAATTAACGTCTTTCTTTGCGGTGGCCTAATCAGAAAATTCGAATCTAAATTTACCGAAAAATCACTTTCGTCCATTCTTAAGCGCGAGTGCCAAATTAATAACAATATAATTTCCTACTTTATTACCAGATTTGTGTTATTAATTTATAATGCGACCTTTTCCACAAGAGTTCGTCTCTTACATACGTAGTTAAACAGTTAGCAGCAACTCGCAACTTTCATAATTCTTTCAGGAGCGTAATTGTCGAAAATAAAAGAAGTCAATTCCGCTGTTCAACAACTCATAATTTTAACTCGATCCATATTCTTTCTTACCTTTTGTGCATTGTAGCCACACGAATGAAATCCCAAGAACAAGAACAAATCACGACAATAAGACATTCGATTACCTACCAACAAACTTTACACAAAAGCAATTTATTTATACAACAAAAATGAGCAAATGATTTTGTTAAAGAAAAAAAAAATAAGTCGAGGTTTTAATAAGCGTCGAAGGAAGAAACAAATTTTGTATTTCTCGAGCAACAATTCAACAATGACTAAGCAATAACGTCACATGATGCTGTGAAATTCATGAAATATAAAAAAAAATAAAATAAAGGCATTCTGTAACTCTTTTGGAAGAAGAAATGATTGGATCCTTACCAAATAGAAATCATGAGATATCAAAAATGTGGTCAGCTAGTTGTATAGTTAAGACATTCATATCGTCAAATCACCCACAGTTTCTCATAAATAGCTTTTAAATGTTTGTTAGGAAGAGATGAAATAAAGAATGACGCTTCAGAAAATCATGAGACGAACATATAGAAAGATTGAGATTTCATTTAATATGTAGAATCATTGAGATTGAAGCTTCAAGCTCAAAGGCGTACAAGCATTTGATTGAACGAACATACGTATAGTTTTCTCAGATTAAACAAAAAGTCAAATCAAAGAAGTCGAAATGCTTGTGCGCCCTTAACAATGTGTGCTTAAATGGCTAGCAAACATGTGTAATTCGATATAATAAATTTTCTCAGATCTCATTTGAATACAAAAAAATAAAAATAAAAGTTTCATCGGCATAATTGGATTGGAATCTGTTGGAAGCATCAAGCCGTCGTGGGGAGGGAGAAAAGAAGAATGAGAACAATATGTAAAATGGTAATAAATAAATGCATAACAAATTAAAAGGAAGCTAACATTCCTTTCTGGCTGTTTTGATTGTGGCTTTGAATTTGCTCAATTTTCATATTTAAGAACGATGTCACTTGAACTGATGTTAAACAATGAAATGAATCGTGTGCGTTTTTTATATATTCAAATTATTTTTGTCGCGATCCCAAAAATATTGAGTTTAAAAGCGTCTTTACAAAACAACAAAAAGAAATGCAAAACTTTTTAACAATCGAAGTTCATTCAATAACAAGAGATGAGAAGAATGTTATAAAGTCTAAAAATCACGAAAAATGTAAGAATATCGGCAGTCGAAGTTTTGCAAATTGAAGTAAATAAATCCAAATTAAGCTTAAAAAGAATTGGATAAGAAATAATAATGGCCACCCAATCCTCTGTCTATATTTGGCGAGTCAGAATAATGTGAGAAAGGAGTTCAGTAAAGTAACTTTATGCTCATTATGTGACCTAAACAAGAATGCCATGTTGTTGTGTGCTGTATGATGCTTTGTGTAAATATTTAAGATAGGAAACGCCATCTTATCTCAGAACAAATATCATTAAATTCATGGAAAAAATGTTTATATCTAGTGAGAAACATCAAGAACGATTAAAATAATTTTACACATCTGGAATGATTAGATACGGAAGTTGATGACCGTTCAAAAGTCTTTAAAGATTCATCGAATCATTTACACATCGACTTCAGATTTTAAGAAATGTTCGAAACACGCTTATCCAATGCTAAATGGCTTCTTATCGCATCTGATCGGAGCACCAATTAAATTTGACAGCTGGATAAAAGGAGAAGGGAAAAAGCAACAACATAACACAGGAAAAAATTATTCTGTCACATACACCTGAATGTGGAAGAAATATTTGGGAAATCGTTTCGCAATCTCTTGATTTTTTATCTGACTACCGAAATTACATTTTTTTTTCGATGAAATCTCTCGAGAGAAAAGCAAGGGAAAAAACAGTAAACAAGCATTGTGACTGTTGTATACAAAGCACAAGTGAAAGAACAAAAAGTTTTACTTGAAATACAAGAAGATTTGAACGCTGAACCAAATAAATTTATGTACAAAAAAATGTTTCCCAACATAAGCGATTTATTATCATTTTTAATTTTGTCTCGTTTCTCTTCTCTGAGCGCCTTTTTTGATACGCTTTTCTCAGTGCGTGTTGAGAAATGACAGCATGAAATCATTACATTTATTCAGTGGTTGCGTGGTTCAAGTGATATCAATATTAATGGCTCATGTGTTGTGAACTTTCTTCAAGCAAGAACATCTCCCGATTAATCGTCGCCATTTCCCTTTTAAGTGTTTGGCTAATTATTTCACTTGCCTTCAATTCATTCTTCCTTTTCATAGCACTTTAAAATAAATATCGATTTTTCAACAACGAACGTTTAACAAATTAAAGCTCAACATGGAGAGAACTTCAATGATAATTCTTTATACTACCATGGCCTCTTCGATGCTTCACGCATGCCCCAGAAGAAAGAAAAAAAAAGCGAATCTCCATTGTGAAAATTTCGAAATAGGGTGACGTGAAGTATCATTTTCAGTAGTCTTTGTGGCTGTGTGAATTTAAAATTTAATCGATATGGAAAAAATTTAAAACCATCATCATCGTTTTTACGTTTTTCACTGTCTCGAATCACCAAGTCGCGACTGCTGATGTTATCAGAAAGTCAACTCAAGAAGTCCTAATGTGTCAAACTTGAAACTCACGCGAAATAATCCGAAAGCATTCAGATCCAATCATGTTATAAATCTTATTAAATGGCTAAACGCTGGTGATAGTATCTGGTCGTAATAATCTATCTAATAATTATGAACGAGCGTAGTAAAAAGTTAAACTTGATACGAGTTGATCCGATGGTGTAAAGAACACCAAAGGCTGCTAACCGTTTTGGCATTTCATTTCATTCTCTTTTTGATTCGATTTTAGCTCAATGATTTGGGAACTCAACCTTCATTTACGTATACATCTACATTGCTTTGAATGAATGCATTGGCGGTTTTGTACGCATGATAAAAACCGAAATTAACTTTAACTATCGCTTGTTAAAGTCTCGTTTGATATTCTTATTAAACAGATCGTACACAAACACGGATTATGATGAATTACGATATCAAAAACCAATTTTTCTTTCTTTTCTCTCACTCATTCGTTCTCGCGATATCCAAATTCAACAAAAAAAAGTATTTATATTCCATCGAAGCATCAGTCTGCGTGTCCGTCATTTTTATGATCTAGCGATGTTCATGGAGTGTAAGAAGAGCCCACCAAATTGAAATTTTGATTTATTGTGTGTACTTTGGAGTCACATTCAGTCGAATTTTAATTCATTCGTCAAATGTACATGATATAGAATTTAAATCTTCTCTTTAAAATCCTTTTAAACACATTCTTTGACTGCTTGAAGATGATTTTATTTTTGACAATCAAAAAATTATTTCAATTGCACACAAAACTTAAGATTCATTGGCTTCCAACACCAAATTGATTTTCAATAAAGCCATGACTCAAATTCAAGTTATTCAAATTTAATTCATCAAAAGCAAACGTCTTAAGAAGCAACAACAATTTCAGTTAACATTTTTCCCCTTCTCGTCTGGTTTATTGCTGGGCAAAAGTTATCCATCTCTGTCATATCAAATGACATTCAAAAATATTTTTTTACTTCTTGCTTCTTTCACGAAATTAATTGATCGAACAAAAATGAGGCATAAAAAATGTAAGTTACAAGCATTTCGAATTTCTAAGGAACCTGAACCTGTGTGTTGTCCCATAACAGAAATTTTCAGATATAATCATGACTTGCATGGTAGAAGCCAACCGACAATGACGATGATGGGGAGTTTCAGAAGTCTCGTGTCGATTTTAAGCATTCGTTAACTAAGTGTGGGTGGAGGGAGGGGGGAATATCGATCGCATATCACATGGTTGACAAACGAAAACAAGTTACAGAATAAAAACGTGATAGAAGTAAAATTGTATCAGTTTGATCAACAAGTAAATTAACAATTCATGTGACTAAATATATTTTTGTCTTTATTAGATGCTCAGAAATAAACGAAAGAACGAAAGCCTAATTTTATTAATCATAAAATTTTCATTCTTCATTTTATTTTTTACAGAAATTGCAGTCACTTCAAAGTGCAGCACGGCGCGCTGGAACATCCTGTGCAAATTGCAAAACAACCACAACAACACTATGGAGAAGGAATCAAGGTGGTGAACCAGTTTGCAATGCCTGCGGACTCTACTATAAATTACACAACGTGAGTATTCATAAATTTTCTATTCTTACGCAATGCAATAATAAAGGGACTGTACAAATGAACGTCACAAAATTTAAGTTTTCCATTTGAAAGAAGAAAAGTTCATTTGAATGGTAAAAGTTCTTTAGTCAGATGTACAAATATCGATTTGAAGAAATATCGTCTAGAAAAATGTGTAAATGCAATGGAAATTTCTCCTCTGTTAGCATAAAATTAAAGGAAATTTATTAATTCCTTTTCCCTACGGTTATGGTGCTCATTACAATGAGTTAGCCATTGAAAATATAACATTCAGCCGGATATCCTTACAACACGGTGTAGAAAAGAAAAGAAAAGCGAATTTATTTCAATTCAACCTAACAGCGTTTGAAATCATTAAAGTTTTCATTAAACATTGATCTGATTTTTCAAAAAAATTATTCGATACTTAATTAGAAGTGTTTTCGAAAGTTTGTACCTTAATTAACCGTTACCAATGCCTTTGATACATATTTTCCAACTTGATTGTGATTTTAATTGTGTTTCCAAGCAATTTAATTCTCCTACACTTCATAAAGCTTGTTTCAAATGATAATCAATGAATATTTCAGAGATTTTGGAAGGGAGAGAAGGAAACTAACACTCTGAATGTTTATTCAAGGGTTGATGATTCGAAATCGATGTGATACGATTAGATGTAATGAGATTTCCCGAAAACGGGAAATTAGGAACGATTGAACACGTTTTTCCTTGATTTTTCATCTCCCATCATATCATTTTCACATTTCAACCCTCTTTTGACTTTCCAAATTACCCTTGTTGTTTTAAACATTAAAGAAAGCATCGCAGTTGTTTTAATTTATTGCTATTGCAAAATGTGTTGGAGTTGTTTCAAAGTTCTGTCATGATTCATTCTCTCTTTTGATAACTTATTAAACTCCCCCGCTTTGTGATTCAATGATAAATTTCTCTCTTAAAGATTTTGATATTGCAAATCCACAAGGTTAACTTAACTTTCAAAACAATAATTCTTTAAAACCGCAATTATCCTATTAATATCTCAACAGGGAGTAAAAAAGAAGAAAACAAATATTTTTATCAGAGTTTTGAAAACAATTTTTCTGCCTTTCTTAGTGGGGGAGAGTTGGAAAGCAGCAAAAGTTTTTTCCCTCAAAAACACAAACAGCAGAAGAGAGAAGCAGAAGATCTTTATCAAGCTTATTAAATTACACCCTTCTGTACCGTTTAAACTTTAAATAATATTTTAATTCAACAATAAGGAGAGTGGGTGGAAAAGTCTCTTGAGAATGAATGTTTGACATTGGCAACTTAACGTACACACTCACAAGTCACAAATAAACTCAAGCAAACCCCAGGATGAGATAAAAACGAGATAGAAAATCTGAGACAACTTTTTTTTTTATTTTAGTCATTGTGCTTTGGAATTTTTCCCTTGACAATTTCCGATCTAAACTGTCATTGCGAGTGGGTGGAATCTGTAATCCCTTTTACAAAATGAGAATTTTTCTTCCAGTGTCATGACGAAAAAAAGAAAAAAGGAAAAATAAAGAAAAGAAAGAAAAGCGAGAGGAAGGAAAATGTTTTCCTCTCACGAAAAATGGCAGATAAAAGTTTCTATCAATCCATAAATCGTCTGAGATACTTTGATAAAGGAAATTATTCTCGAAACATACACAAAAAGTTGCGCTCTGTTGCTGAATGTGTTGGACTTGCTTCGAAAGCGACTTCTTGAGAGCGAAGCGATGATTTATGCTGTTGAAACAACTTCTTCTTCATTCTGTTGTTGAGCTGGTAAAGTTTTCCGTTTTAGTTCTAGAATGGAATAAAATTGTATCAATTAAAATTGTTCATTGCTGCCTCTTTTTACATCGCTAGTTCAAATAATTACACATGTGAGTTTTCATTTTTATTGCGATATTGTACAATTGCCGGGGAGAAGCTTCAAATACATTAATTTTTTAATTGAGCACTTCTCCGCTCTTTTTTTGCCATTTCATTTTTCGGCTCAATGAAATAATAAAGAACAATGTGCTTAAATATTTAATTATGTCATTTCCTTTACCCCAAAAATCCAGCAAAAGTATTTTGCTGAACGAATGTGTGGTGAAAGAAATAAAGTTATTAAATACATAAGTCGAAAAAATACCGTCGGAGAAAATTTCTTAATTTTTCAATTGAGTGGAAGCTCGAAAACAATTCACTCGGACGATTTCATGCGCAACAATTCAGTAGAGAAAAGTCGATGGAAAATTACAAATTAAAATTCTTATGAAAGATTAACTGCTTTTAGAATGTACATAAATATCTATCAGTTGTGATTGATTTATTGCCAACAATCAAGACAAAAGATTAGATTATAGAGCTCTTCCACTGCTGTCAGAGAATTATAAATTAATAAAATAAAATTTAACAATTCTTATTACCGATTACTCTTATCGCAATTTGAAATTTTCGACAATTTTCTCAACTGACTGCAATTTATCAAACTTTTCGTCTTATCGTGCAACGTACAGATAAATTCATACAAACACAAGCACCCTTTAGTTATCGGCAATCCAACTTAATTCCCCTGGAAGTGTGTGACATTATCGCATAAATCTGATCTTTGGACGATGATTTCGTGTACATAACGGACTCGTTAGCTGTTACCTAAATACTTAAATATTCCCTCAGACACAAAAATTCTTTTTAAAGATTATCAAAAATCAATTTCTTTCCTCTTTTTCGTGATCTATTCAGTGGCATAGTAAAAGATTTGATACTTTTCAGTTGATTTCACATTCAATATTGCATTCTATGCGACAAATGTCGGCAACGAATGCAAAGATTTTTGTACAGTAATCGGAAGTTTTCTTTGTTATTTCATCAATTGCACGTATCAGATTTTGAGTGCCTTTAGTTGTTTGCCTATTCTCATTGTAAAGAGCTCAACAAAAGCATTATAGAATGAGGAAAAAAAGGATCAGTGGGCAAATCCATTAAACCATTACTTTCGCAACTTGAACACGCTGCATTTGATATTTTGCTTTTTTTCCTTGTTTGCGACAAATTCCATCATTTCAGGTATACAATAATTACATAAAGAAATTGCTACAGTTCCATAGTTATGGTTCGCTTTATTGGAATTTAATTTACCACTTAAAAAGGGAACAATTTGCAAAAAAAAGCAAAAGAGAAATGGAAAGCTTCTCATGATGCTATTGTGTAATATTTTACTTCATCCTGCTGGTTGGTACATATTAAAATCACAAGTTAAATCCTCTTGTTGTCTCTCACACACAATTCATGCCTCTCGTATACTTTAAATAGAAAGAATGAATGCAGTATCAATTCTTCAACTGGGAAAATTATACGGTAGGAAGAATTGAAGGTAATGACAGAGTTCCATTGTTAGCTGAAAGTATGAAATGGGAAGAAGAAAGAGAAATGAAAATCTACATATATCCATAGAGCGTACACATATTTATTTACGACAAAACATAATGAAATTGATACTGTTGTTGCCTCTTCGACTCAAAATGCACTCGATTCGCTTCGTCTTTTATTACCTTCTTCACTACTTTTGTATTGTTATGCGAAAATGCACATTTCTACAATTTATTTATTGCAGTTGCCCGCTTGTTTCAAACCGTACAATTAAATACATAAAAATCATTGTTTTGCGATGTACAATGCCCGAGATTTTTAAACACGGGGAGAAACTTTAAAACTTCATTTTGCTTACTTAAATATATATCTAGTTGTTATTATTCATATTTTTATTTGTGTTTGATTCCTCTCCACTCATTATGTCGAGAAGTGCAATTTACAGCAGAAAAAAAGCAGAATGAATTTTCATCGCCATTTATAATGCTGATGATGATGAAAACACCAACTCTATGGAGAGATCGTGCGTAAAATCTGCTCATCAAAGCGTGTATTGATAGGCACATCACTAATAGAATCACACTGTTAAAGTCACTTTAATTAATCGTTTTACCTCTCTTTATGCTTCTTTTATGTTGTTCGTCTTTTCATGTCCGTGATAATTAATGATCCAAACATTAATCACTTAACAGTAGACTTTCCTTTCTTCATTTTTATTTTTGAATAAATAATTTGAATAAAATAATAAATTTGACTTAACAAGTGAAAAGTTTGCACAGGAAGAGAAGAATAGATTTGAGTGCTGATTCAGTACCAGCTCACACACATGATGCATAACAAAGTAAAACATTCGTTTTACTTAATAGGAAATTCAATTATTAAACTCATAATTAATATGGAATACCGACATAAGTAACTATTAAAAGCACATTTTCCAAGGCTCATAAATCAAAGAAGTCACGATGCAAGGAATAACAAGAAAAGTAAAATAATGTTGTGAAAGCAACATACATCATAATATAAAGGAAGATCCAAGTATTTTTATTATATTTTTTTTGCATAAATGCGCGAGAAAGCTGGTTGAAAGTTTCCAATGAAGAATTTTTATGTCTTTTAATGTTGGGAAAAATATTTATGCAATATAATGTCAATTTTTTATGATCTTTTTGAATAAAACATAACATTTGACGATCTGCTTATGACACAACAATTCACGCAAATTCTCTTGCAAATGGAAAAGAAAAAGTTAAAAAATGTTTGAAATAAAAATATTTTTGCAATTGAAGTAAAGCATCAATTAACGCATTCATTATAATTTTAACCAAAACACATTAATTTGAAAATTATAGCGAAAGGGAAAAAGATATTTTTTCTTCAAATGCAGACATTGTATTTATAAAAACTCAAAACATATTCCTGTTACATGAGCGATAAGCGATCTGCTTAAGTTGGGGAAAAAGAGATTCAGAAAATTGATAGCGAATTTTTTGCTGCTGCTTATTTATTTATAATAATATTAAAGTCTTAGTTTTTACTCGATCTCAGTCATTCTTCTGGCAAGTGCAGTTTGAAGACTGCTTGAAATAATCTCGTCGTTCGTATAGTTTACAAGCAAGTTTGTCTTACGTGTACGTGTATTTGTTCAGAAGCATTCATTAATTCATTTATAATAAAATGCATCTAATTAAATCGAGTGCGAAAGGAGAAAAACAGACGAAGTTGATGATGATGATGATACCAACTGCCGTTTGTGCGATAAGCGAACGAAACAAAATAAAAAACCATGAATAAATTAGTCAGAATAAAAACAACATTAAGCTGATTTTTCTCTTCAACTTGATGTGACGACAGCATGAAAAGTCAGTTAATCATTTAGTAAATTCTGGTGCAGCCCGCACGCGACTTGAAGATGAGATGCAACTTTCCATAAACATTTTTTTTTTGCTTTCCATCATCACATCACGAAAGAGATTTGTTGACTGTCGTTGGAGACTAAATCGAGCGTAAAGGAAAAGTATTTGCGTATCACGTGCCACACACGCTGATAAGCATTTTGAATAAATGTCAACCCTGAAATGAAATCTCGCCTTACTTCTCTCCTAATCGCCCTTTAATTATTTACACATTTTTCGTCGACACGCATCGAGTAGAGAATTCATCTGGCGTTTAGACATAATGTTGCATTGCAAACCATCATTTTCTTTACTAATTTGCATTCGTTTTCGTCATTTGCAGGTAAATCGACCGTTAACGATGAAGAAAGAAGGAATTCAGACACGAAATCGTAAGTTGTCATCAAAATCAAAGAAAAAGAAAGGCGTTGGTGGATGTCTTCCTATGGGTCATTTGGGTGATTTGATGAAGCCACTGGATGCCAAACCATTTCCAGGTGGATTTTCCGCTTCGATGGGTAAGTTACATCAGCGCCTTTATTTACGCGCAGCGCGTTTATATTTGTTCATATTAGATTGTTTGTATCAATTTACAGGCCAACATGGACATCTCTCTAGCGGTTTACATCCAGCTCACACTCACATGCATGGTGGATGGTACACGGGAATGGGTGCACTTGGAGCATCGAGTAGCCTTCAAAGTGGATTTGCATCAGCTGGTTCCCTTGGTGGTGGTGTTGTGCCACATTCGCAGTCTTATCATCTAGGACTCAATTCAATGGTAACTTCAATTAATATTTCAATTAAATTTTTGAATATTTATTGTTTGTTCTGCTTTCTGTTTCACAGGGCGCATGGAGATCTGAATACACATGATGGAATAATTCACAAAATATCAACAATCACCATCATCACACCTATGGCAACACGTTGAATAATCTAAATAATAATAGCGATATTCTAATGAACTCTAATCATAATTTATTTGAATTAAATAATAATTTAATTGATAACTGTAGTGATACGTCGACGCCGAAATTACAAATTACAGCAACAATAGCAACAAGTCAAGTACAAAACATTAATTCCATACAAAATAATTAAATTCATTTTTTCTTTCCATTTCTTTTGACTTAACGGCGTGCTTTCGCGCGATTTTTCTTTTCCTTGAAGCAAAATAAAAATATTAAATCGTTTAACACTTCAACATTGTTGTGTCCCTTTTACAAATGCTTTGAACATGAAATAAGAAAACTTCCTTATAATTTTCCCTGAGGATACATGAAATTTAGGGACGAACAAAAAAATTAAAAGAGAATATTTGAATAATATCGCCATTTCCATTAAAATGGGAAATTAATTTTAATATGATAATTTCTTTTCTTTATGTTCTCTTTTGCTTTCGAAAAAAAAAGAGTGAGAAGGGTCATTTGAATACGCACATGTAAGAGGGGAGTTGTCATCCAGTGTTGTCATGTAAGAGTGATCGAGAAGAAGAATTCAATTACATGAATAAACTTACGTACAATGACGCTACTTTAAAACAGTTCCGAAACGAGAAAATAGTTTGCAAAGCAATTTCCTGAACGTTTGTTTTTTATTATTTTCACGAAAAACCTTCTGAGTTGTTTTATGTTGTTTTGTTGCTAAATTAACTGCGGCATAAGTACACACATATGCATATTGTAAGTGAAAATTTATGCGAATAGGCGGCAATGTGAAAATAGCAATTGCAAATTAAATGAAGCCATGCAACAAAACTATACTTTTGAAACATAAAAAGTCTCTTTTATTCGCCTTCGTGCGTCCATGGTAAATCACTCACTTGGAACATTCATAAACAACAGACACTAAAATAAAATCGTTGATGGCTTTTCGACTCTCAAAAGTTACTCGCTCTATAAAATAACTTTGAACCATAAAACCATGAACGGATTAAGTTTTTTTGAACGGAGGAGAATCAAAACGATTCACAAATTATTTTTTTTACAAAAGTTTATTCAATTTTTAACAAACAAAAAAATGAAATTTGAAATTTTAATTTAATTTTCCATTTTTGATACAAAACAGACGTCGTATCGTACGCCCTCTTTCTCTATTAAGCGACATAATATTTCAGTCGCGCTTTTCTCAGCAATTTCAATTAACATTTAGCTTGGCTACCGCAGCAAAAATTCACACACGAGTTACACGGGGGGAGAGCAAAAAGCCACGCTCAAAGTATAATTAACGATTCTTTTAACTTTGTGATTTTAATTCAATTCAAATAGACAACATCCCACTGTTTATATTTTTTTCTTTCTTAATTTTTATTCTGTTTTATCCACCAAAGCCGAAAACAACAGAGAAAGAAATTAAAATTAACAAAACATGATGCAATTAAAATTTATTTCATTAGCTACTTTCCTATTAAAACAACAAATTACTGGCATTTGAATTATGAATAAATTCATTTCAAAGCACCTAGCAAATCTTTATTTCATTAGTGATAGAAAACAGCATAAAAATATGAAGGCGAACATAAATTAACGTCAAAGTGTGAAACTAAGAATTCAACGATTGAATTACCGTCACAGACGATTAGAATTGAAAAGTTTCACTTCATCTTTTTTTATCAATTTGTTATAGAAAATGTGCCAGAAAATCATGGAAAACTTTATGATGAATCAAATTTGAAATCATAAAAAATTTTCCAAATTCAAAATTGATTTAAATTATAAAAAAAAAATAATTTTAATTAACTGAAAAGTGCAATTTTTCCTTCAATTTCTTTGTGTTTAATAATCACAGAAACTATTATCATTAAGTATTTACATGGTTCTATTTATCTGTTGGAAAATCTTAAGACAGATTGATCTAGGTTTATGTTATCTAAGTTTCTTGATAGAACCAATCAAAATTTCACTTGATTTTCAAAGTTCTTTGGACGATAATTTCGTCAATTTCGATGCACTATAGCGTAATCGATATTAAAGAAAAGTATTGATGATGATGATGATAAAGATACATGTTTGATGCCATATGAATAAGTAGACTGTATTTTTATTAAATGTGTAGTGAAATTCAAGGAAAAAGAATTAAAAAAATCTTAAAAAAATTAAAATGTAAATTCTAAAGAAGTTTCTCGATGTTTTTTGTATCATCAAAACTTCAAATGTAAATATTTTAACTTTCATAAGTATTTTAAAGTTAAAGCTAAATAAATATCTAATTTTAACTATGAACAAAATAAAATTCTTGATGTGTTGATAAACATAAGAAAAGTTGTAGAATTCATGGAAAAATAAATTCAACAAGAAAAAATAAATAATTTAAGTAAAGATGAAAAGTATTATTAATGTAACCATGGCATAAATAAATAATAATAATTAATTGTAAATTGAACGTGGTATATGCAAGTTTATTATAATCAATTCAAATGAAAAAAATTATAAACTACATTCATGTAATGGTTATACAAATGATGTAAGATTATTAAATAAAATAATTGTAAAGTCATGAAAAAAAAGATTTTTGAAAAAGAGAAAAATGTGAATAAATAAATATTTAAAAAAGTAAAATATTTTATGCTTTTATTGTTCAACGAAAAGCGTTAAATTTCTGTTCTAATCAATCATAGCCAAACTTAAGGTGAATGAAATTTTATATGATTTAACGTGAACCATTTTTCATTTAATCTTCTACAAGTCAAACTGTGAAAACATAAAACAAAATAAATGCAATGAATTATAATGTTTGCTTTATTTATGTCACTCCACCCACAACTCATTTTCACAGTGTCCTTAATTTTCACTGATGTCAGAAGAATTGTTGAAACCCTTCAATATGCATAATACAAATGAGATTCTAAAAGCACGTCATGTGCATAAACCGAACTCACTCTCAATACGGAAGAGAAAAAAATTAAGAAAAGTATTTTCGCGCTTAATCATGATTGATGTTTGTTTATTGCATGCAACTTAATACATTCAGAATCTCAATTTGACCTACAAAACAAAAGCGTGGAGAAATGCTTTTCTCACGTCACGAGTTTTCATTTTCAAACGCATTTCTTTTCTGTTTATTTCACTTTTCTACATTATCACGCACATTCTAGACTCGACGATCATGAAATCGAAAACGCTAATCGTTTCATTATGACTCTGAAAATCTTGATTAGAGAAACAGAAATAACAAATTTAAAATATTTCATTTTCCGTTAAAAATAGAATCATAATTAAGTTAATCCAATTACATGCACGAAGGATGCTTGAAATGGCAGTTTATGTGCCGATTTACATTTCAATTCTGCTATAAGGAGTTTCGGAATGGAAATCGTGAGCTCAGGAATTTCGAAACACAAATTTGGTGCTTTGAAATTCCGCGCATTTATTTACTCAGGCTTATAACTGTTTGAAACTGTTTCTGTAGTTTTTTGTTTAAATAACGAGAAATTCAATAGACAGGTGTAAGAATAAGTTTTAAGAATTCTGAATTCTTCAGTTGAAAATACGAAAGACTCGCTTAATTGCTTTGAGAATAATATCTAATCATTAAAGAATCATAAATTTTAAATTGTGTTAGGCTATAACCTATGTGAAGAAGGTAATCAATCGAACTGTGAGCTTCACTGAAGGCTTTCGTGAAAACGAAACGATAATAATTGGCTTCAACTCGTGCCAGAACTCCAATTTCATTCATTCTTGAAGTCAGTAAGACTTGAAACCCATTTACACAAATTATACATTTATGAAGAAGTGCTGGCAGTGAAGGTGAATAAAAAAACGATGCACCTTGCGCTGCTTTAAAGGTCGTTTGTTGTATTTTAAGCGTTTGCTTTTTAATACAACTTTATGTCTATTTACGTAGTCAGTAAACGAGTAATCAGTTTTTATATCGTCAAAGCCGATAATGGTTTAAGTAAATTCGGAAGTTGATGTTGATATTTAAAAAATGATGAATCCAAATCACAAATTTCATATAAGAAGAAAATTACTTTTTAGTTTGACCAGTTGACGCTCTTGGCCTAAGCAACAAACACAAAATTCGACCCGGAAAAAATTGCCATCGTTAATAACAAAAAAAATTGGATAGAATAGAAATTTATTGCGAAATGTTTTGAAGCGTGATAAATCTACAATTTCGCAAGGATATAAATAAATTGGTCTTCGTATCTAAGCACGCATCCTAATGCCAAAGGACTTCCAGAAATTAATAAAGTGTCAAATCTACTGTAAAATCGGGTGCTTGTCCCCAAAAAAATATTGATGACGAAAACTGTTGGCCAAATCCCATTCTTGATTTTAGGATTAAGAAAGGACAAAATCGATTCGATTTTTTATTGGGTGAATCTCAATTTTTTAACTCATAAATGTTTAATGTTTTGAAATCCGATGAGAATGAAAACCTGTCTGAAAAGTATCTGACTAGCTTAGCAGATGTGAAGTTCGTTGTATCGAAAACGACTTTTCCTAAAAGAAATAAACGAATCTTTATAAACATCACAAACAGGGAAAAAAGATTTCTTTTAAATCAACCGGAAATCGACTTCAAACATCCTTTGCTGGCATTTGAGGACAAAATCTATTCTAAATGATTACACGCGATGACTTTTTCAATATCATTTACAGTAATCGGTCATTTCAATCATCCAATTTAATGCTTATTTTATTTGATACTCAAGCAGAGTCCATTTCTTTTTACTGTCCATTGAGCAAATTTAAATTGAGAAAAAATAAAAATCGAATTTCATGGAATGAGATTCGCTTTGACTGACGCATTTCAACTCTTTTTTGGTGTTTTATGATTTGTCATGTACAGTAAAATATTTCATCCTTTTCACATACACATAAAGTGTCGTTATTGAGATAACATTAAATGAAGTATTAAATTTTGTTAGGACATTGGAAATTGAATAATGAACGACAATCTTTTATTTGTGAAAGGGTTGTGACTTACTAAATTAATTTTTATTGATTGAAACTTTACTATTTTTAATTTTTTCATATCCATTTAGTGGTTTTTAATTATTTAAGTCGTTTTAGATTGGTTTTCTATTTTATCTATTCAGATGCAGTGTCGCAATAAACAACAAAAATCTCTTATGCAAATATGACATTATCAATTGCGCAATAAAACTTTTAATATTTTTCTTGGGAAATACAAATAAGCCTTGTCCTGTTGTTATCGATGAATGTTCATCGTGCAATTTCACGAGAGAGCTTAGATATGGAGCTTACTTATGTATACATTTGTATTACGACGAATTCTTTTTAAATATTTTAATGTATTGTATGATTCTTGTCTCTTACTCTCGCTTATACAAACTGATATGAATATTTAATGCTTTTGATATGAGTAAAGGAAGAAAATAAAATGCAGAAACAAAAAAAATATTGCTTTCAAAATTTATTCATAAATGTTATCGTACTTATGTAGTTATTTCGAATTTCGTTTAAAATGCATTTCATATTAATAAATTTAGCAACATGCTGCGAGTCACTGCGAGTAAAAAAGTCCCCAAGCTGTCTGCAGAAATTTTTTCACTTTTTTTTATTCATTTTTTGCAATGTTCGATGGTCGAATACATTTCTCTAATTTATAAAAAAGTTTTCGTCTAATCAACTAGACGACAACATTCGAAACAATGCAATTTTCGTCACTAAATGGATTTTAGCTCAGTCCGATGTTCCATTGTATCAATTGAAAAGGTAAATTGATTGGAGTCGTCTATTATTTCACAAATTGAATTCATGTCTATCACGTCACATGCAGATATCATGTTGTAAACATGAAAAGAAATCGCTTGATCCTGTTATAGAATTCAAATAAAAATATTTTAGAATTTCTTTGCTTATTTTCCTTATCATTAAAGCGGTGAAAATTGAAAGAGAGCTAAGGTTAATTAAAAAATAAATCAAATAGAGTTAATTGTGAAGACAACATAAAATTGTTAACAAAAATTATTTCATACTTATTGATAACAATTTCTTTCATTTATCCCGAATAGCACAAGCAGAAATCGTATTCAAAACTACCGCCAATGATT